GACACCATTTCAGCCACCAAATCACCCAAAGGACTCAAAGTATCATCGGGATTGACGAATACCATGGCAGCTTTAGGAAGCGCCTCACCGTAACAGTAAAGGACATAAAGACATAACTCGACATCCCTCCAATTTAACTCTGTCCCGTTTTTATATTTATTAAAAGTGTCCATCACAAATGAGTGAATATAACGCACATATAACTCTTCATCGATAATGGCAATATGTTCGGCAAAAATTCGAAGGTTCTGTTCTATCAAGGTTAGCTTTTTTTTCCACATACAATAGATCTCTCTCTCTTTTTTTTTTCCTGGGTACCTTTCTCATTTCAAAAAACAAGGCTTCTTCCTCGGGCTCATCCTCATCTGCATCCCATTCGGTCTCATCGTCGTATCTCAACTTTACCACAAGAACATTTAATAACGATACCAAAAATTCATGTTGTCCTTGAGAAAGTGGTTGTTGTTGTTTCTTTTGCTTCTTGTACTATATCATATATAAGATAAAAAAATCCAAAAAAAAAAAAAATAGTGATACAGATATAAAAAAAAAAACTAATACTTACAATATACAACATGTCATTGACAAAGGGAAAGATGGCGGATGAAGTATCATCGTATTCATTAGCCAAGAATCTCAGCAAATATGGAGTGACTTGTTCAATCATGGTCCATGCTGCGGCTTTTCCTTCTGCAGGAAGAGAGACTTCTGTGTAGATCTTGCAGAGTTCGGTGCCTAAAGCATTAATCAAACGAGCAACGTATTCCACAAATTCTGGCTCAGACTACGGGGAAAAATAAAAGGAAGGTTATGTGATTAGGGGGGACGGACAGATTTCATTAGGGGGGGGGATATGTTATCTTTACCAAATCTAATCGGGGAAGCATGTCTGTGATGTTCAACATTTGAAGCATGTTTAATTTATCCATGGGCAACATGCCTTTACTGATGACATCGGCCAAACACTCGCAAGCAGGAATACGCAAGGCCTCATTCGCTAATAATTCATATAAAACGGTCATGACCTGATCATTGACGACATACGAAATATCCATCCAAGCGATGTAGGAACCAATGTTCTTCAAGGCTAATTGGGCAATGGTGGGTTTCGTGGATTTGAACTCTTGTAAGAGATCAAACCAGAATGCAGCCAATAGTTGAATATCGCCTACACGCATGGAATCCTTGATGTGTGTGTTACGGATGACTTCTTCACGGGTACGAGGAATATCCATACGGGCAATTTCTTCATCAATACTGATACAAAGTCGCAAAAAGAAATCGGCGGCTTTCTCATGAGAAGGTGTGTCCGAGGGGGTTTTGGCAAGTGCAATCATGTCTTTAAAGAACGATGGCCAGACAGTAGGGTATACGTGTGTGAATAATATCGTAAGTGATTGTGCTGCCTTGTTTCGAATAACTAGGTGGGTTAAAAAAAAAAGTGTGAGTCATTGTGTGTCCCCCCCATTTATCACTATATCAACCTACAGGCCTCTTCGGATCCTATGTTTGTATTGTCAACAAATTCTCTGCGTAAATATTCCATCATGGTTTGCTGAATATATTGGACGGCCGCAGCATCTAAACTGTCATATCTGTATATCATTAAGATTAATGGCTGTAATATAGCATGACTATGGGTATCTTTTTTATTTATACCTATTTCTCAGTGTATTTTCAACCACTTGGAGAGAGAAGAATCGAGCTTCAGGAAGTCTAGAGAAGAGAATGAGCAATGTTTATTTTAAAATGGGACATGCTTACTTACGCTTTAGGCTCCTTCATGAACAATTGAATACATAATTGCCAACCTTCGTCAGAATTCTTGACTTGTTCACAGTATGAGTTTGCCTTTTTTTTTTGGAGAAGGGATGAAACGCGTTTTAACAACTAATGAATCTTTTTTTTTCATCCAACTATGAATTTTTACCTGCGCTTTTAAGCTAGGATCCACTTGTGGTCCAAGAGCATACATTACGGCTTGTTCTATTTGATCCATGTTTGCTTATTTCGAAACGGGGGGAACAAAAACAAAAAAAAAGATCGAGATGAATCGTTTAAAATGAGAGGGGTCTTGTTTAATTAATTTAAAAAAAACAGTTAATCTATCTAAATCGTAAAAAAAAAAGGTTTTTTTTTTTTTTTATAAAAAGGTTGTCCAAGCTAAGAAAAAAAAAAAAAGTTATTAAATGACCGATGTATAAGGGCGTGTTACGCACCATTCAATCCACTCCCTCGTTTTTTTACCAAAAATAGGTCTTTGTGGACATTTTTTGGTTGGGATGCAGGAAAACATCACCCTGTAGCAAAAAAAAAAAAAAAAAAGTTTAAAGTTGCTTCTTTTTTTATGACGGCGCATACATGTAGCCCACATAGAGGAGTGATCCACCTTATGATGTTAAACAACATTTTACACGAATGTCAATAAGCATGAATCTTTCTTTTGTGACTTGCGTTTATTCTGTAAATAGATAGAATAATAGCCTTGCAGCCTACAACAGCCACTTCTTATTTGTATGAAACGTCCTCGCCATCACAGTTTTTTTTTTTCTTTGTCTCACAGTACCCTCAGCCCTCATTCCCTTTTTTTTTTATCTCGTTTCATCTTCCGCTCTAAAATAAGCCCTATTTTTTATTTTTTGATTTTAGCCTCGTTCCTTCTTGCCCCTTTCTTTTTTTATATACAACAATGATTGGCATTGACGAAATTCTCAAGAAACGTAACCATTGAACATGACTCTTACTTTTATAAAGAACATGCTGATAAAAAAATAAATAAATAAAAAATAAAATAGGATTTTTGGAACTCATCAAAACCGTGAATCCTGCTGGCAGATGGAAGTTGGTTGTGGTCGACAGTCTTTCTTCCAAAATCTTGAATTCAGCTTGTAAAATGTACGATATTCTCGAAGAAAATGTAAATTGACCCCTCCCCTTTCATTTTTATTTTTTATTTATTTACTTACTCCATGTATTAGGTTACCTGTAAGCCTTCTTTCCCTTTAAAAAAAGTTGACCGGGAACTAACGTTCATTTTGCTATAGTGGTAGAGAATATTGAGAAACCTAGACAACCGTATCCCAGTTACGAAGCTATTTATATCCTGACACCTTGTATCGAATCCTGCTCTCGTCTCGTGGATGATTTCTCTCGTCCCGAAGGCCCAATGTATGCAGCCGCACATGTTCACTTTATCAACGGTAAAAAAAAACATAAAAGTCAGCAAGTTGGCGTATTTTAATAATGAAACTTTCTTGTAGGACTGGAGAATAATACCTTTAATGAATTTACTCGTCTTTTAAATGCAGCAAATGCATCGAATGATATCAGAAGTCTAAAGGAAATGTACGTCGACTTTTTAGGTAAATATAACTACTTAACTTACTTGGCATCTTCTCTCTTACTAAAGAAAACGCTATCCTCTTTAGTGCGTGAAAATTGTGTGTATACGTTGGATGATCAAAGAAAGTTTCTTGGATTGTTTGCCAACAGTGATGAATCAAGTCCAGCACAAATTGAATCTCAACTGGAGGACATTGCTAAACAGGTAAGTTGGATAATCCCATAACAAAGTGCGTAAAAAATAGAGACTTACACTTTTTTTGTTGTTGTTGTCGTTGCTACGATTAGCTTTTATGTGTGTGTGTTACCATTGGTGAAAATCCAATGATCCGATACCATCGTCCCCTGGATGATAAAAAGACCATCAATCGACGTATTCCCGAGCATTTAACACGTCTTGTTCAAGCCGAATTGGATGCATTTTGTGCCACCAATCCCGAATTTCCTGTAAGTTTTTTTTTCGAACTTTTTTTTTTTGCTCTTTGTTATTGAAAGGGGGATACTGACATATTTTTTTTTAAAAAAAAAGCCTCCAAGAGATCCTGCACTTCCTAGTGGCACATTGATTATTTTGGATCGTACGATTGATCATATCTCTCCCTTTTTACATGAATTCACCTACCAAGCCATGGTAGCGGACTTACTTCAGGTGGAAGAAATCCCCGCTGGTCTCAAATACGAATACAAGTACACGCAGGAAGACGGTACCACGCAGGATCAAGAGGTGACCTTGATCGAAACCGATCCTGTCTATACCGCCATTCGTCATATGCATATTGCTTCCACCACCGAAAAGCTCATTGATGATTTTAATGCGTTCTTGAATGAAAACAAAATTTCATCGGGTGGAGGTCCTACAACGGCTGTGAGTTTAAATGATATGAAGAACATGATTGGTAATTTACCTCAGTATCAGGAAATGAAGACACGGGTAAAAAAAAAAAAAAAAAAAAAGTTGTATATGCATTTTGATGATGGTTAAAAGAAAAAGAATGTTCATATAAATTAGTTTTCGGCTCATATGAATATTGCCGCTGCTTGCATGACCGAGTTCAAGGATCAGAATCTAGAGACGATTGGTCTGTTAGAACAGGACATGGCATGTGGAGAAACTCCCGATGGAGAGCAGCCTACGAACCTGGTAGAGTCCTTACTACCTATCCTGGACGATCCTTTTACCAGCAACATGGTCAAGACCCGTCTGATTTTGCTTTGGATTGCCACTTCAGACACGGTGGATCCTGAAGATCTCGAGTCCTTGCTTTCGGTCGCTCGTCTGGACCAAGAGTTCAAGGATGCGATTGAAAACATCACCTTGCTAGGCGTACAATTATCCAAATCCGCCAATCGACAAGGACAAAAGACCAAGAAGGGCAAGAAGAAGAAGAACATCCAGCAAGAGGTTCCCTTTGATTTGTCACGTTATGTGCCTGTGGTGAAACGTATCGTACAGGGTCATATTGATAATACCATCGATCAAAGTTTATTCCCCAATTATACGAGCAAGAATGTTCGTCAAAAGAGTCTTCGTAGAGATCCATCCGAAGTCGTAAAGGAGGTACCCAAGTTGCGGGTTTATAAAACTCAGTGGCATAAGAAATCCACAGGTGCCAACGTAAGCCCATTTTTATATTCTTATATCTATCTATCTATATATATTTACATATTAAAACCTCTGTCTTTTCCTGTTAGGCTGCACCTAAACCTCCTTCGGGCCCTCCCATTATTATCTTTATTGTGGGTGGTATGACGTATTCCGAAATCCGATCCGCTTATGAGATCGCAGAGACCTTTGACCGTGAAGTTTATATTGGTAAGAAAAAAAAAGAAAAAAGAAAAAGGATGATGGAGGTGATATACTTACAGAAATTTATAGGATCCACTCATATTATTACACCTGATAAATTTGTTGAAGACTTGGGTAAGTTAGACAAGGTTTTACCACCTCCCAAGAGTGTGGTCCCTGTCTACACTGGTAGTATTCATGCCACGACGAAAAAGACGACGGAAAAGATTCTTCCACCTCGTACGACGTCTACCGTTCCAGCCTCAAACTCTTCTAAACCTTACAATTTGTTCAAAAAGAATTAAGTTTCTGATTTTTTTGTGTGTGTGTAAATCCTTCAATGAAATAAAACGTGTGGGGAGGGATGTAGTATTAAAATGGATGTTTGTTCAAATCTTTTTTTTTTTTAAATGGGGTTTGAATCTGAACGATTTTTATCTTGACAAGATCAAATCTTACAGCACGGACCTCTGGCCACTAAAAGAATATGTATCCGGATCCGCACCATCTAAAACAGATTTTTTTTTCTTCTCTGTAGAATTGAGAGCTAAACGTATCTAAGTTGGCTGCCAAAAAAAAGAAAAAAGAAACCTAGGCTATGATTTATACTTTAGGGCTATGTAAAAAAAAAGGGTTCCCATAGCAACCGACAACAATCATTATTAAAAGAAAGGTTACCATGGCAACCGACAACGATACGATCTACTGTTTTACTCACATGATATGATGTATATAAACAAGCGAGAAAAGAAAAAAGGGCATTGAGACAGTCCGAAATAAAATAGCTGTATCCTCTGTATAATGATCCTACGGAGTAAGAGTTGTGTAGTGATAAGATCTATCATATAAAAGGGCGGTGAATGACTGTTTGATTAGTCCCGGACATCTGTTCTGTATTTATATTTTGATATATACATACATACAAACATGTTCTGATCCTAAGCAAAACAATGCGTAGTTGCGATTAAAGGACAACGGGTTCCAAACATCACTGTCAAAAAGAGAAAACGGGATTTTAATAGGGTGGGACCGGGTTTAACGCATTTGGAAGATATTAAAGCTTTTTTTTTTTTTATCGAAGGGGAGATCTGGGTCGATGTTTGAAAGAAGTTCAAGTGTGACGCGCTTTGATTTTTTTGCGCGAAAAGCGGGCGAGGACGGGCTTTTTTGTTATCTTTTTTTTTTTTAAGTGTGCCCTTTTTTTTTATATCTTTTTTTTTTTTTCCCTTTTTCTTTTAACACTTTTTGTAAATTTTTATTAAAAAATGCTTGCAACTCTTCACCGTATGGCTCCTGCCGCTGCCAAGCGTGTTGCCACTCTTTCTGTAAAGCCTGCTGCTGTTGCTCTTACACAAAGACGTTTCAACTCTACTGGAACTGAGGTAAAAAAAAAAAAAAAAAAAAAAAAAAAAATTAAATTCAGGTTGTGTGTTTGGAAAAAAAAAATTTAATGAATTTTTTTGATGAAAAATTAGATGACTGTTCGTGAAGCTTTGAACCAAGCTTTAGAGGAAGAAATGGTCAAGGATGATAAAGTTTATATTCTCGGTGAAGAAGTTGCTCAATACAATGGTGCTTACAAGGTACAGCATCATCAACAGCAGAAAAAAAAAATAAACAAAAAAAAAAAAACCCGCGTTTTGTTTAGTTAGGGGGGGTGCAAAAAAAAAAATGGGACAATCCGGGAAAATATAAAAAAAGATTGGGGTAGATTCGGGTTCAAGGGTAGACAACGGAGTTTTAACATTTTTTTTTTTTTTTTATTCTTAATAGGTTACCAAAGGTTTATTAGACAAGTTCGGTCCCAAGCGTGTGATCGATACTCCTATCACCGAAATGGGTTTCGCTGGTATTGCTGTTGGTTCTGCTTTCTGTGGTTTGAAGCCCGTTTGTGAGTTCATGACCTTTAACTTTGCCATGCAGGTAAGATTATCATGGAGAAAAATGAGAAAAGAGAGAAAGAGAAAGAGAGAGAGAGAAAGAAAGAAAGAAAGAAAAAGGCTGACATTTCTCATGTTTATAGGCCATTGATCAAATTGTCAACTCTGCTGCCAAGACCCATTACATGTCTGGTGGTCTCGTTCAATGTCCCATTGTTTTCCGTGGACCTAACGGTGCTGCTGCTGGTGTCGGTGCTCAACATTCTCAAGATTTCTCTGCCTGGTACGGTTCCGTTCCTGGTCTCAAGGTTGTCTCTCCTTGGAACTCTGAGGATGCCAAGGGTTTGTTAAAGGCTGCTATTCGTGACCCTAACCCCGTTGTTGTTCTCGAGAACGAGCTTGAATACGGTACCTCTTACCCCATGTCTGCCGAAGCTTTGTCTTCTGATTTCGTCATTGATATTGGTAAGGCCAAGATTGAGCGTGTTGGTAAGGATATCACCATTGTTGCCCATTCCAGAACTGTTGGTTTTGCCATGAAGGCCGCTGAGGAGTTGGCCAAGACCGGTGTCTCTGCTGAAGTCATCAACCTTAGATCCATCAAGCCTCTTGATACCGAAACCATCTTCAACTCCATCAAGAAGACCAACCACATCATTACTGTTGAGAACGCTTGGGCTGCTTTCGGTGTTGGTTCCGAGATCTCTGCCCAAATCATGGAGAGTAAGTTATACAGAAGGAAAAAAAAAGTGTATAAGTCTTTTACTAACGAGGTAACCTTCTTTTCTTTTTTTTGTATAGGCGATGCTTTCTGGCATTTAGATGCTCCCATGTCTCGTGTCACTGGTGCTGATGTTCCTACTCCCTATGCTGCTAACCTCGAAGGTCTTGCCTTCCCTGATACCAACGTTATTGTCAAGGCTGCTAGAGATAACTTGGACAAGAAGATTGGTTTCTAATCATTATAATAGTACTCATCCCACACACACACAACCTACTCCTACTGTTCCTCCCTCCGTTTATATAGATTCTCCCCTCAACAACAACCACAAAAAAAAAAATTCATTTTTATATGAGAAAACTGATTTTATTGCGGGGCAGTGTTTTGTGTTTTTAAAGACTTTTTATAAATGCGAGCATAAATCCCACACTAGGGGCCATAGGCAGTAACCTATCCCACAAGAAATGTAAAAAAAAGAAAAGCGTGGTTTATGTCAGGTAGTCATTGATCAGACTCCAGCACAAATCGGCCCATTCTTACATGCATGTAAAATCTGCTGAGCTTGGTAATTGTTTGCACACAAACAAATCGAGCGTGCCATTATGAATAGAAAAGCCTAAAAATGACATGTCACGTGAATAGACGTCAACTTCTTTTCGGGTTGTATGGCTTCATAGAAACAATAACGAGCGGGGAAAGCTGAGTAGAGCAGCGATTCACAGCTAAATCGATTTTGTTTACTGCAACTGACTCAAAATTCTACTCTGCAGCAGCTAATCCTTTTTTACTCTGCATGGAATTCCTGATTTATTTTACTTCTTTTTTTTTTAAACACTTTCTTTTAAGCGCCAAGCACTGCACCTATCAAGTGCTGTTTGGGGGGCAGCCAAGACGGCAAAAAAAAAGTGTTGTCTCCATTATTAAATTATTTGTGATTGCCTTACCTTACATGCATACTCGATTTAGTTGCTTGATTGAATGTGAATTCTGCATCTATGATAAACAATACAGATTTTTTTTTTAATTTCGTCCATTCATATCAATTAATATTATACTGGGCAGGCGCAAAGCCAAGACCGGCCGTGTGGAGAAAAGAAGCAAAGATAAAAGACAAGAGAAAGCTGTAGAGTGTGAATCGGTTGCTCTTTGCAGCTTTAAAGTGAAAACTTTTTGCCGTTAGCAATTGCAGAAGTAATAAACTTTACACAGAGAAATCCTTTTTGATTGGCCAGGCTTAAATGTCGAAAGGCTGTAACATCCGATTTATATTTCCACCACGCTTTAAATGATGAATGGGGTTGTCGATTGCATTGTGCATAATCTTTATTCCCTCAGTTGTCGTCATGTTTTTTTTATTTCTGAGAATATAAATTAAAAAAAAAATACCAATGCGTTTTTTTATCTTTTTTTTTTTTTTTTTTTTTTTTTTTTCATCACCACTTCGTCATATATAAAAAAAAATCCCCCTTATTTAGTTCCAAAAAAAAAAATGCTCTCACATATAAAAGACCTGTTTCGTCAACGAAAAGAACGACAACAAAAACGATTTTTTACTAATCACCATCATAAAAAAGAAGCAGTACCTACACCAGAAATTAAGGTCCTCCAATACACAATCAAAAAACCCTCCAGCAACAACAAGAAACAGAAAGAAATCTCGATGGATAATATGACAATGGTGGGCGAAGAAAACGATGGGAAACATTTAAATACGGCTGATGAATTGGCTAATTTACTTGTGGAGCAAGATAACAAGAGAAGGAGTCAATTGCCTTCTTATCCTGGCTTGGAAAGATTTGAAATAACAAGGAAACTGGGAGAGTAAGTTGTTGTTATTATTTTGTTTATCTGTTATAGTTGCCAATATGTCCTTTTATAGCGGGGCCTTCTCGAACGTTTATGAAGCTCGTGATACCAAAACTGGAAAGAAAGTCGCAATTAAAGTCGCACAGAAATCAAAATCTGACAAGATGGTAAAAAACAAGATCATTTACATCGTTATCTCCGTTTGTTTACCCTTCTTTTATTTTTTTTTCGTCGTTAGGATAATGGTCAACGCCATTTGCATAAAAGCATCCAAAAGAAACCAAGGGCAACAGAGGTAACAAAAGAAAAAGCACGCTAAGGCTAAAATAAAAAAAAAGATGATATCATGGTGATTTATTTAAACATTGATTTATAGAGAGCCAATATAATAAAGGAAGTTCAGATCATGCGTAACGTGCGCCATGCAAATATCGTACAGCTGATTCACTACACCGAATCGGGTGAGAACTACTTTTTAACGTTGGATCTGTGTCAAGGAGGCGAGCTCTTTCATCAGATTGTAAAGTTAACCTATTTCAGCGAAAACCTGGCTCGCCATGTGATTACCCAAGTCGCATTGGCGGTCCGCCATCTTCATGAAGAATGCGGTGTTGTTCACAGAGACATCAAGCCAGAAAATATCTTATTCGACCCTATTCCGATCAAGCCCTTGAAGCGACCCATTTATCGACCCACCGACAATATGGACACCAAGGAGGATGAAGGTGAATTCATTCGAGGCATTGGCGGTGGTGGCATCGGTACAGTCAAGTTAGCCGATTTTGGCCTATCCAAAGTCATTTGGGACAATTCAACTTTTACTCCCTGTGGTACAGTGGGCTATACAGCTCCAGAAATTGTATGTGATCAACTGTATTCGAAATCGGTTGATATGTGGGCCATTGGTTGTGTTTTATATACCATTTTATGCGGTTTCCCTCCATTTTACGATGAATCCATTCCCATCCTAACCGAAAAAGTTGCCAAAGGTCAATTCACCTATTTAAGCCCTTGGTGGGACACCATGTCCGATTCGGTCAAAGACTTGATTAACCATTTACTCTGTGTCGACTCCAAAAAGAGATATACCATTGACCAATTCCTGAATCATCCTTGGGTGACGGAAGAACCCTTCATTCGTCCTCATAAAGATGCTGTTGTTTTGACCGAGGATCAAATACAAACAAAGGCCTATCGTCATCAACAAAATGTGGAACAGCAAGAGTTGAAAGCCATGGTTCAAAAGACTGTCCAGTCCACTCTATTGACTCCACCAGAGATTGAACAAGACGGGGATGATTTGATGGAAGACAGTATGTATTCCACACCGGATGCCGCTACTTTACGAGAAATATTTGATATTACTTATGCTGTGCAACGTATGGGCGAGGAACAATCTTTAATGGATCAAAAGCAACAAATAGAACAACAACAAACAATCATTTCACCTACACCATCACCAGCGACTACCCATGTTCAGGTGCCGCTGGCTTTACAGAATCAGAATCTACCCATTGCTCAGAAATTAGCCTTGCATAGTCGTGGTGTGGCGGATCCCATCAATTACCGTCACCATCAGCCCTTGTTGCATCAACAAAAACCTCCCAATGCATTTGATGGATTTCAATTGGATATGAATAATGCTACTTTATTAACAAATCGAATGAAAATTAAAGTTTAACTATTTTTTATTTATTTATCTTGAAAAAAAGCTTTTTTTAGGAGCTTTTTTTTATTTATCTTTTTTTTTTTTTTTTTTTTTTCATATATATTTTTAAATAATGAGTTATGCAGAAGCAAGAGCTCCGGGAGAGAAAGTCGATATTCGAGAAGAATCACTCTATGATTACATTCAATCCAAGTAACTATCTATTCTCTTTATAATTTTTTGTTATTTCTCATCTCTCTCTCTCTCCCCCAAAAAAAAAAGTGATATGGGTTCACGCTCAGACAGACGCGAGCAAACATCTACTGCGCACATTAGTTCGGGAGGTAGACTCACAGGAGCACTAGCCAATAACCAAAACGCTCGTTTTGCTCATGATGCCTTGGTAGCAGATTGTGCGCGCTTCTTGGGAAGTGACATCATTAACGATACGGTCACTCAATTTGCTGAGAATATCTTGACCATTATTGAATCCCCCACCGAGTTGGATTCGACCGAGGTTAAAAGAAGAATAGAACAAATCTTACCCACCAGCCATGAATACAAAGTGCATCGAGGCATGGCATTATCCGATAAGGATTGTACACGCTTATGTAGTCTGGCTGATAGGGTCATTAATAATGCTCCCTATACAAATCTGAATATCGTGGATGAGAATAACCCACAAGATGATGATGATGGTGAGCGTGAATTCACCGATAGGTTGAGAAGAGCCAGTCATGGCAGTGTGGGCGATGTACAGTATATCCGTCACACTAATACGGCACAGCCTTTGGATCTGCCCAAACAATTACCCAGTTTTGTAGAACCCAACGAGGACGTTGACACTAAACAAGAGTATGATGTAGACATTACTCCATTCGACAGCGAAGAAGACGACGACTGACTTGTCAATAAATAATCACACACACACACAAAAAAAAAAGTGGCTTATCGTTTCTTGTTTTGAATTTTATATTTTTTTTGCCTTTTTTCAACATTACATTACATTAGCCATGAGTTGTCATTCTTGCGGAGGCTGTTTTACGGGTTCCGGTTGCTCAACCGTCAAACTCTCGAAAAAAGAAATGCTGAGCGATTCTGCACGCTTTCAGTCACTTCTTGATCTTGCCTCATCGTCCCCCTCAATTGAGAGCACACAACATGATCATGTGATTCCCACCATCATGTCGCAGCTTTCGAAAAATGTGTATTCGTCGCAAACAGTGCTGTTTAAGGCATACGACGAATTGGATTTGCAGGAGTTTTTAAAGTTGAGCCAAGCATTGTATCGAAACCATATTTTAGGTGTTCATATTGCTTGGGCTGCCGAATACTGTCAAATGAATATGAAAGAGTTACAGAATGCCTTGCAGTTACCTGACCCGTTGCTTTTACAACACTGCGATGATCAAGCCGAAATTCATGAAATGTTTGGTCAGTTGACAACTGGATCCGTAGGAAGAGTACAACAGCAACAATAGATTATATCCCCCCCCCTTCTCCTTTTTAAAAAAAAAGAAATAAACCCTTCACCCCTCACTTTTTTTACCTTAATGTAAATGGATGCAGGAGAATGTGTGTAACATCACTGGAATCGAATTTTAGCCATATGCTTCTGCTTGAAAATAACGCATTCCTAGTTAGTCTCTCTAGAATTCTAATAGACAATCTGTGTTTAGGCCTATTAGCATTGATGATTCAACATGGATTACTCACCTTTTCGAGGAAAGCCGAGGGATTGTCTTAAATCCTTAATTGTCATTTTAGTAACCCTTTTATGTTTCATTAGAAAACACTCACGCAGACACATAATGCCGAAATTACGCTACATGACTGTTGTCTACCTCCTCTCCCAACCCTATTTTTTTTTGTATGAAATAAGTCTAGTATTATTTTCATTAGACCCTTCTACTCATGTTGATTAGTTTTTCTTTCTTGAGAACTTGTCCAATCTATCAATAAAAAGGTATTCAGGGTGAATGTCGTTTCTACAGCTGAAATTACTAGGCTCGGTTTTATCATGAATTAGATAAACTGTTGCTCTATCTGTCAATTTCTATCAATTTTTTTATAGCAAACCTGTAAAATTATATCCGAACCTTCTTTACTGAAAAACTGAACTTGAAATCTGCAAATTGTATTATAAAGAGGTTTAGCATACGAACCAGCTACAACGGGATGATGCTTTAGAGAAATTCCGCGCATGGAATATAATGAAATTATACCTGAAACTCGCTTATACGGGTGGCCTTTCTAGCTAGAAAAAAAAAGTTGTTAATTGGTGGCACGATTCATAAAGAAAATTTATCAAATATTTTTAACATACAATTATTTTTTAAAAAAAGAAGTTTCCTTTCTTATTTTTCATTCATCGATTAAAAATGTCTCGAACAAATACTTTGTCCATAAAACTCAACCTTTCTAAAAGAAGGCGACCTATGACGGACAGTGCTAGCATCAGTGGTACTAAAACTCATACAGAAGCAAAGAACAGAAAGACAAGAACTGCTTATGCTTCTCATAAAATTGTGCCCACTCCAAACACAGGCAATACTGTAGCCAACTTCGAAGGTGATGGTGGCATTCCATTATCTTATGTGTACTCTGAAGGGCTCACAGGTTCATCTGAATATGCATACATAATGGAAGGCAGTAGAAGAGAAGTAATCGAGGGTAAAATTAGTGACAACAATGGTAATGATGCTGGAAATAACGAAGGGGCTGAAGAAGCTAGACGTAACCCAGCTAATGATAACGGTAATGGTGGAGGCAGTGGTGATGACAGTGATGGAAGTGGCTCGAACGGTAGCGGTGGTGGGAGTAGCAGTTCAGATAATGAACAGGCAGACGAATCATCATCCGTACAAGAAACTCTGGATTACTTAGATAACCAAATCAATTTGCTATCTGACAATGTAAACAACTCGTTGAGTGTTCGTGTTGATAATTTGGAAGATCGCGTGGGTAATTTGTTTGATAGTGTAGAGGCAATGATTGAAAACGTAAACATGCTGGAGCTTAGCGTCGCTAGAATAGAAAGACGTATGAGAGACCGGGCTTCTCAATTGGATCTGGCAAACCTCGTGGGTTATTTAAATGAAGATCAATATACCTTTATGAGACGCATGACTCAAAGAGCGGTCGACCAAGTGTTGAAGACATTGGAGGAACGTCTGGGTCGTAATCCCAACAATTTACCCAGAGCCAATAACATGAACCAACCTGTAGCTACTGAAAATCAACCACAAGCCAATACGAATCAACAATCGCCAGCGGCTAATCCTCCACAAGAGCAAGCCCCTCCTACTGAGAGACCACAAGAGAATGGGAACAATAATGCTCCTAATTTCCATTTCGACATACAGCAGTTAATCTTTGTTGAAAACAATGGTTATATTAGGACATTTACCATCAATCAATAAGCAGCAGATATAAATGAAAAGCATGACATGATATGAAATTCCTTTTACACTTAAACATTTGCTAATTACATTTAGTACTTTGGGCCTGATATAAAAAATATATTAAATAATAAATGTGTATGCTATTTAATAACTAACATAGTAATGTTAAACCCCTTTAACTTTTTTAATATCCAGAAGAATTGCATCCACCGTTGCTTTTAAGCACTCTGCCCCTATCAAAACGTTTTTGAGTAAATTGCAGTGAGGAATTACGTGTTGGTGGTTAAATTGAAAAGATTTAAGCTATATACTCATAACAAGACTAGGATCGAATCAAGTGCTGAATTTAATACTCGTGAAAGTTAGTTTATTAGACAAGGAATAGATCGAGCATCACTGTTTGCCTCAAATCACTATATGCAAAAAACCATACGCCATAACACTAAATATATAACCCACTTTAATTATACTGATATCATTATTACTCATTTACATTTGCAAATACTTCAAGAACTAAAATTTTTATAAATAAGCAACTATTTGAACATGTAAAAAAATCAAAGGTGCCTCGCTCAGTCCCCAAATATGACTAGGTTTACAGGTCAGACCACGAGAAGATGAAAGCACATCCTGACCCAAAAAATCATGTGGGACCTTCTTTTTTCTTTTTACTTTACTCAATCACATCTGGCCGTGTTAGCTGCCGTCTGCCTACAATACACAACAGAAACATCAATTAAGATACTACCAATCATTCAGGACTCCGTGTTAAGGTGGCGCTTTTTACGCTGTCAACGAATAATAGCTATTTTGAATCTGAGAGCAAAATATCTGATATTAATGTTATAATAATGAAAATTCGTCTTGATTCTCATTATGTTTTAGAAAGCTACAAAAAGATACAAACAGCTACATTTTCAAGAATGAAGTGGTTATTCTCCTGAAACTGTAGTTTTTTTTTATCGTATCTGTATATGTTCATACTAATGCAAAATTTGTATTACTGTTAGCTCAAGACGATTCAGATGATAGAATGAAAAAGCCCAAGGAAAACTCTGATGCCATTCTTTTATTCGAGCACTTAAGGAGATGCTGCATAATCATACTCTTTTAATGAAGGAAAAATCAATGTCTAGTTATTTTGGAAATAGTTAGCCACGTCGCTGACGCGGGAATTGTCTAGACCTCCGTATTTTTTTCAAACGTACTTTTTGAATCACGTGATGGTCTACACATAAGTCTTAACGTCGATTGACATGTCATAACGCCTAAACTTCATAGGATGATCGATTTTTGTTTTTTATAAAATGTACTTCACTATCATTAAAAGCTACTACTGACAACCAAATTACCGATAACGACGTTCATCCAAGGTGAAATCCTGAGATTTAAGACTTTGACAGTTTTCAACTTGAGTTTACAAAAAGCGTACCAAGTTTGGCTACAGAAAGCGAAAGCTACGCCGCATCCTATCTAACAACCATATGTTAGAATCATTAATTAAATGTTTTACCCTCAATAGTGTTCGTATTGGAACGAGTAAATGTATTATGAGTTTTTGAAGTAGAATGTTGGATTTATACATGTTTAAGTCATCACAGGTGATACGTGGTACGAGCCAAATAAGTTCTATTATGTAAGTAAGACACAATGATTGACTAAAATTACTTAAACAACTGGTAGGTGATCTACTTTCGAAGTGATCAATAGCAAAAGTGGGAAACTATAGGCATACACACACCAAACAATGTAGAGGGCAACTCTTTTTTTTTTTCAAACATTTAACAAGATTTGATTATCTACAAATAATAACTTGTCAACATATGTCCATCAGTCAACATAAAGCATATCTTTATTATATAACAAGACACACAATTATCTTGACATTGTGCCTTTTTTCTAAAAGTGACCTTGATGATTAAAAATATTGCGTGCGCACCGGTATGGCTATATAGATTTTGCCGTGATATTGGTCCCCTGAGGAATGGGACCAGCTGTCACAATGTAGTGCGACATGTTTATCCAGCTCATGGGCCCAGTAAGTTTTTTTTTTTACCCATCATTGAAGCATAAACCAGAAAAAAAACCATCTTTGCCAGGCACGGGTTCCCATTTCAATCTTGTTACTGACAAGTGAGGACACTGTACTATTGTAGTGAATTTCATCAAATTTAAGAAAGTGATTATTCCACCAGCTAACAATATGGAGTAATAAAAGGCTGTGGTTATAATCAGTCGAACAAAGGCGGGAGCCAAAAACATTTTTTTTCTTTGACAGTTTTTACACCCTATAAAAAAAAGAAGCTCTTGGAATATTTTTTTATTTCTTTTTAGCCTTTATTTTTTTTCATAAACGCGTTTTTTATAGATCAAAATGGCCTTGCGTGTACCCAAAAGCACCCTTCCTCAACTCTTTAAGGATGGTTACAAAGTAAAATAAGAATATGGACAGATGATGATGATGATGATATTAACCAAAAACATTGTAGTTTTCTCAAGGTGTAGAAGAAGCTGTTCTTCGTAACATTGACGCTACTCATGAACTTTCCGAAGTTGTCAGAACCTCCATGGGACCCAATGGTAATTTGAACAAGATTGAAATAGATTTATTGCGCCTGAGGCTGACCATCTTTTTTTACAACTACTAGGTCGTAACAAGATGATTATTAACCATCTCGAAAAACTTTTCGTTACTAACGATGCCGCTACTATTATTCGTGAACTTGATGTTGTTCATCCTGCTGCCAAACTTATGGTGATGGCTTCCCAACAACAAGAGAGTGAATTAGGTGATAACACCAACTTGGTCATTGTCTTTGCTGGTGAACTTTTGCAAAAGGCTGCTGATCTTTTAAAGCTTGGTCTTCATCCTTCTGAAGTAGTCCAAGGTTACGAATTAGCTAGAGATCGTGCCTTGGCCCTTCTTGAAGGTAAATTAGTTTTGGCATGAAAAAGAAGAAAAACTCATCCTTTTTTTAAAAAAAATTAATGTAGAATTATCTGTCAACAAGATTGAATCCATGACTGATCGTACTGAACTTTTAAAGACCATTAAGGCCACGATTTCTTCAAAGCAATATGGTTATGAGGAATTTTTGGGAGATTTGGTTGTTGAAGCTGCCTTGAACATTATGCCCAAGAATCCCAAGGATTTCAATGTGGACAATGTGCGTGTTGTGAAAGTGATGGGTTCCAGTATTCATGAATCGCGTGTAGTTCGTGGTATGGTATTTGGTCGTGAACCCGAAGGTTTGATCCAAAACGTGAAGCATGCTAAAATTGCCGTCTTTACCTGTCCCTTGGACATTACACAAACCGAGACCAAGGGAACCGTCTTGATCCATAACGCCCAAGAAATGTTGAACTTTAGCAAAGATGAAGAGAAGCAAGTCGAAAAGATCTTCCAAGATCTCGCTGAAGCTGGTGTCAAGGTTGTTGTTACCGGTAACGGTATTGGTGAGCTCGCACTTCATTACTTGAACAGATACAATATCATGGCTGTCAAGGTGCTTTCCAAGTTTGATTTACGTCGTCTCTGTCGTGTGATTGGAGCTACTGCTTTAGCTCGTTTAGGTACACCCATGGCTGAAGAGATGGGTGAATGTGATATTGTTGAGACTGTTGAGATTGGTTCTGATCGTGTTACTGTCTTCCGTCAAGAAGAATCCTCCAACCGTACAACCACCATTGTGATTCGTGGTGCTACACAAAACCATATGGATGATATTGAGCGTGCTATTGATGATGGTGTGAATGTCATTAAGGCTGCTACTCGTGATAACCGTCTTTTGGCTGGTGCTGGTGCTGTTGAGATGGAATTAAGTAAGCGTCTTCAATTGGTTGCTGCCAAGACACCTGGTTTGAACCAACATGCCATTAAGAAGTTTGCTGAAGCTCTTGAGATTGTTCCTCGTACTCTCTGTGAAAACGCCGGTTTAGAAGCTACCGCTGTTATCTCTCGTTTGTATGCTGCTCATTATCAAGAAGGCGATGCTGGATTATGTGTTGGTATTGATGTTGAGAATGAGGTGGATGGTACTTTGGATGCTGCCAAGGCAAATATCTTTGATTCTCTTGCCTCCAAGTACAGTGCATATAAATTAGCTGCCGACGCAGCGATAACTATTCTTCGTGTTGATCAAATCATCATGTCCAAGCCTGCTGGTGGCCCCAAGCCTCTCAAGAAGGAAGGTCATTGGGATGAGGAAGATTAAACACAATATAGTCTTGTATAAAAAAAAAAATTAAAATAAACCTCTTCTTTTTTTGTTCTTGTATCTATCAGTCAATTGCCCTTAAGCAGGATAAGCATAACAGGATGATTTCTCCGGTTGTAGCGGAGCCTTTTCGAGCTGATAAAAAAAAAGCTAGAGCCTATATATATATATACATTTTTTTTTTTTTTTTGTGTTCTTTCTCAAGTTGACTTTTCATTTTACATTATGTTTAGCGTGTTGCATTTAGTAGCTTATGGTGCTACAGGCCTTGCCTTTTGCTTTGTTATACTTAGTTTAGGTATAGTTTGACCTTGGACGGCGATTTCTTTTTAACAACAAAGCCTGCTAATTTTAACATGTTTTCATCTCGGGAAATGTAGCGTGTGGACTTTACTATCTTGCTGAATTGGTAAAGTAGCTATTTATGTTTATTTATGCAAGTATATACTTATTGTTTGTGCAGGTTGAAGAATATTCAGTATATACAAAAAAGGTCATTAAAGCAATGACAGCTGTACGTATTATATCGCAAGTATACTTTGATTTTCCTTGCTGAAAAAAAAAAAAAAAAAAAAAAAAAAAAACCAAACTGACGTGGGGTGATGCTTAAACAAACAAAACCAAAAAAATAAAAAGGTTATTATATCTTTACATGTTTTATTTTGGATCTTTGATCGTCTTCCATTTTTCTATTTAGCCTTTTCCATCTTATGTCACCTTGTATATAGTCTGAACCTGGAGACGTTCCCATTCATCAGTTTAACCAGTGTACCCTTTATTGGCAGTTGCAGTAAGTATCAGGAGAGATAAAAGTGGCTATGTATTAACGGCCCAAAAAAAAAAAGTTTTGGTGTTTGCCAATCACTTTTTGTGGTTTAGATACTTCACAAGCCATTATCGACCTTTTATGGATATCGCGGCGTTCTTTGGGTTGTGTGTATGGTTGGTCCCTTTTGCGTATTTTATTAGCTTGAGTGCAAATGATAATGCATTACCCACAAGTGGTAAGTGGTGAATTAAGAAATGAAAAGATAGAGAAATGATGATTATGTTTTATTAGATCCTGCATTTGACGCTATTCCCAATCAGCAAAAGCAAGGATTGATGAAAACGATGTTGAGCTATGTTGGTATCAAAGCACAAGAGACAACTAGTTTGGATACTTCTTTTGTGCCACCTCCTGCCCCTGTGGTGAACCCAGCCTATTCTGGGTATACTTCCTCGACCTCCAGTCAATATATGGCTCCCAACAGAGACCTTCAAAATAGAAAAGCGGCTTAACGTTACGCAGGATATACAAATAAGGCAAGGCAAAGGAGCTGCAATGCTAATAAGAATACTAGCCAATAATAAAAAAAAAGAAATTTTGCGTATAATTTACAAGTAGGAACCCAACAGAAAGTTTTTGGTTATTATTTTTGTGCAATTGTCCTTCCAGAATGATCCGTCAGAATTATTTTATGAATAGAGGACCCTCAAAGAAACAAGCATTGCATCTCAAAAACGTCGGCTTTGACAAGACGTTATCTTAATGTCGTACATGGATAAGTCTGTAAAATTGACTTTCTTATTGTATAAGGTGAAACGGTGAAACACAAACTAAAAAAGAAAGTTTTTTTTTTTTATTGTCAGCGTTATTTAGCCCATTTCTAATTTTTTTTTTTTTTTTTTTTTTTTGCATTTTTTTTTTATTGTTTTCTCCCCCACATACTATTATTATAAAGTTTAAAACATGGAGTCAGCTTATAAAGAAAGGTGAGGAACAATAAAGTTATGGACCATTCTTATGATGAGACATTGACTGGTGTATAGATTGAGATACTTTCAACTTGTTTTAAGTACGGAGGATGATTGCTTGAACGAACAATGGACACCTGTAATTGACATGAAGTCTTTTCGAGAAGCTTGTTTTCACGGTATATACATTTTTAAAAAAATTCCTATATACAAGACAGTTTAAACCAACGAATAACCAAAGGTATTCCTGATGAACCGGGCCTTCGTTCAACCGCTTGGAAAGTGCTTCTAGGCTATTTGCCACCTGACAAAAGAATGTGGGAAAGCACGTTAAAGGACAAACGATTAACCTACTATGCAAGTGAGCCAATACTTTTTTTTTGTGCTGTAGTTTAAGGCTAGAGATATTAACGTCTTTTTCAATGCTTTTATAGAATTGGGTCAAGGATTTATTAGAGGATCCATCAGAAGAACCACCCTCTGTGGATCATGTAAGTTTCTATTATTGTTCTACAATCCTTGAATAACTCAAAAAAAAAAAAAAAAAAATTGTTTTTTTAGCCGTTAAATGCTGAACGGGGATCTAAATGGGCATCATATTTCCATGATAATTCGATATTAGAACAAATTGATAAAGATGTACGACGTACTTTACCAGACTTTGCATTTTTTCAACTTCATGTGCCTATGAACCCACTAAACCCATTGTCACCCTCCTCCTTACCACCACCACCACCACCACCAGCAACAGTAAAAGAGCATGAGACCGATCCATTGCATGCAGTAGACGAAATATCTGAGCCCACCGTAACGAACAAGCCACGTCGATTTTCATTTGGTTTAATGGGTCGTCCTCGATCTTCTTCTGCTGCCTCTAAGAAATCTATGAAACTCACAGCCAGTACATCATCCAACCTACCTACCAACAGTACAACCACAAGAGCAAGATCTAATTCCAAGAGTTCGGTACGATCCTTTTCTTCAGGCATGCTGGAGACAGATATGATTTCCACACCACGTAATATTGTACGAAAGCTATCGACTGCCTTTACCAATAATAAGCCCAGTACATCTACACCTTTCGCACCTAAATTCGACTACAAAAAGAAGGTGGCAGAACCCATCTGTCCTTATATTTCATCCCGTCGAACCATCTTTCGACGTATAGCCCATTTAAATGAGGAAAGGATGGGAAACCGAGAACATCATCATGTAGAATTAAAGGGTCAACAAGCGATGGATGCAGATACACAAGTGATGGATTATCATTGGGAGGCGATTGAACGTATATTATTTATTTATGCCAAACTTAACCCGGGAGTAGGTTATGTGCAAGGCATGAACGAGATTCTGGCACCGATTTATTATGTGTTTGCAGCCAAAGCGGCGGATGATGATCCACCTTCACAAGCATATGCTGAAGCAGATTCATTCTTTGTATTTACGACATTAATGTCAGATGGTCGTGATCACTTTGTGAGGTCATTGGATTCGGATGCGAGTACAGGTATTCATGCCACATTATGGCGAATGAGTCAACGTCTGGCCTGGTTTGATAGGCCTTTATTTCGAGATTTGGGAAAGAAAGATATCAAGGAGCAATATTATGCATTCCGTTGGATTACTGTGCTTTGTTCGCAAGAATGGGACCTGCCTGATCTCATCCGTTTATGGGATTCTATTTTGGCTGATCGTGGAATGCAGGAAAAAGAGGGGGGGTTTGAATTCTTATTGGATTTCGCTGTCGCTATGCTTATGTAAGTACATCTTTTTTCAAATTTAGGGCACAAGGGGTAACTAAGAGAAAACCTTATTTTGTTATTGTATAAAGCTGTATACGTCAAGAACTCATTCAGGGCGATTTTGCTGATAATATGCGCATCTTGCAAGTAAAGTATTGTAAAAAAAAAAAAAAGGGAGAGAAACAAAGTTGTTATATTAATTGCCCTTAAATAGAATTATCCAATTGATGATATTCAGATTGTGTTAAATTCAGCTTATGCAATACGTGAAACACGATTAGAGGCAGTGGCTACGGGCAAGATTATACCTGGAGTCAATGACAGGCGGAGTAGTGGTATGTTTGATTACAGTGATACATCCTCTATTTCGTCTACTGGTTCTGGTAACCGGTTCCGTAAATTAAAGGATACAAGCGACATGGCGCGAGCCAGTTTAGATTCGTTACGTCGAGGCTCCAAGGAGTCCTTGGATGATTTGTTTAAGCGCGGATTGTCCTTAACCCGGAATGGCCTTGGTGAATCTGAAGTGGATAGGAAACGTGCATCTACAGGGGATATGATGACGCGTAGTCTATCACAAAAGCTTGGATTTGGAGCAGCAGCTAATCTGAAAGTAAAAAGAACATCGTCTGTGCGATCGCAACAGAGTGTAATAGAAGATCAAATTCATCGTGATTGGTTACTGGCGAACCAATTGAGCAATGGAAATGATCAACCACAACAACCACAACCACAACAACATTATCATACGCGACAGAATTCTATTAGTTCCAACTCCTTTATGAATAGATTCTCTCAATTCGTGTCAAGTAAGCCTGTGAGTCCTGTCATTAAGAAGAATGAAACCGATAAGAATACGCATGATACTGTGATTGGTAGAACAGCACAGCAAGCATATAGAGGCCTCGTTTAATACTATTATTTACTTATTTATCTGTATATTGTGATTTTTTTCTTTTTAATTAAATCTATTATTCTAATTAGAAACTCTGTCATGCATTACTACTGTTAAAAAATATGTGTCAGGGGTGGGAGAGATAACTTTTTAATTTGAAAACTTTTGGGTGGCAAAAAAAAAAGGTAAAGAGGGATCGTCCCCCTTTACCAGAAATTTACCCAACTCCTTGATCTCCACGTTTATTGATTAAATATTTATTTTACATGGTCATTTACAAAATGTTACTACTTTTATGCATTTCTGACAAATAAATCAAACATATATAAATACCCCAAGCTATGAACAATCAAAAAAAAATATTTCCAAATCATTCACATCTTTTCTTTTACCTCAACCACTACAATGAAGGTATAGCTAATTAGATATTTGCTTATTAGAGCGGCACTAATCTTTCTTATTCTAGCTTTCCACTATCACATCCACAATCCTCGGTGCTGCTCTCATGTTTGCCTCCAAGGCAGTAGCTGATGTTGACTTCTTTGACTATCCTGCACCCAATGCCGTATTCCGTACTGGCAAGACAGTTCAATTTGTTGTGGATGACATGCCCAGTGATGGTGATGACCGTGTCTATGCTGATTTGTTTACATCTGACGGAAGGTAATAAAACCCCATCTATGCACTCCTTGATTATTTTCTGACACTAAAATTTCTTATCCAATCAGATTCATCAAGACCATTCGTCGTTGGGAGGGAGATCACCATAACGACAACTTTGCTTTCAGCTGGACCATTGACCGTAGTATCAAGAGTGGTCGTTACTTTATTGAGTTATACTCGGAAGATGATGGTGATGATGATGATGTTAGCAGAAGTTTCATCTTTGAAGTTGAGGCTGCTCAACCCAATAAGCCCATGGGTGGTCGTAAGCCTCCTGTTCGTGGTGGTGGAAAGAGATTTTAAATCATTCTGCAAATCATTTTATTATTTTATCTTCATAATCCCTCATATCTCTCATCTTTTTTCATTACTCATTTGAAAACATAATCATTAAAAACCCAAACTAAATCATTTTATTACACACTTTTGGCTATCTACAGTTTTAGGCTGTGCACTAAAATCTTTTTTTGTGCAAGAGAGATGTAGATTGGGTTTAGTGTAACATCCTATGCGGACACAATCATATGAAGGGCAGCATAGTCAAATGTATATTATATATACATTTATGCTTATATTCTCATTCATATAAGAGCTTTATCAATTGGACTATAACTTCTATGTACAACCCGTAAAAAAGTGGAAAAAAATAAAATTATACAAATGATTTGACATTCGGTTATATAAACACCCGGATATATGTACTTTCCAACCTTAAATGATGGTTTATAAACCCTTCAAATTTTCACACACACACACACCTATCCCTTTTTTTTTGTAGAAACTTTAATGAATATTCATATTCTAGGAACAGGAGCCGTGGGCTGTCATATAGGCTCTGTGTTAAAAGCCCACCAAAATAAGGTGACATTACTACTTCGATCGACCCAACATGTCAATGACTTTGCTAGTCGTAATAACACCATTACTTATCGCAGCCAAGGCAAGACCAGTTTAGTCAGTGGATTCGAATCGGCCCATTTAGCGAGTGCCACGGATAACTCACCTATCGGATCCTTGGTGGTTGCTACTAAGGCCCATCATACATTACAAGCACTTTCACCCGTGGCCTCGCGTCTTAGTGCCACTAGTACCATCCTATTATTGCAAAATGGAATGGGTATAGCGGAAGAGCTCCAAGCCAAATTTTGGTCGAATGGTCAAGAATCACCTCGCATTTTGGTAGGTGTGAATCGACATGCGGTGGAACGCATGGGACCCTATGATATCTGTCATTATTCGGGTTATGAAGATGCTGATGGACTCATTATTGGTGAAATGCCTTCTTCCTCAGGTAATGTCAAGCATGAAGGAAAGTCTGAATTGCTGGAGACGATTACACATATCCCTGAATTTCAAGCCAAACAGTTGCCCTGGAAGGACGTTCGAGTTCAAATGCTCAAAAAACTGATTATCAACTCGTGTATTAATCCTGTGGCCTCTGTCTTGTTGACCAAGAATAAGGGTGTTTTGAGTGAAGGTGGATTGAATGTGATGCACAATGTGTGTGAAGAAGCCTATGCGGTTCTGAAAGATGAGCTGCCTGGTGAGACTATGGAATCCTTGATGGCACTTGTTTTACGCATTGCCGAATCAGCTGGAGAAAATAGTTGTTCGACTTTACAAGACGTACGTGGTCAAAGATTAACAGAGATTGATTATATCAATGGCTATATTTGTAAATTGGGAAAAGAAAGAGGTGTGCAAACACCTGTGAATCAAACGCTTGTCAATTTGATTCATGCTAAAGAAGTGTTGTACACACAATAGAATTATTAAAAATAGAATAAAATAAAAGCTGGGACCTTTTTTTCCTTTCTTTTTCATTTGAAACCATGTCAGTTGTATCACCGACTCACTTTGACGATAATACAGAAGACTTGCTTCAGCTGTTAACAAAAGCCTGGGATAATCCTTTAAAAGCAACCATTCTCGAGTCGAAATGGACACGCGATTATTTAACAAAACTCACTTCTTTACCTCTAGATGAACTATTACATGAACCAGCACAACTTTTAGAAGAACAAGCAAAAGCGAAGCGCGACGCACAACAGTTAGCATTTCGAGATTATCCTTCGTTTTTACACGCACAAACATGTCGTCATCAAGCAGAAGAAACACTGGACGGACTCGATGAGCATTTGGCTGAATTCGTGGCGTCCGTTCCCGACTTGCAACAAGCATGTGAAGCTTTTGGTGAGCACGCAAAGATACTAAAAGAAGAACGAGGCAAGATTACCAGCGTGCTGGAGCATCAGAATGTCTTGACCGACTTGCTAGAAATACCCCAAATGATGGAAACATGTGTTTGGAATGGCTATTATTCAGAAGCCATGGATTTAGCTTCTCATGTACGATTATTACAAGTACGATACCCACTTTCGGTTATTGGCAGTATTCAGCAACAAGTGCAAGCGTCTTCCGATCTGATGCTCGTTCAGTTGATATCGCATTTACGCAAACCGATTCGACTTGCAGCCGCCATGAACGTAGTGGGCTTTTTACGTCGTATGGATGTATTTGAAAGTGAGACTGAACTAAAGATGGTGTTTTTACGGTGTCGACATGATTTCCTGCAACAACGACTGGCGCGTGTGAAACGAGATATTGCATCAGACGATGCACGACAACAAAGTGTAGATGCCTTTGAGTACCTAAAACGGTTTGTGGATGTGATGCGAGAACAAATGTTTGAGATTGGTACACAATATATCTCCATCTTTTCCAATGGCGAACAAGGCACCTTATTATCGGATTACATGGTACATATCACTGGTTTAATCAGGGCGGCACTCAACACGTATCTGCCCATGATTGAAGATACCTCAGCTCTAGCCTCGTTATTAACACAGCTTCAATATTGCGGCCTTTCGCTGGGAAGAATCGGACTGGATTTCAGACATATCTTTGTTCATGCTTTTGAAGAAGCGGTACAACCCATGATCACTCGATGGATTGATGCAGCCACAGGTGATCTTTGTCAACGGATTGAAAAGGCTACAACAGAGGCATCCGCACCTAGCACCTGGATGTCATCCAAGCTCGTCTCGCAATCCAACGAAGTTCGACGTAATGCATTCCAACCTCCTATGCTGCTAGTAGGATATCCTTCTTTAGCCATATTCACCAACGGTATACTTTCAGCATTCAACGCATTACGTTTATTACCTGCTGTTAGTCTATTCGAACCTATTGCTCGTCATTTGGACGCTTGTTTTTTAGAAATTGCCAATGCTTTAAAGATTTATTCGGATCAAGCTGCTTCTCATATCCCGGATGAAGTCAGTTATTTGCAATCATTTGCAGCAGCGTATGCGAGATGCTGTGTACCTTATTTAAAGTCATGTTTGAATGATGGTATTTATGGAGATTTAAGATTGTCTGGTTACGAGAAGGAAGACGGGGAGGAGGATATGGAATTGGTGTTGGTCGATCATTTACCGGTGGTGAAAAAGGAGGTGACGGATGCTCAACAAACAGAAGAAAAGGAGTCCGATATTGTTAATTTAATCACACCTAATGAGGAACAAATGGACGTAGGTGTACCCGTGGAAAACGATGATGTGAAAAAACCTCTTGAGAATGAGACTCGTGAGGATAGACCTGCTGCCATCAATGAGGCTGCTGTTGTAAATGAACCTGTTGCAAGTAAATCTGTTGTAGAAACACCAGTTGCAGAAAGACCTGTCGTAGAAGGATCCGTCGTGAAATTATCTACTGCAGATAAATCTTCGGTAGACGAGCCTACGGTCGATAAGTCTTATTTAGAAGAGCATGTAGCAGTTGCAAAAAATTCCGCTGCAGAAAAGCCTACTGTTGTAGAAGAGCCTGCTGTAGAAGAGCCTGCTGTAGAAGAGCCTGCTGTAGAAGAGCCTGCTGTAGAAGAGCCTGCTGTAGAAGAGCCTGCTGTAGAAGAGCCTGCTGTAGAAGAGCCTGCTGTAGAAGAGCCTGCTGTAGAAGAGCCTGCTGTAGAAGAGCCTGCTGTAGAAGAAACCGCCGTAGAAGAAACCGCTGTAGAAGAGACGGCCGTTGAAGAGACTACTGTAGCTTTAGAAAAATCTGCTGTTGAAGATCATGTTTTAGAAGAACCTGCCGTAGAAGAGACTTCTGTAGCTGTAGAAGAAGTGCCAGTTGTAGAAACACCAGTTGTAGAAACACCAGTTGAAGAAACACCAGTTGAAGAAACACCAGTTGAAGAAACACCAGTTGAAGAAACACCAGTTGAAGAAACACCAGTTGAAGAAACAACAGCTCTGGAAACAACAGCCCTAGAAATACCGGCAGAAACACCCGCTGAAGAAACACCCGCTGAAGAAACACCCGCTGAAGAAACACCCGCTGAAGAAACACCCGCTGAAGAAACACCCGCTGAAGAAACACCCGCTGAAGAAACACCCGCTGAAGAAACACCCGCTGAAGAAACACCCGCTGAAGAAACACCCGCTGAAGAAACACCCGCTGAAGAAACACCCGTTGTAGAAACAACGGTTGTTAAAGATCTGGTTGTAGAATCTCCACGTACGGACGATCCTGCGGTTACAGATCATATGATAAAAGAGGCTTCTAGTGCAAAAGGGAATCAATCTGTAGAGAAATCCCAAGGTTTTGTAGCTGAAAGAGAAGATGTGAAAGAAGACACGCCTGTCAACGCAGCAGAAAGTGAACTAAAAAAGGAGCCACTAAAAAACGCCAATGATACGGCAAATAAGAATACAGAAGAGCCAGCAGCAGCAGAAGCAGCAGCCTCAATTACCGAACACACGGATGAAGAACATAAGGGGGAAGGGGGTGTCAAAGCCACACAAGAGAAAAAAGCACCTAAAAAGTCCAAAAAGCATAAAGGCAAGAAAGGAAGGCGCTGAACTTAAATAAACTTTTTTAAATAAATTACCTTTTTTTTTACTTTTTATACTTAATTTCTTTTTCGTATTATGGACCCGTTTGTTTGGCTGTTGCTGCTAAGTGCGGCCATGCTGGCTGGTAGTTACATTGCAGGCTCGTTGCCATTAACTACCAAATTATCCGAAAACAAGATTCGTTTATTTAATGCTCTTGGTGCTGGTTTATTGATTGGCACAAGTCTCATGGTGGTCATACCCGAAGGTGTTGAGACTATATACAATAGTAGAACGACGTTAGTTTCCAGTTTTGCCAACAAGGCCAATGTAGCTATACCTAACTGGACTTCTTCCGAGACACCAGAGCAATGGACTGAACAAGAGAACGCATTCGACATTGTGAAACGAACACCCACCCACGCAGAAGAGGAATTGATTGGAGGAGGAGAGCATACTGCTATTGGGTTAGCATTGATCATTGGATTCGCACTCATGTTTATCATTGATCAAGTGAGCTCACTTCATTTCGCCAACCCAATCCGAAGTGGTGGTGGTGTGGATTATACTGAATTGGGCACGGTGGGAGGAGGTAGTCTTGAAAACGAAGAGCATGGTGAAGAAGGACAACAACATGCACATCACATCACTGCTCAACCATCAATGACACCCACCGTGGGATTAATTGTGCATGCAGCAGCAGATGGTATTGCTTTAGGTGCCAGTGCCACGCATCCACAATTATCCATGGTTGTATTTCTAGCCATCATGCTCCATAAAGCACCTGCTTCCTTTGCTTTAACCTCTGTACTTTTGGCAGGAGGCTTGTCTCATACAACCATTCGCAAACATTTACTCTTGTTTTCACTGGCAGCGCCCGTTGGATCCATTGTGACATTTTTGACCCTTTACTTTTTTTCATCTGCTACTACCTCTGTAGCCAGTCTTGAATATTGGACAGGTGTACTGCTGGTGTTTTCAGGTGGTACTTTTCTTTATGTGGCGATGCATGCTTTACAAGAAGTAGCTCATTCATCTGATCACTCCGAAAAGACAAATAGAGTTCAATTGGTTGTAATTCTTGCTGGCATGCTTATTCCAATACTACTCAGCATGACACATTCTCATTAAGTCTTTCAATGTATTTTTTGTTTTGTTTTTCTTTTCTTTTTGTTTGTTTGTTTATCCTTGCCGAATATCATCCCCGTTACTGACCTTAATTAATCACACACACACACACATTTATAAACCTATTTTATCACTACCTCCCCCGTCTCCTTTTACACCTCCCTGATTTTTGATTTGTTTGATAAAAACTTGTTTCTTATTAATATGTTATACCCTTTGATAAACCATCTCTTCTATAGCCGTAATCTGTTCCTCGATTGACAAATGACTTGTATCCAGCACAACGGCATCGTCAGCTTTTTTTAGGGGAGCAATGGACCGAGTACGATCTGCTAAATCTCTCTCCTCTAAATCCCTCTCGACCTCATCCAGAGTCTCTTTCAGGCTGGCACCCTGTCTCCTCTTTAACTCATCGAATCGTCTTTGCGCACGAATACGTACATCTGCTACAATAAAGACTTTTAACTCTGCATTGGGCAAAATGACAGTACCGATATCTCTTCCATCCATCACCACACCTTTAATGATCTTGTCGTGTTTTATAAACCCGGTGGATTGAGCACCTGGGAGTTCTCCGTTTGCCATGGCCCGTTGTTGTTTCGCTAAAATGTTTCGCACATCAGGGTTGGAAGCTACCTGACTGATATTGCGAGTGATGTTGGAGTTGCGGATAAGATTACTGACGTTTTGGCCATCAAGTTCAACTTGACCAAGGGTAGGAAATTGGATCTTTGCATTTTGTGCTATTTCTGTCACCTTGTCCTTGTTGGCGATATTACTAGGATCGATCCCGCTCTGCTGACACTTTAAGGTCACCTAGGAAAAAATAAAAGTGTTTGCATGACAGTAATGAATTAGACTTAATGCCTAACTTACTGCCCGGAACATGGCACCTGAGTCAATGTAACCAAAACCAAGTTTCTTTGCTAAAAGTTTAGCTGTTGTACCTATAGTGCCCACCCGGTGGGAAAGAAAGGGTTGGCGTATTTACATTTTCATTTACTACACAATATGCTTACTCTTTCCCGAAGCACCGGGTCCATCGATGGCTACTCTAAACATTCGAGACATTGTTCATGAAAAGTAATATAATTTTTTTTTTTTTTAAGACAAGGCATATATTTTAAAGTTTTTCTTTTTTAAAGCGGAGTGAAACCTTAACCGAGTTTTTGGCAGCTAACATATAAGTCCACTGTATACGCCCAAAAAAAGGTATGTGTTTTCTCATTAAGTTGTTCTATTGTAAACTTTTTAAACTGTAATTATTGAAGTTTTTATTGTCAAAGCCGTGATGTATTATGAGAATTAAAACTAGGGCTAATCCATACTCTTTTTTTATATACTGAAATATTTAAGGAAGCGTATGCTAGAAGATTCCTTCTTTCTGTCACTTTACGTTAAATAAGGGTTCTAAAAAGCAATAAAACGCAACACATTATTATTTTAAGAAATTTTTTACAGATGTATACAGAGTAATATTGGAAATATTGTTATTTTATGATAAAAACCTAAAAAAAAGGAAAAAAACCAAAGATTATCAATGAAGCTTGGAACGGTTTGGTAACCAGAAATTTGAGGAAGAGAACCTACTTCTTTGAGCCAGTTTTTTTTTTTTTTTTACTTTGACCTTGATTGTTTGCTCTAGTATCTGCAGCGCTCTGAGCTCTGGCGGCAAAGGAGCCAGCACCAACAAATCTGTGATGTTTAGCTTGACTAGACTGGATGCGACTAGCATCTTTTTTGGTCATGAGTTTTTTTTGCATCCTACTGGAGAAAAGGTATCTAACAACAAGTTATAAAGTGATAATTTTTAAAACGTTCAGGTGGTAAAGCTTATGAACTTTTTTATTTTTGACGACCTGGCATTTAACAATCATCCAATCTTGATTAAATAAGAGGATAAAGCCCTTGCACATAATAAATTAGCTAACTAGTCTTGTATCCTAGTTAGGGGGTACTGACAGCCCTTTTGAAATATAACGTATGACACACTGGCAACATTGTTAAGCTTATAAAGATACAGTAGTAAATTTTAATGTCTCTGCAATGGTGTGGTTGTTTAAATGCATTCACAACAATGTCGGTTCTGGTATGATTTTGTGAAGCAGTATGTAAGATAAAACTTTTGTATTATTACTGTACAGAATTAAAAAAAAATGAAAGGTCATCATTAAAAGCTTGGCAAGGTTAGAGTATGCAGTGCAATGGGAAAGAGACCTAATTTTTTAAAGCAGTGTTGGTTTGACCTTTATTACCTTGATTAGCTTGAGTGTTTGTTCTGGTATCAACAGTGCTTTGAACTCTAACAGTAAAAGAACCGGGGCCAATATATCTGTAGTTTTTTGTTTGAGTAGATTGAATGCGACTCGAGTCTGCTTTGGTCATGATGATGGGTGTGATAAGAGTCAGTTGAAAAGTAAAGCTATCGAATAAATGGGTTGGTCTTATTCTGTCCCACAACATTGAAATAATTACCTGTTTGTATCAGACTATGAATCCTGAGTTTTCACACGCAGCAGCTGAACAGGTTTGGCTTATTATTTACTTATACGCCAAGATACGCCATTCATTGCATTAACTTGTCTGTAACATGTCAAATAAGTCCTCATTATCTAGTCGGTTGAGGCTTATTGATGTCGACCCAGTGGAGATAGCAAACTCAGATTCATTGACAACCTAATTAAACTAATTCATACTCCACAAGCTAATCCATCGTCTCTTGGAATCCTGTTACGGTTTTGTTATTAAACATGTTCAGACAACCTTTCTAAGCTATTAAAATGCATGCGTTGGTACATTTAGTTACATCCATAAAGACTCCTTATTGGTTTATTAAACAAACGTACTTACTAACTTAAAAAATAATGTTAAAACTTTTATAAATTTATGAAGTAACGAGATAATATTTTATTTATTTATTTTTTAAAGACAAAAAGAAAAGAAGCAAAAAGTTATCAATGAGACTTGGCGTATATTGAGTACGCAATATGATATGGAAAGAAAACTACTTCTTTGAACCAGTGTTAGCTTGACCTTGAGTACCTTGAGTGTTTGCTCTGGTATCAGCAGCGCTTTGAGCTCTGGCAGCAAAAGAACCAGCACCAACATCATGGTTGTTTTTGGCTTGAGAAGATTGGATACGACTAGCAGCAGATTTGTCCATTGGTTGGTTGGGCATTAGAAAGGTAAGAAGGAACAGTTAGAAAGTTGGAAAGTTGTGTTAAATAAGATTGGGTTAGAGTAATGCTTTTATACTTTTATTCACTCAGCATTTATCAATTACCAGTTTTAACTAGATCATACATGATGGGGTTCCCACACACAAAAATTGGAAAAGCTCGGCATTGGTGTTAGTTGGATTACTTTTTGCTGTAAACATGCTTACATCAAAATACGCCATTTTTTTATTTGTTTGTTTCTAGTATACGCTTAAATAACAAAAAGAAAATTAACTGATTATAAATCATTGCAAAGATGATCTTGATAATAAGTTAAGATGAATGCATTGGTAATTTTTATGATAAAAAAATATGATTGAATTGTAGGTCTAATGGAACCAATAAAATATAATGCTTTACTCATTATTCTCAAGTAAATCTGCGTGAGAAATCGAAATGCTGCAATTTTTTTTTTTGGGGCCCAGAATATAATAACAAGATTACTGCATGGTTTAAAACACGAAAACAATTGTAATTTTAGAAAAAGACTTGTTTATAAAACAAACATGAGTAGTGAAAATGATAAAATTTATTGCAATGAAACAAATCATAACTGTTTTTGTGAGGGAAATGAGGGCTAAGAGGAGGATGGATTATATGATTTATGAATTAAAATAAAGAATGTCTACATATGAAAATGTTGAAAGATGGAATGAAACAGATGATTTTTTATATAGAATATCCTGTCGAAGTGAATGGATTTACTTGGTAATCTCGTCTTCATAGTCTTCCCAACTCATGTAACCGAAATCATCACCATCACATTCGTCACACTCGTCACACTCATAGTAATCCTCATCATCAAAGTCATATTCATCATTATAGTCATCATAATCGTCGCTGTCACAGTGGCCAATGGAACCACCACCACAATGGCGGTGGCGAGGACGGTAATGGTGCTTGATCTCATCACCATCGTGGTAGTTTCGGTGGTTATGATGGTCGCACATTCTTCTTCTGCGTTCAATCAAAGAGGCTACTTTTCTACGAGATAAAGAGGTACGTTTAACTGGTAAAGCAGCTGCGTGAGCAGGACTACCAGAAGCTACAAGATTGTTACCGGTTGAAGCCTTTTCGGCGGAGACAGATGACATAACAACAGCGGCAATTAAACCCAAGGTGGCAAATCGAATAAACATCTTCATGATAATAATGGTAATAATAGAGTGGTTGTTATATCAATTGATAATAATAATAAAAAAAATTGATCAAGAAATGTATGCTCTTTAAATATGTTTTTTTCAATCTTCATGTTTGAAATTAAAGGAGTTTGCTGAAATGAGTATGTCGTGGGATTAAGGAGTTGGGGATCCAAAAGGTAGACATATCTCACTGCATATATGGAAATAAAACTAATTTTGTATGTGGTTCAGCTAATTAAAAGATGACTGTGAGCATGTTTCTGACGCTGTAATCAAAGCTTTCCTTCTCCACCCCCTTCGCTCTTTTTTTCCTTACATTCGAAGTATTTTATTCATCGCCCTCCCCTCTCCCTTGACACTTGGAGCAAAGAAAGTTTGAAAATGTGGGATCCTTCAACTTAAAAATCAAGGATTTTCGTATGTTTAATTTTATTTAAAATGTGGTTAATTTTTTTTTTTTTTTTTACACTACGTTGTAGATCTTCATGCAGTGCCATACCGAGGGATTCAAGTCCTGCAGTAGTTTTTTTTTTTTTTTTTTTTGTTCGACAAAGGGGGTGAAATTTTGGGATGGCCTATCTAGGCCTTTACCGCAATAAGAAATATATTAAAAAAAATCATTCCCGCTAACTGTCAATAAGGCGATCAAAAAGTATAGGAAGACATATAAAGTTTTTTTTTTTTGATAAGGCTAGAATTTATTACGATATTTTACATGATTTGTAAAGATGAAAAATTACATATTATGTACAAGTGTTTTACAGGGAGAAATAAAAGATTTAATCTTGAATCTTTTCTCTGGAGTATTCAGGCTCGGGATCGTTTCTGACCTTGCCTTGGGTATAGTCAGGATCAGGCTTGGTAGTATCTTCATTTTGGTTGGAGGTGGTAGAGAAGCCCCTGGCGTGAGGATCTTGGCTAGATGGCTTGCCCTCGGCATAGACGTCTTGAGGAGATTTACCTTGAGTGTTATTGTTGGGAGCGTTAGGCATTTTGTATTATTGTATCAGTTAATGAGATAATGTTGTCTTGTTTAATGAATTGACTCCCCTTTTATATATCTTGAACAGAGACATTGATGTATCATTCTGACGTAAATAAGGTGCTATTTTAACCTATGACATGACGAAATCCTTAACTGGATCTAAAATTATGTGCCATGGCTTCACAATGTTTCGATTGAGCTCTACTGAACTGTCGTAGAAACTTTTCAGAGAAAATCTTTGCAACTATGGGCTATTTACACCCATTGAGATATATAATTGGGATCTTCATTGAACTCATGCTTATTTTGCATATCAACCTTGACTTTGTGTGTCGCACTTACCTATAAATCAACTAAATTACAAGTGGCGCTCTTCTCAATGTCCGATTTGGATCCCCAATTAAAAAGAAAAAAAATGTAGACAAAAAATTAATAAAACCCTTCTAACCCCTCCACTAATAAGCAGCAGAGTTATGAAACAGAGATGACCCTCCATCTCAGTACAATTTTATCTTCTATATTACAATGATAGATTAATTTGCAAACAGCATTTCCCTTACATCTGAAAGAAAAGGAGGAGTTCCAATTGTTTTTTTTTTTTAGAGCAAAAAAAAAAAAAGTCAGACCTTTAGTTTGCACTGTGTAATTATTACGTCAAATGTGATGATGACAGGGGATTTTTATCATAACGAACAATTATGAACAAAATAGAGTGGCGGTTAATTAAATTATTATTTATGGAAACAAATATGTGCATCATGTAAAGTATGAATTAATGCAAAAGAGCTAAAGTAATTCTTTTTTGTTGTTATATGTGTAGACGACTCTCTGATTATTTGTATCAAATAACAGTATGAAGACTATTCATGTTTGTTCTAGTCTGCATAATTTTCAAAGTTTCATTGTATATTGTGGAGTGTTCCACTGTGAGTGAAATCCTCGTCGGCTACGCGCACCCCCTTATATCTTTGTCCCTTGAGCGTAATTCTTTATTTGTAAACAAATATAAGGCCTTTAAATGCATGTTTCAGTTTACCGTACTATTAGAATGTAACAGATATTTCAACTTAATGATACACTTGATGGTCTCACAATAATGTGATCGCTATTGTGTACGCATTGCAAAAGTTATTTAATTATTTATTGAAGCTTTGTGTTTCTCCATTATGCGCATTAAAGTGAGTAGCCTATCGACCTCTAAAAAATCCCGTTAGGTCATTATTAAAAACTTTATGCGGCGTTAATCCTGACTTGTTTATCAATCCTTCATTGCCGAGACCATAGTTTTACTTGCTTCGCCTTATGTCGGATCATATACTAAACTACACGTAGTTTTTAAAAAAAAATTAATTGAGTGTACGTCCTCCCAATATCCACGTTTACATGAATCCGACATTTTCTGCTGGTTTTCCTATATTAGCCCCATTTGCTCACTTGGTCATGACAGGTGATATTATATCTACGAATTGTCCAAAATCGTCTATCAAAAAAAAAACGCGGTCATTCCCTCTTTTTGTCGCATTCAGACCAAGTTAATAGTCTCCAGTTCTGACCCTCATATGGCATTGTTAAGCATCAATTAATTTTTATTTCTTGCTTTTCGGTGTCTACCTGTTTTACAGGTATCAATCCCCTTGTCTTCTATCTTCCAATTGGCAATGCTGAAAGTCGTCTCTCTTCGTTTGTCCTTGCTTAAATCTGTTATAGTCCAGCAGATTCGACAACCTATATTAAAATTTTTCATTTTGACGTTCTATTTACCATTCATTCTATCTCTAATTGTTGAAGATATTTCACTCGCAAGGAAATGGTTATCCTCCCTAGGTTGCCTGCGAAGTAGTTACAGACGATCCAGTCATGTTCAGTCCGTACTTTTACTTTCTTTGCTCGATATTTAACCTTCAGGATATGTCTTCGTGTACAAACTTCCCCTCATGCATAAAGATGCTAACGAGATTTTATTTCTTCAGACACTGGCTCAAAACAGTATCATGTTACTTCTCGTTTTAGTTTTATCTACTGTGGCTACGCAGCGATGTTAGGCCTTGTATGGCAAGCTTTAAATTTCTTTGTTAAGTCAAAATGTCTGGTATCAAGTGTTACAAAGGAAACTTTTTTGTGGTGAAGTATTTGTATTTATTCGAACCTGTCTGCTATCTGTGTAAAATCGGTACTCAGGTACAGATTTTATTTAAGCGTAGCCATGAGTGTGATGACGTGAACGATTATTTAAATGATTGGGTTGTATGGAGGTGTAGAAATGAAAATGGATAAATTGATGCTATTTTACTAATGGGGGTAAATGAGGCATTGTGGTTTGTCCTTCAGTCAAAGGCTCAATGGAAGTAATAACGGCTGGAATAAAGTAATCTTGTTATTTTTTTTTTTATTAACTGATATAATATATATTTGATGATGTGAGTATGATGATAGAATGGGGTTATTGTATAATTTCCTTGAAATGTGCCCAACTACTGGTATAATTGTAATAACTTCTTGACATTTTTTGCAATCATATTATTCGCTGTGGAAATTGAACTGCTAAACTTATAGGCGATTTCACTGACTGATCCACTCTTATTATCGCAGAAGGAAATTGCGCTCAATGTTCAAGCCAAAAGTAGTTGCATTTTACCTCTAAATTATTACTAAATCTTTGGATTTAAAAAACATTGAACTTTTTCACCAGAATTTAGACTTGCATTTATTTCATCCATTACTTTAATTATTGAGGACCACTCTTTTACATTGCATTTTTGTTTCATTATATTCTCATACTCTAATAAAAGATTATGGAAATCACTGAGTTGAATTATACCTTGATTGACTAATACTGCTTTGGCGAATATTTGTAAAATATGAGAACTGAGTTTAGAATTAGATGTTGATCCAACGCCGTAACCATCTTTATTTGGTAAATCGCAAAGAGTGAATACAGTTGCTGGCGACAAAGTACTACTGTCAAACTCTTGTAACGTAGATCTCCATAGAAAATATGATGAGCATTTACTGAAGCTCGATGTCACTTGTCTCAAACTTGATATATTCATGTGCAAAGGATTTAATTTGAAGGTCTTGAACATTTTGAAAAATTCTTCAACTTTTGATTTCATCAAGTATATTTTGCAGTTTGAGTCTGTAATTGAACCGTGGCCAAACTCTACACCTGGTCCGATGTTAATTTTTGGTTCAGTTGATATTTCAGCAGAGCAAGTAATTAGAAGGTTGATGGTTTTCGTTCCAATGATAAGCTTTAATTTCATAGCACCACCGTCCGATCTTTCATACGTTGTACAAGACATGCGATTTTTGTATCTGGAAAACTCCCCAGGAACAGAGAATTCAGCTGACTCAGAGTGAATATCCACCGAAGAGTGGCGACTGTACACTTCACAAGTAATAATCAGTAAAGTGATGCAATTATGAAGCAATGCACCACAGAATAAGGAGGGTATCAGTCCAATCAATTCGGATCTGAGTCTGAAATCATAGTTCAGTGTTTCAAGTGCGGGATCATCTATTTCTTGATACGGCCCCAGCTTTTGCAAAAAGTTTGGAATAGTTGAAGCGCGTACTGACATTTCAAGCTTTGCAGTGATGAAAGCATTGTCTTTCAATACTGGTTCAATTGTATAATTTGATGAGAAAGAAATTCTTCCGTTAAAAATACCAGACGTATTTTTTTATACCACTTACCGGGATTCTAGCCAGGACTAGCAGGCCAGTATAATCACAACCATTTACAGTGGCTACCCCTGCTATTTACAGTCTGTGAGTTCCAAAACTCAAGAACCCTGCCTAGGAGGTCGCCCTCCTATAGCAAAGACTAGCCGCAGCCGCAATATCGCAGTATATCTTTTTCGATTTAGTATCTTTTGAAAGAAACAAGAGTCATTACTAACTAACCTTTTTATGTTATCGGTTACTTTCATACGATAGAAAAAATATGTTAGGGAAAAAGAAAAGGAGAAGAATAAAGTGTGTGAACCAGCTTTATTTGTAGGCTGATAAACAAGAGCTTATGTCAGAATGATTTAATTATTTGTTTTATCATCCATAATATTTGGGCCTTTACTTAAAATAGGAACACGTGCAAAAACCTCCCAAGAAAATAGGAATTTGGTAGTTGTCTATTTGCTTCGCTATCGTTAAAAGCTACTACTGGAACGCAGATAGACAACTACCAAGTTCTGATTTGCTCAGGAGGTTTTGAAAATGTTTTATTTTAAGTAAAGGCTCAAACAATATGGATGGTTAAATAGACAAATGAAATTATCCTGTCATAAGCTTGTTTATCGGCCTACAAATAAAGCTGGTTCCCACACTTTATTCTTCCCTTTAACATACTTCTTCTATCGTATGAAAGTAACCGATAATGTAAAAAGGTTAGTAAGTAATGACTCTTGTTTCTTTCAAAAGACGCTGAATTGAAAAAGATATATTGCGATATTGCCAAAATTGTTGGATATTTTTCTTAAAAATCTCCTCTGGCTTGTTATTAATAACATCTGTTTCGAAACCTGTTTCACCAGTTGATTGATGTCTAGAAATTTCCCCTTTGAAGTCGCTCACCATACGCTTCCACTTTGGTTTTTGTTCCTCTGACGTGCGACTTCTTATATTCTGACCAAAAGCCTTTTCATTATGCCCTTGGTCTGTTTTAGTTTTTTCAAGAGAAGGTAAGTTCTTCTCGTAAATTTCGATTAACAGTAACTCTTCTTCATTGCGGAGACCATAGTTTTTACTTGCTTCGCCTTATGTCGGATCATATACTAAACTACACGTTTTTTTAAAAAAAATTGATTGAGTGTACGTCCTCCCAATATCCAAGTTCACATGAATCCGACATTTTCTGCTAGATTACCTATATTAGCCCCATTTACACACTTGGTCATAGAAGGTGATATTATATTTACGAGATGTCCCAAAAAAAAATCACGGACATTCTCTCTTTTTGTCGCATTTAGACCAAGTTAATAGTCTCCAGTTCTGACCCCCACATGGTATTGTTAAGCATCGATTGATTCTTATCTTTCTTGCTTTTCGGTGTCTTATCAGTCGTCAGCTAGATAGTTTAGTATACCTGTTTTACAGGTGTCAATCCCCTTGTCTTCTATCTTGCAATTGTCAATGCTGAAAGTCGCCTCTATTCGTTTATTCTTGCTTAAATCTGTTACAGTCCGGCAGATTTGACAACCTATATTAAAACATTTTCATATTGACGTGCTATACCATTCATTCTATATCTGATTGTTTAAGGTGCTTCACTCGCAAGGAAATGGTTATCCTCCCTAGGTTGCCTGCGAAGTAGTTACAGACAATCCAGCCATGTCCAGTCCGTACTTTTACTTTCTTTTTGCTCGGTATTTAACCTTCAGGATAAGTCTTCGTGTACAAACTTCCCTATTTCAGTGAAGAATGATGTAATATATCTTTCTTTAATTCAATTTTTCTTGCCAACTGAAAACGCAGAACCCGAAACTAAAAGCCCAAAAACGACCAAGTAAATCAGAAATTTAAAATTGAATATACACATGGAATTATTTTTATTATAATATGCAGAGGGAAATGCAAGCGATTATTTTCTTTAAATTAAGAAGAGGTGGTCTTTCTGTTTTTAGCATCAGGTAAGGATGCATCGTCGTTATCCTCGGATGAGTCCCTGGATCTCTTTAGTGAAGCGGCAAAGCTGGGAGGTAATTGAATATCTAAATCTATAAAAGAAAGGGGGGAAAAAAGGTGAGTTCGACATATCATAAACCAGTTTTTATAGCAACATTTACCATCGTAACCAGAACCACCTGTGGGAACAGACTCTTCAGAAGTTTGTGTAATATTATTCATTGTTGCCGCCCTTAAGGCTTCGGCTGTGTTGCTATAATCCACTGTCTTTTTGGGACCGTATAGTATTTGCCATTGTTCGTGTGTAATAAGCTCCATCTTGCCAGCTTCCTTTGTGATACCGTAAGCTTCGCCCTCAGTTTCACGAGAACAGCCAGGTAAAAAGCAATGCACGCTGGATAATCCGACGACACCAAGCTTAACATGAGGTATTTTTGTTTCGTCTCTAAGAATGATCCAAGCATTATTGTCATTCACCCATGAGACGGCAAAGGGCACCATATTTGGATAGACTTTTTCGATTGCGGTATTAGTAAATCCGGAAGGGATATTATGAAGGAAGAATTTGTTGGGATAAGTAACCAAGTTTACTTGTTCCTCGCCCTTCAAATCAATATAGGGTATATCAGATCGCATCAAATAGATTCGTCCATAATAAGGAGTTATAGCCTTATCCATAAAAATACTTGTAGCTTTATCACCTCCATTATCTTCATCGCTAGAGATCTCTCCATCTGATGATTCAGCGTCTGAGCTGTCATTCTTTTCTCCATCCTCTTTACTATCATCATCCACTTCACTCTTCTCTTCCTCATCATTGACATCATCATCATCCGATTCGCTTTCTTCTTCGGATTCACTTTCTTCCCCTGACGCCTCTGACAAACTTCTCTTTCGCTTGTTTGTGTGATTGATATCAGTGTCTTTCTCGCGGATAAATGCAATGAAGGCAAGATAAATGACACCTGTCATGTAAGCATCATAACCAGCTTCATGCTCGACGCCATTTCCATCACCAGTATATCTATCAAAGCCCTCTGCCATCACTATGTAAATACAATTAGTACCTTGAAAAAAACTAAAGGTGGGCATAAATAAAGTCACTTACCAACATCTTGACCGGATTCTTGAAGTTCGCTACTTACAGTATTGTATAATGAGCCAAGAACAGATGTATTGAAGCATGACTATTTGATGAATAACATGAGTTTCCACGATGAATTTAAAAAGCTGTAATTTTTAATTGATCTTACCTTCAGAACTGGATGGAATTCTGCTAAATATTTGGTATCGACGATATTGGGCCACATGCTATTTGCCACCTTTTTAAATTCTTGCACATCGTTAGGCAAGTATTGCCAGAACTGATCAATTGTATGAAATATGTCATACGCCGCGTTATGTGCAACTACAGGGCAGTTAGCTTTTTTGATTAAATCAATGACAGCGCGAAAGTTCAATTTTGGAGTCTAGAACGTTTAACAGTGTTAGTGGCCTTTATATTGAGTAAGAACAGAAAGCAAAAAACCTACATTAACTGTGCTTTGTCGCTTATCTTCTTCTTTTACGCGTGAAATCTCAAGATGTTTGCTATCTCTTGGAGATGCTTTAAGAAAGCCGTTGTATTTGGTATCCTGAATTTCTTGGTAAATTAGCTTTTTATAAAAGGCACTGTTCACTTGGATAATAAGAGGCTTTTCTGAGTTGCCTTCCAACCAATTGGCAATGGATTTTCTGTTATATTCTAAGAAGCTTTTACCAGATTTGGTGAGTGAGGCCTCTGTTTGGGTTGATGAAAAAGAAATTGTTAGGGGATAAGCTACTTTAGGGAAAGCGCAGTAATTTTTTTTTTTTTTTTTTTTTTTTTTTTTTTTTTTTTTTTTTTTTTTTTACCTGAAATGACAGAGCGTCTGTTAACCACGTTCGTGCCATGAGTTGACTGAAACATGGAGCTTTCCTCGGAGTAATTATAGAAGGGAATGCCTTCTTCAATGAGCTTGTTGAAGTCAAACTGATTTGATCTCAGAAAAGTCAAACTGCTGGGTGTGGCAGAAAATATTCTTCGGCTCTGTACTTCATTGGTATCAGCACCAAAGATATAAAAATTGAAAGGTTTAGCGATATAATCACCAGTGTCTGTATTTTTTTTGAAGGCACAGACACCGTACTGAATAATCGTAAACTCTTGAACACAGTTTTTGATTTTGCTGTATCTTACTGGGAGTTCGTCAGAGTTTTGGAATGATACATCGGGTGTTGTGAGGCCTTTTTTATATAAAAATATTAATCGATCTATTTTTTTTTTTTTTTTGCAAGTGACCAATTTTACCTGTAAATTCCGTATCGATGGCAATAAAATCAGCATTGCTCAGAGCCTCCTCAATGAGAGGCAAGTTCACTTCGAAATTGGATTTGAGAACTTCCATGTTGATTAGTGTACTGAGCAAAAGAACTTTTTTTTTTTTTTGTCAGAACTTTTGCTGTGTATGCGCTTATGTTAAATAGCAGTCACGTATTTGGCTGCGCACGAAAAAAGCAGAAGGGATTCTGGTAAAGGTGGTACAAATTATGCCATTTCCTCCACCTTTTGTTTGTTAAGTTAAATATAGTAACTATGGGTTTTTAAGGTCAAGGATTATACATGCTCCTCCATGTTTTCCCCTAAAATTTGGCTCCTGCTTTTATCTCTTTCGTTTGTACCTTTACCCGCTTAAAATTAGTAAAGAGTATTACCGAGGGATCGAAAACAGGTACAAAAACCATTAATTTCAAATTTGCTAAGGTTGTGTGATGAGAATTACAGATCAGCATGTCAGCAAGTTAAATATACTTTTCGTAGAAGCACCGGATCGGCTGAAAGCTAAAAAGAAAAGTAGGGCGTTTTTGTCGCATGATGTGACACTTGTGCGCAGAGTCCGTCTCTAAGTTATAGAACTGTATCGGAAATGCAACAATTATAAGAGAGACTATTTTTGCTTCTTTTGTAGACAAATTTTTATATATGACAGTTGTTGATTTGATTAAGAAAGAGTTTGAATCGATTCCCTAGGTTTTTTTCGACTGCAGAACTCCCTATATTCTAGATCACAACTGTTTATTAGGAGATGTTCTTTTAATAATACAAAAAAATTCTACTATTAAATGACCCCATGATCCTTCCATTTCAGCCATCCTATTCATATACAGCAATAAGCTTTGTTTGTGCTCAAGTGCATATTCTTAATATCAATTAACTCAAAGTTTAGATGCTAATTATTTATTTTTTTTTAGAAAAAAAAAAAGTAGAAAAAAAAAGTAAAAATAGTTAAAGAGAGAACAATGCAAGCTTACTGTATTAAAAGTTTCGAATCCTAAATATGTGAGACATACATTACTAGTGTTATTTGTCATTTGAAACAGATTAATTCCTTTTTATCCAGGGAGTCCTGATAAGCCTTTTTGATCGCATCAGAAATGCGGTAATTAGGAGTAGTCAACGCACGATGATATGTAAGTGTGTGTGTGTGTGTGTATGTTGAATAATGAAATCAATAATGTAATATACCCAGTCTTATTGCGACATACTTTTGGAATAAAAAAAGCTTCTTGGAAATGGTTCTACGCATATAGTTTAGAGTATGCATTTACTACCCTGGGGTTCTTTCTGAATTGACAAAAATCTAAATTCAGTGACAAGATTCTTTAAAGCTTAATTTAAGGGTCGTGCAAACTAAAGAGGACACTGAAAAAAAAAAGTATGGCATGTGTGTTGTAAACATGCTATTGTTTTCCATAAAGCCATAAGATCTTCCGTTAATTTCAGGAGGGCGATATAAGCCTCAACAAAACAAAGAAGTCAGCATTACGTTTAATAGGAGGTCATTACTCATAAAAGGAGAGAAATGTGATCGAGTTACAAAATAGACTTACTTGTCTTATACAAGGGACATTAAATTCAGAAAGGTGTTTTATAATAAATGAATATATTGGATTGACGCACAGATGTACCAGTGTCAATTGTCTTAATATAAAAAAAAAATTACATAAAATGTATCACTACTCCTTTATTTATTTTACTTTATTCTATATGTGCCAAGTGGGCCGATATTTACGTATGCTCACTAAAATGGATACTGTAAATGTAATGCCAAATACACTTTGCATCTTGAAAAGCGCACATATCAACACCATAAAGATGACATTTTGTACACTTTCTGTATTGATGAATTATGAGCGGCCTTATGGGATAAAATAGGTAATTAAAAACTCAGTTTTTTCTTTTTTTTTTTTTTCCCCCTGCATGTATTTACGAGTAATACAAAATAAACTGAGACATAAAATAAAAATATTTGCCTTCTCCCCATTTGAGTTATAGTAGCTTGAATAAACAACTATTAAAGATCACTGTTTTATTTTATTTTTTTCCTCTTTTCTCTCAATAGATCGTTTCCCTTTTTTTTTCTTTTCCCACTTTTAACTAATTCAAACCCATTTGTTTAATTTTTTTTTTTTTAATTAACACATATTCAACATTCTACCAAACAAATGCCCATCAATGCAACATTTCATGGATTTGTAGAGACTACTACAGACTCTCTCTTGCTTTTTGAAGCTTGTCATAGAGGTGTTTTACCAAAAATCAGTCGCCGGCTACAAGAAAGAGAAAGAGGATCAGTAAAATCGGGCACCGTTTTTATTTTCGACGAAAAAGAGTCTGGTAACCACTTAGCTGTAATAAAATTAAATTTTTTTTTTTAAATGTTTGTTATTTTTTTTTTAGGAATTAAAAGATGGACGGATGGCTTAATTTGGAGTCCTTCTCGAATTCTTGGGAATTTCCTTATTTACCGAGAGCTCGGCGGTCGTGAATCTTTAAATGAAAAGGCCCCAAACCATGACAACTATCTTCATAATGGATACAGTCACAATAATCCGTACATGTCTCAAAATCATCCACTGATATATGGAGAAAGCACTCAGGTAGAATCGGTGGACGGTGAATATGAAGATATGACCATTGAAGAGCGCAATAAAGAACGTAATCTGGTTGGGTCCCTCACTGATACTTATAAATTCAGAAAGGGCGGACTTATAAAGAAAACATTGAGCATTCAATTAAATGGTTGTACTCAACATTTGATTAGTTATTATACCAAAGAGGATGTACTCAAATGTAGATTATCAACACCCTCTTCTATATCTCAACTATCTTCATTACAAATATCCTCTGATTTACTCTTAAAACAAAGTTTTCGTGTACCGCCTTCCGTAGAATTTGCAGAACTCATGTTAAAACGGCCTAGTCTTTCACCTTCGTCTACAACCAGTTCATCTACCTGTCATTCTACTTCAACTGTTACTCATAATATTAAGCGATTGTCAACACACATGATTTCTCATCCTTACGCCATTCAAAAGGAGCAAGAAGAAGACGACGATCACTCTTTATGTAAGTTTATTTCTTTTTAAAGTTAACGCAAATCCTAAGTAAATTTCCCTTTTTGGCATTGCATATATAGATCATTCTCGAAGATTGGCTTTTGAGGCCCATTCCGGAGCAAGGAAATCTGCTCGTACAAGCATGGATAGCACAAGTGGGCACTCTAGGCGTTCCTCCTGTTTGAGCTATCCTCTAGTAGAAAGCCCAAGTCAGTCTAATTATGGAATACCCCCAATTTCAAACGATCCAAATGAGGTGTGTACCCCACGCTATTATGAAGGAAGGGATACAATCAATTCCTCACAAAATGGTTTCAGGTACGCGTACATTAGAAATTTAAATATGCATACCTACCAAAAACAGTTGTTCATGTTTTTTATGTAAATTAGGTCATCACCGTCTATAGATCGAAATACAGCCGTTACTGTTTATGACACAGGCTCATATCAAAATATTAATAATACGCCTCAGCCAACTTCCACTAGTTCTGCATTTGTTTCCGTGGTGGATTATGAACCATCGCAACGCCGTAATGCAAAACCTTACTCCCCTCCAAGCACTATGCCATCATCTGTATCACCTCCACTGAGAAACAATCGACAAAATAGTACTTCCTCTCCTCCTCCTCCTCCTCCTCCTCCCGCATTGAGTTACCAACAACAACGACTGCATAATATTCCAACAATCTCTATTCTATCATCCCCATCGTATCTTCAACAAGGCACAAATAATCTCTCCTCGCCACTTTTGTCCCCGTCTCGGTTTTTATGGTCAAGTAATCATACTACATCAACACCAGAGTCTTTGCCTTCGAATAGATCAACGACACCCCCTTCTTCGATGCTGACATCTAGTTACAACTCTAATACAAACTATAAACAAGAAACAATGCCAATTACTCTAAGAGAACCCCCTAACGTAGGGAACGAATCTTCTAGATACTTTAACAATAACAACCCTATGAACAGGTTAGCCACAAGTACTCCTTCATCATTCAATAATGGTACACAGCAACTCTATTATGAACAACCTTCTCGCTACAATAATAATAGTCATTACAATGATAACAACATCATGACCTCTCCAAATAGCAACACGGCTACACCAAAACAAGCTACCAGCAATAAAAATACCAGTTTTTATTAAAAAAAAAGGGGGGTGGGGACAAATTTTATGTATAAAAACAAATATGTAATTACACACACACACACACTTCTTTTTTTTTTTTTTTTTTTTTTTTTGAAAAGAATCCATGTTCTTGTTTTGTATTAATGTATAAAATATATATAATGGGGAGAAAAGGAAATGGCCCCAGTTTTACCTTTTTGCGAAAATGGGGATTTGGGAAATTAAGGTTTTTGTTTAACTCACCCTTTGATTCCCCTATCGTGGGTTATTCTCAATCGTCCAACATTTGCTTTAAATAGATTACAACGCTGCTATAGGCCTTGGATGTCAGATAAGGCAAATTAAGTCCCTTGCCCATAAGTGAACCACCAGACATGATTCCTTCATATACGGGCGTACGGGGATCGGTTTTCCAAATAGTGACAGTATAGACGGCATAAGGAATTAGACCACGTAACCGAACAGGGCGTAAGGGCAACCAAAATGGGCTGAATTGTCGGAACGCCAATACGATAGACTCGTCCCTTTTCTTACTATTTGTTTGGGTAACGGCCGTATAAGAGGATGGGGATGAAGCTAGCTTATTTACATTAGGTGGCACCACTAACCAATCTAGGTCTCCTTTCTGCACGATATGTTTAACACGTTTATATAATCTAATCCATTCTTTATAGTCTCCAAACTCGGATTGTGTGAGCTTGTTTAGATCGGAGCCAATACCTAACGCACCCATAAACGAGACATGAAATCGATAGGAAATAGGAATATTGGTAAAATAATCATCATTAGGGGATTCAGTAACCCAGCAACTCATCATTTCAGGTGGAATAACGAGCGAACTACCGTATTGGATCATTAAGCGAGCATCCGGTCGAGTGTTATCACTAGGCCAGCATGATTCTACCTTTTTTAAAATAGACATATCTGCCCTTCCGCCACCGCTACAACATGATTCGATCTGCACTGTACTACCAGCCATTTTAATAATCATCACAAGTGCATGAAACGACTTGACATGTGCGACCCACACTTCCTCGCCCAATCTTGAACCTGCTTCGGAAATAGGTCGATTCATATCCCATTTAACGTAGTCAACGCCCACCTCCTTAATGATGGCCAGCATACGTTCTGCCAAATAGTGTCTCACTTCGGGCTTAGTGATGTCGAGCACTAGTTGATTTCTCTCCAAATGCCGGGTACGTTCATAATAATGATACACCCAGTCAGGATGTTTACGGTACAAGTCTGAATCAGGATTTACCATTTCAGGCTCAAACCATAAACCGAACTTCATACCCAGACTATGAACATAATCCGCCAAGGGCTTCAACCCGTTAGGAAACTTTCTTGTGTCATGGTACCAGTCACCCAAACCCGCTTTATCTGAATTACGTTTGCGAAACCAACCATCGTCCAAAACAAATAACTCCGTTCCAAGAGAAGCAGCCTTTCTGGCAATCTCCATTTGGTTTGTGATGTTGACGTCGAAGCCATATGCTTCCCAGCCATTGTACAGTACAGGCGCCAATGTATCAGGTTCCGATATCAATTGCGTAACCTTGTTTTCACGTATATGATTAGTGATGGATTTTCTTGCACCCGACAATCCATCTGCAGTGTACCCAGCAACAAATACTGGTAGGTCAAATGAGGCCCGCATTAAGGAGCAACCAAAATCGCGACTGTTAATACCACCTGTTACAATGATATTTCCCTCGATATCCGTGTGAACTTCAATTTCCCAATTACCGCTCCATCCTAACGTTCCAAAATAAACTTCGCATTCACTATGTTCTCCATCGCTTGTGGTATCTTTGACGGCGAAATAAGGATAGGCTTGAGCGGATGGAATACCTCTTACAGACTGTAGTACGTGCGATGTGCCGGGTTGAAGTGAATGCTTTTGAACTTGAGTTTCAGCAGCCCAAGCACCCGCTAATGTAATCAACTCGCGGTGAGAGCTATTGGCTGGAGGAGGTATATGCCAGGCTGCTGTCAATGCCTTTGATATTTTGTAAGTGTTTAATGTTTCTGCAGCTATGATGGATGCTTGACGAACAATAAGATCATTTTCAATATCCAGGGTGTAAACCAATTGCACCTGGAAATTCTGGTGAATTCTGTCCAGCAAAAGGATTTTCAGCTCGTCATTTTCTACCTCGCCGCTCACGTAGGCCAGGTCCAAATCGCGTGTTCCGTTTTCAAACTTGGCTCTTAAAAGATCAGGACCGTACCTCAAACCACCAAAGACGGGAAATTCTTCGCGTGCTGCCGTAATAGCGGGATCTTGGGAGCTTCTTTCTTTGGGAAGCTCAATGGGGAGATTTATGTCCTTCATGGTAACTAGTCTAGGTCCCCAATGAAGATTTAAAAGGATACCCGTGTCCGGAACGACGCCCAATACATAAGAGGTATTTTTAGTGGTAAGAAACCATAGATGTTCTACATTGTGGTATGCAATGCCAGGCTTCAGAATTTGCATAGAGTGTCTCATTGGTAAGAAATGAAAAAAAAAAACTCTCTCTCTCTCTCTCTCTCTTTTTTTTAATCCGTTTATGTAAGTGTGTGCCAAACTTTTATTATAATTTAAACAGCGAGTCTATGTCGTTTTCTTTAATGTTGTAGGCAGCAGTTCATAACCTTGTTCTGCTTCATTTAATACTGCTGTACTATCACGTCTATTTGTCCATTTCTGAACAATTTCGGTGGCTTGATGAATAACGTCTATTTGGTGAACATTGTCTGCTGTATTCTCATCTACTCGATGTCGCTGGGCGGCCGGTAAGAGCTTTGGCCAATCCACGAAATCAGATCCATTTTGCTGGATATATAACCAGCATGTCACCACAATTGCAAATGCAAAAGCAAGACAGGATATATAAATGTGGGATGATTGTATGTTAAACAGATCAGGCGTGAACAATATCACCATAAATACTACAAGTGAAAACAGGAACAGTAATGGAACCAATCTGATGGCAATTGTTGATGGCGTAGCTTTAAAGGGACTATCTCCTATGTGGGAAGGAACCTTATAATTGCCAAGTATTAAGTCTATACCATCTTGTCTAGAACCATCCAAGTAGTTATTCTTGATGTATCGGATGGCCGAATTATTAAAATCGTTGATAAGACCGGTGCGAGTACGTTTGCCAGTCCTAGTGAAATCCGTTTTGAGAGCTCCTGTTCCAGAATAAGGAACACTAAGTGCATCAGCATTATCTGCCCACACTATTTCGAAAAAAAATTATTATTCGGCTTCCTTTACTTTTTTTGTGTATGATATGGGAGCTGGTTTTAGCAGACTTACTGTTTCTGAACAATTGCATGAATTGTTCATCGTTTTCAATTACTTCGGTAGATTGGAGCACACCTACTTCCCGTAATTGTCTGTTCAAGACCCATCGGCTTAATGTACTTTGAACCACATTTGTTCTATCTAAACAATCCATGCAGTTTGTGCGAATCATTGATGTCTGGGTTTTACGCAAAATTGGAGCGCTAGGATCAGTGGCATCATATACGCAATATCTAAAGGTAAATTCACTTTAACGTGTATCCTTTTCCATTTTACTTAACAAAACCTTACTCTTGTTTTCTTAATGCTGGTTCTAATTGATCCACTAATAATTGTACTCTATTCCATCTCATTTTTCTGCATTCGTGATGAAAATCAAAGTGAATATATGTCAAATTTGGATCATTCAATTCCTTTACAATTCCAGCGTATAATTGACCTACTGGATATTCATAACCCTTTGTGTTGACCAAATTGACCAGTATTTGTGGTCCATACAACCTAATTTGTTGGTCGAAATGAGCCCTGGAAGGACCGATTACCTTTTCATCGGCCAAATTTGCATTCAACCAAAGTTTAGGTGTATAACGTGTATTTGGTATCTGACCCCAAATGGCAGGTACACTTCCACGGGTTTGCACATAGGATAGACGGATCAAATTGTGTTGCTCTAAAGACTTGGGTGGATCACATAAAATAATCTGCTCTGTTTCAACAAAATTGGATGCAAATCCGTATTCATCAAGCCCACGAGAAAAGTATCGAGTACCTGCACGTTCTTGACTGCGTCGACTGATCAATGCAAATGTTACTGCTCTGTTGTTTATTACTGCTGGGTTCACAGATACGACTATTAAATAACGGCGTAAGCTTTTCTGTTTTTCTTCTTCCTCTTCTTCCTCTTCCCATGTTTCTCTATAATGAACTTACATCCTTGAATGACCGGGAGAATAAAAGAGCTGAACTATTTCCCGATAAAACAAAATATTTAGCCTTTATACATACCGTAAAATTAAATTATCTTACGTCCTGATTTGTTCTAGAGTCGCATGTAGCAATAATCATTTTTTCACATAGGAAACGATTCCAAAAGAATCGTGTATCGGCCTAAAATGAAAAAAAAAAAAAAAAAAAAAGATCAGATTAGAGAACCTGTTCCTTCCCGCAAAAAAAGAAAATATACCTCTCTCCAATCATTCGAATCTCTGGTCATTTCTGCTTGTCTTTGCACTGACAAAGTTATTTGGTACCTATGAGAGAAATAAAATGCATTTTGTTTTAAATGACTTTGCAAAAGGTGGATGTAAGCTTGTTCATCGTCTAATTGCTGATTTGAAAGACCGTTTGTGTTACGGGCGATAGGCAATATTTGGAAACTTGTTGCGCGCAAAATATCACAATTTTGCATAAGTGTGCCCACTCTTTGGCATCCTGTAATGACAATCATGTATTCACCTAGATTGACGATTAGTTTCACGAATTTAGTTTTAGTGGAAAGCACATGTCTTACCGGCTTGAAGTTGGATGAACCCCAATATGCCATATACAACTAATTCGCTCTCAATGTGCGCATTTTGTATAGGTGGTGCTATAAGAAATAATATGTGAGTAAGAGCAGGTACAAGTCGTGCATAATAAGACTCGGTTTAGAGTACCATTAAGTTGTAGTTGGCCTGACTCTCGGTAAACAGTTAATGTTTCGACGTTATCTAACACGGGACCTTCTTTCGCAGGTTCTAAGAGAGGAGTGAAGTGGTATTCTTCATTGGTTATACGGCTGCTGGTAGTGTCAGTAAGAAGGAAGGTGAGGGAATATTGTTTAGCTTACAGTCCTAATTGTTCGTAAAGCATGGTTAAAAGAAAAGGATAAGTATTTGGACGCCGTTTTTTTTTGGCTTGAAAAGTGTATTTGCGGACATCGTTTTTTTCCGGCCCGGTCTTTTTCTTTTTCGCTGTATGTTAATAAAGTGTATTCAACAATGGCTTCAATCAGTTCTACTTTAAGATATATTATATAGAGGATGTTAACAATATTCATAACGTGTACCCGAATGATCATTTTTTGTATTTAAAGGCTTGGAGTATCTAAGAATTGCTTTTGAATCGGTTACAGCCGGAAGGCCGAAATTGCCACTAATTTCTAGCTCTTTACGCTATTCCTAGCTGTATTTGGCACAACCATAAGCTCACTGTATCTTAGGTAACCACAAATAAGATAACCAAACTGAATACCATAATATAGACAGCTTCTTAATTTGCTTACTCCCTTGTAAGTTTCAAAACTTGATTTTGCTTGGACAATTTAGGTACATATTACTCCAATTTGGGATTAGTATGGTTGAAGTAATTACAATTTATGAGTTGTATGGACACGATGCTTTTGTATTATTTATTTTTTAACCTTTACGTGTCTCTTTTTGGCGCAAACTTTAGTTATGTACCATGCGATACTTTAAAATACAATTAAAAGCCTGTTAAAAGATTGTAGCGTTTAAAAATAAGGGAAAATGAGACAGATAATGACAATTATATATTTTAGGAAATAGTGTCTAGTTGAGATAACAACAACAATATAACGTGAATGCCTCTTAATTTGTTTTATACAAACTTATTATAAAAGAAGCCATGTTAACTACCACCACACCTCGAGTGAAGTGTACCGAGCTGTTTTCGAGATCGTATATCACAGTCATCCCTTTCAAATATATCCTGAAGATATACTCTTGGTAGTTCTTTTTATTATCAATTTTTCTTCTTGATGGACTTAGCACTTGCTTCCGTTTTTTACTGTAAATGTGAGAGAGAAAGTAATAAAATCGATTTTTATGTTGAGCTGTTAATGTTGCTACAAACATCAAAATTTGCCCCAATGATTTTACAAACTTGCTCAAAATGGCGAGGGAAGAAGAACACAGAACACCAACGTATGAACCATCGTTAGTTAGATGAATGCTCGAGACTTCAGCTTGTAATCCTGATATTTGAATTATTCAGGAACCAGACCTGTTGGATACAGTTGAATGAAAATATTTGGAAGCAAGCAATTGAACACATCCTTTCCTTCACGTAAAAACGTTTTGCAACTTCATGACATGACTTGTTTTGAAAGCATCTTGTACTGTGTAAAAATTCAAATTTCTGGAATAACCCCATCACACCAAGCATATTTTCTTACTCACATCTCTAAAACAATTTCAGCCATCACCCCTTAAAATCGGCGATATGAATTAATTTTTATCGTAACGTAAACAGTATATATGGGTTTATCGATACATATTAACATCCCTCTCGGTTGTACCATGTGACTCGATGGGGTTTTTGCGCTTAGTCATGTAAACTTAGACGGTAAAAATATTATGTTAGAACAGACTACTAGATGATATGCACTTCCATAAATACTAACTTATCTGATTCATTATTAAAGTAATAATTGTTACGAAGTTCTTTTTGATTTTAAGGTAAGAATAAAAATTTTATTATAATATTAAGGGTGATTATTAAAAGTACAAGGTTTAGGTATTTACAAAGTAGTGGGGAATCTTTTTTTTTCTTGAGAGATTTTAGCTTCCATAGGCGACGATTAATTCCTTGATGGATTCGATGGTACCAAAGACCAAACCAACAAGGCCAAGAAGAACAACAAGGAAACACCAGGCAAGTTCGTAAAAAGGCTTGTTACGTACACCCGTAAGCTTCAAATAAAAGACAACAGGGAAAATAAAGATCAAGGCACAATTGGCAAAAGAACCGATAAGAGACATTAATTCACCGAAATGAGGAACGACACATGCAATAACACCAATTACAACAATAGTGGCAATTCTGATACAAGCACGAATAATGAACTCCTTAACTTTGCCATATCTTTCGACAGTAATATTGCACATTTCTTCGATATCGAGAGAGAAGGATGTAGTCAAGATAGGAGCGGCCATTAATACGTGAAGAGTGATCACGACAATAGCAACCACTTGAGCGGCATTAGGAGGGATAGAATCGTAAATAGGACTTAAGACTCTTTGACCATAGACCAAATAACCAGAGATAGCAGTGACAAAGTACATGGCAGCACAAGTACTGAGACCAGCACCAACAGCCTTAGGCCAGTCGCGAGGATTTTTCATAGAGGCTTCAACATGAGGATAAACGACATTACCACCGAAACTGAAGGAGATAGTACTTAAAGCAATAGGGAACATATCCCAGACGACAGAGTTGTGTTGAACATCGATTTGATTGGGTTTATCGATGGCAGCCATAACTAAGACAATAAGAACAACAACAACGGTAGCAAGAGCACCAAAAGCACTCATCCATGCAACTTCTTTCATAGTCTTTACCAAAATGAAGGGAATGGCAACAATAACGCAACAAATGATAGTCCAAGGAACGTGACCAATTTCACCAGCAGTGCCTTCACAAAGCTGATTCAAATTAGTACCAGCAAGGACCATATAAAGAACAGGGGCACCCAAAAGAATCCAAGCATTAAAAAAGAATGTGACCCAACCACCAATAGGACCAAAAGCTGTGGTAGCAACTTCTTTGTAAGTAGTCAAACGAGCTTTACCATTGGCATAAAGACAGCGGATTAAAATGATACCGGTATAGACTGACATACTCCAAGACAAGAAGAGGATGAAAAGACCGATCCAACCACCTTGCTTTAAAGCAACAGGAAGACCGAGAGTACCAGTACCAGCAACAACACATACAATATTGAAATATGCCATCTTTGTTGAGCCAGCGTGTTCACGATTGATGTCAATGATGCCTTCATTGGCATATTCGAACTCGCGTTCACTTGCGACGTCGTTGACAGACTCTTGGAAATCGGTTTTCTTTTCGTTGAAAGAAGATGTCATATAAGTTAGAAGTAGGTTGTGTGTAAAAAAAAAGTGTTATTTGATGGATGCTAATAACAAAAAAAATATTGCTGTCTTTATATACTAATTTTCTGATTTTTTACCCTATCGAAAATCGGACCCAATGAAAATGATTATTACTGTATTTAGGCAAGGATAGCATTTGGAAAGTCATATGCTCCATTGAAGCTTATCTTGTTTAATACAAAAATAAATTTTATTGGACCATTTAATCCAGATTGATTTGTGTCACAGCCAATAAAATGCGTTCTCTTACTCTGTTTTCCATAGTTCTAAAAAAAAATTGACTATTAAAGTAACTGAATTACAAAGGCCGGTTATTGTGGCAAGACCTGTTACTTATCTTTGTATCATTCATATCTGCGAATCTTTTTTATTATATCTTTTTTTACTTTATCTTATCATTTGCACAACAACAACAAAAATATCACACAAAATCTAGTTCAAATCGGTTTTAATCGTTGAAATGAAGATTGAGTTTTCTCACGAATATAAAACATTGAATGTAACAAATGCCAAAAAGAGCGGGTTTTAAAGTCAAAAGAGGCAAAATCAAAAATACCAATGAACAGGTTTTTTTTTTCAAGGGGCGTTGAGATATGGAGCGGAATCACAAATGCTTCATATTGGGATCATCCCGTTACTGCAAATCAAGCATTAAATCGAATACTCACAAGTTAATACCATCACTAAAATGGAAGGCACTACCGAATTTATGAATGACATAGAAGCACTACATATTATAGCCGGTAAGGGACTTTTTCTAAGCTTAATAGTTTCTTGAATTTTCTCAAGATATATATGTTTCTTGTGTATCATTCTAAGAGCAGCCAGGGTTAATCCTCACTAATGTAGTAAAACCACAATAATGCTTCAATTAAAGTACAGGCTTTATAACTTATTGGCTTGAGCAGTAATTATTAATCTATTAGGCCATTAAATAAACATATATGGGGCATCGTATTCGATTTATACTAACAAGCTTAAGTTATATGTATGTTAACTATTGGTATGCATATCAATGATGCTGGTCGAGTTGCAACTGTCTGGATAGTTTAAACAGAAGTGCAATGACTCTTTTAGTTTGAATATAGGCTTGACAGTTTTCTGGGTAAATATGTTTTAAGGTTTCAATTTTAGGACGTTTAGATGCAGGCACTAACTTTAGGTGATACTCATGCGTGGCATTCTCTCAAAAACTTGTGGTTTGATATTCAAGGCATTTTTATTCGAGCTTAATATTGGATTAGAATAATATAATCGTACGTCACATGTAGTAATGCATTACTGATCCTTAATATACTACTTATTAAGTAATTCAGCACTCAAGAGATGAATCACCTAACTTTTTTTGTATTTATTCTTTATTACATAAGGGTGAGACACATCATCTATTGTGTAGAGATACTACGATCTTATGTAAGTATTAAGCTTACACTGTTGTAGTAAGATATTGGGATCCGTAAATAGGAACAAGCTTATGACAAGCTTGACAAATGTTAAGCAATAATGTATCATTATTTATCCGCTTCACCCGTAACAATAATTAAAATCGTGAAAATAACATAAGCTCTTCTTTTGGATCCACACGCCAGTGTTACCCAAATATAAATGGATCATGCTTAATCATATTTTTATAATGACTCAATAGCTACTAGACAGTTTGATTTGCTGCCTTCCACTGAGTTGTAAATTATCTTTTATTGGTACACCTCTCTAAGATACCGAGTTGAGAATGGAAACTAAAGAATATATGCTCTTTCTTCAGAAGACATTTTTTCGATAGAACAACAATAAACACCTGGCTATTTTCTAGGTGGATACGTGTGAGACAGCTTATTTGTATACTCCATAAAATATCTGACATTGTCAAAAGAAAGATTACAAATATCACTCCATAATATTTATCTATTGTGTACCCTGTTAGCGTTGTGTAAAATACTTTGTGGTCGATTTGATCGTATCACCAGTAGTCAGCTTAAAAAAGAGAATTATGCGTGAGAACAGCATAGTTAACTTATGTCTATTACGCACTCGGGTGACATAATAATTGCAAAATACGCAACGGAATGAATAAATGTTAACAGAAGGGGTGGTTAAGTTCTTTTTCGGGTGAATTCTAATATTTAAATGCTGAGGGTGGGCAGGTTTTATTCGTCATGTGCTTTATACTAACAAGCACTCCGACATAATAGGAAATTATACCATTGTTGTACAGTGAGAACGGTAAATTTTGTCACTTTGAGAATTCTGAATGTCCGTACCCGAAAAATAAATGTCACTTTCCAAAAAATTAATAACACTAAGCCAAAAATGATTATCCCTTTATGTTTTGAAATTTTGTGCTTTTGAAATAAAAGAAATGTCACAATAAGTTAAATCCAATTGACCTAGAAATGATATGTATTTTTTGTCTTCACTAAAAGTTGCTTGTGATTAAATGCAAAATGTTCACATACTAAAGCAGATTTTGAAAAAGGAAAGATGTACTGAGGATTCATCAATATATAATTTTGACATTAATAGATACCTATCCAACATTATCATAACCAATTTTCTAGCATGCCCTTGAACGTAGTTGCGTTAATCTAAAATCATTTTCTTGTCATCTTTATTTACAATAATATACATATACTTTTTATTTTTCTTCTGAATACCAATAACTTGTCATTAAACGTATTCTTAAGAGTTTTGTAGCTTTTTTAATTGGAAAAATATCCTTCACTCAAACCTTCATTGTAAAAAGCTTTCACATTCATCCGTTCGTGAGTTTTCATGTATTCTTCTCTAAACTCTCTTGAATGTTTTATGTCATCAGGTTGTGGTTCAGATGGCATTGGTGGTAGGTTACCAACGTATGCGCTTCTTTTTGGCATTTGAATATCTGGTGACAAATCCAATGACGTAGGAATCATATCAGAATCGTCAATTACCGGCCATTGATACTTGTGCAGGCAGGTCTCTGCATTATAACCCACCTGCACTTGCCAGAAATTTTCATTTTTTTTTTCATGCTCCCTTCACCTTAACCCGGTTAAAAAAGAGTCCAGAGCCAAAATCTGCTCTTTGAACTGGGATCAGGGCGAGGACACCCGAAGTTGAGGCTAAGGGGAATACAAAAGGATCCAATAAGGTAACTTGGAGGTAATCCCCAAATTCCCCCTTTATGGATTGGGCTTCATTGGGCACTTCAAGTATCCTTTTGAATTGTTTCTTTGTAATAGTAGAGTTGACAGTTTGACCGTGGCAGTTTCTAAACATTTTATTTTTTCATTTCTTTATTCGTGATAATAAAAATTTGAAAATAATTTACCTAACCTTTAGAAACAATATTCGGTACCGCCAACTTCAACGCCCCTTCAAGCTCAAGTGCTTCCACCCTCAACACCCTCGAATCTAGTAATCCTATTGACAATGATAGATCAAGAGGTCAAGATTGGAATAGGGCAGAAGAGTTACTGTTAATCGAAATTTACGAGAAGAACTTACCCTCTCTTGAAAAAATAAAACAGACCAAGAGCATAATGAAAAGGCTCTTGGTCAGAATATAAGAAGTCGCACGTCAGAGGAACAAAAACCAAAGTGGAAGCGTATGGTGAGCGACTTCAAAGGGGAACTTTCTAGACATCAATCAACTGGTGAAACAGGTTTCGAAACAGATGTTATTAATAACAAGCCAGAGGAGATTTTTAAGAAAAATATCCAACAACTTTGGCAATATCGCAATATATCTTTTTCGATTCAGCGTCTTTTGAAAGAAACAAGAGTCATTACTTACTAACCTTTTTACATTATCGGTTACTTTCATACGATAGAAGAAGTATGTTAAAGGGAAGAATAAAGTGTGGGAACCAGCTTTATTTGTAGGCTGATAAACAAGCTTATGTCAGGATAATTTCATTTGTCTATTTAACCATCCATATTGTTTGAGCCTTTACTTAAAATAAAACATTTTCATAACCTCCTGAGCAAATCGGAACTTGGTAGTTGTCTATCTGCGTTCCAGTAGTAGCTTTTAACGATAGCGAAGCAAATAGACAACTACCAAATTCCTATTTTCTTGGGAGGTTTTTGCAAGTGTTCCTATTTTAAGTAAAGGCCCAAATATTATGGATGATAAAACAAATAATTAAAGGGGTATTCTTGGCGCACCTACTGGCGCACCCAAATCGGGCTTTAAAGTATAATTCTTACGTAATATATTCATTTTGGGTGCGCGAAAGCAGTGCACCGAGCTATTACATAATATTTTTATTTTATGTGCGCGGAATGGGTGCGTCAAGCGAAGCATGCGCTATGGCAGATCGTATTTATGTCTTACTTAAATACAATAAGGCCTTCTTTAAAAATCACAGGTCCCACCATTATATTTATTTGAAATCTTATAAGATTGAAGCATATAATCAGTTTCACATAGATCAAGTTATTCCTTCATAGCATGCTTATGATAAAGATTAACAATTAGCAATACATATTTTACTGTTCGGCTACTTTGTTTTCACCAAACTGCTTTTAAACTAAGAAGATGTCATTGCTTTTTAGCTTTAATCCAACAGTAACGAATACCATGTTATGCTTTCTTTCATACTCATCGGCAATGGAACGCGAATGCACAATAATAGTAAAAGTACTTACGATTCCAAAGGTTTCGACCATTCGCGATTACTTTATTCTGTTACTTCAAAAATGTCCATTTTTTTGGTAGATGTAAATAGGACTAAAATTAAAAGAAGGGACCTCCTTGAGCAAAGTACTGTTGCTTATAAAATATAGTACAAATACGTTGTCCCTTTCTTGATGCACTCATTCCGCGCACATAAAATAAAAATATTATGTAATAGCTCGGTACACTGCTTTCGCGCACCCAAAATGAATATATTACCTAAGAATTATACTTTAAAGCCCGATTTGGGTGCGCCAGCAGGTGCGCCAAGAATACCCCTAATTAAATCATTCTGACATAAGCTCTTGTTTATCAGCCTACAAATAAAGCTGGTTCACACACTTTATTCTTCTCCTTTTCTTTTCCCCTAATATATTTTTTCTATCGTATGAAAGTAATCGATAACATAAAAAGGTTAGTTAGTAATGACTCTTGTTTCTTTCAAAAGATACTAAATCGAAAAAGATATGTTGCGATATTGCGGCTGCGGCTAGTCTTTGCTATAGGAGGGCGACCTCCTAGGCAGGGTTCTTGGGTTTTGGAACTCATAGACTGTAAATAGCAGGGGTTGCCACTGTGAATGGTTGTGATTATACTGGCCTGCTAGTCCTGGCTAGAATCCCGGTAAGTGGTATAAAAAAATACGTCTGGTATTTTTAACAGAAGAATTTCTTTCTCATCAAATTACAATCCAGTATTAAAAGACCATGCTTTCATCACTGCAAAGCTTGAAATGTCTGTACGCGCTACGACTAAATTCCAAAACTTTTGTAAAAGCTGGGGTCGTATCAAGAAATAGATGATACCGTACTTGAAACACTTATAATTAACTATGATTTCAGACTCAGATCCGAATTGATTGGACTGATACCATCTTTATTCTGTGGTGCATTGCTTCATGATTGCATCACTTTACTGATTATTACTTGTGAAGTGTACAGTCGCCACTCTTCGGTGGATATTCACTCTGAGTCAGCTGAATTCTCTGTTCCTGGGGAGTCCTCCAGATACAAAAATCGCATGTCTTGTACAACATATGAAAGATCGGACGGAGGTGCTATAAAATTGAAGCTTATCATTGGAACGAAAACCATCAACCTTCTAATTACTTGCTCTGCTGAAATATCAACTGAACCAAAAATCAACATCGGACCAGGTGTAGAGTTTGGCCACGGTTCAATTACAGACTCAAATTGCAAAATATACTTGATGAATTTAAAAGTTGAAGAATTTTTGAAAATGTTTGAGACCTTACACATCAATTAATATATCAAGTTTGAGACAAGTGACAGCGAGTTTCAGCAAATGCTCATCGTATTTGCTGTCTTAAGAATAATTAAGCAAATCGTTTAAATAAATAAACTATGAAATTAAAACAGCCTTTGATAAATACAACTTCTCCTACTACGATTACATACTTTTATATTAAAGAGTGCATGATTGGCCTAAATACGATATACGAATGACAGTTGGATATAGAATGTTATACCACTGAGTTACGATATCACCGATCGAGAAGAGAATCTTCTCAGATCAAATCAAGAATTATTGAAAAGAGAAACTTAATTATTAATATTAATAGTTCTCTCACCAAACAACGTAGAAAACCCTCAATTTAGGTATATACATATGTACACATGTGTTTGTGTGTGAATTTTTTGTAACTGCTTTGAAAATTGATGTAAAGTATAACATTTTATAAAATGAATAGATGCAGTCTTTCCATTACATAAATGTTTATGTATTTTACAACTTACTTTATATTTCAACTCTTTTAATTCTGAAATAAAGTAGAAATATACTCATTTGTTCCTACATACAATTTTACATAATCGATTATCACTATTTTTTTTTGAGTTTGTGGGGGGTTTTTTTTATTACGTTTTGTATTATTGTATACGCGATATACAACGGTGAAGCTTCTTGGTACAGCAATATAGAATTTTTAAATGTGACTGTTCACCTGTCATATTTTGCTCATAACCCCCGGGGCTTTTTCTTTTTTTTTAACTGTTGTACCTATATTTATATAAACATAACTACCATGAGTTTATCCATGCTTCGTCCTCAAGTTGGACTTTTAAATAGACAACCTCACCTTGCGACAAGAATTGTGTTCCAACAGTTGCCCAGAGCTGCTGTCACCTTGGGCATCCGTTCTTATGCCACAAACCAAGGCAAACAAATCTTATTACGTGATCATGGTGTCTTTGGTAAGAGCCTTCTTACGCATTACTTTATGTAGCTAACTTGCCCTTCCATTAGCCAATTACGTTCCTCCTGAGAAAACCCCCTCCATTACAGACTTCACCAACTGGCGTTTGACCAAATGGCGCAACTTGAAAAACAGTGTTCAGAACTTATTGAGGTAAAATAATAATAATTGGGGTTATAATAGGGAAACGGGCCGTTGAATGTTTTTGATTTAGTATGGGTTTGATCAAACACAAGTCTCAATTCGACAAATGGAACTCTGGCAAATTTCTTTCAGAGGCCGAGGAAACGTACAAAGATATGAATGATGCATTTGCCAGGTAAAATTATTTCTGCATGAAAAAAAAAAAAAAAAAATTAATATTATTATTAGAGGTGATCGTCAGATTTTGGAAGAAGTTTGTTTGGATGCCATGTATTCTGTAAGTAATTATTTTGGGGAAAAGGGAGAAGAGATAAGAGGATTATGCAAGAAACTCATGCCGAAAAAAAAAAATTATAGAGCTTAAAGAATCAATTGAAAACTCGTAATAATGTTCGTTGGGAATGGAAATATCACGGTGAAGTTCAACAACCCAAAATTGTGTGTGTTCGTTGTGTTGGTACAACTGGTTTAAGTAAGCACGGTTTTGCTGTTGCTCAAGTCACTGTAAAGATGGTCACCAAACAGGTTCGTTAAATATCTATATGAGTCATAATGGTATATTAAATATATGATATTGTTGATAGTCCATGGCAGTGTTCGACAAGAAGAACAGACTTGTTGGTGGAGATCCCAACAAGATTCACAACGTTTCAGAATATGTTGTCTTCCAAAAGACCATTTCTGATCCTGAGGATATTTGGAGAGTTTATGGAAAAATTGCTGCACCCGAGAAGTTGGTTAAAAAGGATTAGAGAGAAAAATAAAGAGTTTTAGAGCTTTGTAATTGATTATTAAGATTTATTTTAAAATATGTTGCCACATGACTAATCTAATGAATATTGTATAATTGTTTAAGTTGGACAAGCGCAGTTTTTCCCCATGCCTTGTGAACTTTGGCTTCAGGATGGTAAGAGTCAAAGAAAAAGTGCTTTTCAGGATCGTCACAGATAGCAGTAGTATTACCAATTCCCCAATCGCAAGGACCATTGCTAGTAGACAATCCCAATTTTTCTGGATGTGCCAATTGCTCCAAAAACCAACCATGAGTGTCAATAAATTTAAGGTCAACCCCATGAATCTTTTTCTTGAGCTCGGATGTAACCAACGCATTGTAAGAGGTAATCAGCTTATTGGTTCTAGCCTTGTCCGCTGCTTGGATGACGGGCCAATGATCAAAAGGTGGAACACTCATAAATAAAAACTTCTTGGCCTTGTATTTCTTGATAATAGCTTTCACGCTATCCACCACATTTTTAGCAATAACCTCCTTGGATAAGTGCTTGTTTACCACATTGTATTGATCAGGGTTAATAATGGCATTCAAATCGTTATAGCCTATTTCAATAATGTACAAAGACTTGGGTGTTCCGTGAGTCTTGATAGTAGCCACTTGCTGCTTGAGACCAGGTACAGTCCAATTATTGAAGGCAGAGTATACATCTTCGTTGTTTGTGGTGGCTCCACCGTGACCATTGTTAACAAAAGGAATAGAAATTGCTTTGGCTACATGTTCTGCCCATGTAGGTCCATTGGAGAATCTTCCTTTCCAATAGGGAGGAGAAGGAGGGAACTTGCTACCGCGATAATCATTGCCGTTATCTGAGAAACTGTCAGCGTATAAAACAATGCGGTCAATCGAAGCTACAGCACTAGTAGCAGACAGGGCAATAAGAGATGCAATAATAGAAAGACGCATTCTTGAAAGCGAAAATAGTATAGCAATTAGAATATGTTTTGTTTTTGACCCCTTTTTATATCGATTTTCATGTCTATCGCCAGCCTCATTTTCATCTATTACACAACATGTGTTGACAAGAGGAGGCACCAAGTTAGGATGTTTGTGGAACAAATGACAAATGGCTTATTCATAAACAACAATGATGCAATGTATTGATCGATCAAATTGAATACTTTAGCCATCTCTATAATTTGTTTATTGCGCGAAAATCAATTTGTAATCACGGGTGTTTTTATTTGTACCAAGGATCAGCATTTAGCCTTTGCTGATTGATGAAGTGAATTTTTTTTTTTTTTTTTTTGGCTTACCTATTCTGGTAGTGTATAAATGTATTTACTTCATCTCAAAAGAAGTCTTGTATTATTAGCTTGTTTGATGCCATTTTATTTACAGATTATCGAAATACAGCCTATGGATTGTACTTTTATTTAAATTCAAAGTAGGTAAACACGGGAACAAAGGGCTATGTAGGTGATAAAACCAGTAAAATAAACAGTACTTTATATCAGTTTATGTGTAAACAGGAACATTCCGCGCATGTAAAAAACCTGACTGTGAATACTTGTTAAAATTTACTACCCGTAATCTTTACGATACAAAGAATAAGCGCTGTTAATTTGTGTAGTACGATCAAACAGCATTTTACATTGTATAGCTGATGGAGCCACAGATGCTGTGAAGTATAAAGACTTTGTCTCTATGATTATTAAGAATGAAGAATATCATGATGTCTATACAAGCACTGGGATAAGACTTGCAGCTTGTTTTTGTATAACAGTATTAAAGGCTAGATAGCACTGAAACACCCGCTCTAATTGAAACTGCACCATTTTGAGCGACTCCAATTTTGGATCATTGTCAAAAGAAAGAGACAGGACATGAATCATGTTGTGTTATGTTTCATGTAGACATAATACATTACACCATGTATTTATCATTGTAGTTTCAAACTTTGCGTGAACACGAGTTAAGCAGGCTAATTGCCATTCTCGTTATCTCGGGTGTCATAAAAAAGCATATATATACAAAAACATTCTGTACATTTTATGCCTAACATATGCTTGTAATTGGATATCCCTTTTTCATCTTCTGTTTTTTATGGCACCAGCACTAATAAATGATTGTTGAACCTTGTTTTGCATATACAATTCTTCTAGGAGAGACAGACAGATGTAATAACCCTTGCTGGTACATCAAAAAAGATATGATGATTTTTGTTAGCGGGATCTTTACTCTTATAACAAACAATGATATAAAAAATAAAAACATAGATATTGGTGTACAAACCCACAATCTCTACGGAAGCACTGAGAATTATGAAAGGAAAAAGTGTATTTCATTACCAACAGTATTTAATAGGTGCAACATTGTAGGCTATTAACAAAATAATCTTTAGATAATTGGTTATTGGAGTGTGTGCAAGTATATAGAAAATGATCTCATAGCTTTAGTCATCAACTTGACACATACCTCACGAAAGTGTCCACTTGAGATTCACAAGTTTAAGCGCCCCGTTTTTCTTTGACTATCTAAGAAAGAAAGTATTGTTTACTTGCCGTCTTACCGATTGTACGTGGCACTTTATTTTGTCTTACCGTAGAACAAGAAAAGAATCGCAAAATTTGATTGCGATAGACACATTTTCGATAATATAGCAGTTTCAGAAGCAGAACTCCTAAAAGAAGAATTTTCTCTCGCTTTTACCACAGAATTCAATGACTGTTCTATTAAACCAGATGCGCTATACTGTTTGATATATATAAAGGCACGTAAACAAAACAGCGATCGCTAATTTTTTAATGCGGCAGATGTTGAACGTGTAAACCAGATCAGTTTCTATTCTTGTAAAAAGCCTACACACATTGCGTTGCTAAAAGTGATAAATCTATTTGATTCATCCTTTAACAATCTACGAAATGGTAACCGTAAGATACACCAAGATATGCTAAGCATGTGTCACATAGAAGACTGAAGACTTCAAAAAAAAAAGAAAAAAAGGCATCCCAATAAGTAAATTTAACATTTTGCTCCCGTGCATATATGTTTTCTCGTGACCGAACCGTACACGAATAAATAAGAGTTATAGGTTTTCTTTGTTTCTTTTCTTGTTTACATTAAACAATATGCCACCTTTCAATGACCGTACGATAAAAAAAGCCATACCATTGTCACTCTTGGTATTCTTCATCATTCTAGTGAATTTTATAATCATCTACCGATACACAGGGCCCTATGAAGAGCCCGAACTTGCTACTCCACCTGCGGATGAAGAACCAGAGATACCTCCCTATAATGCACCACAGTATGGACTTGAGTTTGTCAGGCCGAAAGAAAGAAAATTCGTCAGCCCTGTCTTAGAAAAATATATAAAATCTCTGGAATTAAAAATGAAGGACAAGGACCTATATATTTTACTGCAAAATTGTCTCCCAAATACCTTGGATACCACGGTCGAATGGTTTAACGAGGATAAAAGTGACCCTCGTACATTTTTAATAACGGGAGATAGTAAGTTGATCCATGTTAAGCACTGAGGTTTGTGTCTTAACGAGTATTTTTTATTTATTTTTTTATTTTTTTGTAGTTCCTGCCATGTGGATTCGAGATTCAGCAAACCAAATTGCACCCTACTTGCGATTCATCAATGAGGATGAAAAGTTACGCGACTTGGTTTTCGGTGTAATTCAAGTCCAAGCAAGCTACTTGCATTATGATCCTTATGCAAATGCTTTTATGAGACCGTGGTACGCACCCAAAAAAGAAGGCAGAAAGGCATCGAATACTGACAATGTCATACCAGCCTATAACCCCGAATTTGTATGGGAATCAAAGGTAAAAAAAAAAATATGGAGAATCCCAAACTTTTTAAACTCACAAAAACAAATAACAGTATGAATTGGACTCAATCGGGCATTTTTTACAATTAACAAATGACTATATTGATACCACAGGTGATATCGAACGAGTGGTAACATCTGAAGATTGGTTAAGAGCTATACCACGTATATTTACGGTGCTTGAAGATCAAATGCAAAGTACATGGCCAGCACCGAAATTCTCTTTAAAGGCTTCGGCCAAGAAAATAAATGATCCAGAGCCGGTATCTTTGGCGCGAGGTTATAGATTCAGACGATATACTGATCGACCTACCGAAACGCTCGGAGAATATGGACTCGGTGGTATCACGAAGAAGTGTGGGTTAATCCGTAGTGCTTTTAGACCAAGCGATGATGCCACTACGTTTCCTTATTTAGTAAGTGGTGTTTCTTTTATTTATAGGTTCATTTTGCTTAGCTTTTCTTTTTTTTTTTATTATTATTGCTGCAGATTCCTTCAAATGCACAACTGTCAGTACAGCTGATAAAATTAAGCAAGCATATCCAGGTTTTTTTGGAAAGTAAGAATGAGACACGGTCAGAATTTAATATGCAACAAGACATACATTTTAGCTCTAAAGAATTGGGGGAAACTATACGAGAGGCTATTTATGAGCATGCAGTCGTTAAACATGCGGTTTTTGGAGAGGTATTTGCTTTTGAAGTTGATTGTTTTGGATCACAATTGCTGATGGATGATGCCAATACACCGTCATTGCTAAGCTTACCAGTCCTTGGGTTCCTTGAAAAAAACGACACGATCTATCGTAATACAAGAGATATGATTTTATCCGAATGGAATCCTTGGTATTTTAAAGGGAAATTTGCCAAAGGTATTGGAGGACCCCACACAGGACAAGATATGGTTTGGCCCATGAGTTTATTAATGCAAATCCAAACTTCCACCAATGAATCGGAAGTAAGACAATTAGTGGATGTCTTAAAGCGAATGGCTAAAAAGACTGGGAATTTGATGTGTGAATCGTTTGACGTCAATAAGCCTACTGTGTTCACTCGCTCATGGTTTAGTTGGGCAAATGGGCTGGCTGGCACCACAATTTTACAGATCATACAGGATTATCCCCATTTAGCTTAAATCTGTCACACCCACTAAAACAAGTGGACAACCAAAAAAAATAAACCTTTTTTTATTTATATTTTTTTATTCTTAATTCTTCTCTTTTCTTCAATGTACAAGTAAAGAATGTTTGAATCCAGGAGTAGCAGCAAATTACCCTTCTTCAAAAGCTACACAAAAAAGTCAGCTAAACAAAAACAAAAATGGTTCGTTGTAGGCCTCATAGTCACCCTTCTTTTGGTAGGACGTTGGTACAAGACTTCTTCCAGCAAACCGAAAAACCATATTTATTCCCCCAATGCTTCTAATTTGCCTTATTCTAATAATCTTGAAGTCATTTTAAAACCACCTGCTACGTCTGAAGCAAGAGACTTTAAAGAACTTACGATGGCTCGTGAAACAAAACTAGTGGCGGTGGGTGATCGCATTCCAAAGATTGTGCACTTTGTTTATGGTCTACGGGATCCTGAACCCACGCTTGACTTGATCCACTACACAGCTATCAAGGCAGCACATGATATATTAAAGCCTGAAAAGATTCTATTTCATTACCATCATTTACCAGTGGGAGATAACTTTGAGCGCGCAAGGCATATGCTTACATTACGTCAAGTACCAATGGTTACATCTGTATTCAACCAACCCGTTAGTCATTATGCACATAGAGCCGACGTTGTCCGATTACAAGTCTTAGAAGAGTTTGGTGGTATTTATCTTGATTTGGACTTGATTTCTTTAAAGCCTGTGGATCATTTGCTAGATAAAGAATTCATTATGGCTCAAGAAGGTGTCGGTAAGTACTCTTAGTCCCTTTTATTTATTTATTTTTGGTTACATGTTACTCAATTGCTTTCTATTAGGTGGCTCTATTGGATTATGTAATGCCATGATTATGGCAAGACCACATTCTAGGTTTATTCAACGATGGTTTTCTACATACGCCTCATTTGACAGTGCCGATTGGAATTATCATTCTGTGGTATTACCTGGAAAATTAGCACCCTTTTTCCCCAAGGAAATCACAGTTTTGAATCATACAGCTTTCTTTTGGCCACTGTGGGATAGTGACGGTTTACGTACCTTATACCTTGAAAAGAGTTACGATTTCTCTGGTAATTTAGGTACCCATATCTGGGAATCAGCCTCCAACAAAAACTTAATGAAGGATGTTACCGAGAAAGTTATTATGGAAATTGATAATAGTCTTTACTGTCAATTACGTCCATTTTTACTCGATGGTAAAAAGGACCCAAGGCCCAATGCCTGTCGTATTTTGACCCATACCGAAAGAGCTGATAAATTGGTGGGAAATTGGACGTTAATTGAACCTGTAGATACTCAACGTAAAGAGACAAACCCTATGCCCGCAGTGGATGAATCTGGCAATGATTTGGCGGGCCTCATCAGAAACGGAAGATACGATAAAGAAGATGGTTTGTATCTATCAGGTGATACTAGTTACGTATTTTTAAATGTCCCCACTGAGACATCTGCCAAAACATTAACTGTAAGTTGGTGGATGAAGACCTCGAGTAAAGAGAGTGGTAAAATGGCAATGGTAGTTCAGACGGATCGTGGTAGATTGTGTGTCAAGACAGACTTAATCCAAAAAGGTGCACTCTCTTTAAATATTGAAACCATCAAAAGAAATGATGACTGGGAATGGGCTCCAATTAAAAACCTTCAGCTCAGGCCCTCGCCTTATACAATTGATGAGGATTATCATCATTATGTGCTGGTGGTTGATACAAAAGAAATGTCGGAAAAGAGAGCTGAGCCACCTATTGCGCTTTACATGGATGGACATATCACAAGTAGTAGTTCTGATTGGGAGTATCCTGAAGAGATTGGCACTATTATTCGTGGCATCTGGTTGGGATCGATTGAGCCGTTGAACGACCGTTACCAAGACCCTTGGGACAATACTGTCAATCTGGAGGCTCATTATCGTGATGTTCGTGTATGGGAACAAGGCTTTAGTGCAGATCAAGTTGTCAAAATCTACAAGTCAGGTAAACCAACTGTTGCTAGTAAAACTGTGAAGACCAAATCCACGCCTGAAACTGTAAATAAAGACCATGCGGAGGAAGAAGAGGATGTGGAGGAGGAGGAAGAGGATGAAGAATTGATATGGGCGGATGATGATCAAATGGACGATTAAAAACTTTTATTGCTTTTCCCAAATATATATATAAAAAAAACAAAAACAAAAAAAAAGTTACACGATTGAAATACACACACAATAAAGAGTTAACCTTGGAACTTCTTAATAGTCAACATTTGGCTCAACATTTCTTGTAGTTCGGGTACTTCAACTTTATTTTCCAAACTATAGTATGGACCCAATTTAATAAAAAACCGCACTAGGGGAAATAATAATAATAATAATAATAAACAATACCTGGGAATCAATGCTTTTGCTTCTTCTGCATCCTCACAACACAAGTTGGCAATTTGTGCCACTTCAAATTGTGCCATATTCTCTTTCAACAATACCCTTTTTGTTGTTGTAAACAGACATCAATAAACATTCGATCGAATAATCAATATCAGTTGAAACTTACTGTCTGACTTCACGGACAGATTCGATATTACTGAATCTACTAAAAGCGCGTACGTATTCTAATGTTTTTGACATTACGCTATAACACAAAAAAAAAGATGAGCCATTCTATAAGTGGATTCGTCGAAAAAAGTAGAATTTTTTACTTTGTGCTGGGTCGGTTTACGGTTCCATTTTCCTTTGAATCCTCTTGAGCTTCCAGAATAATGCGAACTTCAGAAATATACAAGCACTGAGCATTATCGAATTCTAAGGATTTTCTTTTCTTGTTAAGTATCACATTAAGAACGTTAGGATTCTAACTTCTTACCTGGACCCAATTTTAAAATGGAGGCATCTTCTTGATCAGTACCACCACGGATCATGTGTCTCTTTTTTGATGCCATTTTTGTTTGTAATTAAGGTGTTGAAGGTGTATTACAAAAGTAAAGAGCGAAAAAAAAAATGATTTTTGTAAATAATAAAATGGACAATTGTGACTCGACCCCGATCGACTAAGGGCTATGTCCAATCAGGAGTCTTGATACAATTTGATCACTCCCATAGTATGGGCTCTATGGTAACGATCACAGAATTAGATTACAATAACGAAAGGCTTCATTGTCATTCTCTCCCCAGTCTCGTGTATTCAGCGGGTATCGAAGCCGAGATAAATAATAACTTCAATGACCAGTTGCCAAAGCACTTGCAAATTTTGATGAAAAAGAACAAAATCATGTAAAATCCTAGTAAATATTTTACTTGGTCATAATATACTAATACATCAGTAGAGAGAAACTTGGGTGTATGAAATATATTGCTTCATGCAAAAATGCCACAAAAATGTACTTTCTTTTGCTTTGCAAAGCATTGACTTAAATTACGGAAAAGCAGTCCGAGAAAAGGGCATAAACTATTCTTTTTTTTTTTTTTTTTTTTTTACTTTCTCTCTCTTTTTTAACCTCTTTCTAAAAAAAAATGTTTTTCGAGACTTCCGGTTGGGCTTTGCCCAAGAACATTGCTTCTGAAAAGAAGGAAGTTATTTCAAAGAAAGAAAAGTTTGCTCAGTCCAAATTACCTAAAGAAGGTAAACTTTCAAGAGAAGCCGATCAGATCCAAGCTCAAATGGCCTCTTTGAACGATCAACCCATTCTCACTGCGGCTGAACCCAAAACCAAAAAGCCAAGAGTTAGAAATAAGAAGCGTGCTTTGGAGGAGACACCTGTGGAAGAAAAGGTGATTGAAAAGCCTGTCGAAACAAATAAAAAACAAAAGAAGAATAAACCTGTTGTGAAACAACAACCTGAACCTGTTGACAGCAAGAAGACTCAGCAAAAGAAGAAATTACAACAGCTCTTGTCAAAAAAAGATAATAACAATAATGGAAAGAAGGCCGATAAGAAAGTTGAAAAGAAAGCTGAAAAGAAAGCAAATACGTCAGTAGTAGAGGTTGTCAAAGCAAAGCCTCAACCTATTCAAAAGGTTGAAGAAGATGACGGACTTACACCTCTTCAACGCAAAATGAAGGAAAAGTTATCCGGTGCTCGTTTCCGTTGGTTGAATGAACAACTTTATACCACACCAGGACAACATTCTTTTGATTTGTTTCAAGAAAAACCAGAGCTATTTGATCAGGTAAGAAGTTTTTTTATAGGGTATCGGTAAGAAATTAACAGAGGGAATAGTATCATGAAGGTTTCCGTCATCAAGTTGAATCATGGCCTGTCAATCCCGTTGATGTGATTATCGACCAACTCAAATCTCTTCCTAAGGGTACTTTAATTGCTGATCTTGGATGTGGTGATGCTATGATTGCACAGTCCTTGACCAAGCAAACTGTCTTGAGTTTTGATTTAATTGCAAAGAACGATTTAGTCACTGCTTGCGATATCACAAAGGTATGTGTGGGATGGATCTATTTTTTTAGTTTGGGTTTATGTATTGATAGTGGATTGTTAGTTACCTCTTGAAGCAAATTCAATTGATGTTGCTGTATTTTCATTATCATTAATGGGTACAAACTATCTCGATTTCCTCAAAGAAGCACATCGTGTCCTTAAAATTGGGTAAAGTAACATTACGATTTACGAAGAAGTATTATTTACTAACGGTATATGTAGTGGTGAATTAAAGATTGCAGAGGTAGTTAGTAGATTCAGTGATTTAGATTCATTTATTGGTCTTTTAGAAAGTTTAGGATTTGATTTTATGGATAAGGTAAGGCGAATATAGTGTGATTTTCAAAAAAAAAAAAAAAATGTGTTGTATTGATACGGGCTATTTTTGATGTATATTAGGAGGATGATAACAAAATGTTTGTCATGTTATATTTTACAAAGCAACCCAACTTTGAAGAAGATGAAAACGAAGAAATGTTCTCTGGATTAAGCAAAACACAGAAGAGATCCCTTAAAAAGGGTGCAGGAATTAACAATTCCAAAATTAAATTGCAAAAGAAATCACAACAATTGTTAAAGCCATGTCTGTATAAGAAACGTTAGAAAATAAAACTTAGATATAATACAAGGTGGTTTCTTTATTTTATTTTTATTTCTTAAATCTACATTCTTCTTCTCTCTCCCTTTTGAGTCTTTTTCTTTTCTTTATCTGCTGTCTTGTCCTTCTTTTGTTTTTCCTGTAACATTTTATTACGTTCCTTTTCTTTGTCAGAAGCAATCTTCATTTGTTCACGTTTAGCTTGTTCCTTTTCCTTAATGATATCGGCATTACGGTTGGCAGCAAGTAATGGATCTAAATTATCGACGATCAGCATTCAGTCATGGTTTGTGGATATAAACATTATCCAGTATTACCTCCTGTGGGTAAAGTCTTTCCTCTACGACGATCTCTGGGTGATAATTCGGTAGGCTCTGCCTCTTCTTCATCATCATCACCACCATCAGCAACATATCCATACTGTTGCATTAATTTGTCGCGAGCTTCTTTTTGTTCCTTTGACATTTGCTTTTGTGCACTACGAAGTACACTATTAACCTCTTGTTCCTTTTCGGCTTTAAGTCTTCTTTCTTCTTCACGGACTGATATTAGGAAAAAAAAAAAAATGTCAATACATGTTCCTGAATCCGTCACTAACTCCGTAAATTACCACGAGCTTCTTCGATAATTTTTGCTCTCTTTTCCTCTGCTTCCTTCACTTGGTCTTTTTGAACCTTCTTCCAATCGCTCAAGAGTGTGTCAATTAATTTTTCTGTGTCTTTGTCCTGAAAGAAGAAAAAAATTGAATTAATTTCAAGCGCTTTCGGGATTCAACAGATAGACATGTCATTACTGTTGCTTCAGAAAGAAATTCGGAAATGACTTCACGTTTCTCGTCTTCTTCCATGGAGTCATCTCCAATGATACCAGTAATATATTCTGAAATATCCTCGTCTTTGGTTATAGAAAAATAGAATTAGAATTAAAGCGTGCTCTTTCCTCTGCACAAGCTTTAATTACCTTTCAAATCAATGGTTGCTAATTGATCTGTTACTTGGTCTACAAGACTCATGTTTGGTATGTAATGAAAAGGTTTAAATAAAAATAAAAAAAAACTTTTTTGTTTGAATATAAAAAAGAAGCTATTTTAACCTCCTACAAAATGCCTGTAGACGACTTTTCTGATAGGGTTAACAAGCTTCTCTCTAACAGCTCCAAAAGCCAAACGTAAAACTTTGAAAAAAGTAAGTTTAAGCTTCTAACTTACAGTAACTAACTACTTTGTAATAGAGATGACGAATTAGCAAAGCGTTTCCAAAATGTCTTTTCGACCCAGCCTATAGCCTCACAAAAGAATCCTACAAGTTACCACATTCCTGACAATGCATACAACGATGATATTGACAAAGAGGTAAAATACTGAGATTTTTTTATTTTACATGAAATACAACCAACTCGATATAGATAGAAAACATGCTACAAGATAGCGACGACGACGAAATTGACGATTACATTTACGGTGTGCTCGGCTCTTCCTCAGGCGGAAAAATCCAAGAAAAAATGGATGGCTTTCAAAAAATATTTTTGGGTTCGGAAAATGGTGGTGGTGATGGTGCAGATGATGAAAGTATGGAGTTGATACGAAAATTGCAGGCAGAAAATGCATTGGATGAAAAGTACAGTCAATTCACAAAGTCCAGGGACGAAGATATGGAACAGAGATACAATGCCTTAAGAAAGGATCCACCCACCTTCCATTCTACATACGAAAATGGGGAGAGGCCAAAAGGGTCGGTCCCAAAACCACTCGAAACTGACGATTTGCACGATGAAATGGATGATTGGTGTTGTAAGACACTTTCTTCGAAAAAAAAAAACCATGAAAAGTGATTGACTTGATATTTTTTTAGGTATTTGCAATGACGATGCCACTATCGAATGTGAAGGGTGCGAAGATGATAATAAGTACTGTAAAGAGTGTTTTTTTCATACTCACAGAAGTGAGTCTGCTGATTACGAAGCAACCAAGCATAAGAGCAAACGCTATCAAAAGTAACGTTTCTGTGCTTCTTTTTTTGATCAAAGAACTTAATAAATTTCTAATTTCAATTGAACAATATCTTCCAAATATTTGCTTAAGCTACTGGTACAAATCGCCGTATTTTATTTACTTATCCTGTGCGGATTTTTTGTATCACTTTTGACTATTGTTAGAATTTACAGAATTGCTAAAAAGTATTGCATTGACTCTATTTTAAGTATCGATTGGTTCATGTCTTAAAATGCATGATTTTGTTGTTAAACCCTTGGGCATTCAATCAATCGGAATAACAATAAATGACCGAGATGCATGAATTAAACCATAGTAATAACTAGCTGAAACTGAAACACTTGACAGGTATAAAAAGTAAAATATTATTCTGTACATTTTTCCTTTATTTCTCTTGTCACCCAATTTTCATACAAAAAATTAATTCCCCATTTTTAACGTCTCACTAAATGCAGAAAATACGAAAAAAGATTGCGCGGTCGGGGAATCGAACCCCGGCCCTTCGCGTGGCAGGCGAAGATTATACCACTTAACCAACCGCGCTTTGTATATTTGTTGAACTTTAATTATACATATCTTCAAAACATGTTAAAAATTTTAAATCACGTGATAAACACGTGATGTCTTCTTCTTGATTGGTCTGTTTTCAGCTGCTCCTGTTAAAAGTGCATAATTCTCTCCAAAATTTCAGTACTACTCCTAGCTTAAAATTGTATTCACTATTCTAGGGGTGTATGCAGCTAAATTAGTGGCTGTCACCAATATAGTGTTCGGACATCTCGAGTTTACTAAATATTGCATCAGTTTTTAATGATTAGTCGAGCTTTTATCGAGCTCTGTTATCAATTTAAAGCTCTCACTTTTAAGTAAAGTAAGGGTCATATTTAAACTGACAGTATAACCTACCTTGCGTATTTTTGTACATGGTACAGTCGACGTAAAACCAGAAAAATAAAAAAAATCTACAGGCAAATAAAGCTGATTTTACTGATAAACAATTGACGTCAGCAGCGGTACTACCATCACCTTTTGCACATGTATTCTTATCTAATGATCATGTTTCCTTTATTCAGGTGAAGGTTCAAAACATTTGATTAGTTGATTAAATTAATTAACCCCGCCCTGACATAAACAAATCCTTGTTTGTCTTTTTTTCATTACATAACAAATATTAAAAAAAAACGCCTCCCCCACACTTTCTATTTCTTTTTCTTTTGTTAAATATCAAAAGCTTCGAACTCACCTTTGACCAGACCGAACAGAGTTTAAAATTATTTGAATGATTTTTATCTCAAAGATAGTCATCTTTTATATTTGCTAACAAGACCTATAAGCTTGTAAAATCTACCAGCGGCAATATATGTTTCTACAACTAACATCATAATCTATAATATAAGTAGTATTCCATCTGTTATAAATCGAATGGTCTGTTACGCTGCCACAAAAAGATCTCTCATTGTCCGATTTGAGTAGCCACTCCTTGATTTTTTTTCTTTTTTTCTGCTCTCGTTTTATTTGATATGGCTGGCTCCCGTTATTTAGTTTTTTATTTGTTCCTTACACTTGTCCTACTTTATCAAAGGTTGATGTATGACATATATCAACTTAAACACCCTAAAATAAATCAGCGATCAAAATGTTTTTTTTGATCGATATTGGCGATATCGCTCAAAAAATCGAAAATATCGATATCTCCGATATTTTTGATTTTTTGATCGCTGATCGCAAAGCCAAATTTTTAAATCTCTATAAAAACAACTTATACATAAATAAATAGATGTAGCAATACCATGTTAATAGATAAACGTAATTTTTTAAAGCAAAAAAATGTTTATGGGGATGATAGCCAGGGTAAGAAAAAGACAACTTCAGATTACGTAAGTAAAATGAGAAAACGGGACATGTGACTGTGGGTTTTAATGATTTTATATTTTATTCTCAGCGGAAAACAATGTTTCCAACACTTCCGGCAGTACTACTCATATCGACTTTAAAAGCGTCACCAGTCTTTATAACATATTTGTTATTGGAGCCGTCAACCGCATTCACCAATCCGACAGCAGACAAAAGATCCTCGGCATCAAAGACCACAAATTTTTTTTGCTCAGCCTCATCGTAAGGTTTCACGCGCGGGATAGCCTTTGAGTATGGTGAGACGTCATGATTCTTCATAAGTTCACCAAAAACGAAGTTCGAGCCCGGAGCACCTTCTTGATATGTAAAGTCAAAAAAGAACAAGACTTTACAAACGTACCAGTTTTCGATAGGCCGGAACATCCTAATTACAATAAGTCAGTACACAATAATTTTGATTTGCAAACATCAACTTACCGATTTTTATGAATTGCAGTAAACATAACAAACTCACCACCACGCGAACTTGCTGCGTTCTTCGATTTGCACAAATCAGATATGTATATTTGATTGTTTGTCCAGAGTTTTTGAGAAATGTTGACAAATTGGTGCTGATGGAACGAAGTTATAACAGCCGAAGTATTACCAGTCAGACGAATCAAAAATTGAGAGAGTGCTTTAAGCCAGTCTTTTGCCAGGTAGCCGCCAATGGTATGATTGTGCTTTTCTTTTGCTTGCTTTACAACCTGGCCCAGCTTTACAGTATTTACCCGCCAGTGAAAGGGTGACCACAGCTGAGGCAACAATGGATCGTTGGACGGGTGGGGCAAGAAGTTGTTAACTTTATCCTTCTTCAAATCATAGGCGGAACTATCGATTATACCATCGGATTGCAAAAAAGAGAACATTTCACGAGTTTCCATGACATTACCGGCGTTGACACCAGGATTCAAAGATGAACGGATTCGCTTCTTGTATATGCCAATAGACCTTTCCAATGATCTTGCAGAATAACACCTTAACGGTCTACCAGAGAAATGAAAAATTAGTACAAAAGGGAAGTCTAATAACTATGATGACAATCGATAACTAACCCCATTCGTTTTATCATGTATGGTATATGGTTCAGTTGGTGCATGTTCGATCTGAATACGGTTCTGGAGATAGAGCTGCTATCAAGACAGGTATCGAGGTAATCAAACCAAGTCTTAAAGCATCTATCATAAGCAAATATAATGTTCAAGTAAATATCACTACATAAATTACAACTCAACAATGAATATTTACCTTTCAATTTCCTTCACTTCAGATTCGGATATCGACCATTGCAAACTCAATTGAATACCACGAGACAGGGCAATAAATCCTGTGGTTGCTTCTCTGGCGGGAAAGAGTGGGGCAACAATCGTAGGAATCACATGCACCAACCAGGCGATCCAGTCCACCGAACGATAGATAGATCTAACATTATCCAGATTGACACCAGCAAACGAACCACTGAAATCCGCAGGAATTGCACGAAGGGAGTCATCCATGGCGGTTTTGATGCGAGTAAAATCAGCAGTCTCGAGAGCAAACGGGTACGTGTCTTCGTTACCATCAAACTTGAACCGAGTGTTGAGCTTTGGTGAAAGCATGTCGAAGCAAAGCTTGCTGACATTCGAAAACATATGTAGCTCGTCACACATGAAAAAGTCGATGGAGAGGAAGGTACTCAACTGACCAAAGGGAGAAGCACTTTTAATACCATAGTTGTGGTTGGGACAAGAAGGCTAATAAAGGTAAATCAATTAAAATATGTAAAAAAGGCTACACAAGTTAATACTTACTGCGTCTTTCTCAAGTAATAAAGAAGCTTTGGTTCTGATAGCCGAGTCTCTGCCAAAGAAGTACATACCACCTTTTCCTCCGTCAACTGGGTGACCGCCTTTAACTAAATTTAGAAGGGTCATTTTGTTAGTGTCCACGGTCATAGCTTAGTAAACTGACGACTTACCAATACAAAATCTACATCCCCACCAGTTGGTATGACCACTAAACATCAACAACCGCTGGTTGATCTCTATACCATCTGCAATGACACCCAAATTGAAAATTCTAGCCGACGTGACATGAACACCATTCTTGCGAACAACAACAGGTTCACGACTCAAACGATCAAGGCTTTCAATAATTGGACGCAGATACGAGTCAAAGTCTTTCTTAGTGTCACCAAAAAGAATTGCAACTTGAAAAGTATATTCATCGGTGTATCTGCAAATGGTGTTATTACGACGTAAAAAGATTGGATGTATTGTATATAGAGCCAAAATTTACCTGATAGACGGATCAATGCTAGCAATTATAACGTGTACCATCACCATACTTTTTCTTGATACCTTCGAAGTGAACCCATCAACACATAGAACGATGGCTAAATCGTGCTGACCAGTGAAGAGACCTTTAGATTTCATTTCTTTATACGCGGCTCCAGAAAAAAAATCGGTATATGGATCATCGTCTGTCATGGAATCGATTACGTTTCGGTATTTTTCGACTTCATCACGAAACTCGTCACAAGCTAGCATACGACTTAAATGTTCACCAATATCAATCATTTTTACCACAGATTCTTTATGTCTAACAGCGTTACAGTGAGGACAAGCGGTTTTATCGGCATCATCGACAGGATCAAAGAGATAACACCCCTTTCGGGAACAGATTTCATGGCTTTGACTGAAAGAAAGTGGAAGTTTCTTCTTGATCAACGAACGACACTCCTTCAATGCGAGTACTTTTTTCTTTTTATCAAGGCCTAAAAGGTACACTAAATTAGTAAATAATGATACTTTGTAAATACAAATCATTAACATACTGTTGTTTTGGTTCAAAGTGTTCTCAAAAAATTTCTTCATAACGCGCACAGCTTCTATGGTCATGTTTCTACTAAATGTAAGATAGTTGAACATAATACTACTCAGCTCGCTGGTGCTAAATACGTTAATGGGGACAATGATATCCTTGATGTTGTCCTGTATTGTTACATTATAATCAAGTGACAATGGTTCTAAAAGTGAAAATAGTACATCCGGTAAGTTGTCATGATGTCAACAACCCGAGCATCTTTAGTTACCTTCGAAGTTCTCTTCGTCCGTGGATTCATACAAATCCTCGTCTACTTCACCGTCTACAACAAAACCATCATCAGAGGATTCATCTTCAGCATCTACGTCTTGTATGGACATTTGTCCAATTAAGGGAAGAGCGATTTGGTTATCGAGGTCAGCCATATCAACATCATCGTAAAAATCCATTTCTTCGTCATAGTCAAAAGGTGTACGGTTGGTTATTATAGCAGTTGGGAAGCCAGTAGATACTGAAGAGGATACAGCAAAAACAGAAGTGTCAGTTGGGCCAGGTATAATGGAGGCAGCAGTAACGGCCAAGGGTTCATATGTGCCTCTTAAAAGACGTTGGTTAGCGCCGTTTCGAGAAGCTCTAAGGTTCTTGGGTTTTTGAATTTTGGGGTAAACCATTTTGAAAAGTTTTTAAGAATTTTGTTTTTGGTAAGTCGGGAACCGATTTTTGCGCGTAGTTTTATACATGTTGCTACATCTTATTTACAGCTTATTAATAGTCACTGACCGTTCTTAGAACCAATTGGAATTACTCGTGAATTTATCTTATAATTATTAATAGAGAGGATATAGTAATTCTGTGTAGACTATGGATACCTTTCAAAACCACTAGAAATCGTTGTTTGGGACTTCAAGCTTGATCTATTGTTAGATTTTCGTGTAACGAGGTTATTAAGCGAAATTTTTTTTAATTCTGTACCGTGATTGGTGCAAATAAGTTGAACCACTTACATCAAGGTAAATGACAATGAAAAAAAAATGTATCTTTAAAACATCTATATAAGATCCAATACTTACACCTATTTTCTCATTTACATCGATTTTTCACTCTATTTATCACAATGAACGGTACCCAAAACTCAAATTCTCGAGACGAAGTCATTGAAAAACTCGTTAATGCCATTTACGATATGCAAAGAAAGCTTGATGCAATGCCTGCCACAATGAAAGAATATATCTACCTGCCAGTTGGTCAACACTGTGAATGCTGCAGCAAGGTTAAGAAAGTGGTCAAATCCAATGGTACTTCTGCAATTACTTCTCGATCTGGATATATCACTGGTACATTTTTATTTTATTTTACTTTGTAAGACGAATTAAGTTAATAATTGCCCTATCTTTTCAGCAAGAAATTCCGCTGCTCAACAAATGTACGAATTCGTGGTCAAGGCTGTCGCCTATTACAAGGAGCAAGTTATACCCAATGGTATTCACACCTCTTGCAATTCTCTCGGTGTAAGATCCATCACCGTATGTACTTATACAAAGAAAACCGTCATAGACAAGGTTGCTGCGTACTGGAGATCTTTGGTAGGTACCTATACTGAGGATCAAGCTAAAGAAAGGGCGACAGCAGCTTACAACAATGTCTTCACCATTTGCCAACATTTCTTGAAAGCATTGTACCAAGAACGATTTGGAAAGAATGGTGTCATTTGGAGGGGGATTCCTGCCAACGAGCAGAATGAAGTATTGTATATGTTCGAAAGAATTGTATACTTTTGGAACAAGCGCTCTGGCTTGAACGTTGGTACACCCCTCGAGGCTTATCCTGGGGACCTTATCTCTGTCATTGACGCCGAGAACCCAATGCTACCCATGCACCTCGCGGATAAAAACTGGATATCCAAAAATATGATCCAGATAATGTTGAGGAACTCAGCAAGAGTAAGTAAAGTTTAGATATCAAATTAAGAATTTTTAACATTAACATAAACCTCAACTCTAGCCAGATGACATTGCTCATGATGCCTCGGGTTCATTTTTGACTGGCCTGGAAAACCTTGGTGTCAATTCGGGTACTGAAGAGAGGTACGAAGACTTGGATATGGGCCTGTTTGAAAATTTATTTTCGATCCCTGATAACAGACCTCTTGTACCATCGTCTTCTTCCGCTTCGGTACAAAATCCTGTTTTGACCTCTCTTCCTCCCTCTGAGATGCCTCCTCTCTCTGACTCGCCTCCTCCCACCTCTGACTCTCCTCCTCCCACCTCTGCACCTGCCCTCTCCACCCCAAGTACTACCCGTCCAAAAGGTAAAAGAAAGGCTGATGAAATAGCATCTGGGACCAATAGTCGACCCTCAAGGGCTTTCCAAAAATAGAATTGAGCCTGAATTTTTTTTTTTTTCTTATTTAAACTCTGATTTTTTTATTATTTTTTTCTTTTTCTTTCTATTTCTTTCAAATAAAAACTAAACTTAAGGTTTGTATATGTGTATAGTTTGTGAATATATGATTTATCATAACCATTTGTTTACAAATGAAGATATAGTTATGTGACTAAACATTAAACGTGCTGACACTCTCCAAACGGATTAAACCAAGACTCTTTGCTTTAAAAGTAAATTTACTTACTCTTTTTATATGTATTAACACATTTGTATAGCTGAAGCCATCTCTACTTTCACCGCTTGTGAAAAGGTAAATATCTCGACTTTGGTTTATGTGTTCATTATTAGTTAACCCAAATTCCTAAAGCTAGCTACTATCGCTGTTTATTTGAGGCTCGTACATCCCACGGTTTTGTAAAGGTACACATTGCTAAACTTGATAATTTATTCTCTTATTAACGTAAACCATCTTTATGCAGGTAAGTCAATACTGCTGCTCTTCCGAGGTCTTCGTATGGTCACTATCGTAGTTCCTCTCATTATGTCTGTCTCTGGTCATATTTTACTGGTCATTTTCTATATTTGAAGAGGTCTATCATGATCAGATTCGACGTTATTTAGTTTTTTTTTAATAAATAAAATTTTTTTTTCCAATATATACAAACGTATCAATTTTAAGCCTGTATCCTGATTTAGCAGGGGTGTAAAAGTAATATTATATCGATTATCGATTACCCCATTTTTTTTACCCCATCCAACGATATTTTTTTGTTTTTTTGATTTATGGATCGATATCGTCAATCGCGATATTTTGGAAAGTTTGATCGATATTGCCAATAACGATATTTTAGAAAGTTTGATCGATATCGCCAATCGCGATATTTTGGAAAATTTGATCGATATTGCCAATCGCGATATTTTGGAAAAATTTATCGATATCGCCAATCGCGATATTTTTAAAAAAAAGATCGTTATTTCCGCTCTAATTTGTTTGCGATATTTTTCAATTTTTGATCGCTGATTTATTTTAGGGTGAAAGTGATGCTTACAGTGCAATTTATAAGTTCGAAAAGTGATCCAAAATTTTTATAAGTTTAGGCTCCCTGTATTATTTTTCACAACGCCACCAAGTCAAGCTTACGTAAATAGAGCAGGTCTGGATGCATCCTTTTAACAGATGTTCTATATGAAGCTTAGTTCAGATGCCATGTTTGTTTTTTTTTTTTTTATATATCTTTGTGTTTCAAGGCTAATTTATTAGGAGACTATATATATATAAAAAAAACAATAAATAATGCACGCCAATTTCGTTAGGTTATCAGTTAATATGTCATTTCAAGACAAATGTTTGTTTTATTTGAAATTTTTGTGATATAAACAGTGGGGGAAAGGGTATTGTGACACAACTGGTGTGAGAGAAAGATATACATAATGGGAGACACTCTGAGTTAGAGTTTAAAAGAAATCCTTCTTATCTGAGAAGAGTACACGGTTCTTATTAACACTGCTTGAATTTCCATAGTTATTTACTAATGCAGCTTTGATTGACTTTTTTAATTCGGGTCGACTTTTTGTTGGTATTGTAGATATCTTGCTGATCTTGACCTTTGTTCTTGTTCTCTGCGCAGCTAACTGTGTTTCATCAGCAACATGCTTGTTTTTATTAGACTTTAGGGATGGTTTGGTATCAAGCAAAATCAAATATGTCATATTAGGTTTTATGATAAGTTGATCGAATTCCAACCATGATGATGGGACCATTGATAATGATTTAATACAGGTATTGACAGAATGATTTTCGGGTCGAGAAAGAGAACGATTTTCATATTTTTGATTTTGTAAGTTGCGGAGGGCCTTGAATAGATGGTCTAGAATGCTACTATTAATAATGACACTAAGGAAAACATAAACAATAGAATCTTCTTTTTCAGAAAAGATATTTGCTATGTGACACGAAAAGGCATATGGAGAGAACCTCAAATAAAAATCATTAAAATGTTCTTGAGGGTATTGCTTTAAACTTAAAAACTGCTTTTTAAGTAGTGCTAAAGAGTTGGAGGAATGAAAGCCGAAATTATATCTAATTAGATATTTAGCATTTTGCCAGGATAGTCCTTCATGAAGTCTTCTTTTAAACCACAAGTACAAGTTTAAACGTGAGTCTCTCACTTGTTTAAAACGGGTTTCCAAAAGGTCAAACCAGTTGTGATCAAGATCTAACCTTGAGAGCTTGAGTTGTGTTTCAAAGTCTTCGATAAACTTGTCAACAAGTAACCCTTCTGATAATATTTGAGAGTTGGGGACAGAGATCGACTGTTGCTTATCAAAGTGAACAGAGCCATCAAACTTAATGTCAGGTAAACTAAAATCAGTTGCTCTTGCAACTGGTCTATTACTAACATGAACATTACTATTCAATGATCTGTCACTTTTGACAGGGCCTACAGTCGGCCTAGACGTACCTGGTATCGATCTTCTTTGTGCGACTAGCCTTGGATCTCTAGAATTTGTTACTGCGGCAGCATAAACTGGTTGAGTAATTTGCTTCGTGCTATCAGCCTGTGTACCATGATCACCAGAATAAAGAAAGTCTCTTCTTGGATGGAACTCCTCACATGGAGATGATGTAGTTGAATCGTCGCTTGTATCATATTGAGGCGGACTAAGCGCAGTTACCACATTAGAACCAATAGAGTTGTTATAGTCCTTGAACATACTTTGAAGGTCTTCAATACACTTTTGTACTGTTACTTCAAAACCATTCAATTTACTCATCCTGGCTTTTTTTTTAAAAATATTTGAAAGATGAAAGAGAAAAAGAAAGAAAGAAATTGATTATTTTTTTTGAAGGGTTTTTATAGACAAAGAAAATAAATATTGATAGAGTTCTGAAACATTCCACCAGGTTCTCCCTTTTTCATGTGTAAAATATCGACCAATACGAATTGATAAATAAATGAAATAACTATTGCGTAGTATTTTTTTTTTTTTTTTTTTTGACAGCCATAAATGACAAACTCTTTCATGCTGCGTGACCCTTCTGTCCTTTAAATCTTTCCCAGTTTACGTAATATTTACAATACAATTATTTATTTTATAACTTTTTCCTGTCCAACCAAATCCACAACCATGCATATACAAAAAAAAAAAAAAAAAAAAGGCGTTCTAAAAAATACAAGCAAAAGTGAGAGTTGGATTAAAGGTATTGTTTCCGATCTTTGTTAGAAAAAGTATGTGCGTGTGCGTGTGTGTCAAAATAAGGTGTGTGCGTATGTGTGTGTGTGAGTGAGTGAGCGTGTGCGTGTGTGTGGAGGGGGATGAGTGATCTTTTTTTATTTAAGCAGTGATAGCTTCGGGAGCTTTGTAAGCATAATCCCAACCTTGTGTGGATGGTGTTTCTGTAGGAATCTTTGCTTGCTTAGGATATGTGATGTGTCTACTCTTGACAAGAGCACCCTTGAAAAGTCTATCGTTGGTCTTTTCTAATTCGTTCATGGCGACATTCATGGCTCTGAATTGAAGTTCAAGAGAACGTTCTCTTTGCTCTCTTTGACGCATACGGTGAAGCTTCCAGGCACGTTCAATAGTCTCGTGTTGTTCCAACAACTCTCCTTCTAAAGTAATCGTCTTTTCTCTGCGGACTGGCTCGAAAAGGACACGACGAATAGTTTCAAGACGAGTATCACCGCCAGGTGCTGTTGAAGTAGTGGTCGAATTCCATCTGGTCTGGCAAACTGCACGTCTAGCAACAGGTGTACGGACAATGTTCAACATTATTAATAAGTGTGCAAAAAAATTAAAAAATTAAAAAAAAAAAGCTTACAGAGGGCCCTGGTTCTTGCTTATGAAAAGCCACCAAATTCTCCGCTGCCTGGCCTTCGGACTGGTTTTCGCTATTTATCCTGTAAATGGCTCACTATTAAAAAAACAGGCTGATTTATTGGGGAAGCTGCATCTTTAATATCTCTTTATGGTGCGTAACTGGGTTTTATTTAGAAACTGATGGATTATTCATATATGAGTAATAGTCATCGCTTAAAGTATTATGTAAATGCACATTTTGTTTGTATGAGGAGCCAATACTTTAATCTGAAAACCAGTCAATATTTATGAATTACATCATCCTAAAAGGAAAGGCACAACGAAAGCATCTTCTTTTAAAGTATAATCATTGTACACAGGTATGTCCGAGATAAAAAATATATTTGATTACTTATACGCGTAGAAAACGACCTTTACTGCCTACAAAAAAAAGTGCGCAGGGTATCGTCAACCTAAGATGATTTGCTACATCTAAACCTGGCTTTTAACCTGAGAGAACAAGAGCAAAAAAAAAGTCAATAACCATAATCCACTTGGTTAATATTGAATTGTATATGAGTAAGATGATGACTGTGCCTATTACTAAGGAAGCTTGATGATGATGTATCAGCCAAAGCGACCTATATTTTGGGTGGCGTATTTTAAAGAGAAAAAAGAATTTTACAGTCACTTTGATGGTGCTATTATGTTATTCCTTCCCAAATATGGAAACGGAATAGAGAAATGATAGTTTAAGTTGATAAAGTAATGGATTAAATGAAAAAAAAGATAAGGGGGGAAATAATTAATATAATGATACAATGAATAAAATACACGTGGGGGGGGGGAATCGAATGCTCCTTGATTTTTAATGGCTGTTGGTGACAGGCACAATATACGCTGGTGGTGGATGAACTGGACCCATTTCAACAGGCTCTTCTTGTTCATAAGCGGGTGGTAGAGGATGAGCTCGTCTGGATAGTGTAGTTGGTGGCACTTGTATGATACATTCAGACATATTACCCGGTACTCTTTCTGCTTCTGGTCCAATATCTAATACAATGTCCATCATTGAAGTATCATAAGCTGGTAAATGTTCTCCTTCTTCTAAAAGTTCATTTTCCATATCGATTTGTACTATTTCGACCACAAAGTTGATATTTTGTTTGGAGAGTCGATTCACCAAATGCATTGAGGAGTGTGTATCTGTATCACGCAATCTTCTGAAGCTCCATTTTATTTGTTGAGTAACATCTATCGAATTAAATTCTTTCAGGACAATTTGCAGTGATTCATAATACTATAATTCAGTATTAGTATGGATCAAATTGAAAGCTGTTATTATGACTTACAGCAGCAAGTTTCTTATAGTAAGTATTTCTTCTTCTTGTGGTGATAAAACCAATCGTTGCTGGAATGAGTAACATGATCAAGGGGTACCACATTGAGATTTGTGCAGCACGAGCAATGATAGAGAATGCAGCAGTTGCAATGACAAAGCAGATGGCTATAAAGAAAAGATAAGTGTCCAACCAGACATGTGGGTATTCTTTCAAGACATGTGAGTCAAGTGCTTCAATACGAGCAAGGAATATATCTTCAGGCAACTATTACCAAAAATAATAAAAATTATGTTATAAACCAACCAAACAATAGATGATTATTTGTATACATACATATTCTCTAAGTTGTGTGTATTGAGCATAATCCCCAGAAAATAAAATTGAGCGTTTCCAGCGCCTGATAATTAGTGGAAATGTAGCTAGAGCCATTTCTCGAATTTAATTCTAACGAAAAAAAAAAAAAAAAAGAAAAAAAAAAAGCAAAACGGCTGGGAATTTGTAAAACTTTATGTGTGATACAAAAGTTACTCCATTAGGCACACAACATAAACAATAGGTATAATGACAAGGATCGGATATTTTATTTTATATAAAGTACCTTTCTTTTTTTTTATATTTTTATTTTACTTTATTTACATACCCTACCACTTCCATTCTTTTTTTTATTGTTGTTGTTGTTGTTGCTCTAATACCTTCCTTTTGTCAATTAATCAAATGACTATACCTGACCTTATTCATCACCATAATCCTGTGCGATTTTCTTTGGTATCTTGTGTGACAGAAGATAGTATTGATTCAGCTGCTCTAGCTACTCCATTGGATGCCTCTCCTCCTCCTCCTCCATCAAACACCTTTTCTATCATCAACATTGTAAATGATGATCCACTTCCCGATTTAAAAGCCTACCCAGCAATTGCAGCTACCTATACAAGACGCAGACGTGCCCAAACATCTCCTAGGCCAGTTCCTTCATCCATTATGATGAATACTATACCTCAACAGCAACCCATTATGATCCATGACTCCCCACCACCACCAACAGCAACAACTGATACCACAGATAGCTCCACAAAATCAACCAAGTTCTGGCCTAGAATTAAACGAATGATGACTCCCACAAATACAAATACCGATAAAATGAAGCAGCTATTCGAATCCATGAATATGACTGGCAACACTGATGAGAAACAAGAAACATCCAGTGCAAAACTACAAGAACAGAAAAGTAAGCGCTGGCTTGGTAGAAATCGAGCAAGAGTGGGACCTCAACGCTAAAAAGAACATAACTCTATTCATTACATTCAAATAACAACCAATTTTTAATAAACACATATTATAAAATCAAACATATAGACTTTGGCAACCGAAGAAAAAAAAATTTTTTTTTTTACGTTGTTATTTCAAACACCACCTTTGGTTTCCAAGACAGATAATAGATTCTTTAGATTAGAATAGTGATCGAAAAGTATGTAGCCCAAGATTACTACATCTTTTCACATGTAGTTTTTTCATTTGTTATTTGAATTAAAAAAAAAAAGATTTTTTTAGGATCTTGAGGACGGGAACGCGTAAGAAACGACATTTTTACGGTATCTTACGAACTTAATGTCCGCTTAAACATTTCCGATTAATTGTTCACAATCTGAGGTTTCCAAATTTAGTATCTCTCCGAGTACTTCAACGGACTTTAGTAGTCAACCGAATTGTGGTTATATAATTTATCACTTTCTGAAATATTATACATGTTGTGAAAAAGACAGCTACAGCTTTAAAGTGTTTTCACGAGAAATATGCAATTGAATTAAAAACAGGTACATATTTAAATGCATGTAAAACGTTAATTTTCTGAGAACTTTAGAAAAAAAAAAATTTTTTTTTCACTCCTTATTTACCAGACTGTATACACCACAAAAGGGGTGGAAGGAAAAAAAAAAAATGAAAAAAAAATAAAATACGGTATTAAAGAATCTTATATTCTGTTATCATCCTGCTTCGTTTCTCCTAAATTACATAGTAGCATATAAATCCCCTTTATACTATTGTCTACTTACACTGCTATATACTCCCTTGACTCCTCTTAATTTGTATGATAGCAACTCCTAATGATATCCCTTTTAAAGTGGTTTTATTCTCTAATCTTTTATTTTGTTTTCTCTTTCTTTTCTCTCTTGTTTTTGTTTGGAAATACAAAGGTAAACAGTTACACAAACATTGTAGATCATCAACTCTGACACTGCTTAATTTTTTTTTTTTTTTGATAGTATGACATTTCCATCTTATGTTATTGCGATTATAATCATTGCGGTGATATTAGCAGTGTCCACATCTGTCTATTTCATATTTAGAAAAAGAAAAGGTGGATCAGTTGGTGCAGTTGAGCACCAGAGCGATGAATATAGCATATCTGAGAAAAACGAGACCTCTCCGTATACAGACAGACACTTGGTGCAACACAATAATAATATTGATACAACAAGCACGTTACAAGACAGCCAAACATCATCTACACCCACCATTCCTATTACACCAGCAACAGCATATGAAAAACATAACATGGCTTATGAAAACAATGATATTATCAGATCAGCTCCTGTGGAAGACGACACTTCATCCGTATGGACAGCCTCAGATAATCCCATCACACCTGCAGATCTTAAAATATCTTTACCTTTACCTCCTCCAAATTCATCCTTCTTCTCCGATAAAATGGAACTGGATTCAGTCGAAGCCAATGATTTGTATGCGTCTTACATGAACGTGGCTGCAGCTCAACAGGATTATGTATCCATTGATTTGGACGAAAAGCCGTTTTTGTCCAATGCAGCAGCCAATATTCAGCAAAAGGCAGCTACACTCCGTACAAATCTTTGTCAATCCTTACGTCGAAAATCAACGAGTGGCGGCGTTCCCAAAATAGCTTTGAACCAATTCTTTGATGCCAATAATGTGAGTAACAGCAGTCTTAAATCCCCCCGTCCAGAAAGTACCCGCATGAGTCGACAGTCTTCTTCGACATCTTCTAGATTTCCACGTCCATCCCTGCAGCAAACTAATATACCACCATCGCCAAGGCCCGATTCACCAGCCGCTGAATTCTTTGGCAAATTTGGCAACAACAGTAAAAAGTCGTTGGTGCCATCAGAGGAACTGAATAGCAGCAATAAGACAATGATCGAAAATATACCACCTGAATCTTATTTCAGTCTACCATTGTCTCCTACTACATCTTCTCCCCTTGTAATGAGGCCGACAATACAACAACAGCAAGACAGTCAATTTGAACTTACTGGGATGAGAACAACTATTTTACAGCAGCAGCAGCAACAACAACAGCAGCAACAGGAGAGTCAACAAGAGATTATTGGAATGAGGCCAACAATTAAGCAGCAACAAGACAAGCAATTGGAACAGAAACAAGCATTAAATCAAAAACAGCAGGATGTTTATTCCTCCATGATTCAAGATATTAACAATACTCAGGAAATTGAAGAAAGCGACGAAGAAGAACCAGATAAAGAGGATGCAGCAAAACAAGAGGATGCGGCATTAGCAGCACGACGTTTAATTCGATCTGCCTCACGTAAATCTCGCACACGATCAACACTCATTACAGACGAGGCAGCACAAGCCATGTTCGCCCTGATAGCCAGTAGTACACCATCACCTTCGGAACCCATTGTTACAGCCAAATATGCTACACTCCGAAAACACAATATGGAGATTGATACAGCATCTATTCAACGTAACAATAGTCATGTTGACTCATCCTTGGATATTCAAAAATGGTCTATGAATGAACCACCAAAATCTCCTGGTCCCAAAAGAGCCATCATGAGTTCAACAGTATCCGGATCAGCCACAGTTTCGGGAAAGAGAATGGCAAAAAATCAGCAGTTAAATGCATTCAACAAAAGCAGTGAAGATCTACTCAAAAGCGATTTGAAAAGTGCAACATTGGGAAGAAAGAAGTCAGCAGAGACAACAAGTAGTGGACCCAAATCGCTTCGAAATCTGTTTACAAGGCCTTCCGCAGATGATAAAAGTAGTATTGTATCAATACCAAGTGTAGCCTCTACTTCTAAAAAGCAAATAGAGGACGAAGTGGAAGAGCAAGAAGAAGTGGAAGCGGAGGAAGATGTACAAAGTGCCATACAAAGCATAAGTGATGTTGATACAGCAACCCCTAACTCTCCTATCACATCTACAGAGCCATCTCCTTATTCATCCAAAAATAATACAGTGCGAAAAATGGGAAATAATGTCGACACGATTCGTCGTATGCTTCAGTCGTCGTGGAGTGGGAATAATTTAAAGGAGAGTGGATCAAGCAATAGTCTATCATCTTCTTCGGATTATATGGGTAGCGTAGGATCAAGTTATCGACCGGTTGCATCACCTTTGGGCAGTGTTAACCCACGTATGCAAAATCAACATTTGGTTTCACTATCCTTAAAGGCGACAGCAACACAACAGGGACGCAATCGACCGTCAATGCCGATTGGGTTTATGAATGACGAAGAGGGGCCAATGCCAACCGCATCATTTTCATCATCCACAGTACGTACAATGATCCCTGCAGATGAGGAAGAAGTGGACCGGTCTAGATTGAAGCCAAAATCATCTGTCATGGGTAACATACTTGGATCACGACAGCCAAGGCAACCATCAAAATTAGGGGACCGAAAGGGCCCTATCCATACTAACAATAAAAAGCAGCCTCCCGGAAAAAAGACACCGGCTCAAATAGAGCGGGAAAAATACCTCAAGTCATCATCAAAAACATAAATTCTAATTCATTCTGAACCATTAACTTAATTAAAATACGATAATAAAATAATATCACTCTTTTTTTTTTTCGAGTCATGCGATGGAAAAAAGATTTCGAAAGACAAAATGTTTAGCCCTCTTGTAAATTAAAATTGTACTCTATATCCAAATGCCTATTTTTAACATTTATTCCAGACAAGTATCAAATTATTTGACCGTCGACGTAAATAGCCAGCCAATGTAACGTTTTCCAAAACGGAAATTTTCTGTAAAAGCCGAAAAGAATATTATAAAATAAAATAAATAATCACAGCGATTATTTGAAGACGTTTAATAAAGGTGATTACGGAGCGAGTTTGTTCTCCCCCCGCTTTTTCATTAAAAAGACCTTTTTACCATACACAAACTTAAACTTTGTTGGGAATTTGCACCACCATTTATGTCAAAAACGTTACTGTGGCATGAGATTGTGAAATTTTGTCCCTTCCCTGTGTAACAGACTGTCTGGAAACACCTTTTTATTTTAAAATGGGGTAAAGTCCGCTTAAAAAAAAAAAAAAAAAAAAGGGTCTTTTTGTAGTAACTCGATAAGTACCGTGCGAGTAATATTGCATTATTTCTCGAATTAAGGACGAGTACATGTACTTACTTTTGTTACCGATATGATTATTTTCGAACAATTTAGAATAACGAGATAATTAGTTGATACATAGTATTTTGGCCTTCCGCCCTTTCACAATAAGTAAAATTCGGTTTTATTTTAAGACGTTACAGGGGTTGGGGTTAATAAATTAAGAGTGCATTGTTAAAGATATGGTATTTATTTGGGGTTGAAAGGACACTTTCCAGAAGCGGCGACTTGTTCAGCAGGGTTGAAGGAACCTTCCTTTCTGTTCTTTGACATTTGTCTCATCATATCGCTGGGATCGTAGAAGGTCTCGAGTTGTTCGATTTCGAACTTTTCGTTCACCTTGGCAACGGTGACACCATAGATCTTGACGACCTCGTTGGTGGCATGAGCTTCCAACTTTTGGTCAACACCAACCTTGACGGACAAATCACCAGTCATGGTACCCCAATGAGCCCACTTGAAAGCAACACAGGGAGGTCCGCTATAGACTTGAATGACTTCCCAAGAGAAAGTACGAAGAGCTCTCTTGAAAAGCTTGTGAGATTCGCTGAAATCCATTTCACTGGCCTTGTAAAGCTCAGTATCACCGATAAGAGCATTATATGTACCAAGCTGTAAGATAACACAAAATTAGTTTCTCCATTTTTTTTTTCCTGACACTAGCTTTTGTTTCCTTACTTGGAGCATCTCTTCGGCATTGTTCCATTCCTTACCGTTGACAGAGAATCTGTACTTAGAAGCATCAATAGTACGGATTTGGTCAGCACGGAGTTTGTAGGACATTTCTTTTTCCCAATTCTATAATGACACATTTAACGTAAGAGATCCGATCATCGGTCATACATTATACAGTACTACTCACTTTGACAAGGTTGGATACGAGCCATTCAAGAGAACCTTCGGCATGGTTACAAGATTTCTCTAAGTAAAAAAAGTGTTAATACAATACTCAATCATGTTATGTCACGGATAAATTTACCTTCTTCATAAGCAGCATTGACCTTCTTGTAGTCAGGAACACGGTTATAACGCCATTCATGCTCCTTATCGTTAAGGACAGCATTGGGGTCAGTCATGAAATCAGGAAGATCAGCCATTTTTAATGTAAGTGAAAGTTTGCTTTGGAGAAAAAGGAAAATGTAGATTTTTTTTTTTTTTGCTTCTAAAACTTTCAATTTATATCTGATTTTTTATTTTTATTTTATTACAGTTTCCGATCGCACCAATACTATTATGGTGTTTTCTAACTTGATATTTATTTACCATCGAATCAGGCCATTTGCAACCACTCAAGGTATCACAAAGACAAATGAAATGTAGCACTAGATTGGAGAGAGAAAAAAAGTTTGTTTATATTACAGTAATAAAAAAAAAAAAAAAAAAGAAAAAAAAAAGAATGATGATTGCTTATAAAAAAGAGGGGAAATAATAATAATATAATGTAAAAGAAAGGATTCTAATTTTTGGGTTAATTTTTTGTTTGGTTGTTTTCGTCTTTCTTTGTATATACATATACACAAATATATATATATATGATTAATGAGCGAGATGCATTTGTTGCGATGGATGTGGTGAATTAGCCTGCGAGGATGAGGATCTTACAAGATAATGATCCATGAAATACTCGAGCATTTCAGCCGCAAGTTCTAACCATCATCCTATTAATAATTTTCTTTCTTTTTTTCACATCCTTATTTTCTACTCACCATGTACTTGAACAACGTCAATATCATGTAGGTTTTCGTACCAATTTTCATTTAAACGGTCACTCGAAGAAAGATTTGTTGCAAGCAGCAAAGCCGCTGCAGCAATTATATTTGGCTTATATAAGACGCAAAGTGGGGCGCCAAGGCTACACAATATTTTACATGAGTTTGATTACTCACCAAAAACAACTGTTTAAAAAAACCAACCTTTGATATAGCAACATCCATGCTTTACGAATCGATGATGACGAAACTACATTGGCAACGGTCGATGAATTCCTTGTATTATAGCAATGAAAAGGAATTATAATTTTTTTTTGTTTACCTGTTAATTGAGTTTCGAATCTCATTAAGCTGGTATGGGGATGTTCGACAGAAAGGTCAAAACACAAGGTATCCAATACAATAATCTCATTATGAAGCAGTGACTCCTTCCAACGTGTAAACTCTTTTGAGTCTTCCTCTAAACGTAAGTTATCGTTCTTTGAAGCCTTCCTTGCACAAGCCAATACAATATCCTTAAACCTTCTGGTGCATTCCTCTACTTTGGTTGCAATAAATAAACACGTTGAGGCAATGTCCTATTCACTTGTGTTATTATCCTGTTTTAATTAAAAAGCAAAATGTACCACGATCTTACATATACATGATGGTTGGTCATGGACTGTCTCATGTAGAAGCGATGAAAGAAGGTGGTAGCGGTTACTACGACTAGTTGTGGACTGCGCAAGTAATTAGTCAATATAATTAAATCCCATATTGAAGGAGAGTATATGAATACATTACAGGCCTAACTTGGCACCAACGGCAAGAAGGAAATGACACCCTTTGATCCGATCAAGCTGCTCGTCCTCAAAAGTTCTGCCATGACAAATGGTTGGTGTGTCTAATAAATCGTCCTTGGTAAAATACCACTGTAAATAAGCTGTTGGTAACTTGTTCATATTGTTCTCAACTATCAGAAATAAATATAATACAAAAAGATTATTTCTCTGTAAATGTTCTTTACCTGATCGACATTCATTACTGCCAACTTCGGGTTCACCAGTATTTTCCGCTAGAGTTTTTATATACAGCCTCTTTTTTTTTCGTTTTCCTACAATTTGGTGGCTGCACAGCGCAACAAAAAAAAAAAAAAAAAAAAATACCACGTCACCCCGCTAAAAAATTTAACCGCATAAGGCAATCGAGAAAAAAAATAAAATGCAACGCGCTAGTTTTTTATAGAACGGGAAGCTACGCTAGTGTCTGATCAAGATATTAGGAGAGTATATACTGAATTTATGAGTCTGTTTTCAAGTGCAGTAAAGAAAAAGAAACACTGCAGGTTAAAGAAGGAGAAAGAAAAAGAAAAGATCCTGTATCTAACCCGGCCTAACTTTTATTTACACACACTTAAAATTTATCAGGCAAACCCAAAAACAGAGCATAGAGGTGGATCACCAGGAAAATACGTCATTAAAGGGAAATTTGAAAAAAAAAGTTTCAATATTAAAATTCCGTTGTATTTACCACTCTCGGTTGTCATTTTTTTTAAGGTCTTCTTTGTTTCTTTTTCCCAATTCAAAATTATAAAATAAAGACAAACTGTAATGTCAAAAGAAGCAGACGTGTCAATAACAGCAACACAGGCTCTAGAAGTATACACAAAAGGAACGAAAGCTTGGTTCCCTGACAAGGAGGAAGGTTGGGTTTCTGCTTCTTGTCTGTCCAAAAAATAGAGAACGATAAAGTCACCTTGTTATTTGAGGATGATAATGACAGCTCAAAGGTAACCATGGATCGATAAACAAGCGCTTTATCCACCTTTTAACATTTTATTTAGGAACACATATTTGAGTCTACCTTGGCTATTATTGAAAAAACAAATGGGTCTACTTTACCACCGCTTCGAAATCCACCTAAAATGGAATACACAGATGATTTAACCAACTTGAGTTATCTAAACGAACCTGCTGGTAACTATATATTTTTAGATAAGATCACATTATGTAATACTGATATAAAAAAATCAAGTTTTGAATACCATTAGAACAAGATATATGCAACATTTAATTTACACCTATTCCGGTATTGTCTTAATTGCTATGAATCCATTCGATCGTGTATCACTATATGAACCTGATATTGTGCAACAATACTCTGGAAAAAGACGCGGAGAACTTGAACCTCATTTATTTGCTATTGCCGAGGAAGCATACAGATGCATGATTAGAGAAGAAATTAATCAGACTATCGTTGTATCTGGTGAAAGGTAACGGAATAGGGGGCTTTTAAAAAAAAAAGGGGGGGGGAGGGGATCGATTTTTTTATTATTTTACTAACAGCCTATCAAATTAGTGGTGCGGGTAAAACAGTGAGTGCCAAATTCATTATGCGTTACTTTGCCACTGCAGATGATCAAGAAGGCAGTGCAAAGAAGAAGAAGAAATCAGACGGGGCAATGACTGAAGTCGAAGAGCAGATTCTAGGTAAGTGCATTTACTTGCTTGGTCGTACAGCATTAATCAACTGTCCTTTGTAGCTACCAATCCTATTATGGAAGCATTTGGTAATGCAAAAACATCACGTAACGATAACAGTTCACGTTTTGGTAAATACATTGAGATTCAATTTGACAAGGATGCAAATATTATTGGCGCAAAAATCAAAACTTATCTCTTGGAACGGTCAAGATTAATTTTCCAGCCGGAAATTGAAAGAAATTATCACATCTTTTATCAACTGTGTGCTGGCGCACCTACAAAAGAAAAAAAAGATTACGAACTTGGACATTACAGCGAATTTCATTATTTAAACCAAAGCGGTGTAGGTGAAATTCCGGGTGTTGACGATGCAGAGGAATTCGAAGTTACCCAAAAGGCCTTGTCAACTGTTGGATTGTCTGTAGATCTGCAGTGGAAGATTTTCCGTATTCTAGCCGCTTTACTTCATATCGGTAATATCAAAGTAACAGGCCGTGGTGATGCCATGTTATCAGATACGGATCCAGCGCTTTTAAATGCCACTCGTTTATTGGGAATAAGCACAGCTGAATTTCGAAAATGGATTGTACGCAAGCAGATTATCACCCGTTCGGAGAAAATTGTCACCAATTTAAGCCCAACTCAAGCTCATGTGGTTAAAGATTCGGTTGCTAAATATATCTATTCAAACCTTTTCGATTGGCTTGTTGGTATCATCAATGATAGTCTTTCAGCCTCTGATGAAGAATCCGTCAAAAACTTCATTGGTGTTTTGGATATTTACGGTTTTGAACATTTCAAAAAAAATTCATTCGAGCAATTTTGTATTAATTATGCAAACGAAAAACTCCAGCAGCAATTTAATCAGCATGTATTTAAGCTGGAACAGGAAGAATATATGCGTGAAAAGATCAACTGGACATTTATCGAATTTAGCGACAACCAAAAGTGTATTGAAATGATTGAGGGAAAATTGGGTATTTTATCACTTTTAGATGAGGTAGAAAAAATAAAAAAAAAAGGTCAAACACAAAAAAAATATACTAATCACTACAAAAAGGAATCACGTCTTCCTGCAGGCACAGATCAAGGATTCTGTCAAAAATTGTATGCCAATTTCAGTGCGCCCGAGCACAAAAACTATTTCAAAAAGCCTCGTTTCTCCAGTGAAGCATTTACAATTGCACATTATGCCCATGATGTACAATATGAAGCCGAAAATTTTCTGGAAAAGAATAAGGATTCCGTACCCGACGAACATCTCCAGTTATTGCAAAATTCTGAATTTTCTTTCCTCGACGAAGTCCTGACTAAAGCCGCTGCCAATGTTGCTTCTCCTGTCGAGAACAAGAGAAAGAGTATGGTCGTTAGAAAGCCCACGCTCGGATCTATTTTCAAAAACTCATTGATTAACTTGATGGACACAATCGGAGAAACCAATGTGCATTATATTCGTTGTATCAAACCAAACGAAGCTAAAATTGCATGGGCCTTTGAAGCACCTATGGTTCTTTCTCAGCTCCGTGCATGTGGTGTATTGGAAACCATTCGCATTAGTTGTCTTGGATATCCTTCTCGTTGGACTTTTGAAGAATTTGCTGATCGCTATTATGCTCTTGTCTCATCTAGTCATTGGGATCCAAAAGCTAACCCGGATGTTAGGGAATTATGCCAAGTTATTCTTGACTCATGCATCACTGATACAGACAAGTACCAAGTTGGTGAAACTAAAATATTTTTCCGTGCTGGACAGGTAAATATAACTTTACAGTAGTTTCACATGTTTACTTATTTAGAATTTATCCCTTTTATAGTTGGCTTATCTTGAGAAACTTCGATCTGATAGATTTTATGCCTGTGCTACAGTTCTTCAAAAGAATATCAGAAGATTTGTATACCGTCAGCGTTATGTACGCATGCGTGATATGGTCATCAAACTACAAGCTGTTACTCGCAGAATTATTGCTCAAAAGGAGCTTGTTCAACTTCGACAAGAAAGAGCTGCGATCATTGTCCAAAAGAACTTTCGTAGATTCACCGCCCGTAAAGAATTTTTGGCCAAGAAAGACTTTGCTACAAAATTACAAAGACGTATGTCAAGACACCATAACAAAGTATGTGACGCTAACTTTTTTGTTTTTTTTTATAGTTATCCGTGCTCGTAAGGCTCGCCAAGAGTTTGAGAGATTACGCGAGAATAATGCAGCCATTCAGATACAACGACTTGTCAGAGGTGTACTTGCTCGCAGATGGTACCAAACCCAACTTCAAAAGGTTATATTTTTACAATCTTGCATTCGTCGTCGGGCAGCTCGCAAACAGCTCTTGTTGTTGAAAGCGGACGCCAAGTCTGCTGATCATTTCAAGGAGGTTTCTTACAAGTTGGAAAACAAGGTGGTCGAATTAACTCAAAACGTCACATCTCTCAAGACAGAAAAGAAAGAATTGGTTGTCAAGGTATCTCACCTCGAAAAACAAGTTCGTCATTTGACAGAAAAGCACGAAAAGATGGAAAAGGAGGCAAAGACAATGGAACTTAAACTTCGTGAAAACAGTGTTCCAAAAATTGAATATGACGCTCTTATGATGGAAAAGGAAAAGATCAGCTCCGAGCATACTGCTGCTATGGAAAAAATTTCATTGTTGACAATAGAAATGGATTCAATCCGAACCCAATTAAAGGCAGAAAAGCAAAAGAATGAAGAGCTATCAAAGGTCGAAGTTCCTAACAATAACGAAGAGATTACAGACTTAAAATCACAAATTGTGGCGTTGAAGGCCCAACTTGTAAAATCTATGCACACTCGTCAACAGCAATCTTCTTTACCACCTATCGGCATTAAATCAAGAACCATGTCACCTTCTGGAAACCAAAGACGCCTGACCCCGAGACTTGGTGATGACAGTCCTATTTTGGAAAAAGAAGACGATATTAAACCCCTTCGACAAAATAGTGTTCTGACACACAGAAAGGTTCGTCGTAACAGTTCCGCTGAAGTTACTGGCAACATTCCCAGAACATCTATTGATCAAGTCCGCAAGGCTGAACTTTTAAATGGCGGTAAGACCAGACCTACATCAGTTGGACAATCAAATACTATTGCTGGTGGAAAGAGTAGCGTTTTGGATGAAATCTCTGATGACCCTGAAGAAGAGGTAAACATCTTTTAATTCTTTTTTTCTAAGTATACTAAATCATATATTAGATTAATGCCATCCTTCGTCAAGAAGACCCTCTTAGAGAAGAATTTACTGTGGGCCTCATTCACTCACTTAAAATATCTTTGCCAAATGAAAAGAACCCACCTTCTCAAAAAGAAGTGCTCTTTCCTGCACATCTTATTAGTATGTGTATCAATGGTATGTGGAGAATTGGTTACAACCGTGAATCAGAGAATTTCTTATTTTCCATTATGGACACAATTCAGAAGCAATGTTTGGTAAGTTGTAAAGTCACAAAGATGCTGTTATCAAACTAACAGTAAATATATAGAGCTATACAGGAGAGGATGCATTCTTTTCTTGTGCGATCTGGCTTACCAATGTTCATGAATTATTGTCCCTGATTGTGCAATCCGAGAGCAGTATTGAAAACGATATGCAAGAACGGGGACAGACAATTGGTTTGCGTGAATTCGAGAAACTTTTCCAGACCATTAAATTCGAAATGCAATGCCTCGAGGATAATATTTTCCATGTTTGGATGAAAGAAATCAAGAGAAAATACAGCAAGATGATCATTCCTGCAGTTATTGAAAGTCAGTCACTTCCTGGATTTGTCACCAACGATTCCGGTAGATTCTTCAATAAGTTATTACTGGGATCAACTGGACCTGCCTATAATATGGATGATTTATTGGGTTTATTGAATAAGGTGCATATGATTATGAACTGTTATTTCATTGAACCTTCTGTAATCAATCAGGTATTGACAGAACTGTTGAAAATGACGGGTATTATGGCATTCAATGATCTTTTAATGAGAAAGAACTTTTCATCGTGGAAGAGAGGTAGTATATATATGAAAAAAAAAAAAAAAGAATAATAATACTAAACCCATTATTTTTATAGCTATGCAAATCCAGTATAACATTACTAGACTTGAAGAATGGTGTAAAAGCCATGGTATACCCGAGGGTACACTCCAATTGGAACATTTGATGCAAGCCACCAAATTGTTGCAATTTAAAAAGGCTACCTTGGAAGACATTGAAAATATTTATGATGTCTGTTGGATTTTATCACCTACTCAAGTTCAAAAGTTGATCTCTCAATATCATGTTGCAGACTACGAAAACCCTATTCGACCAGAAATTCTTCGAGCAGTAGCTGCCCGAGTTGTGAGTGGAGATAAGAGCGACATGTTACTTTTGGATTCAGTGTTGATTGAGGAAACATCAGCTCCGTATGAAGTACCTGGTCCTCGTGAAGTCAAGCCTACTCTTTATTTACCAGCTTGGATTCATTTGAAACGTATTCGCCGTTTAACTTTGCTAGAGGAGGCGCTTGCTGAAAAAAGTGATCCAGCGAGACCTTTGTCAGGTGCTGCTACATTGGTTGAAGAACCCACATTGTTACCGTAAATCCTTTTTTCAAAAAGTGAGAAAAAAATAGTTTCTCCTGTAAAATATGCATATAATTAATATATATACACCGTGTTAGCACAACATTATAAAATAAATATTTAATCTAATTGAAATCTATCATCCGTCTACCATTTAGTAGAAAATAAACTTATCGGAGGTTGGCAATGAAAGCCAATCATCTACAGACGAGAATTTTTTAATGACATTAAGTTGGGAGGGGAGGGAGGGGCCTTTCTTTTTCACTATCAAATATCAAATTTCTCATTTTTTTTCTATGAATAAGCTTCCAAAAGAGACCCTAATACTACTTTTTTCACAACTCGATGTAGAAGATAGGCTCGAGTGCATTCTTGTTTGTAGAAATTGGTATACCGTCATCACCGAGAACATCCTTTACAAGAAACTCAACTTTAGCAATATTGACAGATTTAACAAGGCTATTGATTTGTTTGACGAAAAGCGATCTTTCGGGTGTTTTGTTAATGATTTGACAATCAAAGGCTGTGAAATTGATATATTTTCTATTTTATCAATGCCGAAGCTATTTCCAAATGTAAAAAATTTGTCTTGGGAGGAAAACATACGCTCTGAAAAAGAACTCATAGCAACAGATATTTCAATCAAGGATTTTCCACCACCACATGTGTATCATCGAGAATTTAAAAAATGGAACCACTTCAAAAGAATTGTTATTGGTCTAGAAAGGTTCCCGCTTATGTCAATGCTACTTGAATCGACATTACTACCTAATTTAACTTATCTCTGTATCGACTTCGAACAATTGCACATTGGCGAGAATTTATTTAAAGCAACAGTACTGAAGGTTCATCCGATTGTCAAGACAATAATCAAAAATTTAAAAAGTGCTCCTTCACTTAATTTTTTGGAACTTTATAATGCTGTGTTAGATTTGGACGACATGGAAGAGCTACATACATGTTTACCTATGTTGAAAGCAATTAAGACGTATTGTACATCCATTTACAGTGAATCTATGAAAACGATGTCAATCGGCGAGGACGGAAAGTCAATTCTGGACAGCGATGGTGTAGTGATTGCACAAGAGACAGCAAGTACCGTCGAGAAAGTTTCTTTCGATTTTTATGCTTCATATTCACCAGCAATTCATGACATACATAATGGATTGAAAGATACAATGATAAAATGGCTGCTTTACATTGGCTGCAAATATAACTCGGCTGAAATAATATTTAAGCAGCGATACATATTCTTGCCTGTGGTCCCTGAATTTGAAAACCCAATACTCACCATCATCAGCAAAATGTCAAATATCAAGGAATATGACTGCTCGCTTTACCCAATCACAAAGTCAATCATGGACGCAATGGACGCAAAGGATGAAACAAAAGGAAGACTAGAATATTTGCTTCTTTGTACACATGTGATAGAATCGATTAAAACACAGTTGCAACACGTAGGTGTATCAAAACAAGCAGAAACTATAAGTCGCCTGAGCTTGATGTCATATAGTATGCTGTTGAAAAATGGTCCGACACTGAAGTCCATCTTGTCTGGTTTGTCACAAAATTTTCAGTCTTTAATCAATTTGGAGTTAATATGTACTATACATCCTTGTGCACTGGTTGAATTGTTTCAAGCTTTACCTGCACTTCGAATTTTGACTTTGGATCATGTTAATTTTGATGAAAATGAAAACGTACCCGTGATGCCTATACCAAAGTGTCAAGTCCAGTCTTTAAGTGTCACCATTCACTGTAAAACCAACTCCACCATGCTTCAGCTTAACCAAGTTATGGAGTTCATATTACAATCATGCACTCTTCTAGCTGATTTTACGTTAAATGGGGATATACTGTCGTCAAATATTGGAATGCTGAGGCTATATTTCTTACAACATGAAAAACTAAAGAATATCACTATCGATGTTACAGGCGTTCAATACTATAATTTTCCTTGGAAGGATGGAAAGCAAGGAATACAGTGGACTGACTACAATAATCAAGTCGAAACAAATGATATTACTGGAAAAAAGTTGCATATTGATATTGCATGGAGCTCTAAAAATGTTGTACTTGACTTGGAAAAAGCCCCCGTAGAAGAATAGAGAATTAGTTTATTGTGTCTAAATATTTAATAAATTTTTGTTATGCCATCTGTGATACGCAACGAAACTTTATTGAAGCTAAAGATCTTGAGCTTCTAGGGTGATACAGCCACATACCTGTATGTTCCCTGTATGAGATATTGAAATCAAAAAAGATAACTGTAAACCGGAAAACTTACTTTCACATCTGGCTTACTACTTATAAAAACAGGTTTAAATGGAGTTTATGTGTTCAAAAGAATCCCAAATTAAAACAACTGATCAAAAACCAAGTTAATCAAGGTGCTCATAATATTAGCTGTACACGAATGATAAGACTAACATAATAAGCGCTCTATTCGTTGGACGTAACCTTAAAATATTTATTATAATCAAGCAATAATTAATACCAAAGTTGGTGAACATTTTTGTTTTGATGTTCATAGATGTATAACTATCATTGATCACATTTTTTCTTATTTATAGCCATCATTTTTTTAATCTTGTTTTTTTTCTTTTGCCCCATAATTTTTTTCTATGATTAAACTTCCAGCAGAAACCCTTATACTGGTTTTTTTAAAACTTACCGTAAAAGACAGGCTCGAGTGCATTCTTGTGTGTAAGAATTGGTATACGGTCATCACGGAGAACATCCTTTACAAGAAACTCAACTTTAGCAATATCGACAGCTTTAACAAAGCTTTTGATTTGTTTGACGAAAAGCGATCTTTTGGGTGTTTTGTTAATGATTTGACAATCAAGGGCTGTGAAATTGATATATTTTCTATTTTATCAATGCCAAAGCTATTTCCAAGTGTAAAAAATTTGTCTTGGGAGGAAAACATACGCTCTGAAGAACGACGCATTGCAACTGATATTTCAATCGAGGATTTTCTATCACCACATGTGTATCACCGAGAATTTAAAAGATGGAACCAATTCGAGAGAATCGATATTGGCCTAATAAGGTTTCCGTTTATGACAATGCTACTTGAATCGACATTACTACCTAATTTAACTTATCTTTGTATCGACTTCGAACAATTGCACATTGGCGAGAATTTATTTAAAGCAACAGTACTGATTGTCAAGACTTTAATCAAAAATTTAAAAAGTGCTCCTTCACTTAATTTTTTGGAACTTAATAATGCTGTGTTAGATTTGGATGACTTGGAAGAGCTACATACATGTTTACCTATGTTGAAAACAATTAAGACGTATTGTACATCCATTTACAGTGAATCTATGAAAACGATGTCAATCGGCGAGGACGGAAAGTCAATTCTGGACAGCAATGGTGTAGTGATTGCACAAGAGACAGCAAGTGCCGTCGAGAAAGTTTCTTTTGATTTTTATGCTTCAAATTCATCAGGAATTCATGACATACATAATGGATTGAAAGATACAATGATAAAATGGCTGCTTTACATTGGCTGCAAATATAACTCGGCTGAAATAACATTTAAACAGCATTACATATTCTTGCCTGAGGTCCCTGAATTTGAAAACCCAATACTCACCATCATTGGCAAAATGTCAGATATCAAGGAATATGACTGCTCGCTTTACCCAATCACAAAGTCAATCATGGACGCAATGGACGCAATTGATGAAACAAAAGGAAGACTAGAACATTTGCATCTATTAACAAATGTGATAGAATCGATTGAAACACAGTTGCAACATGCAGGTGTATCAAAACAAGCAGAAACTATAAGTCGCCTGAGCATCACGTCATATTCTATGTTGTTGAAAAACAGCCCGACACTGAAGTCCATCTTGTCTGGTTTGTCACAAAATTTTCAGTCTTTAATCAATTTGGAGTTAAGATGTACTATACATCCTTGTGCACTGGCTGAATTGTTTCAAGCTTTACCTGCACTTCGAATTTTGACTTTGGATTATGTTAATTTTGATGAAAATGAAAACGTACCCGTGATGCCTATACCAAAGTGCCAAGTTCAGTCTTTAAGTGTCGGCATTAATTGTGAAACCAACAGTACCATGCTTCAGCTTAACCAAGTTATGGAGTTCATATTACAATCATGCACTCTTCTAGCTGATTTTACGCTAAAGGGGGATATACTGTCGTCAAATATTGGAATGCTGAGGCTATATTTCTTACAACATGAAAAACTAAAGAATATCACTATCGATGTTACAGGCGTTCAATACTATAATTTTCCTTGGAAGGATGGAAAGCAAGGAATACAATGGACTGACTACAATAATCAAGTCGAAACAAATGATGTTACTGGAAAAAAGTTGCATGTTGACATTGCATGGATCTCTAAAAATGTTGTGCTTGACTTGAAAAAAGCCCCAGTAGAAAAATAAAAAAACAGTTTATTGTGTCAAAATATTTATTAAATTGTTTTTATGCAATCTTTGATATGAAACGAAACGTTATTGAAGTTACAGATCCTGAGCTTCTAGCGGGTGATACAGCCACATACCTGTATGTTCCCTGTATGAGATATTGATAATCAAAAAAGATAACTGTAAACCGGAAAACTTACTTTCACATCTGGCTTATTACTTATAAAAACAGGTTTAAATGGAGTTTATGTGTTCAAAAGTATCCCAAATTAAAACAACTGATCAAAAATCAAGTTGTTAATAATATTAGCTGTACACAAATGATAAGATTAATATAACAAGTGCTCTTTTGATTTGACGTGGTCATAATATATATCAAGCAATGATTGATACTAAAGTTGGTAATCATTATTGTTTCCATGTTCATAGATATATAAGTCCTCATTGACCATATTTTATTTTTTATTTTCTTTTGCTCCCAAAATTTTTTTTTATGATTAAACTTTCAGCAGAAACCCTTATACTGGTTTTTTTAAAACTCACCATAAAAGACAGGCTCGAGTGCACTCTTGTGTGTAAGAATTGGTATATGGTCATCACGGAGAACATCCTTTACAAGAAGCTCAATTTAAGCAATATCGACAGCTTTAACAGGGCTACTGATTTGTTTGACGAAAAGCGATCTTTTGGGTGTTTTGTTAATGATTTGACAATCAAAGGCTGTGAAATTGATATATTTTCTATTTTATCAATGCCGAAGCTATTTCCAAATGTAAAAAATTTGTCTTGGGTGGAAAACGTACGCTCTGAAGAACAACTCATGGCAACAGATATTTCGATTAAAGATTTCCTACAACCACATATGTATCATCGAGAATTTAAAAGATGGAACCAATTCGAGAGAATTGATATTGGCCTAGAAAGGTTTCCGTTTATGACAATGCTACTTGAATCGACGTTACTACCCAATTTAACTTATCTCTGTATCAACTTTGATCAAATACACGTTGACAACAGTTTTCTTAAGGCAACAGTATTGAAGGTTCATCCGGTTGTCAAGAAATTAATTAAACACTTAAAAAGTGCTCCTTCACTTCATCATTTAAAACTTATGTATGCTGTGCTAGATCTGGATGACATGGAAGAATTACATACTGGTGCAGCCAAGTTGAAAGTTATAGATGCGCACTGTACATCCATTTCTAATGAATTTATAAAAACGGTGCCCACTAGTGCAGACGAGAAGTCAATTGTAAACAGCAGCGATGTAGTGATTGCACGAGAGACAGAAAGTACCGTCGAAAAAATTTCTATTGACTTTTTTGTTTTATGTTCAGCAGGCATCTATGATATTAATGGTGAATTGGAAAATACATTGATAAAATGGCTGCTTTACATGGGCTGTAAATATAGATCGACCGAAATAATATTTAAGCAGAGTTCCGCGTACTTACCTGAAATCCGTGAATTTGAAAACCCAATACTCACCATCATTAGCAAAATGTCAGATATCAAGGAATATCACGCTTCCCTTTACCCAATCACAAAGTCAATCATGAACGCAATGGATAAAAAAAAGGGGAGATTAGAGCATCTTTATCTATATACAAATGCGATGGAATCGATTGAAGCACAGCTGCAACACGCAGGTGTATCGAAACAGGCAAAAACTATATGCTACCTGAACATCAAATCGGGAAATTTGGATTTAAAAAATGGCATAACATTACAGTCTATTTTGTCCGGTTTGTCTCAACGCTTCTGTTCTTTAAGTAATTTAAAGATAAAGTGCACCATGCACCATTGTGCACTAATCGAATTGTTTCAAATGTTACCATCACTTTTGGAAGTGTTCGTAGATGGTATTTGTTTCGATGCAACCGAAAACATAATCATGATACCTATAACAAGAACCAGAATTCAGTCTCTGTCGCTCACTATTTTATCCGCCACAGCTCCCGACATGCTTCAAGCAAATCAAGTGATGGAATTTATTTTACAATCGTGTCCTCTATTGAGCACTTTTACATTAAATGGATCTGTGTTCGAAATTGCAATTTTAAAACTTTGTTTCTTTTATCACCAAAAGCTGACGAAAATCACTATCAATGTTAAAAAGGTTCAATACTATACCTTTAATTGGGAAAACGAGAAACAAGGGCTTCAATGGGCAGATTATGATGAGATAGCTGAATCAAATGATATAACCGGAAGAAAACCTCATATAGACATAGCCTGGAGGGGTAAAAATGTCATACTGGTTTTAGCAAAAGCTCCTGTAACTATCTAAAGATATATTGCAATTTGTATGTCAAAAAATAAACTATCACTTGTATTGTCTCATTTTTAATGCTGTTTTCAGGATTACTAAAAATATGGCGAGTATTTTTTTGTGTAAATTGTATTTGTTAGCTTGTGATTTAGGGGCTTATTGTTCATTCGGATATTACATCCGACGAGCGGCACTTTTGTAGAAAGTCTGTTAGAGATATTGCTGAACGGGCAAATTAAAAATAGTAACAGAAGCTCAACATTTCGCTTTTGATCATTGCAATCGATAGATGGGTCAGGTAGTATTCTTTTTTTTTTCATGAAAATAAATTAAAAGCTATGTTCTATAGTTAGTAATTTCATATGGCTTATTTGTGGCTGTTGAGTTCGCTTGCTGGATTTATCATGACATGTAAGGTAGTACAACGTGAAAAAGGGTACAAGTCCTGCAGCAGCATACCAAGTATTTGACCTTAATGACAGGGAGTTTTAAGCATCCCTGATGAATAACATGTAACAGGAAGCAAAGGAGGTTTTGTGGACATGGTCCTTCCTTTTTGTTTGTTTTGTGTATTTGATGGTATTGCTTCATTGTCTAGTGGCAGGATAAAAGTAAACCCTTTGATCGCACTCAGGAATATTTATGAACCGAGAAACGATGGAAGGATAAATAAAGCGGTACGGATTTACTATGAAGGGATGCAAGTAAACGGTCCGTGTTTATGGACTGTAACAAACGGCTAAATAGTTGCAATTAAAACCTTGGTATAAGGTACACAAAAGGACCGAATTGAACACAATATATTTGTTTCTTTTTCGGTAGAATTTAAGTTCAAGTGGTTAATTGTTTGGAGTGGTAATCCGATAAAAAATAGTCTAAAAATAAAATTTATGGCAAGTTTTTTTTTAAGAAAAATATAATACAGGGATTTTTTTTTTATTGTGTATGTGAGTGCATATAGAGTACTAATGAGTATGATGTTTCTCGCCAGACCATATTTCGGCATTGTTTTTCGCCACTTCTTTCATGAAGGTAACTTGGTCAGCGACAGATTTGAGACCACCAAGAACAACGCCGTTACCGGTTGAGAAATTGTACATGTAATAATGAAGGCCGACGTCTTTACAGAACTGGCGAACAAGAGGCACACATTCGCGAAGGTTGTGTCGTGGGATTCTGGGGAATAAATGATGAACGGCTTGGTATTGAAGACCACCGTGGAACCAATCCAGCCATTCTGGACAATCAACGTCCATGGTTGTACGCAACATTTTGGCAGGGAAAGATTCATTGGGACCTTTGTCTTCGGTAGACATACCAAAGTGAGATAGAGTAATTTGTACATGAAGGGGGAATGTAAGCATATATGAAACAAAAATATAGGCCACACGGATTTTCCAAGTGGGAAGGTACGATAATAAGGTACCAAACCAGATAAAGAAGACGGTGATACCAGATAGTTCCAGTTTTCTGTTACGAACATTTTTTTCGGTCAAAAGATACACAAAAGACAACCGATGCAAATTGAATCTACCAAATGATAATACGAGATAATATAAATAATGTTGGTAACTAACAAAGAATCTTGCAGCGGCATCAAACGGAAGAACGCGCTTGTGATATGTTGAGTAAAGGTTGTTGAAGAATTTGTTTGTGATGGCGAAAAAGGGTAAATGTTGAATATCGGGATCGTGTTCAGGGTGATTTGTTACAATATGATGAACATTATGACTATGTTTCCACCATCCGATACTGAGACCACCAATAAAATCCGCAATGATGACACCGATGATATGATCAATTTCCACTTTACCCGTAATACCATTATGACCAGCATCATGAGCAGTAAACACTAGTTGATGCCAGAAAGCCGCCATAAAAGCGGCACCAGCCATATAATGCCATGTTTGAGTACCGTGTAAAGTGAACCACAGGGACAAAAAGAGTAAAGTAGTATATCGGCAACCTTCTTTAGCATATTTATAATAATTACATTCAAATAATCCGCGCGAGTGTATTTCTTGTTCCAACGAGCGATATGCTTCTCTAATTTTCATATTGTCCAGGTCCTGCTGAGCTTTAGAGTCTTCGACAAGATCTTTTGCGTGATGTTTATGTAAATCTTCAATGGCATCGTCGTATGCTTTTACGCTCATTCCTCCTTCCCAAGACAATTCAAGCACTGGTTGTTCAGTTTTTTGTTGTGTCTTTTTTGGCTTGGTCGCCAACTTTCGCGTAGAGATATCTGGCATATAGTCACCCAAATAATACAAGTTGATCATCTTTTCATAAACCTTTGGGGGATGCATGGAACGAATCTCATCAGTGACATCCCTACCAAGAGCACTTGCGATAGCTGCTGATCCACCAGGATGCTTTTCAATAAAGTTGTTGACCTTGTATACCTTTGACTCGTATATGAATACTTTGTCACCTCCCTTTATAAGTTCCTGAAACTTGTCTTGTGTTATCAAAGGGCGTGTTGATTCTGACAATATATCTGATGCCGTGTTAGGTGGCATTTTAAGTGGAAAATATATATATAAAAAAAAAAAGAAGATGAAAAAGAGAGAAAGAAAGAAGGAAAGGAGTTAAAGGAGTATGTGGAATTAAGGTCCAAAAATAAATATAAAAACGAGCGTGGTGTGGTACAGATTTAGAGTCGCCAAGAGAGAAGTAGTGGGAAGGGGGGGGGGGGGGTAATGGGGGGTTCGAACGCCGTTTTTTGTGTATCTGCAATTTTAATTAAATAACCAATGAATCCACATGGGGTGTTTCAAATTCAATTCTAGTGATTGGGCTACACTTTGAACGCATTATTATTATTATATCAAAGCCCAAAACTATCAAAGACGCATGTGGCTGCGAAAATTACAAATAGTCCTAATGCTTACATATTCATGTCCATACCTCACCTAATCATTTTATTTTGTTACCATATACACAAATAAACAGATCAAATCTCACTCAATTCTTTTTATACTTTTAAGGTGCGAGGTTTCACAAGATCAGAGAAATTTCTCTTATATCCTTTTTTTTGCTTAAAAAAAACAAGCTTTTCTTGGTTTTTTTCATAATACAATGCTGCGAATCAATTCAATGCATATACATTATGCTTTAAAGAGAGAAAGAGCTATTCAGTTAAAAAAATAAAGATGCACACGTGTATTAAAGAAAGACTGGATTAATCACTTATTTCCCCAAACGGCGTATAGTAATTTACACAAGAACACCTATCAACGGGTATACAAGCTTCTCAGTTCTCCATAGAAAAAAAAAAGAAAAAAAAAAGGCTTTTTCTCCTTTCCTGATCCAGTCATTTGATACATGAACATATTATTGACAAAAAATGGTGATCTGATTTCACCAATCAGTTACACTAGCTTCGTTGAGAATAAGTATCTGGATCGAGCTATTTATCCCAGAGTGCCCCTGATTCAATCCACGACTTTATTTCTTATCGTTAAAGAGACAATTAGCTCAATCTATAATTGACATCATCGGTAAAGTGCCTGCAGACACTTTGTCAGATCCGAATATATGCTATATATTACGTAATGGTGGCTTGAGAATACACTGTTAAAGCCACTATAGACCATAGCTGTGGAACAAAAAAAGTAGGTAAAATCAATGGAGCACAGAGCATGACCTGTCTGCTCATTTTAGATTTTTTAATTGGCCTTACCTGACAGTGGACAAATTGGGTATCCGCCCAAAATTAAAGCTTATTCTAAGCCCAACCCCTCCCCCCATTTTCACAGTAACTCTTAAAATGGCTGCAAAACAAGAAGGATCTAAACTTAGTAAAGAGAGAAAAAGCAGACTGTCAAACACTTTACTTTAGTATAAAAAGCAAGCAGTTACCAGCTCTTTTTCTTTTGATCCATTTCAGAGTACCAGCGATTAAGAGTGCCAGAGTTTTGCGCTAATAAAAACGGCTAATTTGGGCCACCCAATGATATCATTTGTGAGTAGCGGTTATGGCATCATACACTTATTGCTAAAACCGTTTGATATATTTTTTTTAGCAAATTTCGATTTACTGGATTTTATTCTGTTATCAGAGATAGTCCTGCCTTATGCTAAGGAAGGATGGTTGATTATGAGCTGAAGATTGACTTCTATTTATGAGTCATTTTGTTTATGTAAGGCCAAATAGTCACCAGCTGCTTACGAAGATTCCAAGGAATTTAATAGAAGATGAAATAGGCTTAGTGGTTGTTTTGTTTCAGCATCGTAGGTGATTTCAGGACCGTCTTTTTCGATTTCTGACATAATCTTTATAATACCGTTATAGGAAGCTTTTTTAATCTAAGCCATTTACATGTATCATCGAAGACATTTCAACATACTTTCCAGTAAGAATATTTTTCGTTACAAAAACATCAATATCCTAGTAATGTTTGAGTCATCATTGTCCGCATGTATTATGGGCTATGTTGCAGACGAAAAGTAGTTTGTAGACTTTACTTGTCATTTTCAGTTTTATTTATAGATATTATCAGATTATAAATAATTAAAATAAATTTGGTCCCTCCTCGCATGTTTTTCTAGAAAAAATAGAAAAAAAAAAGATAGAAATATTTTGAGGCACACAAAAATAATGAATAATGAATTATAGCTAACAGAACAAACAACAAGAACAAGGAACAGTGCTTTATGATCTTTTGTTTATGTATCTGTCGGCGCTGATTGAAACGACGATCAGCGGTAGTTTTTGGATATTCAGGTACCAATTTTTATTGTAGAGTAAACAATAAGCCAGATTTTTATTGTTGATTTGTTAGTAAACACATAGTTCCCCGTGACCAAAAAAGGAAAATGGTGACACCATAGTATAAGTTTGTTAATGCATTCTAGGTATATGGTAGGGAGACTAATTTAGCTGTGATAAAGACGTTATCTTGTAATTTTTCAAACACAGAGGGTTGGTAAAAGTTTTTTTTTTTTTTTTTTGAAAGCTTGAACATCAAATTTACATAATGAAATTGGTTACACAATTCACTAGTTTTAAGAATATAGTGGATAATACATAACTAAGATCTTACAGAACCCAAAATCGTTAAATATAGAGCGTCAATACAGATGGCTTTTGTTATTTTTGAGTCTGTAAATATGTCCCGGTCAAATTGCACGATTTGGGTAAATCATACATTCAAACAAGATTGAAAACAGACCTGTATAGATCACAAACAGCCAATCAAATCAAGCTAAACCTGATCTACACAACTTAGAATGCCTGACGTAAAAAAAAAGAAAAAAAAACCTAAGCAATGATTCACACCGAATTTTTTATACGGATAGTATATTTATTAGCTTCATGGCAGGAAATGAAAAAAACCATGAATATTATTGTTAGCTGATTTGATTGTTTGATATTCATATGCATTAAATATAATAAAGAATACGTATATGTACATTGGCAACGTTTACATATAATCAAATTTTCCAAATTTACTGCTGCGGTGATTCTATAATCTTTTTTTATTTTGCTGCGGTTGACAAAGAATCTTTAAATTAGCAGATCTCAAAAACCAAACAAAAAATAATAAAATAAAAAAAAAAGGTGCTTTTTAATTCTTCATTACATTATTCTATGGAGCAAAAAAAGTATACTCGTCTACCGGATAATTCAATAAATTCTATAAAAAACTTTCCTCCATCCGAAAGTACTGTTGGAAGTTCTGACGAGAAAGCGAACTATGGCACCCAAGATACCTACGGCGAATTTGAAGCAAATCAAGTTTCTATAAAAGGTTTTTATTTTAGAATTTGCTTATATGTGTTGTATCTTTATTTATAAAACAAAAATGAGTAGATGCCAAAATTGAATATGAAGAACTTCGCCGGGATCTCAGCCGTCAGAGTCAACGTCATTCCCAGTCAATGGCCGAACAAGGTCAGGCTAATACTGAAGATTTCAATCTTGATCAATTCCTACATGGCATTTCAAGACAGCAAGATGCTAGTGGTCATAAACGTAAACACATTGGCGTTTCTTGGAGAAACTTGCGCATAGAGGTAATGAACAATTTCCTTTTTTAAAAGTAGAAGAACACATGTACTTATATTGTTGTAAATAGGGTTTAGGAGCTGATGCTTATACTATCCCGACTGTTATTAGTAACGTTGTATCTATTTTAAAGTTTTGGAAGTACTTCAACAAGAAAAGTGCCAACCCAAAAATTATTATCGATAATATTACAGGTTGTTGTCGAGATGGAGAAATGCTTTTAACTCTGGGTCGACCTGGTGCCGGTTGTACATCTTTTCTTAAAGTCATAGCCAACATGCGAGATTCTTATACACATATTGGTGGCAGCGTAACCTATGGGGGTATTGATCATCAAACATTTGCTCAAAGATACAGAGGCCAAGTGTGTTACAACGAAGAAGATGATCAACATTATCCTACTCTCACCACAAAGCAAACACTTCAATTTGCTCTTCGTACCAAAGCACCCGGAAAGCGTACAGGCAACGAGACCAAGGACGATTTTGTTGACCGCATTTTGTATATGCTCGGTAACATGCTGGGTTTAACCAAACAAATGGATACCCTTGTCGGCAACGCCTTTGTTCGGGGTCTCTCCGGTGGTGAACGTAAACGTCTTTCGATTGCCGAACAAATGGCAACTAACAGTGCTGTAAATTGTTGGGATTGTTCTACACGTGGCCTGGATGCTGCTTCAGCTTTAGATTATGTTCGCTCATTAAGAATTATGACGGATATTTTTGATATTACAACTATTGTCACACTTTATCAAGCATCCAACAGTATATTTAATTTATTCGACAAAGTGCTTCTTTTAGACGAAGGCTATTGTATCTATTTTGGACCTGCCAAGGATGCCAAATCATATTTCGAAAATCTTGGATTTTATTGTCCTCCTCGTAAATCAACACCCGATTTCTTAACTGGACTTTGTAACCCCATCGAACGTGAATATAGACCTGGATACGAAAACCGTGTTCCCAAACACGCCTCCGAGTTTCAACAACGGTATCAAGAATCCGAAATTTGTACACAAATGCATCAAGATCTCGCCGATTTCGAGCACACAATTCAGCAAGAAAACAAGGCCGACCAATTCAAAGATGCTGTGCATGAGGAGCATCAAAAGCGAGCTAATAAAAATACCCCATATATCGCTTCCTTCTATCAACAAGTCAAAGCCCTTACGATACGTGAACATCAACTTTTGATCAAGGATCGAGAAGCTCTTATTTCTCGTTATGGTACCATGTTCATCCAAGGATTAATTACTTCCTCTTGTTTTTTCTCTCTACCACTGAACGGGAGTGGTGCTTTCTCACGTGGTGGAGCTCTCTTTTTTTCTGCCATCTTTAATACGTTTATCTCTCAGTCTGAACTTGTACGGTTCTTGATGGGCCGTCCTATTCTTGCAAAACATAAGCAATATGCTTTATACCGTCCTTCCGCTTACTATGTTGCTCAAGTACTAATGGATGTACCTTATTGTCTTGCTCAAGTCATGGTGTACCAACTTTGCTCTTATTTTATGATGGGTCTTAACCTAACCGCCGGTCGATTTTTTACTTCCTACTTTATTCTTTTTATGCTGACCATGTGTATGAACGGATTCTTCCGATTTTTTGGCTCCATCTCTCCAACATTTTTTATTGCCACCCAAATTACGGGTGTTATGATGATTGCAACTACAACTTATACGGGCTATACCATTCCATTTCAAAAGATGCATCCTTGGTTATCATGGATTTATTTCGCAAACCCAATGACGTATGCATACAAGGCTTTAATTTCAAACGAAATGGAAGGTCAAGTGTACTCTTGTGAGGGTCTCGGTAATGCCGTGCCTTTTGGTCCCGACTATCAAGACTGGAATTACAAGGTGTGTACTATGGCGGGTGGTACCCCTGGTGAACCCTTTGTTCGAGGCGACTCTTATCTTTCCACCGCATTTTCTTATAACGCAAAAGATTTGTGGGCACCCGATATCATTGTGGTCATTGCCTTTTTTATTTTATATACCGTCTTGACTGCCATGTCCATGGAATGGTTAAAGTCCTCGGGTTTTGCTTCCTTGACCAAACTTTATCTACCAGGAAAAGCACCCAAAGCCCGTACACCACAAGAAGAAGAAGATCGTCGTCGTAACCAAGATGAAATTACTAATAATATGGAAAGCATGTCTACTGGAACCACTTTTTCTTGGCAGCATGTGAAGTATACTGTACCCATTAAAGGTGGACATCTTCAACTTTTGAATGATATCAATGGTATTGTAAAGCCGGGTCATCTGACTGCTTTAATGGGTTCTTCTGGAGCAGGCAAAACCACACTTTTGGATGTTCTTGCCCGTCGAAAGACACTTGGTACTGTCGAAGGTGATGTCTTTCTTAATGGAGAAGCCTTGATGACTGACTTTGAACGTATTACTGGTTACTGTGAACAAATGGATGTGCATCAGCCTGCTGTTACAGTTCGAGAAGCACTTCGATTCTCTGCTCAGTTACGCCAACCTTCTGAAGTTCCTTTACAAGAAAAAAATGACTACGTTGAACAAATTATCCAGCTCTTGGAAATGGATGATATCGGTGATGCTCAAATTGGCGAGGTCGGAGCAGGCTATGGTATCTCTATTGAAGAGCGTAAAAGGCTAACGATTGCTATGGAATTAGTGGGTAAACCCCAGCTCCTGTTCTTGGATGAACCTACATCTGGTCTTGATGCACAAAGCTCTTTCAATATTATTCGCTTTATTCGTAAATTGGCTGATGCGGGTTGGCCTGTACTCTGTACCATTCATCAACCTTCGGCTATTTTATTTCAGCATTTCGATCATCTCCTGCTGCTTGTACGTGGTGGTAGAACTGCGTATTATGGTGAAATCGGTCAAGATTCTCGTACCATGATTGATTATTTCGAATCCAATGGAGGGCCTAAATGTTCTCCCGATGCCAATCCTGCGGAATATATTCTTGAAGTTGTAGGTGCTGGTACTGCGGGTAAAGCTAACAAAGACTGGGCCGAAGTTTGGAAAGGATCAACCGAATCAAAAATGCTCGATGCCGAATTGGAAAAGATTAATCATGATGCAAATAAGCACCCTACACGTATTGCCAAAACCTACAGCACTTCCATGACCACACAATTTCGACTTGTCTTTGGTCGTATGTCTCTTGCATACTGGCGGTCGGTGGATTACAACATTGGAAGATTTCTCAACCTGATGTTTACTTCCTTGATTACGGGTTTTACGTTTTGGAAATTGGGACATTCTTCTTCTGATATGATGAACAAAATCTTTGCATTGTTTGGTACTTTTATTATGGCTTTTACTATGATTATTATGGCGCAACCCAAGTTTATGACCGAACGTATCTACTTTAGACGTGAGTATGCTTCCAGTTATTATGGTTGGATTCCTTGGGGTATCTCTGTTATCTTGGTGGAGATTCCTTACATCTTTGTGTTTGCTGCCACTTACATGGTTGGATTCTATTGGACCGCAGGTATGGAAAATACAGCAGCTGCCTGCGGCTATTTTTACATTATCTTTGTCATGCTTGTCTGTTGGGCCATTACCTTTGGTTTCTTGATCGCGGCTGTAGCAGAACAGCCTACCATGGCCGCCTTGGTGAACCCGTTAATCATGTCTATCCTGATCTTGTTTTGTGGTCTGATGCAATCTGCTAAGGCTATGCCAAAATTCTGGAGCTCTTGGATGTATGTGATTGATCCATTCCGATACTACGTGGAAGGCTTAACCGTGAATGAACTAGAGCATCTGAAAGTGGAGTGCTCCGACTCTGATCTCTTGAGATTTACACCACCACCCGGAAAGACTTGTGGAGAGTATACACAAAAGTTCTTTCAATTAGGTGCTACAGGCTATATCAGTAACCCAGGTGCTATCTCACCAGAGCAATGCGGATACTGCGCTTATAGTACCGGATCCGAATTTTATGAGACACAATTAGGTTGGAGTGTTGACAACAAGTGGCGAAATTTAGGTATCCTCTTTGCGTTCTTTGTTTTTAATATATTTCTTTTCCTTGGTCTTGTCTACTGGAAGAGAAAAGGAAGACGTTAAAGTTTATGATGACAACCAATTTATGAAAGTTAATAAAATCAATTTAATATGTTATTGTTTATTATTTAATCCGTCTTTGCATACTCGACTAACTCTAATTTAGCTTTATCTACATCAATACAGCAAATGATGATGGTGGCAATGATGAATAAGGCAAGGATAAATGGCCAGCCATTCCAGATATTTGATGTGGATTGCGTGATGGCAGCAATAACAACAGGTCCAATCCAAGAGGATGCCTTATTGACAACACCAAATAATCCAAAGAAGAGGTTTTCTTTACCTTTGGGCACGAGTTCAGCCAACATCGTTTGCTGCCATGCCCAAATAGGAGCAGTAAACAATCCTTGCCAAATATTCAGCACCCATAATTCCCGATGTGTCTTAAAAATCATAAGAGTGAGTAATATAATGATAAAAGGATTTAGAGATTTTACTTATTACCTTGATGCCAAAGTTATCAAAGTGGATACCAAAACATCCCCAGACAGGCACAAGACCCGTCAAACCCACAATAATTAACAAACTTGTCTTTGTCCTGATTTGAAACTTCTTCGAGATCCATAAAAAGAACAAGCAACCCATGATTGAGGTGATGGCTGTGACTAAATTAAAAATGGTAATTTGTTGTGCAGAAAACCCAGTGAGTTCCCCCTGAATAATTGTCGTCATCTGTCCAATGGTTGAGACCGCATCGGAAAACATAAAGTAAGCAAATATATACATGAACAAGTATCGAAGTTTACGCGCTTCTCGGAGTGCTTCTAATATTGATTTCCAACCGATTGTGAAATGATTGGCATTGGCAGGTAAAGGAGGCCCCCTTCTTCCCTTCGGTGTCAGCCAAAAGTAAGGAAGTGCGTTGATAGCCCAATAACCAGCACATACAACTGTGCCAATGTAATTATAAAGCGGCGCATTACCTAATACATGCGTGACCCCTTCAGGAAAGTCATATTTTCCTTCCCATGGTAAAAATGAAACACCAGATAAAACACCTGAAGTAACCAAATAACCAATATTGGAAAAAGTGGTAGAAATAGCAGAGATATGGTTTCGCCATTTCTCTGTCACACCATCTTTTTCTTCCGTCGTTAGTGATTCATCGTATTTTGACTGCCTAACAATTGGCAGATTATCACTAATATAAAGAGAAAAGGGTTCATTTAGATACATAAGAGGGGCGGATGCAATTTTCTTTGGTACCTTAGATTTGGAAATGCAGCAGAATAAAAAACTAGTGACGCGCCATATGAAATAAGAGCTATACTCATGATACCCATCATGTAATTCCAGTGTGTACCGTCATCATTGACCAGCAATATGGGTAAGGCTTGAAATATGCAACCAATGATGGTGGCTGCCAAAAGTATATAGCGATTCCATTGACCGTAATCCGCCAGACTACTAAAAGTTGTGAATAACAAAAATTGGATGGAAAAGGCAATGGCTTGCACGTAAAGTAGCATGGATTGAACTGGAATTCCGCTAGGAGAATGAATCCAGTTTACGTTACAAGGTTTAAAGGTGTCTTGTAAATCACAGCCTCTTACGGTGGGTGTATCTGGATTGAATCCTCCTCGATAAGCGAGATACTGAAGTATGATTGGCATATAACTGTAGATGGTGTATCCATTGTTCTACATATGAGAAGGGGTTTAGAATTAAATATTATAATTGTCTTTTATTGTTGCTATTCTTACACCATTGTAATACAGGTAATAGCCCCATAATTCAGCTCGAGTGGTGGGCGGTTGTTCAAACAGAGAATCATGACTGATGTTATCTTCTTCCTTGAACAGAAATGGATCTTCCTTGATCTTTTCAATTGATGTATTATTATCCATTTCAAATATTTAAGAGAGAAAAAAAAAGAGGAAAAGGAGGTAAAAAAGGCAAAATCCAAATATCTTTTTCTTCCCTGTTTTATGTACAAAATTTTTATTATTTATTTCAATCAATCCTCAAGCTGATCCAGGACTGGTAGAATGTTTTCCCAAATGGATATGCTCTAAAAGGGTGAAGGGAGAGAGAGAGAGGGTTAGGACGGAGTTTAAATAATAAACACATAAACAAAATAACCTTTTTATAGAAATCAATATGACAATCAGCATAAGCGGTCAATCCTTGCTTTAATTCGATCTCTCTTGCACGTTGGAATATATCGTATTCTTTAATCATCTGACTTGAATAACTGTTATTATCATCATTGGCCTTAGCGACATTTTCTTCCAATTCCTTGATTTTTGTATCGAGACGAAATAATCGTTCATTTCTAGCTCTATTATGATCATTCATTTTATCGGTCATGAATTCACTGATGTTCATATTGGCACTACCTTTATTTGGATGTAAGATGCGTTCCTTTTCGAGCATGATAGCCTGTAGAGAGGTGGACATGTCTTCGAAATCCACCTGTTTCTGATCTCGTTCTGCTAGTTTGTCTTTGGCGGCGTTGCAATAATTGAGCAATTCATGGACATCATTCAAAAACAAGAGATCCTCCTGTTTTCGCTTTAAAAAGGTAGAGTATGAACAAAAGGGAGAAAGAAACATCAATGGTCTTACTTACCATCTCTTTCAATGCGTCAACATAGGACTCTGTGGCTTCAGCAAATTGTCTTAGAGGTTGATCCACGTTGGATTCCAAAGCAGACAAGCCTCGAATACTTCCTGCAAAATGACCATAATTGGTTTCGAGTTCTTGCTGTCTTTTACCGATCCTTGAATACAGTTTTTCCACAATATTCAGATTGTCTCCAAATTTGTCAATGGATTCCTTCATTTCTACGAATTTCTCATCTGGTTTCTTGACTTTGGCATAGGTCTTAAAGAATGATCCGAAGACCGAATTATGATTGGGTGCATTTTTCGATTGGATGCTTTTATCCTGTTTCTGTATGTGTTGTATGCGTAAGAGAAAAATAAAGGAGAGTAATATCAAGAATAGCTTACAAAGTCTGTGGATTCGAGAAATATACGAGTATAAGTAGAGGATTGTAGAAGCGGATGTCTTGCAATTCTATCCATAAACCATTGCAGTCTTTTTTTTTTAGAGTTCGGGTAGATTAGTATAAATACAAACCATGGGCGTAAAAATAATAAATAAATACCCTAAACGTCTTTGCTCAATAAACATTGGATTGAATCGATCACCTTTCACATACTCTTAGAGAAAACAAATAAATATTAAACTTTTTTTTTTTTTTTTTGCACACCCTCTCATCAAATGACTTTTTTAGTGGAATTTACTCATGCGATGCTTTTCTGGTAGTGGTGGTATAACACAGGCAGGAAATTCAATGGTCAATGCATTATGAAGCCACAAGAAATCTCGAAATCGTCGTCGTACAGGTCTCTTATCTTGTGAGTAAATTTCTAGATTTGTCTAGGGGGAAGAGATAATTAAATCAATATGCCTTTATAATTTATTAGAAGACAACATACCATGGTGAACACTCGGAAGGTAATGAAGGCACCGTCGGGGCTCTTTTGTGCATCGTCCACCTTGACAGTCATGGGCTCAGCTTTAAACTCATCTTGTAATGGCTCTTGTTGTTGTTTAGAGTTGCTTACATCACCATAAAAAGGATCAAAAGTACTGGACGAAGCTAGATTCTACTTTATAAAAGTTAGTCTATAAAGAAGTCATTGCTTTTGCGTCCAGTTTGTTTACTTGGTCATAAAAAGAAGACCCAAAGTTATCCGAAGTGGTCCATGTTGGTTCTGCTTCATATTCATTCATTGCTGTGTTGTAAAAAAAAAAAAGATAAACAAGTAAAAGAAAGGGTATTTAAAAGGCGACACAGCAAAAGCATTTTTTTGATGGTCATTCTTTTTTTATTATTATTTATTTATTTTGCTCTACTACAACATCTGGTCTATTACTAAACAATGAGTAGTCTTTATTATGGCTAGCATATGTTTTCTTTGCTTTACAAATATTACATGTTGTCACGGCTGTTACCACAGGTTTAGCTAACAAACAAAATTTAGCTGCCGAGATTGAAATTGTTACACACCGCACATATAATCACACTTACATTTAACGCGCGTGGAGGAGGTAATAGCAGGCAAAAGCGGTGTCTCGCATCGCTTACACACAAACCTTTTGACACTAGGATCTCTATAAAAATGCTTTTAACAACTCACCTTAAAAAAAGCCTATAAAAGAAAAACTTACAATCGCATGACAAGACGTGAGGTAATTTGCTTCATATTATTATTAAAATAACGAGCAGGTCCAAGCACTGTCCCTGCTGGATCACCTTTCCATTTCAAAACTGCTTTATGCTTTGTCTGTTCTTTCTCTTTCTGCTCGTAGCGAACGGTCGACATGAGTATCGATGCTTGATGTAAAAAAGCAAGACGATCAAAGGCCTGAACATTTTTGGGATTCACTCCCACAGGTCTTTCTTTTTTCGCTGTCGTTGCTCTTGCCATGGTTTTAAATTAAGGAGACTCTTTAGCCTTTATGCAAGGTAATATGTACACCCTATATTTTCTGTTATAGGGAGAGATAGAGGTAGAGTGATAGTTTAATAGAGAGGGGGCTTTGGTAGATCGTGACTGCTTATAATCTTCCTCAGTAAAAAAAAAAAAAAAAAAAAAAAAAAAAAGAGTAAAAAAATCAAGGGCAAAAAAATAAAGTAGATCTCGAACCCCTTTTTTTTATTAATTGTATATTAAAAATGGCCTCACTCTATAATTTCAAAAAGATCGAGCCAGTGCCCACTGCTTCCGACTTTGTGGACATTATCTTGTCCAAGACTCAAAGAAAGACCCCTACTGTCATTCACAAGAATTACAATATTGGTCGTATCAGACAGTTTTATATGCGTAAAGTCAAATTCACCCAAGAAAACTTCGAGGAAAAGTTCAAAAACATTTTAGACGAGTTCCCCAAGCTCGAGGTAAACCACTGACTGACCGGAGGCAATTTTCCTTGTAACTTACAGACTTTAATAGGACATCCATCCTTTTTATGCCGATCTTATGAATGTATTGTACGATAGAGATCATTACAAGTTGGCTCTGGGTCAAATCAACACAGCACGTCATTTAATCGATCAAGTCGCCAAAGATTACGTTCGTCTTTTGAAGTTTGGTGATTCACTCTACCGTTGTAAGCAGTTAAAGAAGGCTGCTTTGGGTAGAATGGCCACTGTCATGAAGCGTCAAAAGGACAGTTTAGCTTATCTCGAACAAGTCCGTCAACATTTGTCTCGTTTACCTTCCATCGATCCCAACACACGTACCTTATTGATCTGTGGTTACCCCAACGTTGGTAAATCTTCATTCATCAACAAGATCACTCGTGCTGAAGTTGATGTTCAACCTTATGCTTTCACCACTAAGTCTCTCTTTGTCGGTCATATGGATTACAAGTACATGAGATGGCAAGTCATTGATACCCCAGGTATTTTGGATCACCCCTTGGAAGAGCGTAACACCATTGAAATGCAATCGATTACTGCCATGGCTCATTTAAGATCTTGCATCATGTATTTCATGGATTTATCAGAGCAATGTGGTTATAGTGTTGAGGATCAAGTCAAGTTGTTCCACAGCATTAAGCCTCTTTTTGCCAACAAGCCCATTGTCCTTGTCATTAACAAGATCGATCAAGTCAAGCCTGAAGATCTCCCCGAGGAGCAAAGAAAGTGGATTGAAGAGATTGCTGCTGAAGAGAATGCTACTGTCTTGACTATGTCTTGTTACAATGACGAAGGTGTTATGAGTGTCCGTAACAATGCCTGTGATAAATTATTAGCCGCTCGTGTTGAAATGAAGATGAAGGGTAACAAGATTAACGATGTTATTAACAAGATTCATTTGGCTACACCTCAACAACGTGATAATGTTGCTCGTCTTCCTAATATTCCTGCCGAGACAAAGACACGTGTGAAATATGACAAGAATGATCCTAACCGTCGTCGTCTTGAGCGTGATATCGAAGAGGAGAATGGTGGTGCTGGTGTCTTTAACGTGGATGTCAAGAAGAAGTACTTGTTGGAAGACGATGAGTGGAAATACGATACCATCCCCGAATTCTTGGACGGTCATAATGTTGCTGACTTTATCGATCCCGAGATTGAAGAGAAGTTGGAAGCCTTGGAGAGAGAAGAAGAACGTTTGGAGGCAGAAGGTTTCTATCAATCTGACGATGAGATCTTGGATGATGAGGAAGAGATTCTTCGTACTGCTGCTGATGCTATTCGTGATCGTAAGAAGTTGATTGTACAAGCTCATCGTGCTGCTCGTGGTAGAACAAGACCTACCTTACCCAAGACCACAGCTGCTAAATTCTCTACAGTGAATGAGATGGGTGAACATTTGGAGAGTATGGGTATTGATGCTACTGATGCTGCTGAGCGTACACGTAATGCCGCAGCGGGTCGTAAGCGTACACGTAACGAAGCTATTCCTGATCAAGCAGTACGTGATGTGGATGTGAATGAACGTGATGAGGCACTTACAGAAGAGATGAGTAACCTTGGTTTCCGTAATGTTAAACAAAAGTTGGAGGCCGATAAACAAAAACTTCGTGCTCAAAAGCCAAGTGCGCTTATGGGTAAGCGTGGTGAATCTGACAGACAAATTCAAACCAAGATGCCCAAGCATTTGTTCAGTGGTAAACGTGGTATGGGTTCTACTGATCGTCGTTAAAGAAACCAAAAAAACCTTTTTAGAATATACACATATAAAAAAAAAAATCAAATAAAAAAAGTATTATAGAACAAAAAATAAGTTTTTTTTTAATAATTAAAATATGAGATGCAAAAAATTTAAAAGAGAGAGAGAATGAAATATTAGATAAATAAATAGAAAAATTTAATCCTTACGCTTGTAGAAACGTCTCCACTTGTCATCGATCTTTTCGATGTAGTAGGTACCGGTGGCAATGGAGTCAAGGCTACCAGTAGGAACCATATCACAAGCATTGTGAGTGTTTTCACGAATCTTCATGGCAGCAGCGAATTCTTCGGGCTTGGTGAAGGTACGCTCATCAAGACGTTGGCGGAGGTTCAACTTAGACTTGATTTCTTCAGTGGAACTACGAACACGGAATGAGATCATGGAAGCAGCTAAACCAGAACCATAAGAATACAACATGATACGCTTATTTAAGAGAGTCTCGGAATCAACTTCAGACACAAGAGAAGCTAAACCAGCCCAGACAGCAGCAGTGTACATGTTACCGATTTGCTTGGGAGCATAGGCAGCAGGACCAACCTTTTGAGCATAACCAGCCTTAGTTAAACCCATCAAGGCTCTTTCTAAATCCTTGTTCTCGAGAGAATCAGCATAAGACATCTCTTCAAAAGCCTTGAGGGAAGCAAACTTTTCATTGTCACTGTCGCGGAGGAAATCGTTATAAGACTACATATAATAAAATAATACGTTAAATCAGGGGTCGGGGGCACAAATATATATTATAAATAATAATCAAAAAGGGACTTACAGCACGAGCAAAGGACTTGTTGACCAACTTGGCATAAGGAGAGTGACAAACAACATAATCAATATCATCCATACTAGGCTTCTCCTTGTTTTCTTGCTTGGCTAAACGAGTCATGTAACGGTTGTAACAAGAGTCGAAAGCACGAATATAACAAGTGTTTGAGAATTTACCGTCAACAACGGGGTATTCAGAATGCATGTCAGGCTTGTAGAAATCATAGGCATGTTCCATGTGAGTACCACGAAGACCACGTTCAACCACAATAGGAGCATCCTTACCAATCAACATGGCAACAACACCGGCACCGGAAGTAGGACGAGCAGCACCAGAGGCATAAAGAGCAAGATCACCAGCAACAACAATAGCAAAACGACCATCCCAAGAAGAGGACTCAATCCAGTTCACAGCGTTGGAGAAGGCAGCGAAACCACCATAACAAGCATTAGTAGTATCAATACCTTCAATCTCAGTGTTACCGTGTTCGGTGAATAAGGTCATTAAACAGGTCTTGACGGACTTGGACTTGTCAATAATGGTCTCAGTACCCACTTCGAGACGGCCAATGTCAGTGTAGGCAATGTTGTGCTTCTCCATCAAACTTTGCACGGCTAACATTTAGATTAGACGACGCCCCTTTTTTTATTTATAATCGCTCTCTTACCTGTCAAACAGACGGATTGAATATCTTCACGATCATCAATGAAGGCCATCTTTTCTTGACCGAGACCAATGGTATATTTACCAGCGCTGACACCGTCAAAAGTCTCCATCTCGGTTTGACTGACACACTATAATGTTAATGTTAGGGCAATGGACTACCATAATGTGATATAGCTTAGTTACTCTCTTGGGGAAATACATTTCCATGGCCAAGACACCGACATTCTCGGGATAGTTGTTATATGAGACAGTCATTTTAATGAAGGAAAAATAAAAAGGAAGAAGAGATTAATTTTTTTTTTTTTGCGCGTGCTTCCAACTTTTTATTGTTAAACAGAAAAATTTAGGCTTTCCGATATGAGCCAATCAAACAAACTCAGTGAAAGCTGTGTCAACTTCCGTTGTTATACAAGAAGGAGGAAGGGACAGAGTTTTTTTTAAGGTTGGTATCAAGATAATTTGACGACAAGGCTGTGTAATGTAAGTATAAATATAGACAACAAGAGTTAAAGTTAGCTTTACCAATCGTTATCTGTTCCCTCGGATTGCCTTGCAGCGTCTAAATCCTCAGCTGATATTGTACAGAATTCATCGTTTGCTGCTGGATCACGATAGATGAACAAGTCTTCGGTAGGATCATAACCAATCAAGACGATAAAATGGCCCAAGTAATCGTTGCCTTTGAACTTTTCGTAAATCATGTCGATATGACCACACATGGAGCCTAAACAGCCTCTTGTCTTCTAAATCAAATCAGTCCATCGTTTACATATTAAAATAAGGAGGGGGTTGTGCGTAAAGAATTTACTCTGCATAACTGACATCTTAGTAGACGAGCATTCACCAATGTGATGATGGCAAACTTCTTACAGTACAAGAACCGCTTAAAGTCATCCAAAGGCAACATCCTTACAATTTCATATATCAGCAGAGTGTTATACAATCTTTTTTGTTTGTACTTACATTCGTACGACATGCACGGAACAGCTCTTGGCAATAGCAAATAATTTATTCACTCTCTTTTCATCTTCATCAAAATTATCTTGATAAAACTTTTGATCCTGGTATTCTTTACGGCTTCCTAAATAACTTGTATAATACGTGAAATCTTGCACATAATTACGAAGTAAAAATGCTAAATCAATTGTCCATACGCTGTTCACCGGACACTGTCGAGCCATATCTTCCAAATTCACGCTGAATCCTAGCCCTCGCAGTGTCATTACCACACACGCCAATCCACAATCCCAGCTTGTGTCCTTTTTGTTGTTAAAAGAGTCATTATCGATCCTAATGTTTGTGTATATGTGTATGTGTGTGCATTACCTGCAAAATGTGGGGTATCGGATGATCACTAAATTCTGAGTAGTTTATAATTGTATCATTTGAACTCATTGTGTCGTCAGTACCAAGTGAAATCATTTCCTCCTTTCGTTTGATATACTTTAATAGCTTGTGAGTTGCCAATAATAATAATAAAAAAAGATTAACAAACAAGAAACAAATGTGGCTAAAGAAAGAAAAAAATAAATAAAAGATACGCAACCACTAAATATATAAAAAAAAAAAGACAGTGGTATACATGAATAAAAACCCTTTTAAGCGGGATTTTTAATGTACCAATCAAAAGCTAATCAGTATCTATTTCGTTATTCTCTTCCACTCACACATTCTCTTGTACTGTAATAAACAGCAGCATGAAATTATACACTACCATCAGCACCTGTTTCGGCATATTTTCATTGGCTCAAATAAGGACATTGTCTAAATATGGAAATAGGCAATGACGTCGTTTTTGGGAAAGCCCAAAAGTGAGTGCTTTTTTTTTTTTTAATTATTAAATCTCGGTTCATCTCTTTCTAAAATGCAATCTACAGCAAGACAATCTCGTATACCCGAACAACAAGGTATTGGTCAAACTCTACCTCCTGTTCCTGTCGGTATCGATTCTTTAAATGCCCCTCCTTTACCTCCTGGCGCCATGCCTGCAGGTACTCGTCTCCAAGTGGGAAAGTATCAAGTTATAGTACACAACTTTATTGCTGAAGGTAACATTCAATATAAACAAAACAAAAAAAAAAGAAACCTGATTTATCAACATTACCTTCTCTTTAGGCGGTTTCGCTCATGTATATATAGCAAGAATCGAGGGCAAAACGGGCTATGTTGTCCTAAAAAGAGTGGCCGTTCCGGACGGTGAACGACTCAAAATGGTTGAAAAAGAGATTGCATTCATGGTAACAAAAAAATTAGACAGTATATGTGTTGGCAGTGATTGACTTTTTTTTTCTATGGGATAATATAGAGACGACTAGGAGATCATAAAAATATTGTCAGATACTATGAATCAAGAATCGACGCGTTGCCTATTGGTGGATTTGAAGCTCTCATCCTGATGGAATATTGTCCTGGTAGGTTATATATATATATATATAAAAGAAGGAAGGGGTTAGGAAATCTTACTTTTCTATTTTAGGTGGCGGTGTGATTGATTTGATGAATCGAAGATTACAGCAACGATTAACAGAACCAGAGATTCTAAAGATATTTAGTGATGTCGCAGAGGTAAATCCCGTGTAACCATGAAAGTTGAGCTTAAGACTCACATTCTTTTATAAGGCACTTGCTTATATGCATTATTGTAATCCACCCGTATTACATCGAGATCTGAAAGTCGAGAATATTTTGATTCTAAATCAAGATCATTATAAATTATGTGATTTTGGCTCTGCCTCCCTTTCCAAGGGACAGTACATTCCGAATACATTGCGTGATGTACAGAAACTGGAAGATGATATTCAACGTCATACTACACTTCAATACCGTGCCCCCGAAATGGTTGATGTCTATCAAAAGAAACCTGTAAATGAAAAGGCTGATATTTGGGCTATGGGTGTATTACTATATAAATTATGTTATTATACCACTCCCTTTGAAGAAGAAGGTCAATTAGCCATCTTGAATGCTAGATATACGATACCCAATTCCCCCATGTTCTCTGAGGGCATGCGTAGATTAATTATCTCTATGCTGCAGGAAGATCAGAACCGTAGACCCAATATATATCAAGTCATGAACTCTGTGTGTCATTTAAGAGGTTTAGAATGTCCTATCCGTGATGTAAAGTAGTACCCAATTTCCCTTTCCATCTGTGTCTAAACCTTATTTTATAGATTTATTCTGAACCCATTATCACACCTCAGCAGCAACAACAACAACAACAGCAGCAGCAATACACATCCTATCCACCCGAGAATCATGCCATCTTTGAAAAGGTAGCTTCACCCACACAAGAAATACCTACGATTACACCCATGCGACGTGGTAGACCAGGCAGGACAGAAAGTCCGGGTACGACAGGTCATTCAGCCTCCTCCAGCGAGACATTTGATCCCTTTGATCCTTCTCAAGTGAAAAGTTCGTCAGGCACCAACAGTAATAACAGCAAAAAACCAGCCATGAATACGACTGCTTCATTCCAGAATAGTTTTACACCTGAGAGTGTGCCAACACGAGTTCAAAGTGCACCCTTGACGCATCATGTTACACCCAAAGCTCAGATGGCAACCAAGATTCTTCAAACACAGCCTAGTTCGCCCATGAAACCTGAGCGACAACAGCAAGTAACACCGCAAAAGGAAGAAGAAGAAATAGCGGTGAAAGAGACAAAGGAGCACGAGGCTAAGATGAATCGTGGTGTATCCTCAAGTATCGAAGAAAGATTTATGGCTATTAAAAATGCCGGCAGAAATAGTATACCGATCCAACAACAACAGCAGCCCTCGCCTACCATGACTACCAGTACACCTAAAAAGAATAAACCTGCTCCACCACCTAAACCTGCTCGATTTAGATCCAAAGCAACCAATGTTGTACCAACAGTAGATGATTTTGAAAATAAGTTTCCTTCTTTAGAGGAATTAGACAAATCCATTTCTGAATAAATTTTTTTTTTGGGTTCGGATATAATATTTGCCCTGTCGTCCCCCAGTGTTATGATCCTGTCACTTGGAAAAAGGGTGGAAATGGCATTTATAAGAAATATAAAGCCTGGGATTTTTTTTCATGGCGCTGTTACAAATTCACTCCATATTTTTTCCCACTGGAAAGGTATATAAAATCATTACTGGTTTTCTTTTTTGAATTAGTTGTTATACACTTTTTTTCTTTTCTCTAAAACATCATGGTCATTTATCGCTCTACAGTTCCTTCAGTGCCTATTCCAAACATTGATTTGTTTTCATTCATCTTGGGTTCAAATGAATACAATCAAACAAAAGACCTAAACACACCTTTTGCTATCGAAGGCGAGACAGGTAAATCACTTTCCTGGAACGATATTCGCGAACAATCTTCACTTCTTGCTACGGGTTGGACACAGAACGTTGGATTAAAGCAAGGCGATATTGTCGCTGTATTTGCTCCTAATCAATTGGATCATTCCGTATTATATCTTTCATTGCTTGGTGCCAAATGTACCATCTCTCCTGGTAATCCTGCCTACACTGAAGGTAATAAACATATAACCCAGAAATTCCCAGATTTTTTGTTTTTTTTTGTAACCCTTTGTATCACATCCTAGCTGAATTTGAACATCAAATTGCCAATTCTCAATCTACTGCTCTTGTTACGGTGCCTGGATTATTACCTGTCATTTTGAAGATTACAGATAAATTAGGCTTTCCTCGTTCTCGTATCTTCTTGTTTGGCGATAAACAAGTGGACGGATGTAGACCCTTCAATTCTATTAAGGGTAATGTCATGGTTCAATATCCTTTACAAGGCGTGGATGGGTACAATGATACGGCTTTTCTCTCTTATAGCAGTGGCACCACCGGGCTTGCCAAGGGTGTGATGTTAACACACAAGAACTTTATTGCACAGATTTTGCAGACGGTGCAAGCAGAACCCAAGGATGAGGAACCTGTCCATGATGTCATCTTGGGTTTCCTTCCCTTTTATCATATTTACGGTCTAACCAGTTTAATCTTTAACGCTTATTACAAGGTGACACCTGTCGTAATTATGGCGCGTTATGATCTTGAATTGTTATGTCAGTTGGTTGAAAAACACAAGGTGACAATGGCTAGTATTGTACCCCCTGTTGCTGTACATTTGGCTAAATCTCCTATTGCTGCAAAATATGATATGTCGTCCATTCGTCTTTTGGGCTGTGGTGCTGCTCCCTTGAGTAAAGAACATATCGAATCATTGGCTAAACGTATACCTGCCAAATTAGTTCAAGGGTAAAAATTATATTACGATAGAATGCAGAGCTTTAAAGACTAACTTAAAATGTTTCCATCTATAAAGTTACGGTATGACAGAAACTACATCTGGTGTCATTTCTCAAGGCTTGCAAGGTGGTGTCGCAGGTAAGAGACAAACAAACAAAATTATATAGCATGTGTGACAATAGAAACTTACCTGATGTCTCACAAAAGGATCCATCGGTATTCTTTCTCCCAATATTGAATGTAAGATTGTAAATGAACACGGTAAAGAATTAGGGGACGATGAGGAAGGTGAATTTTTGTTCCGTGGTCCCAGTATCATGAAGGGATATTTCAATAATGACAAGGCCAATGCAGAGACATTTACCTTGGATGGTTGGATGCGTACAGGTGATGTAGGCAAATTTGATACCAAGTCAGGCGAGTTCTTTATCTTGGACCGTATCAAGGAATTAATCAAGTACAAGGGATTTCAAGTGGCACCCGCTGAATTAGAGGCTATCTTGATGGGACTTGATATTGTGGCTGATTGCTGTGTTGTGGGATTATATGACGAATCTCAAGCAACAGAAATTCCTCGTGCTTATGTGGTGCTTCAACCCACAGTGGAAGCTACTGCAAAGACCGCCAAATTAATTGATGCCTATGTGACGAAAAATGTCACCAACCACAAGAAACTTCGTGGCGGTGTCAAATTTGTTTCTGAAATTCCCAAGAGTCCCTCTGGAAAAATCTTGAGACGTCAAGTCAAGGATTGGCTCAAGGAAGAACAAAAGGAGATGACCATTAGATCTCGCTTGTAAAAAAAATATGTATGCATGTATACCTTCTTTTAATAAATATATTTTTGACAATCTGTGTTTAAAAACTTAGAAGTAGTAGTATTTTATTACGTAATTTAGAAATCAGAAAATGTCCATAAATAGATACAATTTAAAAGCCTTTGGCGCCTTCTTGGATGATAGTCATCACAGTATTAGCAGGAAGTTTTTGCCAGACAAATAAAGATACATTTGAATAGACAGAGACGTTTAACTGATATTATATCAAGATATCCCATTCAAGACAACTTTCTGCATTGACAGTGTCACAAGCTGAATGTCGAAGGGTCTGAAGAGGAAGGAGAATCGATTTCGACCACCACTCCACAGTTGAATTGAAAAAAGGAGATGAACACAGGTTTAAACACTATTGCGTAGAGGTAGCAACTATAGTTATCATATCCCATATATGGCATGTATTAATTTCGACCTGATGACTATTAATCCTAGTCTCATTTGTGAGAATAATGATTTGTAATAGGCTCGGTTACTGACTTTCATCTTTTCATTCTCAAATAACAAGAGTGAGTTTTTGATAGCTCAAAAGAGAAAATGCCAGCTACGCCACGCTATTCATCTTGCCAATTTATTCGAGGGTATTTGATTACATTGTATGTATATTTTTTAGTTGTGAGATCTGTCGCTTTCCTGTCTTATTCGTTCTTTTTTCTGTGGTAAGGGGGGGGGGGAATACTCTTGTCAGGTTTAGTTACTTTATCTGACTTACATTTACAAGACAAGTTCTGTTTACATCTGGGAGCTTAAACGCGATGTCATTTTTCCACAATCTTTTTTAACACATGATAAATATGCAAACCCGTTTAAAGTTGACGTACTTTGTATATTCTGTTTACCTACCGTCATATTCAGCTGGCACTTTTTCCTTTAATTCTCATCAATACTATTGAAAAGAAGTCTTGCTATATCAACTGGCATATGTTTAATAAGCTTCAAGTTTCAACAAGAGAAAAGACGGCGACTCACCAACTATCATAGCTTCTCTACTACTGCTGTTGTAAATTTATCTTCGGTCATCACTAGTATAAATCATCAAGGGCGAAATCATTTAGTTTACCACGGGACCAAATGAAGTTTATATTTGAAGGATCATATTTCTAAACGTTGATTAAACGAGTCAGAAATTAATGAACATAAAAGATGTTACAAACCTGGTAACCGACATTATGTGTGCCCAGTTTTTTTTAATAAACGAAAATTTAGGATCTTACGGAGTAATACTACCCCGAGAAGCCATTCAACTTTCAAACTACAAACGTTTTCTCGGCAAACCATGTTTAAGTACACAATGACTGATTTACTTGTGACAAAAGAAAAAGATACCTTCTAGAACCTAGTTTTTCTCGAAGGCTAATAGGCTTGTTTTATTTACGGATAATACCATGCTATCATAGAACAAAACGAGCTGTTGACATGTGAGGTTACACGATTCTAGCTTTTGTATTTTCATCTCCGTGAAGGAAAGAGAGATCAAGTTTCTTACCAATAACTTTTACTGAAACAAACGTCACGATTAATGCGATATTAAAAGCGCTGAAAAAAAACAGCAAGTTAAATGTTTGTGTTTCTTCTTTTTATTTTTTTATGGATAATATAGAACTGACAAATCGCCGTACAAGGGAGTCTAGTATGGACTCTTTAAACACATATAAAGCGGACGATGATGTGACAACAGGGAGTAAACATTCTAAAAAATCTATTATACCCACAAAAAAGACTTTGGGCCAGCGATTATACGCTAAAGTCCCGCCATTTCAGTTAACACGTACAATTATCAAGGCTTCGATTGGTATCTTGATCGGTTTATTATTTGTGTTTGAAAAGAATTGTAGTAAAGCGGTTGGTCCGGCTGGTATTCTAGTACCTATTGCCACGCTCATGTATTTTCCTATCAGACCTTTGGGTAAAACATTCATATGTCATTTAGTCTCGTTTAGTGAATAAGCTAACTTTTTTTTTTCTTGATTTGTAGGTGTTCAAATCGAGGTACTAAGTAAAATGGGTTGGATCGCTAAAATGATCTAATATTATAATAAAAAATAGGCTTGTTTTCAAGGTATTTTCAGTGCGCTTGTGGGTGCTGCTTGGAGTTTTCTCGGTAAGAAAGTAGGAACCAGAATAAAAATGGAATTAAAAAACTGAATGTTTGTGTTATTAGCCATGTATCTTGCAAATCTCGCTCGTGATCCCAGTATTCCGACACCAGTGCAGCCTTACTCTAGCGCCGTTTTAGCCGTCTTTATGTTCATTGGCGTGTTCGGCATTACCTATGTCCGTGTCAAATTTCCTCAAGGTAAAAAGACAATAGTTTCGGAGTTACTTAACTCCTTTATTTTTATTTTTCATTGACAAAACAAAAACAAATGTATAGCTAATTTTGCAACAATTTTTGCAAGCATGATTGTGTCGGTAAGTGCATCCGCTCTCTCCACACCCCTTAATACATTGAAGTAACCTTTTTTTTTCCAGTTTTGTTTGACTCAAGCTGCGATAACACCGGGATTCCAACCTACCGTTGTGGTAAATGATAGAAGCATTAAATATAATAGAGATAAAACTAACCACTAAGTGTTACATAGTACACGTTTTTAAAGCCGATTGCCTTTGCCACTGCTATTGGTCTTGTAGTAGATGTACTACTTTGGCCTGATGATAGTATTACAAAGTATATGGGTGTCCTCAATAAATCATTAAAGGAATATAACGGTTTCTTTCAAGAGCATTCAGACGCATTTCTATCAAGTGCTACCGAAACCCCATCTGCCACAACAACTTTGCCGAGCTTACACGCAAGACTTCAAAACAGTATTTTGACATTGATTGATAGTAAACGGGAGGTGCAACGAGAGATACTATTTAATCGAATCTGTCATGATGATATCAAGCAGCTAACTAAAATTGTAAAAATGATGCGTGGGCCCCTTCATGGGATTGGTTTGAGTTTGATTACCAAGACAGATCGATTGGCTCATATAAAGCAGCCTTATTTTTCTAGTACTGTTGCTAATGAAGGGGAGGAGGAGAAAGAGGAAACAGAAGAGGTATCCCGGCTTCGAAAAGATTTCTTGTCCAATCTAGATGCATTTCGAAAAAATGGGCAAGAGTTTAGTGATACATGTGTGACCATTTTGGATGAATGCAATGCACGACTGATGAAATTCAGTGGTAAACCTCGATCCTTGACAAGCACAATTCTTTGGCCTTTCCCCCGTATCTTTTTATCGGATTATAAAAAGAACTATCAACAAACAGAAACAGAAGCGGATTTGCTTTCCGTGCGATTCAAACAAGCAATTGATAAATATGAACAAGCCAACCAAACTTCACCGCTTCGATTGATTGACCTGAACTCTAAAGTGTTCAAGGATAGATTTAACGGATTATTACAGATTCTTTATTTATTCGAGTACAACTTAGGGGAACACGCAAACTATTTACTGTCGCTGATCGCCTGTCTTGAAACCATGGAAGCCAAACGTACAAAGCGAAGATTATGGATTCCTCATCTTACTTTAAGAAAATACTTTAGATCCACTGATGTTAATCCTAGTATGGGAGGACCTGTAGGCTCTGTACCTGGTTCTAATGGGGCAGCAGGAGGAGGAGGAGGCGGCGGCGGAGGGGAAGCAAACCACGAAATGAGCACCGATTTAAATCTGACTCAAACAATGAGTCGACACGATATGTTGAACAATTACGTCGAAGATGTTGAACTGGCTGGCTCAAGAAACCAGAAAGGTACTTTATTCTCTCGGGATCCAGATATCAACCCTCCTGAAACTGCGTTTGAAAGATTCTTTTACAAGGTGCATATTTATTCGCAATGGATGTCTAGTATCGATGCCATGTTTGCCCTGAAAACATCTGCCGGATTCGTTTTGCTCTCGTTGCCTGCTTTTTTACCTCAAAGTTATGCTTGGTTTTTTGCTCAACATGGACAATGGGCTACCGTCACCTTGATGATGTGGATGTTTCCTATGGCTGGCATGTTTGCTTTTACGTAAGTTTAAACCAAGTGAGAACGTAACAATTGCTTATTTTTATTTTTTATTTTTTATTTTTTCCTATAGTATTATTCTTCGAATTTTAGGAACAGTTCTCGGTGGTGTTGCGGGTATTATTATTTGGGAGATTACAAGAGGAAATCCATATGGGCTAGTCATCTTGACTTTTTTTGTCATGTGGCCATTGTACTATGTCTTCTTTACTAATCAAGTACTGAATATTGTGGCTATTATGACACAAGTTACTCTCATGTTGGTAAGTGATAGCAGAAAAATTAGGGACATAGAAACTAAAATTATAATTGAAAGGTTATTTGTTATGAATATCAATTTATAGCTAATGGTGTTGCTGTCCATGACTCGGTAGAGATGATTGCAGGAAAAGTAAGGAATATAGATAAGAGGACAGTTAACGTTCCGATTTACTCATGCGTTTGTTCTTAGCGAATCTTACTTGTGCTGATTGGTGTTGCCGCTTCTGCTATTCTATCCATGATCCCAAAGCCTGTGACAGGCCGTGTCGAGCTTCGTAAACGACTTTCGCAAACAATAGCTGATATGAGCAAGTTATACGCTATTTTGATCGGTGATCTTGTGACAATATATGAAAACAACCGAGACCCCACACCCGGACAAACCAAAGCATTCAAGAAATTAGCACTAGGGATCCGTCGACAGATTGCAGACGAACAAATGTTTTTAAAATTAAGCAAGCTGGAACCGTCGATGCGAGGTAAATTTCCTGTGGAAGTGTATACCCGTCTTGTTGAAAAGGTGGACAATATGTCAGATTTACTTTTGGGAATGGCGTATGCGTCTAAATCTATCGACAGGTCATGGCAGCGTAATATTGTGCATGTCTTGAGACAGCATCGTACAGAATATGTAAGTATATAAACGACCTTGTTAAGGTTACGACGGTACTGACTATCTTTGGAAATAAGCTTGCATCTATTTTGGCCATCATGAAGCTTCTCTCAGCAACTTTATCGTCTAAGATGGCATTGCCTCCATATATGCTTTCACCAAAAGAGTTGAGAGAGAGACTAGCTCAAAGGTTGAGTCAGGTGATTGTTGAATCACCTGATCACCTTGATATGAATACTTTTCCAGGTTATTGTGCTTATGCTGTCAATTCGTTCAAGTTCTCTGAAGAGCTGGGAGAGGTCTTGGAGTGCGTGGAACAGCTCGTCGGAGTAGAAGATCCGGAACAATGGCTTTTGATTCATGCTTAGGAAACTTTTTGTTGTAAATACGGAGAACATATTCTCCCAAGACCATCCGAGCCTTCAAATTTTAAATAAAGATGTACAACATCGCTTTGTCTTTTTTTCCAATTTTGTCTTTCTTTATGTAGAAACGTATGTAACGCTATCAACTACCCTCACAAGAAACGATTGAGAATAAAGCGATTTGGTTAAAGAAAGTCTTGAGCACTTTGAAAACTAACTACAAACACATTTGTACTTTGACCACTTTCATTTTTGTAGTGTATATAAGAGAGAGAAAAAGTTACCTGTAACCATCAGAAAAAAGTTACCGGTAACTTTTTTTTCTATTGTAAACATTTTTTTATATACAGCTGTTCCGATGCCAAAGGGCGAGTAACTTTTTTTTTTATGGTTACCGGTAACTTTTTTTTATGGTTACCGGTAACTTTTCTTTCTTATAGCATAAATTTATTGTATTGTCACTGGTAAGCGACTTAATTTTTTATAGCACAAGGATGCTTAATTCGTATAAATTTAGACTATGATACCATTAAGTCTATCATCATACTCATTAATAAATCCCAGAATGCAAGTGCAAAGTTAACAAATTTAATAAGACACTGTCTCAGAAACCATTCTTTTTTTTTAGAGGTGACCTGGCTGGTAAAGCGAATCAAGATTAAAGAGAGTACCAGGAAGGCGTTACTATGCAAAATCTGAGCAAACATCTTTCAATTATACGGCACAATACATCCACAAAAAAAAAGATATGAAAGGGGCCTATTTTTTCATTGATGTTGAGGTTGTATAGTTTAAACGAGAGCCATGCTCCAAGGTAGCAAGCCGAGAAATTTATAAATTATAAGTAAAACTTAGAAGAACACATTAAGTTTATTTATGATGCATTGCTTAATTTCCTTCAGACAGCCAAATGGAAGTCTAAAAGTGTTCTGTATCACATCAAGTTGAACAGTTATGATAACAGTATAAGCTGCAGCCATGTCAGTATGACTGGAGCTTCCTAAAATTGTAGAGAATTGAATAAGTTAGAACACCGGATAAAAATCAAGATGTTGAGATGTATGTTATTACTTATCTTCTTTGGTTGTAGTAGCAGTAGTAGAAAGACCTAAATGAATTGAGTGAGTAACGAAATGGAATCAGATTAACTTGTGCCAATATAAATACTTTCCAATATATAAAAGAGAGGAGGATAGCCCAAAGGATCACAACATCCAGCATTGAACACCGCAGGCAAGTAGTCGCTACTGTCAAAGCCCCTTCCTTCCTGAATGGGAAGCGTATCTAGCCAAGAGTAATCACAAAGTGTATCTACCACAAACCACTACGGTAGGCAACTACTATGAAAAGAGATTGGCAGATAATGCATAGCATCCACGATGCCCGCCAGGAACCCACCTCGACCTGTACCTCCTAACAAAGAGTGCAATCCTCAACATGTTGATGATCCCGTCATATCACCCTTGCTCACCCTCACGACCCAGCAAGATAGAATGAATAACCCTGGCGAGTCTTGTCGACCTGTCTTTTTTTTATATTTTGGACCGAGATGACACTTGTGCAAGCAGCTTCGGGGTATATGTCTGAACACGACTGTACAAAAGGAGGCTAACTGGTGGTGGCTTACAACAGCTGTTTATGGCGAGGCCTAAAGGAGCAACCAGCCAAAGTAAGGATTTTATTCTGTGGCAACCTCTATTGTCATTAAGATACCCTTTTTTCATCCTGTAGATAACCCTCTTCTTTCCAACCATTATAGAATATTAGATGGATTGGGTGATAAAGAAGAGAATTAGCTACAAGATAAAAAAAGGGGAATATAACACCAATAGACGATACCACAGAACAAAACCCGTTCGTCGCCGCTCCCAGTCGGCCTCGCCATAAACAGATGTAATAAGCAACCACCAGTTCGCCTCTTTTTGTACAGAACGTGTTCATGTATGGGGGTCAGCCGCCTGCTTACGCGTCATCCCAGTCCTTTTTTTTTTCAGAGGGAAGACGTTGTTTGACCCACCGTTTCGGGTTTATAAACTTACCGGGAAGTGGGGGTACAGAGAGAGACAAGAGCGACAGAGGACCTATAAAAAATTAAATATGAGTTTCAATGTTTTTTTTTTCTTTTTAAATGAGATTACTTACAGGACTACAACATGTCTTGGAAAGCACCCAATGCAGTCGATACAAGCCCAGGAGGGTTGACGACAGGTATACGTGCACGCCATACATTACCTACTCCCTTTCCATAGGACCATTTAATAGCAGTAAGGGATCACCACCGATCGACATTACAACCCAGTAAACACACGGCATTTGTGCAAAAGAGTACTCCTTAGTGAGCTTTCATCGCGGCAATGCTATTACTGAACATCATGTTAATAAAAAAAAAAGAGGAGAAAGAGTGAGAAAAAATCAGTAGTGCTGACAGGCTCCCACGCAACAAGATAAAATAACCGTGAGAGCTTTGATTACATGATCAAATTCAGACATTTGTACTACTTTGATTTTTAAGCAAAAAAAAAAAAAAAAAAAGAGTAGAAACCTTACAATGAACACTTCACATGCCACTGTATACAACATAACTTACACTAAAAATGCTGCAAGTTTGGAATTCTGGGAGTTACAGAAACTATGCTGATCGTGTTAGTTATCTCTGTAAAATTTTTATTTTCGCCAAACTAGAATAATGGGGAAAGTTTCACCAGCTGAAAGTGACATCAATTACACAAGCTATCACTAAAAAGTCTCAATTACATATACGTAGCCTACAAAAATGATCTTGGGAGGGTTTTATGTTGGTGAGTGTAATAAAACCTTGACAACTAAGAACTGGAATGTAGTAATCATGATTCTTATTTTTTGTAACAATAAGTTCATTCCTACTTGTTCTCCGTATGCCTTTTTCTTTTTCTTTCTTTCTTGCTCACTACACTTGGCTAATTAAGCATGGTTTTTAAACACACCTTCTCGAGTTGGGTAGTTTTTTTTTTCGGATCTTAGTTTGATTCTCTGTTTATTTATTTTTTTGTTAATTATGCATCTTTTCAGTGTTACAAATGCAGTGATTGGCGAAAAAAAAAAACTTGTTCAAGATACGAGTCTTACCTGACAAATAGAAACAATGATATAGATTTTTTAAAAAAAAATATCATCCCTACGAATTTGTGTGGATATGCAATTAGTGACTCAATCACGGCCTTACTTCAAGCTGATCAGGCTCTTCTGTCAATAATGTTGACTTTCACGTAATGAATTATTTAAGTAACGGTGTACATTGGGTAGTAGCCACTTAATAAATTAAGCACACAAGCTGAGAAGTTATGTATTACGTGCCGCATATACTCTTGTCAATTTCCATTCTTTCGTCTTTCAGTAACAGTGCCTAGACTTTTGGCTTCTTTTTTAAATGACCTTTTTTTTTTGCATATATTTTTTTTCTTTTGAAATTCCGCCAGTCAGTGTAAACCAGCATACTTGGGTAAAGAAAAAAAAAAAGGATGATATGGCACGTCAATGGATGTATACTTTAAAGTCTGGTTCTCAATTTAAAAACATGATTTAAACATTCCCACAGAAAATACTTACACACTTGAAACAGTTCATCCTATCAATCGCCATCTATCTTTTTTGTTAAGCGAGTTTTTGTTTTGCATGGAGAACAAAATTACAAATAAACCAAAAGTGATACTGTTAGAACTTGGATACCACTTTATTATGGACGAAAAAATATAATTAAAAAACGTATAAGAAAAATCTATTGATGGTCTTAGAAGAACTGGGATAGTTCTAGGGAGAATATTAAGCGCCTTATTGGATCATGATGTAATAATCTGGTGATAGTAAATAATCAACATGTCTTTAAATTTAGCCCTTCCATACTGAGTATATAAGTATTATTTAGAGGGATCAACAGTTATAACATCAAATGACAAGAGTAATATTTCTGCTCAGGATCTTATAATATTCTATAGTCCAGGCCCATTCGATTGTATTGCTTTTGCAGAATAAATATTTACTCGCCACAGGGTTGTGCCCTGTGTACAGACTCCAACGGTAGGATGAGAACAAGCGGGGTAATGTGTGATTCATGATTAACTTTTACATTTATTATCCATCCTTAATGTGATGTCACAATTAACTTTATTATTATATCTATGATATCCCCAACAGTACATCCCTCACAGATTGCGGAGTAACCACACATACAATCTTAATTTCCAGCTACTTATGGATCATTTTATCAAACTGTATTAAGAATTATGAAAGAGAGGTATCATTTACTTGTCTTTTGCACCAAATAAAACTGTCAGAATTCCTAATTTTATTTTATGTTAAAGCCAGCTGCAATTGCCGGGCGGTTTGGATGTGGAGCTTTGTTCCTGACATTAATTGCTCTTTAAAGCGTTGTTTCAATATCCTGGGTTTCACCGTTTACTTTATAATGCAAAACCGTATCCTGTGGAAGACTTGAGACAACGGCACAGTCTTTTCAAAGTTTAGCTTTTAAAGAGATATTTGAAAATAACCTTGTCAATAATCATTGCTGCTTGCCTTTGACATTTAAAACTAATTTCTGGGCATTTTGCCATGTTTTGGGTTTAAAAATTTTCAGGCTGGCTTTTGAACAAGTAGCACAAAATACGTAGTCAAACTGGACTTTGACTCAAGAGCAATATAATGATAAGCATACTGTTTGAGCATTTCAAATTGTCAGCCCTTTTTTGGCAGCATCTGGTGGCGGAAGTATCATCCAATGACTGCCCCGGATCTATTACGCCATTTGATGACGTCAAAATGTTTTTTATAAAGTTGTTTATTTTCCCACCTACGCCCTTTTTCTTTTTTTTTCCTTATGCACAGTTTCGAGTAAAGCTGCTGTTAGGTGATTCTGGCATGTACGTCTTGCTCGTGGGTGTACCTGCTCTACCTCTACCTACCGTCTAGGCTCTAGGCAGGCGTGGCTATCTTCTGGTTTTTTACACGGTAATGCTTTTAGAAACTGTTGTTGTGTTAATGTCAACAGGCTAATTTTTTTTCTTTTTCATGTAGCTTGTACGAGGTAGTTTGTGTAGGTTTATGGAGTCGAATATTTGGCATACTCTTGTACCGCGACAGAGATGCAGACGGTGTTTTCAACAAACATTCGCGTAAATACTAGACATTACAGAGCTGACATGGCGAGTGAGAGATCGAAAGGACACCGTGAAACCGCTAGTACGGACCTTCTTGTGAATCCTAGTTTATCCTCTCATAGTTGGGCGACCTTATCTACGAAAAGGTGTGACATACTTTTTTTGACCACTTTCCAACGATTGTGTTCGTTTTATAATTGTCAACTAAAGCATAAAAAACGGGTGAGTGCAGACAGAGACTGACTTCCACGCAGTTGCACTTGGGCAATTTTCTTTTTACTGGAAATTGGCGAACAGGTCTCTAAACTTTTATCTTTTCTGAAATAAAGTCTTCTTTTTTTGTTGTTTTTTTTTTTTTTTTTTTTTTTTTTGTCTTCAAAAAACTTGCCACACCTATATAAGACTACACTGTATTAATGTTGAATCTTTTTGTAAAATAGAGATTTGGTTACGAAAGTATATGGAGAACATATTTTTTCTTTAAGCTGACTGTCTTTGAAATTTAGGATGCATCCTTAAAAATCCTTGGGCAAGGATAAGTTTTCCTGGTATAACAGATGTAAACATCTATTATCGCCAACTTTGGAAAGCAATCCTACTCGCTCTAACCAATCATAGATGATTAACAATAGTAGGGCTGTGTGTAGGATATACGGAGTTTTTTTTCCTTCAAAGGAGAGTTTAAAAAGAGGGGTGAAGGGGGGCATCTACTGTCTTAATTTGTGATGGTTTAGACATGCATTTTTTTTTTATAAGTGTACCTTTAAAACCTGGCATGATAAAGTATACCATTAAATGCCAACTGCTCATGCATATTAGGCATCGTAATGTTAGATCTTTCGAAAGATAACGCATTATTCTCCAAAAAAACAAAAAAAAAAAACCGGACCAAATTAAATGAGTTTATCCATCCTGTCACAAAAGAAGATTAAGAAGTGCTAGCTATATTTTTCTCCTTCTTACTATGTTACCTACTGAGATTTTAAGCAAAATAGCATCATATACGGAAAATCGAAACGAGTGCTCAAAAGTATGCCGCCCTTGGTTAACAGGTTTTCAACCATATTTGTACCAACACATTCACATTACATCACGAAGACAATTGAAGCAATTGATTCAAACGATCCACAATCATGTTGAATTAGGAAGACATGTGAAACATTTGAATATCGCCTATCATGTTGGTCTCACCAGAGACGAATTTGAGATTTTGGACTTTTATTTCCCTCTCCTACAATCGTTGAATTTTAATCCTAAGCTCTGGAAATACCAACGCAGAACTGACAGAAAAGACTGGAAACGGATAGCCAAATTGCCACCATTAAACCTCTTCTCTCTTAATTTACATATGCTACAACACTATGGACAATCGCTCACTCATCTTACTTTGGCAGGTGGTCTTGTCAATCAACTTCATGGCCAAACTCGATTAATACCCTTATTTCAATTTACCCCTCATTTAAAGCACTTGAAGATGTTTGGTCGAGATAAGTTTACAGCAATCACACACTCCCAATATGCACAGACAAGATTTACATACAATGACGTGTTAGATATACATGCACTGTTACCCAACCTCGAAGCATTAGAGCTTTTGGACGTCGTGCTTGCACTACAATCTGAGCTTAAGCGTATGACATTTCCGAAGGTACACCAATTTCAGGTCGGAGGCAAATTTGCGCATCATGCATGGGTTGCGCTTGTAGCACAATTGTACCCGAATTTACGCCAGCTCGAATTAAATGTTTCTTGGGACGAGACTTATCGACGAGACATGGCTTATGAAGATTTTCAAGCTGTGAGAGTAGGTTTAGTTGATATCGCAACTACATGTCGCTATCTGGAAACGGTTCGTTTGGTCTCCCTGGGTGCGGTAGTCAAGGATGCGCATCAGCTATTTTATAAAACACTTTTTAAATCGAGTACTAAGGGTCTATCGAGTATCGACGGTATTATGGTGAGCTCATTGATGGAGTTAAAGCAATTAGCCAATGCTATATTACAATGCTGTGATTCCGAACATACACATACTTTACGACTACAGCTTTGGAGGGATTTAGGGTCCGTGAAAAATATGATGGCCCCAGTTGCTCAGTGTCATCGGTTGAAAGAATTAGAATTGATGTGTGGGAAATTTTCTTATGCCTGGAATTATGGCTGTGACATTGATGCCATTGCCACTTATTGTCCACAACTTGTGGTACTGAAATTGACTATGACCCGAATGACAGTGTCGAAGGGATATAAGCAAACAGCTTGTGCTAGTGTCGAAACCATTCATTTGAATCAAGTTCACTTTACAACAGAGTCTATGAACGCATTATCCAATTGTTTCCCTAAATTAAAGCACTTTAATATATGGAACAGCGTGAAGGAGAGAGATAATCTAGATCAAATGATTTCAATTAATTTAAACAATCAAACATTGGAGACGTTAAGCATAGATAAACTGTATCTTCGACCAAGCCAATATGTAGAGAAAAGCGGCATTGATGCAGCCTTATTTTCTGTTGAAATGGCACATCGTAATATGCGAGAGGAGCGTCGAGTGGGGAAGAATGGTGGAGCAAGATGGTACCATTTGTACCACGAAAATGGGAGCCGTCAATTGAAGAAACTAGCCCATACTAAATCACAGAAGATTCAATGCTATCAAATGAAGGAAAGTGATTGGGATACTATTTCTGAGGGTTCTATTCGTGGTACTTACCGAAAATCCAAACACTGGGAGAATGATGTTCCTTTCGGCTATGTATTCATAACATGCAATTTAATTAGCAATTTAGCACTGAATAAAGTTTTGCTTTAAATCACCGCTCATTATAACACTTTACACTTTTTTTTTTCGCATTCTTTTTTTTTTTTTTTACACACTAAAACCTTTTCTTTCCAACAACAAGAAAGAAACCACCCACCTTACCAGACTTTTTCTTTTCTTTTCTTTCTGAACAAACGAAACAATTTTTTTTTCTGTAAAATATATATAATGTCAACCAATCAAATGAGGTAAAACGAAAATATGCAACGATTTACTTTCAAACTAAAACATTTCAATTAGTCACGAAAACGATAACTGGAAGAGAACACTTTCACTTCCACCCAAAGACGCTAGACCACAAACAGAGGTAAATAATAAGAGAAGAAAGGAAAAGGGAGACAGAAAGTTAAATGGATGTAATTAAACAGGATGTCACTGCAACAAAAGGAAACGAGTTTGAAGATTACTTTTTAAAACGAGAATTATTGATGGGTATATTCGAAGCAGGGTTTGAAAGACCTTCTCCTATTCAAGAAGAAGCAATTCCTATTGCCTTAACAGGTCGCGATATTCTTGCCAGAGCAAAAAACGGTACGGGAAAAACTGCCGCGTTTGTGATTCCAACACTTGAAAAGATCAATAGCAAAAAGGCCAAAATACAGGCTCTATTACTTGTGCCTACGCGTGAATTAGCACTCCAAACTGCACAGGTATGTAAGAATTTAGGTAAACATCTTGGTCTTCAAATTATGGTGACTACCGGTGGAACTACCCTCAAGGACGATATTATGCGCCTAAGTGAGCCTGTGCATTTGATTGTTGGCACACCAGGTCGTATATTGGATTTGGCATCAAAAGGAATAGCGGATTTTAGAGAGGCCTCGACATTTGTGATGGATGAGGCCGATAAACTTTTATCACCAGAATTCACACCCATTGTAGAGCAATTGATCAGCTTCTTTCCTAAAGATAGACAAATTATGCTATTCAGTGCTACTTTTCCTTTGATTGTCAAGAACTTTAAAGACAAGTTCTTAGTAAAGCCTTATGAAATTAACTTGATGGATGAACTTACACTTCGTGGTGTCACTCAGTATTATGCTTATGTAGAAGAGAAGCAGAAAGTGCATTGTTTAAATACTCTTTTTTCCAAGGTAAGCCACATTTTGGCTTTATGCAAGTTTTGGAATTAACCTTTTTTTTTTTAAAAAAAAAAAAAATAGCTCCAAATTAACCAGTCCATCATCTTTTGTAATTCTACCAATCGTGTAGAATTATTGGCTAAAAAGATTACAGAATTAGGCTATTCATGCTTTTACTCACATGCAAAAATGTTACAAAGCCATCGTAACCGAGTCTTTCATGATTTCCGGAATGGAGTTTGTCGTAACTTGGTGTGCTCTGATTTACTGACGCGTGGTATTGATATACAGGCGGTGAATGTAGTTATCAACTTTGATTTTCCCAAGAACGCTGAGACGTATCTACATCGTATCGGACGATCAGGAAGATTTGGTCATTTAGGACTTGCAATTAATTTAATTACATACGAGGACAGATTTAACTTATACAAGATCGAGCGTGAATTGGGTACAGAGATTCAACCTATTCCACCCGTGATTGATAAACGCTTGTATGTGGCTCCTAATGCCTTGGATGATGCTCAAGTACAACAACCCGATCGTCAACTTGCTTTGGCCACTCGTCAACAGCAACAGCAACAAAGTCACGACGAGCAACAGCAGTCTCAGTATTACAGATCAAACCGTACTGCTACCAGGCAAAATGATTGAAGATCTACACCTCTGTCCACTAATGCAAGAAACACGATAAAACACGTCGCGTTGATCTGCTGACAGTTTTTTTTTTTTTTATTTTTTATTTTTTTTTTTTTTTTATAAGAAAGTAATTTGTATCAACATTCACATGGTTTTTATAAGCTTCACGATGCTCTGATTTGTTTTTTTAAATGGTTCTGCGCAATTGTTATATTTAGTTAAATCCTTGACAAATAATTGGCAAGTGTTATATACATTTATTCTGAGGATGTTTGCGTTTGAAAAATCTGATTAATTTTTTCGTGAAATACAGTTCACTATAAAAAATCAATCACCGTCTTTTTTTTTTCCTTCTTCTTCTGCACACTTTTTTTACTTTATTCTTAACATAATGTCACAAATCGAAGGAATGGCCATTATTGGCATACGTTCTTTTAGTCCAGAAGAACCCAGTTACATCAAGTTTCAATCGCCCTTGACTTTAATTGTTGGAGAGAACGGCTGCGGTAAAACTGTAAGTCTGAATGAACTTAAAAGTATGATCGGGACATGCTGACAAAAATACAAATAGACCATTATCGAAAGTTTAAAGTACGCATGTACTGGTGAACTTCCTCCCAACAGTAAAGGTGGTGCTTTTCTCAACGACCCTCGTGTAACTATAGAATATACTTCACCCATATATTACGCTTTTTATCAGTGATAAAACTAACCATAACAAAAGCTCACAGGAAAAACCGAAGTGAAAGGCCAAGTGAAGCTCAAGTTTTCTAATGTGAGAGGACAAAGGATGATTTGCAGTCGATCCTTATCTGTTACCTCCAAAAAAACAGGCAATGCACAAAAGACGATTGACAGCTCATTACTCAGATTTGACCCAATCACTAACCAGGTAAAACAAACAGAGAAGATTCATCCCTATCCTTATTGATCTTTTTTTTTTAAAAAAAAATAGACGTCTAGTATTAGTAGTCGATGTGCTGATATGGATGCGGAACTACCTTTGCAACTAGGTGTCCCCAAAGCTATTCTCGAAAGCGTAATCTTTTGTCATCAAGAAGACAGTAATTGGCCGTTTGCTGAATCTGCTGTACTCAAAAAGAAGTTCGACGATATTTTTGACTCCAGACGATACCAAAGTGTATTAGATAACATCAAGAATGTTCGCAAAGAGAAAATGAATGATGTGAATATTGGAAATGCTCGTTTGGAAGGTGTAAAATCCGACACGCTGAAAGCCAAAAAGATTCGAACGAACCTTACTCAAATGAGACAGCAACTGGCGACAAAATCAGAGAGTTTACTTACGGTTGAAACCAAATTGGAGCGTGTGCAAAACGATTCTGGACGATTAAACGATTTGTTCCGAACATTAAATTTAACTGCAGATCAAATCCAACAAGTGATTAATAAGAGGGATTTCTTTCAAAGTACTTTAAATTCATTGGAGACGCATATCACGCCTCGCCCTGAATCCACAGAAGAACTGCAGAGAATGCTAAACAACCACCGCAGCAGCCAAACTGCCACTAATCAGAAAAAATCCCAAATCCACGAAGATAAAGCTAAACTGGAACGTCAATTGAACAAGGCTCGACAGGATTTAGCACAAAAACATACCATCATGGGTCGTTTGGATGCCAATCGTGAAGAGTACGAACGACTGATTCGATCCAGAGAAGACATGATCGAGAAAATCAATGTAGAATACGGCATGGACCTGCCTGTGGATGATGGTCTTAAAACAGCTGCAGTCTTGAAAAAGGATTTGGGTTTGAAAGCTTCAAAAATTGAACAGGCCAAAAGTGTGGCCATGACAAAACAAAACGCTCTTTCTGATGAATTGCAGATATTGAAAAGTAAGATTTTATCTATCCAAGAGAGCAAAAAGTATTTGATGGATCGCATCCAAGACGAGAAAATTAAAATTAAAGGACTCAACCAAAAGATCGAGAGATTGCAAGCCAACCCTCGTGAAATGGATGAAGTCAAAGCAAAAATTGAAGAAAATAACGCCAAATTAAGAAAGTTAAATGAAGTTGCCAGAGGAGGAAACAGAACTGAGTTTATCCAAAAGGAACATGAACTCCGTGAGCTGGATGCTCAAGTGAGTGTTCTTAATGAAGAATTATCTACTCTAAGTAAACAAGGCGATATCAGAGCCAAGCTATCCATCAAGCGTGCTGATAAAGAGTCTAAAGAAGCTGACATGACAAAACTCTATCAAGGCCGTATCAGTGATGTTGAACGTTTACTCAACTCAAGACCATCCATCGAGAATATTGAAAAGGAACTTCAGGCTTTCAAAAAGGAGAAAGAAAGAATGTTACGCATCGTGATTGAAAGAAGAAATACCACTCAACGTGAGTTATCCAAGACAGACGGTAAATTAAACATGGTGCGTCAAAATTTGGTGGGTCGACAAAGAGAGGCAGACAAATACAGTAATATGTGTAAACAAGTGTGTGGCGATAGAGATGTTGCTGAAGAATTGAAAGCTACAGAGTCAAAAATCGAAGAAATCAAAGAGTAAGTTTTAACTTTTATTTAATTATTGTCATATACTAACTTTTATATAATTAGACGACTCTGTCACTTAAGTGCTGTAAGCTCCATCTATGAAAAATACATTAAAGGTGCAACTGACGCAAAATGCTGTCCCTTGTGTGTTCGTGGTTTCAACGATGAACCCGAGTTGGAGGAATTCTCTGCCAAACTGCAGCATAAAAAACAAGGCTTCCCGGTCATCCAAACTCAAATGGAAGCTACCTTGGCCAAATTAGATGTCCGTTTGACAAAGTTGAAAAGTGTACAAGGTGCCTGGATTAAATTAGAGCAATTGAAAAGTGATATTGCAGGTATCCAAGCCACTGTGGATTCTTTAACTGCAGAGAAAGAAACGGCCACCGCTAAAGCCGAGATCGCAGCAACGGAACAAGCGGAAGTGGATGATGCCAAAATCAAAGCTGATAGACTGCTAATTGTGGCAGGCAATGTTTCACGAATTTACAAAGAGGCTCAAGCAGCTTCGAAGGAAGTTCAAGCCATCGAGACAGAATTGGAATTTGCGGGTGGCTCAACTCGCACCATTACGGATTGTCAAAGAGATCTAGAGCAAGTGTCGGATAAAAGTAAACTTGTACGTCGTGATCTTAAGAGAATTCAATCAGATATTGACAGTTCAAGACTCCAAGCTCAAATGATTGAAAAGACTATCAGAGACCATGAAAAGAGTTTATCGGAACTGGAACAGAATATCAATTTTAAGTGTGGTTTGGAGTTCCAATTGGAAGAATATAACGAAACTTTGGCGAAACATATAGATGAATGCAAGGTTAGTCAAATAGTTGTGATCATCTCACTTTTGATATTTTTTTTTTTTTTTGACCTCTAATTTTTTTTTTAGGCTGTACAATTGGATGTCGAACCTTTGAATGAAAAGATCGCTGAAGCAACTCGTGAATTTGATCAAGAAGTACAATCTTGGAAAAGAGAAGAAGAAGAAGCGTCTAACGAAGAGCGTCAAATGTCTCGTCTTGTGGATCGTCTTGATGAACTTAATACTAGTATATCCAGGTAGGTCCCCCATTTTTTTTTATAAAAAAAAAGTACATATACTCAAATACCAACATGCTAGAATTGAGGCTTCAATGGGTCGTAACAAAACGGATCAAGTCAAGAAGGAAACACAAGCAATCGAATCCCTTTGTGAATCATTGAAAAGTCAAATCAGCGATGCCGTAGACCGTTTATCCATGATTGAAAAGGATGAAGGCGACAAACGTGGTATCGAAAGAGATTTGGAAGATCAAATTAGATACAGACAAACTGAAAAGGACCTAAAACAGTGTGACGAAGATTTAGCTGAACTTGAAAGAAATCAGGGCGAGCACAACTTGAATCAGATGAAGAGGGATTTAAGGCGACTTGAGGAAGAGGAAAATATCCTGGTTGACAGAGTAAAATGACAAACATCAGCGTTATATATATAAAAAATACTGACATATGATTGATAGCGTGGAAGCATTCGAGGTGAAGTTACTCAACTCAAGGATCAAATCAACAGATACGAAGGGGAATTAAGTACTGATTATCAAAACATCGATGGTATCTATGCCAAAATGTTTATCACTGTTAAAACTACCGAGCTTGCGTGTATAGATTTGGAAACATACTCAAAAGCCCTGGAAACTGCCATTATGAAATTCCATAGTTTAAAAATGGATGATCTGAACAAAGTTATTAAGGATTTATGGTATAAAACGTACAAAGGAGGAGGTAATACTCAAAAAAAGAAGGATGGTTATGGGTTTTCCACAAATTCTGATGTTTGTAATGATAGATATTGATCATATCGCTATCCGAGCTGATAATGATAACATTGCAAAAAACAGATCTTTCAATTACAGAGTTAGTATACTTTTATTTTTCTTTGTAAGTGAATATTAATCTCATGTTAAATCAATTTTAGGTGGTGATGAACCAAAATGGAAATGAACTTGATATGAGAGGCCGTTGTAGTGCAGGTCAAAAGGTCCTAGCTTCTATCATCATCCGTCTTGCCTTGGCAGAAACATTTTGTGTAAATTGTGGTTTTTTCGCTTTGGATGAACCAACTACCAATTTGGATTATCAAAACATTATTAGTTTGGCCGAAAACCTCAAAGCGTAAATGCCCTCCCCCCCCCTACAAACATAAGCTCTTTATAAATAATACTGACTTCTCTTTAGTATTATCACGTCAAGAAAGGAACAATCGAACTTTCAATTATTGGTCATTACACACGATGAAAATTTTGTTGGATATTTGGGCGGAAGTGGTAACTTTGATCAATACTATAGGGTAACCAAGGAAAATGGGTAAGTGAAAACCAACGTATGTTTCTTTGTAATCAATCATCGCTGATACGTTCCATTTTTTTTATTTATATAAAAACAGACATAGTGTTATTAAAGTACAGGGAGCGGATACTCTTATCTAAATTGATCCAAATATACAAAATTAAATACCCCGTGAAGATATAAAAAAAAAGCCATTTTTTCTTTTGCTTCTTCGTGTCGAATGCCATAACTACACTTAATGTTGATTTCACTTGTTAATAAATTTTTATCTGATTTTTTTTTTGTTCCTACGACAGATGTACAGATCAATACTGTAGAGCCATGACTAATAACACAACCAGGACTGCTCCTCGTCTATGGAATCGCGATATGGCTGATATTGTTCGTTCACTTCATGCGGGAAACGGGATTCAGAGATTTCAACTTGGAGAAGCTCCCCAGGAACAACGGAGAAGAACAAGGACCCAAATCGACCAACCAGACATCAGAAATGTTGGTCAACGTCGCAATTAAAACTTTCAAGACCTGTCATCGCAGGTCAAACATAGATACACTTAAGTGGTAAGCTCAATTTTTTTTTCTTTTGTGGACGAATTTTTTTTTTATATTTGTGAACAAATGTTTTTTTACATTTTGATCACTATTATCTTCTGAAAATAGTGTAGAATTGTTCTTTTTGATGACAGAATTAAATATAAATCGGCGTTTGTATACCCAGAACTGCCAAGAGGTTTAATAAAACCAGACAAACCATTTAAGATTAACCGACAATGATTGTGGGATACTCGATCAAATTCACAAGTCTGACCGTATGCTACACCCCCAACCAATATAGTCCACAAACATATAAGAACAACCCAAAAGATGAATAATACATGTAGTGCTACATTGAAGGATGATTTTGAAGATCACCATTTTTTGTAGTCTATTTACATCTCCAAACAATCAGTGAGTTGGCATTTTGATACTATCAATAAAATATACAACAGCCAATTCTTTTCGCGTGTAGACAATAAGATAACAACGAAAACAATAATCTTTGACATTTCATTGGTACTCCTCTTAAGACTCTTGAAAAGCCACAAAGCCAAGCATGTAATCTGATCGAAACCTCCGTCTTTATTCACCTTTTGGTTCTGATCTTGGTTCACCTTCAATTTGAAGAAGAAAAAAATTTTTTTTAAAAAAGGTCAGGCAGACTGCCTTTTGTCAGTGATTATAGATTCTTGTGAAGACCACGCAATTTCAGTGTGACTAAACGCACACACAGAATGCATTGATGGTATGACGAAAATAAAACGATGGAAAGCGGGTGCGCGGGATATGTAACACTGCTTAAACCCTTGTAAAACTATATTTGTTTATTATTTCTTTATTTGGTGAGCTAAAACAATCTGATAATGCCATTCTCATCTCTTCGTACGGAAGATCTTTCTTTTTTTTTTTTTTTTTTTTTTTTTTTGTCTTATATTAAAAAGATCTGATATTTAAATCAAGATTACAGACTTAACTAAAAAAAAAAGCACGTCTAACTGTTTTAAATTTCGTGTTAAAATGAACCTTCAAATGTTACACGTGCATGATGTAGATGGATTGTTATCAGATCCCGTACAACACAATAAACAAAACAAAAAAAATGTTTGAAAAATAAATAAAACAAAGTCCGATTACATTTTCTTTTTCTATATAAAGAATCTTTTTCTTTTGTTTTCGTCATCTTTCTTTCAATTATACATTTTTTTTAAAATCGTACACCTAAAATGCCTGTCCCTTCCAGTGAACACACTAACCAGCATTATGCTAGTTTTGCAACCACATCTCGTCTCGTTGCTTGTTTAACCAGTGAATCTTTGGTCCCTGCTTACTTTGTTCCCTCCACAGAAGGTGTCATTCTCGGCCTTTGTTTATTGCTTAGACCTAATTCTGTCAAAGAAGGTGATATTCCAACCACCGTCACTCTCGATGACGTATTAGCCGTGGTTCCCCTTCGTGGTTTGCCCATCATTGACAACACACAAATGGCTCGCTTTAACGGTATTGCCTGCCCTCGTATTGATTTGGTTGACGGTCTTGATATGTTGCCCCATATTTACTCTATCGATATCGAAGCTAAGCCCTCTTCCAACTCCGTTACCGAACACACCAAGAAAACTTTGACCACAGTTCTCCAAACCCAATCCAAGTTTGAATTGGTCGATAGCTATGATGCTGTGCAAATGTGGGATCGTCTTGCCACTGACTTGAATGTTAATGGTAAGCTCAAGGAACAAATCGGTCAAGAGCTTGGTTCTTCAATCCTTTTCCAAAGTAAGTTTATTCATCTTATATATGTATGTAATCAATTACAACCCTTGTTAACATGAACGTTACAGAGTACACTTATGATAACCCAAAGGAGTTACCTGGTTTGCAATCCGGTACAATTGCTTGGGAACAATCCGTTGTTGAAGGTCATGCTACACATCCCGTAAGTCACTTCTTATGTATTTGGTTAATTGGTTGGGTTTTTAAAAATTATGAGACTAACCACGTCATAATTAGATGCATAAAGCACGTAAAAGTTTCCCTCCTATGCCTGCACTTTATCCTGGATCGTACGATTTAGATCATCCCCGTGTCCGTCTTGTTGGTATTCCTCGAGGCTCTGCTACAGTTCGTGGTGAATATGAAGAGTTATCTAAGGGTTTGATTGATGCACTTTTAGCTGCTGGCGGTGGTAATGTGCAAGAGTTGCGTAACAAGTACAATAACCATGTCTTTATCGCCATCCACGAACTCCAACTACCCAATGTGGAACAAAAGTTTGACGATTTGGTTATTTTCCCTGCTCAACACTGCGTGCCTGTTGAAGCACTTGCCTCTCTTCGTTCCGTAGCTAGACCTGATATCTTGCCTGGTTTAAGTGTTAAGTTGTGTTTGGGCGTCAAAATCTCTTCTGCCCTTCGTACTGTCACCCCTTTTACCACTTACTTTGGTCCTGGATTTTCGTACGACGTTGTACCTAAATTAACCTATGATCATGATATCCTTGTCGTGGAACGTGAACTGGGTACAGTCTCTTATGCAATTGAAGATTCCGATATTTCTAAACATTGTAGCAGTGTTGTACGTGAAGCCATCGAATATAGCCCCGAGTACAAGGATGATTTGTTTATCCCTTGTGGTGCGCTTGTTGAAAAGATTCAAAGACCTGACACCGATCAAACTAATTTATTGAATGTGTGGGATTTGGATACAGAAGAAAAGAGAGTCAACTTCTTAACAAGGTAACAATAAAAAAAGAACACCGAAAATGCGCGCTCAAACGTAACCACTAACTTATTTCTGTACGTAGATATGTCGACTTATCTCTTCGTTCTTTCTTACCTCCCTGTCTTGAGAACGGTGTTGCTTTCGAAGCACATGGTCAAAACACATTAGCAAGATTCGACCGTAAGACCGGAGAATTAAAGGGTTTCGTGATCCGTGATTTTGGTGGTGTCAAGGTCCATCGCCCTACACTTTTAAAATCCACCGGATGTGAATTAGATATCATGCCTGATAGTTGTGTTGTTGCCGATACATTGGATGAGGTTGCCAAGCTCTTGTACCATACTCTTTTCCATTGCCAATATCAACGTTTAATCCGTGTCTTGGGTCTTCATTATAACGGTGTCGGTTGGGAGATTGTTCGTAACCGTATGTCCGAGTTGATCCCCAAGGATCATGTCATGTGGCCCATGTTCATGGCCCACGATAAGGTGCCTGGCAAATGTCTTGTGCGTATGAAGATCGATGAGCTTTACCGTGATGTAAGTACTTTGTTTATCATTCGATGTGAAATTTCGGAAGCTAATTCAATTTTTTTCGCATTAGTATATCTACCGCCCTGTCCCAAACATGATTAACTTCAAGCCTCAACAGGTTGGCATCTAAAATCATCTTTGTTTTTTACCCCTAGATATAATTTTTCTTTCTTATTACATTCACATGTATAACATTCTTGTACAAATCTATACTATATTTTTCAACTATATTTTTCCCCACCTCTTCAAGCAAACAAAACATAACTTAATAAAACTCTTAAAAATCGCATCAATATTCATCCAATCTTTACTCCGCTTAGATGCACTCTGTTGTTATAAAACTACATTTTGCCATTTTACACATCGAGTTACAAAAGTTTGGATACACATGTGTTATTCATCTATTGTACACCATGACAAATCAGAGATATAAATAAATTATTTTAGCCATTGCGTCTATTTACGAGATATTTCATGATACTTGGCAGGCAGGGGCCCCTTTTTTTTTTGTTTTTTTTTAGCATGATTGTAACCTGAAAATTACGGTTATACTAATTAATTTAAAGACCAGTAACAGAGTAGTACGCGTTAAAAAAAATGAATGCCACATGAATATCTTGTTTTGAACACGCACACGTAGTTCTCATCAGGGTCTCTATAGTTACTAGTATTTATTTATACTTTGTGTGAGCATCCTAAAACATGTAGACAATGACTATTTCAATAGCTTTGCTTTAATTGTATTCCCGTATCGTCCCGGGTTTTTATAAGCCTGGATGTGACATAGCGGACCTAAACCGTAAAGTATAATTCCAGATAAATATCATCCATGTCATAATGGAATTTCTGGTTATTCTCTCGCCAAAAAAAAAAAAAAAAAAAAAAAAAAAAAAAAAGAGTCATTATAAGCCATGTTACTCTATTTGTACGTATCAGATCTTTGTAAAAAAGAAAAAACTCGTGTCAGACTAAAAGAAAAATTAGAGATCGTCGATCGGTGTTTACATGCATCTGATAAGTGTAACTTAATTTAATCCTTAAACCAGAGTGGACATGGATCTGATAAATGATATCATGAATCGGTGACTCATTTCTTCCTTCTGTTAGACAAAATTTTCATGTTACCTAGTGTATCAGATTCCCTCTAAATAAATTTATGTTTAGCACTGATAATCTAAATAACAGGAAAAAAAAAGTATGCCTTAGGCTACAACAATGAGTTTGGGTTAAATTCCTTAACGTGACTTATACATTTTAATAATTCCCTCCACTCTAAAAAAAATTGCTTTTTTTTGTAATGGCTATTCGGGGCTGTTAATTGCGTTACCTTGGCAAACTTTCTTTTCTTTTCTTTGGCCCGAGTTACAGCAAAATCCAGACGCGTTTGCTCAATCGGTTTGACTGTTTTTATTAGATGGTACAACAATATACACAATGAATACGGTTTAGCTTAATTCGGCAAACGGGTATTTTTATATGATGCTTAGTAATTTTATAAAATACGTTCTCTATACTAGTCTGCACTCTTTCATACTTCCTCAATCGTTATAAAAACAAACATACATGTAATAGTGCCAAAATTTACGGTCATTTAATAGTATTCTCATTAAAAAATAGGTTAAAAAAAAAACTTATATAAAGTGTACCAGTTTTAGATATGTCGTACAAATGATCGAACACAAATAAGGCTTCCGGGGTTTCTTCCCAACTAAACAATTAAATGTTTTATCTGATTCACTTAAAAATACTAAAGGGTTTCTATAACTATGGCTAATACATTTAAGGTTAACAAAAAAATAGTTGTAGGAGGAAACTATTATTCCAAAATCTTCCTTTTTGGAATATTTGATACTCAAACATGTTTGCTAAAATACAGGGGTGATTCTGTATTAGTTTTTAGGTGGGCCAAAAAAAGTGTATGTGTATGTATAACTATACGTGTGTGTGTGTGTGTGTGTGTGTGTGTGTGTGTGTGTGTGTGTGCAGGGATAACTGGAGCTAAGTCAGTCTACAAATATGCAATTATATTACTACATATTTTTAAACAAATCATTATTGCAAATAGTTAAAAAATAAAGATACACCGCTCTTGTGATACTTTCATGTCTGATAGTAGTACCCATAATATCAACTACATTTAGCAGGCAAAGAGTGAAATATATAATTTTTTTATTGTGGTATCTACATCATTCTACTGCTAAGAGTCAAACATGGTGAAAGATATAGCACTTGATACAAGGGATGTATATAACGTTTGTTATTTTTTAACAAGATCCTTATAAAAACAGGCTATTAAACCGTGTACGAACATAATACTGTTCAGCCTTACATTCAACAAGAACAATACCCCGGATACACTACTGAACAATAACATAAAGAAGTTATATATTGACCTTCCTATTTAAAGTGTTATCCTTGGTTTGATCATCGATTTATGAAGCACAACATCCCGTTTAGTATACCATAATACCATACAATTAAATCTACAATGAGTCTCTGTTTTTAAAAGTTACTTAAGGCTTCATACAAGATATAGTGGTTTATATCCAAGAGTCGTTTAGTATATATTGATATATATTTAGACCAACCAATGCCGTATGTTACAAAACTTACGAGATTGCGAAGGGGTTGATATGCTATATTTTACTAGATACTACTTTTTTTTTGGTTGTTACTATTAAAACGTAATAGTGTATGTCTCCCATGAATTTCATCAAGCTAAGTGCTTCAAACAACAACGCTCACTTAATTTGCTCTTCAAAACTCTGTAATACGTTGTCTAATTGTGCATAACCAGCTTGAGCGAATTCATCTATACATAAAAAAAAAGAAAAAATGTGTGAACGAGTCTTATTTATAGACTAATAAACGAGAGCTGTCTCATGTCAGGATGATTTAATCAAAGTGTGCGAACCAGCTTTATTTGAAAATTGATAAGTAAGAGCTGGCTTATGTCAGACTGATTTAAATATTTCCTTCTCCTCCGGTCACCCATCAGCCGTGACAGATTCATTGATTACATATCCACACAAATTCGTAAGGATTCTATCTAAAAAAAGGACTTGTCTCATAGTTTATAGCTGTCAGCTAAGATTTGTATCTCTAACCAGTTTTTTTTCACTTTAAAATACATACGTAACACAGAAAAGATGCATAATTAACAAAAAAAAACAGATAATCAAACTAAGATCAGAAAAAAAACTACCCAACTCGAGAAGGTGTGTTTGAAAACCATGCTTAATTAGCCAAGTGTAGTGAGCAAGAAAAACAAAACAAAAAAAAAAGGCATACCGAGAACAAGTAGGAATGAACTCAATGTTACAAAAAATAAGAATCATGATTACTACATTCCAGTTCTTAGTTGTCAAGGATTTATTACACTCACCAACATAAAACCCTCTCAAGATCATTTTTGTAGGCCACGTAAATGTAATTGGGATTTTTTAGTGATAGCTTGTGTAATTGATGTCATTTTCAGCTGATGGAACTTTCCCCATTATTCTAGTTTGGCGAAAATAAAAATTTTACAGAGATAGTTAACACGATCAGCATAGTTTCTGTAACTCCCAGAATTCCAAACTTGCAGCATTTTTAGTGTAAGTTATGTTGTATACAGTGGCATGTGAAGTGTTCATTGTAAGATTTCTACTCTTTTTTTTTTTTTTTTGCTTAAAAATCAAAGTAGTACAAATGTCTGAATTTGATCATGTAATCAAAGCTCTCACGGTTATTTTATCTTGTTGCGTGGGAGCCTGTCAGCAGTCAAAGTCTGGTAGCTACGCACTACTGATTTTTTCTCACTCTTTCTCCTCTTTTTTTTTTTATTAACATGATGTTCAGTAATAGCATTGCCGCGATGAAAGCTCACTAAGGAGTACTCTTTTGCACAAATGCCGTGTGTTTACTGGGTTGTAATGTCGATCGGTGGTGATCCCTTACTGCTATTAAATGGTCCTATGGAAAGGGAGTAGGTAATGTATGGCGTGCACGTATACCTGTCGTCAACCCTCCTGGGCTTGTATCGACTGCATTGGGTGCTTTCCAAGACATGTTGTAGTCCTGTAAGTAATCTCATTTAAAAAGAAAAAAAAAACATTGAAACTCATATTTAATTTTTATAGGTCCTCTGTCGCTCTTGTCTCTCTCTGTCCCCCCCACTTCCCGGTAGTTTATAAACCCGAAACGGTGGGTCAAACAACGTCTTCCCTCTGAAAAAAAAAGGACTGGGATGACGCGTAAGCAGGCGGCTGACCCCCATACATGAACACGTTCTGTACAAAAAGAGGCGAACTGGTGGTTGCTTACTACATCTGTTTATGGCGAGGCCGACTGGGAGCGGCGACGAACGGGTTTTGTTCTGTGGTATCGTCTATTGGTGTTATATTCCCCTTTTTTTATCTTGTAGCTAATTCTCTTCTTTATCACCCAATCCATCTAATATTCTATAATGTTTGGAAAGAAGAGGGTTATCTACAGGATGAAAAAAGGGTATCTTAATGACAATAGAGGTTGCCACAGAATAAAATCCTTACTTTGGCTGGTTGCTCCTTTAGGCCTCGCCATAAACAGCTGTTGTAAGCCACCACCAGTTAGCCTCCTTTTGTACAGTCGTGTTCAGACATATACCCCGAAGCTGCTTGCACAAGTGTCATCTCGGTCCAAAATATAAAAAAAAGACAGGTCGACAAGACTCGCCAGGGTTATTCATTCTATCTTGCTGGGTCGTGAGGGTGAGCAAGGGTGATATGACGGGATCATCAACATGTTGAGGATTGCACTCTTTGTTAGGAGGTACAGGTCGAGGTGGGTTCCTGGCGGGCATCGTGGATGCTATGCATTATCTGCCAATCTCTTTTCATAGTAGTTGCCTACCGTAGTGGTTTGTGGTAGATACACTTTGTGATTACTCTTGGCTAGATACGCTTCCCATTCAGGAAGGAAGGGGCTTTGACAGTAGCGACTACTTGCCTGCGGTGTTCAATGCTGGATGTTGTGATCCTTTGGGCTATCCTCCTCTCTTTTATATATTGGAAAGTATTTATATTGGCACAAGTTAATCTGATTCCATTTCGTTACTCACTCAATTCATTTAGGTCTTTCTACTACTGCTACTACTACCAAAGAAGATAAGTAATAACATACATCTCAACATCTTGATTTTTATCCGGTGTTCTAACTTATTCAATTCTCTACAATTTTAGGAAGCTCCAGTCATACTGACATGGCTGTAGCGCATACTATTATCATAACTGTTTCATTTGATATGATACAGAACACTTTCAGATTCCTATATTTGGCTGTCGGAAGGAAACTAAGCAATGACCATAAATAAACTTAATGTGTTCTTCTAAGTTTTACTTGTATCTACTGTCTTTTTATGCCACCTCTGTCTTGTATATTAGGGCGAGGGTATGCATGCTTGAAACGTTGGTGTGATTAACAGGAAATATGCTAGAATTGTAGTATAAGGTGATACGTCTTTTTGTGAAGGGGAATAGTAGGTCTATAAATACTTAACGAAGGTATCCTCTTTTGCTGTTTTTTACTATTGAGTTTGGACCTAATTGTGGAAAGTTATTTTATTATTATTTTTCAGTGATAAAAGAGATTATAAATGTCATCTGCTTAAATAAGAAAACATTTAAAGGGATAATGATGATTCGCTATCAGAAAAGAGTATTGATAAACTTTAAAACATACTTGAAGTTAGAAAGTTAAGTTTGATTCACTCTATTACACAATTTGACAAAACACTCTCAAGTGGTTTTTGGAAGTTGATCTGGTAATCCTAGATATATCATTAATTTTTTTTTTACAAAGCGGAGAAATGTATCACGGCAAGATACCCCGTTGAACTATTCTATCATTATATGACTTAATTTAAAAGTGTGGGCATCAATGCTGTGTAACCATTCAAAAAAAATTCATGCCAAGAAAAAAAAAAAAAGGTATAAAAGGGCTCCTTTTTTTCAGCAACCAAAGCCTTTTCTTTTTTCTTAATAAAATATGACTTCTGGTCTAGAATTTCATAATGTTTCTCTCATCTTCCTCTGGTGGATGGTATATTTATGATCTTTTTCATCAGAGGTCCAAGCGGAATACGGATTTCTCGTCCCTCTTTTGGGATGGCTATCATATTTTCCCCAGGTTTTTGTGTGCACAACAAGGCCTGGTTTTTTTTTAAATATTAATGACAATGAAAATATAACATAAAAACTATACTTAGCTAAACATATTGATCTTAATTGTATATTTTTAAACATTTACATCAAATGATAAAATACCACTTATACAATTTTAAGCATAATGCGAATGTATGTTTTGTCGAGCATAGATGTGGTCTGTAATTGATTTAAATTCTCGTTTTAGATATGAAAGACTTTTTTACAACTGGAGTAAATCTATAGGAAAATCATATAAACAGAAAGACACTTTAATACAAATAACTGATATACAAGTGATCCAATTTATGTAGGGGCTGTTCTAATAAGCTTCTTTTTCAAGATAAACTTTATTAGGCTTAAACAAATTGCGTAAAGTAGTCGTTATTCTAGGAAACGCCTGTTTGGACAATGTACTTTTTATTTTTGGGTAGTGTAGAGAATCTACTCATTTACACTTTCATGTTTCAGCTGCGTACGAGTTGATAAATAACAAAAATCCATATTATCTGAGTCGCTCTTGGTTTTTAAGCTCTCCTGGCACAGCAACAAGGTAAAATCGACAACGTTGTCGATTTTTGTTTTTTTTTTTTTTTTTTTTTTTTTTTTTTTTTGCTTTAGCTCTGGTAGCACAGCGACTAGGTAAAATCGACAATTTTGTAGAGAGACTCAGAATACTGGATAGAGTACTTTAGTCTTTGGGCTTGATATATACATTTTGACGGATTGGGTTTCGATTAGGTAGTAGAGAAAATGGCACCAAAGCATAAATATACAACTGAAAGAAAAGTAAGAAGAATTGTTTTTTACATTATTTTTATACGTAAGGAAACAACGGTATCGAAGACAATCAAGGCAGATATAGAATGTTTTAATAAAATCTAGCTTATCCGCAAACTAGACGATATGATCAGGGAAATTGCCGTTTCCATCAAACACAGTTACCAGTTTATTTGTTTTGCAGTAAAAGATTAAGGTGGTCACATCTGATTCAAAATTAATTTAATATATACCTTCCTTCATTTTTTTGTTTGTTTTACAGAATTACCATTGCATCTTGCCATAGGCTACCATTTGAGAAAGCGGCGTTTGTAGGTAACAAAAAAAAAAAATGAGCGGTCCTCGAAAAAACGCGGCTGCCATAATACGCGTAACAACATAACTTCTGTTTGGTGACTCTTTTCTCCTAAAAACCATGTATAAAACATTATTGGAAACATTAAAGAAATACGGGTTGGCTTCGGTAAATTAAGAGACGCTACTTTTTTTTTGAATGAAGACTAATATTTTATTTTTAGTACTATGTAGAGTAAGTGTGAACTTTTATGTTTATTGTAATAGATTTTCTGATCCCTTTTGCCTTGAATTAGTCTCTACCGTCTTGGCATTCAACCTAAAGAAATAATGGCGCAGGTATTTCGTTGTTTGAAGCTGAAATATACAGGGTACATTTTCTTAATCAAAACTTTTTTTGCATAGATTTCAATCAATGAGTTTCCCCAAGTGAAATTCAAAGCACCCGAGGACGAAATGAAATTTAAAGCCATGTTTTATGATCTACAACATTCAGCGGCTGCCGAAGATAGCGAAACCAACACAGAGACCAACTTCAATTCGGAACCCAAAGAGAATACAGGATCCGGCGAAAGAAGCTACCAACCTAAGAGTCCCAAGGAACCGTCTAGTACCTCAGAGCCCATACGCAGCAACAACAGCAACAGCAACAACAGCAACAACAGCAACAGCAGCAACAACAGCAACAATAACAACAATAACAACAATAACAAGACCGAAGTAATCACTCCGATCTCTACACTCTCAAAAGTAGCCGATCAAAGACCCTTCAACGATTTTGCTGTACCCGTCAGTAAACAGGATTCTGCCTCTAAAAAACGGGCGTTTCCTGCCACCAAACATTCCCCCGAGCGAAACGTGCGTCGTATGACTAGCTCTGTCAATGTACAGCGTACGTCTCCTCTACCACGTATACCCGCGCAACGTACACCGCCTTCAAAAGCAGTTCCTCGTCGCATTTCTACCGTGCCCGCACAGAGAATTAATAAACCAAATATCACACCTCCCATGACACCTACAATCAGTATCAACAATGACTTGAATCAGCGTATTCGTGTCTGTGTCAGAAAGAGACCATTAAATAAAAAAGAAAAGGATATGCAACAATCGGATATTGTTAATTTAGTAGGCGAAAGGACCATCCAACTCAACGCACCCAAGTAGGTTTAAATACATAAGAGAGAAAACTATGATGGGTTTTTGTGCTGACAAAAAATTTTAGAACCAAAATCGATCTGACACCCTATATTGAGAAACACGCATTTACATTTGACGATGCTTTTGATAGTAATTCTAGCAACGCAGATATTTATGCACGTACAGCTCAACCTTTAGTGGATTATATCTTCAGTGGTGGTAAAGCTACATGCTTCGCCTAGTAAGTGCCTTTTATTTTTATAACAACTTTTAAAAAACTCCAAAAAACTGACATACCCTCATTTTTAGTGGACAAACAGGATCCGGTAAGACGTACACAATGCTCGACTCACGCCATGGTTTGTACGTCCTTGCAGCCCAAGATATATTCCGGATGCTATCTAAACCCGCTTATTCGCATTTACAAGCAACCGTTGGACTCTACGAAATTTATCAAGGTCAATTGTTTGACCTGTTAAACAAGCGCGAGAAGTTAACAGCGAGGGATGATGGGCATAACAATATTGTGATTGCTGGACTACGTGAGTGTTATATCAATGATGTGGAGGATTTAATGGATACGTTTGAATCAGGAAACCGTGTTAGAACTACAGGTACAACTGGCGCAAATAACGCTTCCTCTCGATCGCATGCTGTCCTTCAAATCTTACTCAAGTCATCAGATGATGATATTTTCGGTAAATTGAGTTTTATCGATTTAGCAGGAAGTGAACGAGGCGCTGATCGAGGTGAAGCCGATACCAAAACAAGGTATAAAAAAGAAAGAAAGAGGAAAGTGAAATAGAATATACAGTACTAATACATGTAAAAAAAAAAGAATGGAGGGAGCAGAGATCAACAAGAGTTTATTGGCACTGAAAGAGTGTATTCGTGCATTGGATCAAGACAAAAAGCATACGCCATTTAGAGGAAGTAAATTAACACAGGTGTTACGAGACTCGTTTACAGGCAATTCACGCACGTGTATGATTGCCACGATCTCTCCTAACAATACTAACAGCGAACACACATTGAATACATTGCGTTATGCTGATCGAGTAAAACAATTGAAGGGAGAATCCGATCCTCGTATTCAACAAGGAGGCCATCAATTAACAAATTTAGTGGATGGAGATACCGATGCTAGTAGCTACGGAAGTTGGGGTGACGATGAGAATTTGTTGGATGAGGATTTTCCTGTGGAAGCGGCAGCCAATGCCTTAGCCACACCTACCAATAACCGATTTGAATCCATCTTGGAACATCAGCAAGTGAATTATTTAAAACGACTCGAGTCGCCACCTGCCGAAGTATTTAGCAAAGACATTAAAATGGAGGACCCGTTCTTTTCATCGCCCGTGCGTTTAAATTTACCTTCTGACAATGATGTGGATACTGAAATGAGCAGTTTGGAAATTGCCAATAAGACAAAAGTTAGAAACGTACAACATATTCGAAACATTTTAAAGGCTCATCGAAATAGCATGAAGCAATATGATGAACACATCAGAGAAGAGGAACAAATTTTAGCTAGGTTATCTTTAGCCATTTCCGAACACGAAGAAGATGAGGAATCTGACCAAATCAATGAAGCTTTCGAAACTTATCTAAATGATTTAGATGAGATCCTGTTTCATAAAACTGCGATCATTGATCATATGAAGAGTATCATTTAATTTTTTTTTTTTTTTTTTTTTTTTTATGTATTATAATAAACTAGCGTAGTTTTTTCAACATTGGCTTTTCAACTATTCCTTCTTCTTCAGACGACAGGGAAGTTTTAGTGCTAAAACTAGATCCGCTCATGGATGTTATCGGTGGTTTTTGTAAGGTCTTTAGACAGACCCGTAAATCAATCATATATTGATCAAGCGATCTTTGCTCGGTGCCTCCAAACACAAAACCAACAATTAAACATACCATAGCAAACCCTGAGCATGCAATCATGACAAATCCACATACTGCATGCACAATGATCTGTGTGCTTCCCTCATAACTGATAAGTTGAGCAATATAAGCGCCCACTACCACGATTACAGATAAACAGAGTAGCACCAGATACTGGTGGCCCGTTTTCTTGGCTTGATTATACTCACGCTGAATGATCTCAATAGCGGTGATGAGATGGGCGGAAGATAACTGTGTAAAGTCCGGTCTTGCCAACTGCTTAGAATTTGGTGCGAAATTGCCCATGGCAGTATCGACATGACCTGCTATGGTGAATACGGAATGGACACCAAAATGATCTGAATAACTCCACTCTGTACCGGGTATATATCCTTCCATCACAACGCGAGACTCTTGACAGATGATTTGTGGTGATCTACGATAAAAGATATAATCCAAACGATCACCGAATTCTTTGAGATGTGGTTCTTGTTTCAAGAGATGCTTGGTCCAAGTGTTTAATGGAGAATCGCAGGTAATGCCAAAACGTTGAATACTGTCTGAGAGATCATCTAGGGTATGATCATGTTTTTCTAACCACGTATCTGTCATGAATCCATGGTTCTTTAACATTTGATAACAGTTGCTAGTAGGAATACTATTAAAATCACCTGCCTGGAAAAAATGGGAGATCTGCATAAGTTGCTGTAACCTACATATTTATGTGTATTTGTTTACCAAAATGACATGTCGTCCCTGAGCTGCTGAAGCTCTGACACTGTTGGCAATTTGCCAGCATTCGGTAATTCTTTGTGCCTCATAATCTTCACCTTGACCATATCCTGCTTGCAACTAATATATTTATCATTAATTTCGTTGTACAAGGAGAGTTCAAAGAAAATGTATACTTGCATGTGTGGTATATACATCCATCAAACCAATTTCTGGATGATCTATGCAGACAGATCCACACCCTTTTCCTACATAAAAATCGCCCTGCAAAACTTTGAGTGGTCTACCTGCCAGAGTAAATTTCAAGTAAGATGATGACAGAATAGGAAACCGAGATAAAATAGCTAATCCACTTCCCAAAGTGCCACTTTATTTAATTTATTAGTCCATGTGATGAGAGGAAAGTTTTCCTTTTTTTTTTTTTTTACCTCTGGAAATATTTGGTGAAAGGGAGTTTGGAGCCTACTTTGGCCTTGATATAATCAAAGTCCTTTCTCATCCAGACTTCTTGTAAAGCAACAATGTCATAGTCTTCACTACTAATTCTATCGCCAATGGCGTGTAAACGAAACTCACGTTGTTTAGCCACCACCTTGAGACCCCTTTTTTTTTAGTTAATTTAAAATGAGTTGTCTGTAGTCCATTCCCGTTTATTTCATCTTACCAGCAATTCAAGGACAGAACAGACAGCGTCTTGTCATTGACATTGTTCATCATTGAAATAAAGATAATAGAAGAAAAAGGTATTTGATTTAAATGCAGGGAATTTTATTACATAATGAAATTTTCTTGTACACTCTTTTTTTTTTGTCGTTGCTAAAAAAATAATGATGATGAATATATCCAGAACTTAGATGGATACAGGCTCATTCTCTTTGACAGATGGCTCATTCTCCTTGACAGATGGCGCATTCTCCTTGACAGATGGCTCTTCCTTCTTGACTGGCACCTTGATATTTAATTTGGGTTCCTCTACTTTGTCTACTTTAACAATAGGCTCCTCATAATCAACCTGTTCATGTTCAACAGCAGGTTCGTCCACCTTGATAAAAGCAGGCTCCTCACTCTTTTCACCTCTTGATTCAAGCACAAGCTCTTCATTTTGAATAGCAGGAGGAACCACAATGTTCTCCTTTTCTGCACTCTTTTTACTTTCTTCGGTAGCCATGGCTACAGGGGCTTCAGTTTGGATACGGAAGACAGTTTCTTCCTCTTCTTCCTTGGCATGAGGTGCCTTTGTTTCAACAACAGCCTCTTCAGAAGCAGTAGGTGCTTCTACCTCAATAACATCTTCCTCTACCTCAGCCTCAGTTGCAAAAGGGACTTCAGTTTGGATACGGAATACAACTTCTTCTTCTTCTTTGGGAACCACGGGTACTTCAGTTTGAATACTAAAGACGATTTCTTCCTCTTCTTTTTCAGGTACAATAGTAGGTGTTTCCTTTTTAACAGGAGGAATAACAGCTTGAGCCTTGACTTCATCTTTATGAAGTTCAAACACTTCCTTGTCAGTGGGTACAGCAACAAGGTGTTTCTCCGTGTTAGCGACGACCAATTGTTCTTCAGCAGAGTTACAGGTAGGTACATAGATGGCTTCAGCCTTTTCAGCGTCAGGAGCATATTCGGTAGCAGCGGTAGGCTTTACGGATTTCTCTTGCACAATATCATGGGCATTACCATCGACATCGATGGTAGGTTCGGGCTTTTGATGAAGATGGGTGGCGGCGGATGCAGGGGCGGATGATTTGGTTATAGTTACAGCGGTCTTGGCTTCAGCAGGAGGTGTAATAGGGATATCTTTTGTTTTGGGAGCAAGGAGAGCAGTCTTGAGCTGTGTGGATGCGGAAGTGGCAACGGGGTAAACCTTTTGGGAAGGACGGATAGGTAATTGAGCGCGTACAAAGTTGACGAGTTTAGCTACGGGTAAATGAGCGAGAACAGGCTTGAGATTCAAATCCACGTAATCCTTCATGTTCGCCACGTAGTAGGTGTTTAATTGGGTGACCACATGACTCTGTTTTACAACGGGTAACAGATCGAATTGCAGGAAATCAACTATGGCCCAATAATATTTCAACAAGATGGGCAACAGATCAGTATGTTCCGCACGGTGAATCCAATCCTTAATATGAGCACATGCAGTTTCTTTAGCGTGTTGGATAGGAGGAGGTAAATGATCCAATTGATACTGAAGGACAGCGCGTGCTTCTTTCGCCTTTTCTGAGGTTTGAGTTAACAAAAGGTTGAATTGTTGATGATAATAAGGTTTAGCATGAGCAAGGTAGGGGTGGATCATGGGAGCGACTTTAGCCATATAGATGGGTTCTACTTGTTGCTTATAAACCTGTTGAGCTCCCATCCAACTCTGGTCGACTACAGGCTTACCGTGTTGCAAGTACAGTTCGGAAACTCTCGATTGAACGGGAACACCGTATTCGAGATAGAGAGCGTTACCCTTTTCCAAGTACGGACCTGCATTTGTTTGGACTAGATTTGATTGGTAGATAGCGTAGAGATCTAATTTGATTGGATCAATAGCGGCACAAATCGCAGCCTTGTCATCGTTGTTCTCAAAAGGAGAGCCGCAAGCATACAGTGCGTGATACCCCAAATACGATACAATTGAAAGTGAAATAAACGAGCGTACGCGAGATCTTGACTTTCTGGATGTCTAAAATAGGCTATTTGAGTACACAGTTTAAAAAAACCAAATCATCCAACTTACACGTATTTTCTTTTTACTATGTGCATCAACGGGTTTAGCGGAAGCCTTGGTGATTGGCTTGTTAGGTTTCGTAAGGAGAATTGGTTCGGACATCATAGGCGGTGTCTAGAAGTGGGTTTTTTAGTGAGCCCAGAAAGAAAATATTTTCATTGTTTAGTATTTCATGATTTTACCTTGGGTTTAGCAGGAGCAACTTCTAAAAAGAAATATGTGAGTATAAAAGAGGTGCGACAAACAAAAAAAAAAAAGGTAAAACTTACTTTTCTTGTAAGACTTTGTGTCCAAGTTAGAAGTGCCCTTCTTTTCTTTCTTTGCAGACCACTCAGTTGATTTGTTGGTCATGTTGTAATCAAGATGAGGATGAAGGAAAGAAGAAAAAGAAGAAATTAAAAAGAAATTAACGCGCTTTTTATATAAAAAAGTGTATTTTATTTTTATTTTATTTGCATGTGCCCCGCTCAACTTTATTTGATACCCAATTTTTTAACCTTTTCTATTAATCCATTCACAGATTGCTGTATATTTTCGTCCGTCATACCAATGGTTGCTAATTTATCGGTGATAAGAGAGATGGTTTCGTCTAAATCGTCAGATTCCTTCAAGAACAAAAAGTCTGATAATCCGTAGTAACCTGACGTATCGTAGGACGGTAAACCAAATGATGTAATATGTTTATTGGCCAGATGTGATACCAAGACTTGAGTAATCTAGCACAAGGTTATTACAATGACGATCTTTTTGTATTACTTTGACATCAACTTACCGACTTCAAATCTTGATATTCATCTTTAGCACTTTCAGACACCCAATCGACCTGTGCATGGTGTATCGTTTCTTGTACTTGTCGGAGATTATCCAGCTTTAACTTTGCCAGTAATAATGGTGTCAATCGAAAAGGATCCGAAGCTGGTATATTGGCTCCTATCTGTGATTTTAGTCCCTTTTTTTAGCGCTTTTTTTTTTATATAAAAAAACAAGAGAGTGAGCAATTTCTTCATAACATACCAACCTTCGTGTAACAACATTAAAACGCATTGATGATTTCCGGCCAGCACAGCTACGGGTTTATTTTATCAGTGTGCCATTCTATCTTTCTGTGTGTGTGTGTTTATGTGGAGTGTGTGTATGTGTGTATGTGTGAGTTACCCATGTGCATTGGTTGAAGTCCATCCACATCGCCAACCCCATTATTCACATCCGCACCTGAACGAATCAGCAATTTAGCAATAGAAGTTGCTTCTAAGGGGTCATCTTTTCGACTGCAAGCCAAATGTAAAGGTGTTCGTAAATATCTATCTCGTATCGTATCTGGATTTATCCCTGGTAAAGCCTCCAATAATTCTTTGACTACATGATCACCATTGAGTTATTTCATTCTATTCTGATTAAGGTCTTACTTCTTTTTTACCTTCGTTCAAGGGCTTTCTTGCACACGCATCTAATAATATGGAATCACTGGCACTTAACTGAAGCAAATCACGTAACCTATCTGCTCTTTTGCTCTTTTTCACTTGACAAGTCTTTGTTATTCGGTTCTGCATTGTATAACAAAGAAAAAAGAAAATAATAATAATAAAAAAAAAAAACGGAGAGTATGTGTGAGTGTGTGTGTATGTGTGTGTAAGACTATTGAAAGCCCGTTTACTCTCTTTTTACCCCCGACACGATGAGCATTTACAAGAGTTCCTCCGAGGTTATAAAACATTTATAAAAAGATACTATGCAAAACCCTTTTTTTTTTATTGTTGTTCTTTTCAATTTTATATGAACTCATGCCTGTAGACAGTGGCCAAGGATTCGTGCCATTACACGAAGCGCAACTAGAACAAAATAACGAAGAAGAAACCATATTAGAAGACTATCTGGACTCCAGTGATGATGATGATGAAGAAGAGGAAGAAGAGGAAGATGAATTGGATCAAGAGCTTGAGAATGCCTATCAGTGTGATTTCACAAAGCGAAGTCCACCACCCTGTGCAAACACTTCTTTACTCTCATCTTTACTCTCTTGCTCTACTACTACTGTAAAACAAAGTGCCACCAAGAAGGATCATAGTGCGGCCATTACCATCGCATCTAAAAAGACTACCACTTTGTCAGCAGCAGATCCTCTATCCGAGTCTCTCAAGCGAAATCTAGCCTGGGAGCACTCACAAAGCTCTCTAAGAAAATACGAGAATATTAAGAGATCCAATTCATCAGAATCTTTGACTGATAACTTTAGTAGATACTAAATACATGTATACAAAATAAAGATAAAAAGTTGTTTATTACACATGAATAATGGTATGGTTTCTAATGTGGGGTAGACAAGTCCATTTCAGCAGCAGAAGGAGCAGTGGAAGTTTTGGTGGGTTCTGCATTGACTTGGACAGATGTGGGTGGTTTTGCACTAATGATGTGATTGGGTGTATCTTCATCGTTGAATAAATGAATGGTTTGTTGCACATAACTCTCTGCAGGCTTAAACCATTCTATTTCAAGATCCTCCACAATATCAGCCAATTTTGTTCCGCTCGCCACAATCACTCTGTTGACTGCCGGAATAAAGCAATCCTTGGACTCAATTCTGGGTCTAATCTCCACTTTCACTCTTTCGACATCATAAATACTGACAAAATAAGACTTGATATAATCAGCATAAGTCTGGTCCTGATCATAAACTTGTTGTAAATCAATCACCAGTTCTGTGTGGACGTGGCTAGTGGGTGAATTTCCTCCCGCAAATAATGCGTTTTCTAAAGTGATATTACTGTGTTCGCGAATCCAGTCGATAATTTGTTTCCTTGTACCATAAAATATCCAACGGTTGGTGTTTCCCGCACTAGACAGTGTGATCTTGGTGGACAAAAGTGGAGGGCAAATCACATGGCCCACTTGACCAGGTGAAGCATCTATTCATTATCCTTTTTTGTTAGTAATATATATATACACTAGCCTTGTCTTGTTTAAACATACTCATTTCATAACCATATACGAGTTTCATTTATTTTAATAATTTAAAAAAAGTAAAGAAAAAAGAAAAGTAAACAAAATAAAAAACAATGCAGAATTTTTATACAATTCTGGTATTTCCAAGAAATCTCAGAGGTGAAACCCTATAAAAAAAATGGGTGACATCAATTTTTGATACAGCGACGATAGAAGATACCGATTTGTTCTGTCCAATCATTGGCTGTAGAAAAGAAGCCTACTGTGTCATACCCTTCGGGTGCTTCCACTACCGTCGGCGAACCTCCCATCCCACCATACCAAGGGCTCAACCTTCCGCTGCTTAGCTTAAACTGCAGCCCATCAATCCATGCTCCACATCTTAAAATAATGCCCTGAATCTGCTCACCAGGCATCACAATAAACCTGGACTTGCCTCCACCTGTCTTGCCCACAACATCTTGCGTGCCGTCGTTCCAATGAATCACAAAACCGTCCAAGAAACTGCCATGATGCACTGTAATACTCACTACTTGCTTTAAATGACCATCCTTCAAAAAAATAGAACGCGATTGGGTCGCACCCGGTGTATCCCCACCAAAAACGTCGCTTTGGATCACATGCCCAGGGACACCGGGTAATCGGACGCCAGCGTGAGATTGGATAAAACCCTGTACATCCTCCATCGTACGTTGTTGCTGGTTAACACACATGGCCTCTAAAGAAATCTTTTGGTGCTTGTCACACTTGCAACGGCTGCAGATCTCATCCATGCTCAACACAAGTGTCTTGGGGTGCTCTTGTAGGAATTCAAGGTGTGTGCGGTAATGACCATCTACATTCATTTCTAAAATAGAAAGTCCAGCTGGTGCATTAATTTGGAATTGGTTGCCCTCCAATGGAACAAAACTAGGTGAGGTCTCAATAGGTACCCCCTTTGGTCCGTCTTGGGGTAGTCGGAACGCGGGATGGAACCGCAGACGTAGTACATCTAAACGATGCCTTTTCATATTTCTAAGTTCTCTACTGCTTTTTTTTTACATGTACGCATAATAAAACTTACCAGTGGGATCCATTCTCTGCCTCTGGTGGAATAGGTCCAAATCCTGGTTCCTTAGCAACAAACGTACGGTTTAAATTGTTATAACCTCGACTCATGATACCTTTTTTTAATCACAAGAATGTCAGAAGAGATTTAATGACATCATAGTAAAAGTTTACCTGTGGGTGTATGTGTCAAGGTATAAGCATGGCCAACTTCATGCAACTTTAAAAAAAAAGTATTAGTATCATCAACACGCTAAACCATAAAAAGCATCTTACCATAGCACCCATGCCAATGTTAATTGCTCGCCACCATTCACCAGACTCGTTGGCATCATTGGCGACATATCTTGTATCAGTCTTTGTATTGTCCATAAAAGAAGGCACAATATCCTCTATCGATGTTGGCCAAGCATGTAATAGATGCGAGCCAAAGATACCCAATGCCGTATGACCAGCGCCTCCACCCAAGGCCGTATGGCCCAAGGACAGTTGTTTTTGGGTATCCCAGTGCGAGTCTAAAATCAATCCTGCTACAGCGCACGGCTTGTCAAATGGAGGATTATGTCTCAAGTCATCCAAAAAGAAATCAAACAAGCTTTCAAATGATTCGTCGTGGTCATCGCTTTGTTGTGCACGACGTACGTCACGAATTTCTGCCACGGTATGTTTAGATCGAATCACATGGACTTTGGCCGTGTTTCGCATCACACCTTTCTCTTGACAAGAGATTGTGTCTGGCAACCAAGCTTCTTCTAATCGAAAAGTACGTCGACCAAACCCATGACGGTGCATTTGCTCAGCACAAAAGGCTTGCCACATGTATCCCGCTGTACGAAACTTTTCAATCGCTATCGATAAGGTGTCTTGTCCCTTCTTTTGCGGTGGTACGTCAAACTTGGCAGGAGAATCAGAGCCGATAAAGATTACAAGAGAAAGTGGTGGGTTTTGTAAAAGTGGGAGATACGATATATGGAAATGAAGCGTTTGTTTCTCTCCATGTTGGAAGAGGAACGTAATCGTGTTGGGTCCTGGTACCAAATGCACCATGGCCTTAAAATATGAATTCACACAGGGCCATTGCGTTTGGGGAAAGTCGTTGCAAAGAACATGAATAGGCTGATCAAACGAGCCATGACGTGGTCCTGCTCTTCCATTTACTAAAAGAAACCGCTAAAAACAATAGATATTATTAATATATACAATGTCCCACCACGACGATTGACAAGTACCTGATGCACCGTCTCTCCATCAAGCACATTACTGATCTCAATGCCTGCTGTAGGCGGTCTTTGGGGAACTGGTGGGTGGTTCATTTCTAGTAATCGTAAAAAGAAAAGAAACTATGCTTTATATCCCAGAGCGTCACTTTTGAGAGTTACAATAATTAAAATTCAGTAACTGTTTGTGGGCAAATTAAAACCCGTTTTGGAAATTTGCATGAACTGGCGCATTCGATTCGAATTATTGTATGATAAAACTACTATCACTGGCTCGACTCTATTACTATTTTTTTTGTAGTCCTAATTACCCGACAAGTACATCAATAACATTAGGCAACCGCTGTACAACGTTTCGCTGAAACGATTATTGTAATAGAGCAAAAAGTAGACGAGTGTTTTGCATGGAGAACAAAATTAAAAATGAACCAAAAGTGATACTGTTAGAACTTAACTACCACTTTATTATGGACGAAAAAATATCATTCAAAGATGTATAAGAAAAAAATCAAAAAAATGTATTGATGGTATATGAGAAAAACTATGGATATTTATATAAAGAACTGGGATAGTTCTAGGGAGAATATTAAGCACCTTATTGGATCATGATGTGATAGTAATAAATAATCAACATGTCTTTAAATTTAGCCCTTCCATACTGAGTATATAAATATTAGTCAGAAGGATCAACAGTTATAACATCAAATGACAAGAGTCATATTTGTGCTCAGGATCTAATAATATTCTATAGTCCAGGCCCATTCGATTGTATTGCTTTTGCAGAATAAATATTTACTCGCCACAGGGATGCGCCCTGTGTACAGACTCCAACGGTAGGATGAGAACAAGCGGGGTAATGTGTGATTCATGATTAACTTTTAAATTTATTATCCATCCATAATGTGATGTGACAATTAACTTTATTATTATATCTATGATATCCTCAACAACCGGTATAAATTTGTGGCTCTTGAACAAGCATCGTATATCTTTGATCTCTCCAGTCTCTGACCTCTAGTTTTCGACAGATCTAACAAACGATGCTACTGTGTCTTGAATTGTACCAGACGCGTACTAATAAAGCCTCGTGCTTGAAAACCTTTACTTGTGAGATAGGCCTTGTAGCGGAAATGCTGCTTGGCTGTACTTGCGAATGATAAATCTTATACGTCAAAATGATAAATCGCATGCAGACGACATGAAATGCAGAAATAGTTGCATCACGAATGCGATCCAAAAACTCCTGCTTGATATCAAGAGGCAAGTCTGATCTTAATAATGGAGATAATGGGCTACTACAAGTTCTCAAGGGCGGCTCTTTGTGATTATCAGTGACTTTCAAAGATGTGGTAGATGACGAAACAACGACTTGCTCACACACATACTTTCGTAACTAAATCTCTATTTTACAAAAAGATTCAACATTAATACAGTGTAGTCTTATATAGGTGTGGCAAGCTTTTTGAAGACAAAAAAAAAAAAAAAAAAAAAAAAAAGAAAGCTTTATTTTAGAAAAGATAAAAGTTTAGAGACCTGTTCGCCAATTTCCAGTAAAAAGAAAATTGCCCAAGTGCAACTGCGTGGAAGTCAGTCTCTGTCTGCACTCACCCGTTTTTTATGCTTTAGTTGACAATTATAAAACGAACACAATCGTTGGAAAGTGGTCAAAAAAAGTATGTCACACCTTTTCGTAGATAAGGTCGCCCAACTATGAGAGGATAAACTAGGATTCACAAGAAGGTCCGTACTAGCGGTTTCACGGTGTCCTTTCGATCTCTCACTCGCCATGTCAGCTCTGTAATGTCTAGTATTTACGCGAATGTTTGTTGAAAACACCGTCTGCATCTCTGTCGCGGTATAAGAGTATGCCAAATATTCGACTCCATAAACCTACACAAACTACCTCGTACAAGCTACATGAAAAAGAAAAAAAAAATTAGTCTGTTGACATTAACACAACAACAGTTTTTAAAAGCATTACCGTGTAAAAAACCAGAAGATAGCCACGCCTGCCTAGAGCCTAGACGGTAGGTAGAGGTAGAGCAGGTACACCCACGAGCAAGACGTACATGCCAGAATCACCTAACAGCAGCTTTACTCGAAACTGTGCATAAGGAAAAAAAAAGAAAAAGGGCGTAGGTGGGAAAATAAACAACTTTATAAAAAACATTTTGACGTCATCAAATGGCGTAATAGATCCGGGGCAGTCATTGGATGATACTTCCGCCAAAAATTCCTACACCAGATGCTGCCAAAAAAGGGCTGACAATTTGAAATGCTCAAACAGTATGCTCTTGAGTCAAAGTCCAGTTTGACTACGTATTTTGTGCTACTTGTTCAAAAGCCAGCCTGAAAATTTTTAAACCCAAAACATGGCAAAATGCCCAGAAATTAGTTTTAAATGTCAAAGGCAAGCAGCAATGATTATTGACAAGGTTACTTTCAAATATCTCTTTAAAAGCTAAACTTTGAAAAGACTGTCCCGTTGTCTCAAGTCTTCCACAGGATACGGTTTTGCATTATAAAGTAAACGGTGAAACCCAGGATATTGAAACAACGCTTTAAAGAGCAATTAATGTCAGGAACAAAGCTCCACATCCAAACCGCCCGGCAATTGCAGCTGGCTTTAACATAAAATAAAATTAGGAATTCTGACAGTTTTATTTGGTGCAAAAGACAAGTAAATGATACCTCTCTTTCATAATTCTTAATACAGTTTGATAAAATGATCCATTAGTAGCCGGAAATTAAGATTGTATGTGTGGTTACTCCGCAATCTGTGAGGGATGTACTGTTGGGGATATCATAGATATAATAATAAAGTTAATTGTCACATCACATTATGGATGGATAATAAATTTAAAAGTTAATCATGAATCACACATTACCCCGCTTGTTCTCATCCTACCGTTGGAGTCTGTACACAGGGCACAACCCTGTGGCGAGTAAATATTTATTCTGCAAAAGCAATACAATCGAATGGGCCTGGACTATAGAATATTATTAGATCCTGAGCACAAATATTACTCTTGTCATTTGATGTTATAACTGTTGATCCCTCTGACTAATACTTATATACTCAGTATGGAAGGGCTAAATTTAAAGACATGTTGATTATTTACTATCACCAGATTATTACATCATGATCCAATAAGGCGCTTAATATTCTCCCTAGAACTATACCAGTTCTTTATATAAATACCCATAGTTTTTTCTCATAGACCGTCAATACATTTTGGAATACATTTTTTAATACGTTTTTAATTATATTTTTTCGTCCATAATAAAGTGGTATCCAAGTTCTAACAGTATCACTTTTGGTTTTTTTTTTATTTTGTTCTCCATGCAAAACACCTATTCTGACAATATATTTAACTGTTTAGAAGAATTTAATAGGCCGGCGGAAGACATGACGTTTCAAGTATCGAAAACAACAAATTTTGCCTCCAAAGAGTTTTACTATGGAATTGACTTTGTCAGGGTAGACACACCATGAGTTTTTGCCAACTCAGCCTAAGCCTAACTCATCTTTGAAAAACTTGAAACTAAAAAAAACAGACCCTCAGAAATGTAAAAGTGTTTGAAAGGCGTGAACAGACTTTTTCTACAAAAAGTCCACACATATTACATGTATGAAGATAGAGAGTTAAAATTGCTTGTTTTCATAAACTGCCTCAACATATGTGGACATATTTTAAAATTGTAGACTTGGTTTTTACGGAAAAATCTTTTCGAAAGCACAATCTGCTACCTTTGATGGAGTGGCAAAATATTTTTTTATCGTATCCCTATCAGATGAGTCGTGGTCTAATTTTTTTTCGCGGTCCAAATTAGACTTTTACCGCAAAAAAAAAAAAAAAAAAAAAAAAAAACGTTTCGGTGTTATTAAGGTCTGGTTCTCACTTTAAAAACATGATTTACGCATTCGCAATGACACAGAAAAGATAAACACTTGAAAAAGCCAATCCTATCAAGCGCGAGATATACCGCGCCATCCGTCTTTTTAAGCAGCGGTTTTTATTAGGGGGAGTAGCTACAGATAGATACATGTCTATTTTTCATACCACTTGTCTAATTTAAAAATGTCAAGACAAGACAAGACAATCTCAATTGTAAATACGTTAGGATGAGACAGCAAGAACTGATTTATCTGCAAACTGTCTATTTCTACAAACACACGGCGTTCTACTTCTTGTTGGGGTACCAAGGTCAAATAAGTGATCCTTCCATTGTCTTTTTGAGTCGTTAATTTCACAAGGACGTGTGGGTATCGACTCGCCAGCTCTGGAAATTGAAAATAGCAATAATGTAAATGTTTCATGCAACTCAAATCCAGCAAAACATCTCTTTCTGGAAACAGACAGTCTTCAATCCAAAGGGTTTCAATGGAAGGCAGCCACCTATCCAGTGTATGGATCCATGAGGTAGATAAAGCCACATGCTTGATATGCAATGCATCAAATTTGGTTGCTAAAGAACAAGCTTCCTCATCTTTTGAGCCTCGTATCGATTGTGATGTCAGGGGAGAAGTTAAAGTGAATTCGACGAGTCGAGTAAAATAGGTCAGTATCAGAGTTAAACCATCGATCAATTGATTTTCAGGCACTTTTAAATCTAGGTGTGTTATATGCTGTATGGATGGACTTGTTTCAGTGGAAAAAAAATGAGCCATCATGATAGAAAATGGAGCACATTGCCATAGGTGCCATGAACCATTGTCTGTTCTATCAATTTCAAATTGAAAATCTTGCTTATTTAATAATGAAGCCATTGTTGTTGTCGTCGTCGTCGCCGTTGGGGTGGTGGTCTCATCAGAGAAACAATCATGGAGATCTGCCATGCAGTCTAGTTTCAGATAAACTTTTTCAGTGTTAGTTCCTGCTGTAGTCATGATGCTATTGGCCATGGACCATAATAATGCATTGACTTGCAATACATTGTTTAAAGTAAGACGGTCATCTGTTTCATCGTATTTACTGGCGATTCTAAACATGAGTTTCGATACGAGACTCAAATGATGTGCGAATCTTAATACAGTGTCTATAGAGGCCTCCCCAATCCATTCCTGTAAGGTCCTATGGTTTTCCAGATTGATTGAGAGCGATGTTAGGTGAGAGGTTGATATAAATGATAGAATGTATTCCATCTGAGCTGTATCCAAGGTAGTGGTTGATAAGGATAAATTTCTCAAGTTTCTATAGTGATGATCTATATGACGTAAGGGTAATGATAATAATTCACACGGAAGTAGTTTGTTGGATGTATCTGATCTTTTGATCTGATGATAGATATTCAAAGTGATCAAGTGGGGACATGATGCAAGGAGAAAAGCTAGTATGACACGTTCATTTTCTTCAATGACCACACAATCCTTGTTATAGATGGTAAGATGGTACAGGTTTGGAAAATCTGACAGTTTTTGGAGAGAGTTCATGTGAGAAGGATATAGAGTGAGCTGTTGTAGTGATTGTCGTGCTGTGTAGCAAGTCTTAAAATAAGCGTCCATGAGTGGAATATGTGATGCTATCAGAGAAGGTATTTGGACATGCTGGAGAGAATGAAGAGGGTATTGATGTAAAGAGGTATTTAGCATGGTCAATAGGTATTCTAGATCGGATGTGGATTTGATACGCGTCATGTCAATGTGGCACAGGTTTGGGAAACTTGAGAATATTTGGTGAAACAAATAGTCTTTTATTAGATTTTGATTTACGGAACAGTCATCCAATTGAAGAGATCGAACGGAATGAAAGCATGCGTGGGAAGACTCTACCATGGAAAGAAATGTGGCAAATCCGTTCCTCTTACATGGGAGATGGAGGGTATGATAGACTAGACTACGTGCTTGCATTAACCATGTCTTGCAAACAAACATGCATTGATAAACATCTCTTTGAGATACCTGTGAGAGTATTCCCTCAATAATACTCGGAGGTAAATTTTGAGCAAGAGAAAACATGACCTATGTTAACTTGTGATGAACAAGGGGAGGGTTAAATAAGACATGTTTAAACAATGAGAAGGGGAGGGGGGATCATTTTGGATCGATGGTTGTTGTCTTTCTTTTCTCTTGTGTCTATTGTGATTCAAATAAACAATGATGACCATGTTATTATCTATAAGTCTCGGGATGAAATGAGACGTTTTAAGACACGAGGGAGATATGAAGGCGTTCGATCAATAAAAATAAAAAAAAAAGAAAAAAAAAAGAAAAAAAAAAGAAAAGGACCTTTTTGTATCTAGATCGGCGATGAAAAGGAAAGGTTTATATATAAAAACGGCTTTTTTTAACCTCCTCTACCGGTTCGTTGGTTCTTTTGTGTGACCCGGGCCGTTACTTCCTCCTCCTCCCCCCATAAACAACAACAAAAAGGTTCCCGCCCTCTCTCTCTCTTTTTTTTTTGGTCCTATGACGGAAGAATTAGAGTAAGGTGTGACCACATGATATATTACCCTTTTCCTTTTAGAAAAAAGCAATTTCTGAAAAAAAAAAGAATTGGCTTATTTTTAGAAATGGGTAGAATCTTGTAGAAGTCTTTTTTTTTTTAAACTTTTTCTTTTTTAGTGCGGAATAAATGAGCAACGATGACTCTAAAAAAATGTCAATTTTTTAAAAGTCAGTGGATAAAATAATGAAGCCGTCGCGGCGAATAGAAAAATAAGAAAAGGTTAATATATTAGAAAAAAAAAAAATGCATTAAATGGGTCAAGGTTTCACCAGAAAGGTTTAGTCGTATTTTAAAAAGAAAAACACGTTCTTTGTCTTAAACGTATCTCAGTCGTCATTCAGAGAGAGAAGAAAATAACGTTCAAAATCAGACTACAAAAAAGGGGGGGTAAAATGTTGTCAGACAGACAGACGTATATGTGTAGATTAATAACTCAAATGACACCATGAGAGGGGTTTTGTCAGTTTAATTAGAAGTGTTTCTCTCCATTTGGTTTAATCATGTTTCTAAGGAGAGAAGGTTATAATGGATATGCATGAGTGATTAGAGTTGTACCACAAAAGAGATACGAATTATGTATTTTATGCCCTATTAGAATAAGGAGTAGGAGGGGGGGGGGTGCGTACAAAAAGGTAAAAAGTCCATAATGAATATGTAAATCCGTCATGTATAAATATAATGAATGTGAGTTTAGTAACTGGTTGAAACCTTACTAAACCTATTTCATTGACTGAAAGAAATAATATATAGAAAATAACGGGTTTTTTTTAGTTGTTGTTGTTGTTGTTGTTGTTAAGGACCTATCAGCTGAAAAATGCGCCCATTCCACCCCTATTTTTCTCAGGCATTTCATTAAAGTGTAATGTAAACAAGGTTTCAGATAGGATAATTTAAACTTTTTTTCTTCTCTCTTTCTCTCTCTCTCATATGCTGTGTATCCTCCCCCCACCCCCCTTTTTTTTTCCTATTGTTTTACACACACCAAAAAGGAGGTCTTTTGTTAGCTGAGCTTTTCCATGGCCTGATGATTTCTCGGGACGTGCTGTGCCGCCTGTTGTTACCCAAGATCGGATCGGCCTTTTAAATCCGACAGACATATTGTTATATTAGGCACACACACGCTTCCCTCATCACGTGAGGGCGTGACAAGGCCTCTCTTTCTCTCTCTCTCTCTTTTTTTTTTGCTTCTTCGTAACTCCCCCCAAAAAACCCCCTCTCCATCGATCCCTTCTTTTTTATTATTAAACTGTGAAAAAAAAAAAAAGTAATAAGGTTTTCCTCTTTTATTTGAGTGAAGGTTTAGTAAATGAATAACAGAGGATTGACACAACTTTTCTCTTTTGTAAATGAAAATAGATGGGACAAACTTTATCAGAACCAATTACTGAAAAGACTTCTACACACGGGTCTAACAACAAGTACTTTTTTGGTTGTTCTCAAATGCAAGGATGGAGACTTAGTAAGTATATGAGCGGCTTAAAACAAAAAAGGGGGGGGGAGGAGGAGGTTTCATTGTGTTCATCTCTCTTTTTTTTTTTATTATTATCCATGACTAGCCATGGAAGATGCTCATACAACTCTATTGAAGCTGGGAGACACAAACCTTGGTTTCTTTGGTGTATACGACGGACACGGAGGTGAGTTTTTAAAGAGAGAGAAAGAGAAAAAAAGGCGAGATGAGCTGACAGTTTTTTTGGCCAATGTAAGGCTCTTCTATCGCTCATTACACGGGTCAGACACTATACAAAAAGGTACTCGAGAGTAAATTTTTCGAAAAGAAGGAATATGCAAAGGCCATGACAGATGCCTTTTTAACTCTGGACAAGTGTTTAATTGAAGGTAAAGCTCCCTTTACTATACACATTTTAAAGCAGGAGAAACGATAGCTTATATATATATATATAAAAACGCGTCCCCTTGTGTAGACAATAACTTTGCGTATGATCCTTCTGGTTGTACAGCTGTAGCTGCTCTTGTTACTGAATCTGACGAAATTATTGTGGTAAGAGAAATGAGAGAGAGAGATTAAGAGGATAACACCTTTATTAAAATTAAAAAAAAAAAAAAGGCTAATGCTGGTGACTCAAGAGCCGTGATCAGTGTTGGGGGTAAAGTAAAACCTCTCTCATACGATCATAAGCCAACAGATGAAGCCGAGATGGAAAGAATTATCAATGCCGGTGGTTTTGTTGAATTCGGTCGCGTGAATGGTATGACTTTCTTTTTGTTTTTTATGTTTGTAATTGACTTTCTTTTTTTTTTTTCAAAAAAGGCAATTTGGCCCTCTCTCGTGCGATTGGAGATTTCGAGTTTAAACAGAGTGAAAATCTTCCTGCCGAAAAGCAGGTTGTTACTTGTAGGTACAAAAAGGGAATTCATTATAATTATTAGGGTGTATGAGTGATGAAAAAGACTGACTTTTGTATAAAAATAAGGTAACCCTGATATAATTGAGCACAAGATTACAAAGGAAGACGAGTTTTTTGTGTTGGCATGCGACGGTATCTGGGACTGTATGTCTAATCAAGATGTGGTTGACTTTGTCCGTGCAGGTGTAGCCGAGGATAAAACGTTGACAACTATTTGTGAAGACATGATGGATAATTGTCTTGCAGATGATCAGACATCAAGTGGACTTGGTTATGACAATATGTCTGTGATGATTATTGGTATTTTGAATGGCAAGACTGAAAAGGAATGGTATCAAGCCATTAAGGAAAAGAAGCCTTCTGTTGGTGCTGCCACCACTGCTGCTACTGCTACTACTGCTGCTGCTCCTACTGCAAAAGCAAATGCTACGACGGCGGAAGGAGGGAAAAAATAAACTTTTTGTTTAAATTAATTTTTAGTGAAACCCCGAAGGACATTCCCTTTTCTTTTTTATTGTGCGAGAGGAATGGGGGGGGGGGAGGAGGAGGAGGAGGAATTACACATATTTGATAAAAACAGAAGGATTTTTTTCCTTTTTCTCTTCCTCTAAAAACGTCCAGATTAAAAAAAAAAAAAAGTATTTTTCCCTCCCTTTCTTGTATTTAAAACATGCACTTCAATTAAGGGGGGGACAAGAAAAAAAAAAGATAGAGAAAAGAATGATCTCTCTTTCTCCAAATAAGGTTACTAAATAAGGAAGAAACAAAATTGACAAATAAAACGATTTATGGGGGGGAGAGAGAGAGAAACAGTAAGAAAGGTTAAATCATATATAATTATTTAAGCTTTTTTTTTATTTATTTTTGCATTCCCTATTCTACATTCTATCAAGATATACACTATCCTGTCACAAGCTCAATCAAATTATACGAAATTTTTTTTAAATTCTTCTTCTTTCTTCTAATTATTCTAAAATGATCTCATACTGATGGTATCATTGTGTTATACATTTAGAACTTTAAAGAGTATTGCCGATTCCATCGGAGATATAAAGAGCCGTTTTTTTTTTTATAAGCTAAAAGAGAGAATTCATTCTTTTAAAGTCTATGAAACTGTGCTTTAAAATCAACCCCCCCCCCCCCCTAAAAGTAAAAATGCTATATTTATTTTTTTCTAGTAGTAGTAGTAATAGTAGTACATTTTGATGGAAATGTGGGATGAGGTATGTTTTTCTCTGTACTCACTTTAGAAACAATAATAAAAGAAAAAAAAAAAAAAGGTTCCGAATTGCCCTTCTCCTTCCTCCTCCCTCCTTCTCCCCCCCATTTCTTTCTCGAGCTTCTTAAGGTTTAGAACGGCTCATGGTCCCCTAAATGACTGACAAGGGTTGTATGCAATCACCGTTTGCTCATCATTGTTACACACGGAATAAAGATTGCCACTCTTTTTGGGTTCATCATTTGGTTCAGCTATAATTATAAGGGGGGAGGGAATGCCAATCACATTCTTTTAAGAAAACAATCGAGAAAAAAAAAAAGAAAGTTATTCCCGCCAAAATAAATTAAAATAAAGGGGAAAAAGAGGCAAAAAATGCGCGCGCAAGTCGGACTTTAAACATATTTAAGGAAAGTCCGAAATACGCTAAAATAAAAAAAAAAAGCTTTTTTATTGTGTATTAAGGTCCAGACTTTTTTTTGTTGTTGTTGTATGTGTGTGTGCAACAAAAAATAACATCAGTTTAGCAGAAAGCAATCAAGATATTTCCCGATCGAGTCAATTTTTTTTTTTTTTTTTTTTTAGCTTTTAAGGAGAGTGGGTAACACCTCGCGGAGACCCCCCCAAGAATGCAGTTTTTACTTTCCCCTTTCTATTTTTGCATGAAACATACATTACTTCTTTCGCGCTTTCATGACATAATATGCTGATCATGAAAAAAAAAAAAAAAAAAGTTTAAAAAAAAAAAAAAATTTCTATTTGGCGTTTTATTTATAAATACCGTGCTATTTTTTTTCGTTTTTTTCGTTTTTATATTTTTTTTATATTTTTTTTTTTCACTTCTTTTTATATTTTATCCGCATCCGCACTCCCTCTCTTTTTTTATTTATTTATTTATATACACTTTATTGGCAGATGGAAACTTATATTGGCCACATAAAGACACCTCAGGATGCTTTAATTGTTTTCGAAGCCTGTAGAAGAAATCAACTTGTGCGTGTACAACGTCGATTATCATCCAAAGAAAGAATGCAAATTCGTTCAGGGTCAATTTTTGCTTGGGATGAAAGAGAGGCAGGCATGCGTCGATGGACAGATGGTCGTACATGGTCTCCCAGTCGTGTATTAGGTAGTTTTCTTACTTACCGCGAATTAGATACAAAGAGAAGACCCCGTAGACCTTCTAATTCTGTACCGGTCTGTCATACGAAAGCATCTTCAGCATGCTCCTATAAACGAGATGGTCTGATTAAACAAAGTTTCTCTATCTGCACAGCCACCAACCAGAAATTACACCTTATTTCGTACTACTCTAAATCCGATGTCTTGGCCGGCCGTCTAAAGCAACCTTCCACTGATCCTCTTATGGGTCAAATTAGTGTACCTAAGGGACTTTATCCTGAATTAAACCCATTGGATACAAGTGGTGGTCATTCTGCTACACTTCATAGTATGAGACACGGTGACAATTTACCTTCTTCACCATGTCTTTCACAGCAATCCATCATCGATAGTAGTCCATCCTTATCTTTTTCTCCCAGTACTTGTGATGATGATATCATCATGACTGACTTATTACCTTCCCCTCATTCCATTTATTCATCCGTATCTTCAACTCCATTGTCTCCCATCATGAATCATTCTCTTTCACTACCTGCTCAAGATATTGCATGGGAAAAATTTCCTTCATCAGAAGACCAACGTCAACTTAGAGCACTTCAAGGCTTATTACGACTATAAGAAAAAAAAAAAAAAAATTCCAATTTATACTATTTGGCTCTTTTTTTTTATATATATTACTAAACTCACCCCTCCCCCCCCCCCTTTTTTTTTTTATATTATCATGCTTTTTACACCTCTCCCCCCCCCCCAAATTATAATTTTTCCCTTTATATATTAATGTATACACTCCTTTTTAGAATCCTATACCATTTTTTTTTTTAAACTTTTTTATTTTACTTTTTTTTTTCTGCAAAACAAATAAATTATAATAAACACATTGGCATTAATTAAATTTAAACTTTTCTTTTTTGAAACAAAAATAAATATTTATTATTAATTTTTTTTTTTCTTTTTTACTGAGTAAAATATCTATGTGCTATGAAGAGGGGATATATGGGGGGGGACTTTCTTTAAAAAAAAAAATTCTCTTTAAATATATACAAGCTTTTTTTTTTTTCTTTTTTTTTAGAGCTTGGGACCAGCAGCCAAAGTTTGAGGAGTAGACTCTGATTCATAAGTCTTAAAGTTTTCAACAAACATTTGACCAACGTTACGAAGAGAAGCATCGAATTGAGCATCGGTACCATTCCAAGCGGTCTTGGGGTTCAAGAGTTCAGAGGGGACACCAGCCACGGCCTTAGGGATACTCAAGTTAAAGATATCCAAAGTTTCAAACTCAGCCTTAGCCAACTCACCATTGTGAATTGAGTCAAGAATAGCACGGGTGTACTTGAGAGGACAACGCTTAGAGGTAGCAGCAGATCCACCAATCCAACCAGTGTTAATCAACCAAGCATCAGCCTTATGAGAGGACATCTTTTCGGCCAACATGGTGGCATAACGTTGAGGATGAAGCACGAGGAAAGGAGCACCGAAACAAGCAGAGAAAGTAGCTTGAGGTTCAACAATACCGTCTTCTGTACCGGGTACCTTGGTAGTATAACCAGAGATGAAATGATACATGGCTTGTTCAGCAGTCAACTTGGAGACAGGAGGTAATACACCAAAGGCATCACATGTCAATAAAATGATGTTCTTGGGGTGACTACCCATACAGGGGATCTTGGCATTGGGGATATGATAGATGGGATAAGCACAACGTGTGTTCTCGGTTAAGAAATCATCAGAGTAATCTACTTCACGCGTCTCTTCATCAAGTACAACGTTCTCGAGAATAGCTCCAAATTTAATAGCATTGAAAATATCAGGTTCCTTTTCACCAGACAAGTCAATACATTTAGCATAACAACCACCTTCAATGTTGAAGACACCATCATCGGACCAACAATGCTCATCATCACCAATTAACATACGCTTAGGATCAGCAGAAAGAGTGGTCTTACCAGTACCAGAGAGACCAAAGAAGAGAGAGACATCACCATCGGGACCTTCATTGGCAGAAGAATGGAGAGACAAGACACCGGCCTTGGGCATAAGATAATGCATGACAGTGAAGATCTGTATTTATCAAAAATTAGTAAACATACACACACAAACAAACAAAATCTATACTTACACCCTTCTTCATCTCACCAGCATACTCAGAACCGAGAATGACCATCTCAGAACGCTTAAAGTTGACAGAGACAGAGGTAGTAGAGGTCATACCGGTAGTATAACGATTAGCAGGGAATTCACCAGCGTTAAAGATAGTGAAATCGGGAGTACCAAAGTTCTCGAGCTCTTCTTCGGTAGGACGGATCAACATGTTACGCATGAACAAGAGATGGTAAGCACGAGAAGCAACAATACGCACCTTGATACGGTACTTGGGATCCCAACCGGCATAACCATCAAATACGTAAAGACGAGGACGCGTGTTGAGGTAATCAATAGCACGTTCACGGTTAATCAAGAAGACCTTTTCACTAATAGGTGTGTTGACAGGACCCCACTATTTAAGGAATTATGAATAAGTCATTGTCATTCAATAAAACACACTCTCTCTTTATAATGAATTACCCAGATGTCCTTCTTGGAGGTCTCTTCTTCAACAATACGTTTGTCCTTGGGAGAACGACCGGTCTTCTTACCGGAATAGGCACAAAGAGCACCGGCAGAAGAAATAACAGTACCTTGTTCATAGCTCAAAGCTTGTTCATAGAGAACGGCGACGGAAGGGTTACGCATAATAGTGACCTATGATCATCATCATTGGATTAGTTTTTCATGCATATCTTCTTTTTCTCTTTCTATGTTTACCTTATCATAGTCAATACCAGCGAATTCATGAAGATCTTCCTCGACCTTGGTGTGAACAGAGTTGGCAGAAGAAGGTCTACCACCAGTATAAGGAGATCCGGGTCTTGAAGAAACCATTGTTATGAGTTATATATGTTTTAAATGAAATAAATAAAAAGTAAAGAAGAAGAAAAAGGAAGAAGGAAAAAGGAAGAAGGGTATTTATAGTGTCTTTTGTCGGCTTGTGATCGCTTTCGCCTTTTGATTGAAATTCGGACAAAAAAGGGATTCCCCACCTTTTTAGCGGAGTTTTGTTAGCGTTAGACTGATGAAGTGAGAGAGTTTTAGTTATCGGGAGATGCCGGACGAGCATCCAAAGTGCGGGCAAATCAGGGGAGTCGGGAAAAGCCATTTTTTCACATGAAAAAAGTCATTTTTTGCTCGTGCTGTCATTATTTTTTTTATTTTTTATTATTTATTTATTTATTACAAATATTGTCCGTGCATATGATCATAGAGAGAGAGAGATAATAGAAAAGCATCTCCGATCTTTCTTTTTAAGCGTCTCTTTGCCATAATCCATAAGGCTTGGTAGCGTCTGTTTGCCATAATCTGATGGTGCCGTCCTCTTTTTTATTTTATGATGAGTTATCCCATGTTTTGGTATTCACAACAATTAAAAGTAGTTTACCTGAACCTGTTGCATAAATCTCTCCATCAGGACTGTAACTGACCGTATGAATGGGTCCATGATGACCCTTATACACCTCTATTTCATTATTTAGTAACCCCTCTTTTTCGGTCTTTCTATCAAAGAACTTACCTGAAACTTCGCCAGTATCGAAATCATAGATGCGAACCCACAAGTCTTCACTGCTACCAGCAACAAACTTTTTATGGTTAGGGTGAAGAGATACAGATGAAGTAATTTCCTTTGTCTCGATCTTGCGAACATTATCCACGCTTCTACAAAAAAGTATATGTATGTAAACAACTATTGAGTTTTTCTCTTTTCTTTCTCTTACCTCTCGGGGCTCCAGAAGTTGGCAGTTTTACCCGCAGCCCAAGTAACGTATTGACCATCTGCAGAGAGAGTCATGGTGGAAACGGGAGCATCACATTGAATCTTTCCACTTTCACGCATAGTACGTAAATCCCATATTCTGACGGTGGCATCATCACCCGCACTAAGGACAGCATGATGTTTCTCATCCCAGACAACCGCTTGAATCATATCCTCGTGACCAATCAGCTCCATGGGTGCTGCATCGGGTCTATAAAGATCAAATATTCTGAGCTTGTTTTCTTTACCACCCGTCATGATGCGGGTCGAATCTGAGTTAAAGTCAGCCGCACGCACAATATGTCCGTGAAGAAAGGTGTGCAGTACTTGACCGTTATGCGTGTCCCATACTTTAGCACTGAAATCGGCTGAACCCGTTACTGCCTTTTCAGAGTCGTTGGAGAGACGTGCACTCCATACAGCTCCCTTGTGTCCACCAAACGTACCAATCCAGTCACCCGTCACCCCATCGCGTAACATGGGATTGCCATCTACATGCAAAAAAATAAGTACAGAAACCTTATTTTATAAACAAAAAAAGGGCGTACCTTTGCAAGCAGATATTAAAAAGTATTTTCCGTCAGCTGTAATGGGAGAGAATTGAAGGTCCACAACAGGTCGTGTATGTCCTGAACAAGTCAAGGGAATCACTCTGTTTCCGTTATTGTTGTTATTGTTGTTCATTATTTACAATCTTTTTTTTTTCAAGAAAACAAAAAAAAAAGGGCCCGGGCAGAAAATAAGATGAGAAAAAGTTGTCGTTACAAGTAGGAAGGTTTCGTGAAAAAAAGGTGGCGAGTAAAGAAAAAAAAAAAAAAAAAAAAAAAAAGAGAGAGAGACAGCAAAGAGAAAAGAGACTATTATAACCTCCTTCTTTTTTACTTCTTAATGAATTAAAAAGAAGAAGCTCAATGTTTTAGAAAGAAAGAAAGAAAAAAAAAATGCTTATTGATGTGCCACAAACACTGCGAAAATTAAACGCGTCATTTTTTTCAAGTTGTGATAAAAGAGGAGAAACCCTTCCCTTCTTTTTTTTCCTCCATGTCAAATAATCAAGATCAAGAACTTTTAATAGAGTTACAAGGACAAATTAATCAATTGCTAGAGAGTCATGAATTACAAGATCTTACAAGTTGGCCTACAGAAGGGGAGTTGGATACCTTGATTGCAGTAGAACAAGGTCAAGCCTTTCACATTACTCTTCAGCGTGATCCATTACCCTCCATTCGTAAGTAAACCGTCTCACTTCATCTTCTCACACACACACTAAAAAAAATATCTCTCTCGGGTTAGCCCTCACTGTGCTTCAGTCCTCCAGTGTGCTCCAAATAAAACACATGATTAAACTTCAACTAGAGAAAATGGAAAAGAAGAAGAAGGGTCGACAAAGAAGGATCAGCTGGTAAAAAGCTATCCATTTTGAAAATCAAAAAGTGTATATAGGTTAGTGTGTAACCCTCTATCTTTTTCATTTCGTAGGAAATATATCTGGAGATCCTATTGCCTCATGTTTGATCATACGAAGCTCTCGGATGACAATGCAGTCGTGAGTCAGTTGGGAATAAAACAAGATAGTGTCTTGAGATTTTCTCGGTTAGCACACGCAAAGGGGCATCATAGGAAAGCCTGGCGCCACCGATGAGGTATTTTTTTTTTTTTTTTCCTTTTTAAAGAAATAAAATATCGGACCTGCATCAAAATTCAATGTTGCAAACAACTTAAACAACCCCCTCTCCTCCAGCAGCACAACAATTCCATGAATGATATATTAAAAATGGGGGGGGGGATGAGTCATGAGGGATATCTTGTTTCAGAAACAGGTTTTGCTAGCAATGTGAAATAAAAATAAAATTGACGATGAAAAAGGGGAGGGGAGGAATTCATATCTGAATTCTAATTGTTTATAACCTCACCTCATTGGTATGCTTTTTTCTTTTAATATTTCTGAATTCTCAAATACATCGTTCGGGGGGTTTTTGTTAGTAATCATATTAGACCAGTATTTTTTTTTTTTTTGAGTCAGAGATTTCCCATTGTTTAGACAAAAAGGCGGCATTCAATTAAAAAGGTTGATTGTGGGAATATTCGGTTCAAAAAGTGCATTTTAATCCATCGGAATTAAAAAATGACCAGAGAGAGAGAGAGCACCCGTGAAACAAAATTCTAATAAACCCTTGTTCGCACGATATTACAACCTAATTAAATGGGCACTCAACATTTTTACATTTGTCATGACGATTTTATTTATTTGCAGGAGGGTAGGATCTTCATCAGCTGTTGCTATGTAGACACTGGGGATTCATACACGATCGGCGATCAAGCGGTGGGGGGTGGGGTGACATTAATGTATAAACAGTGTGCCGCAAAATTTATTCCTGCCGAGTACACACCGTATCATTTTATATATGCAGAGAACTTCTTGTTTCATTTCCACCTTAGCATCGGGTGCTTTCCGAAAGGGCAGTTATTAAAAGTAAGTATCTACGTATCTGTACATAACAAAAGAACCGACTTATCAAAGTACTCACAATCAAATTCTTTACTTGGTATGCTGGCATAGCAACTTTACCGTTAGGACTCAGACTGGGGAAGAAGACAAAAGATGGATAAAACCGAAATCCTCAAAAAAAAAAGGGGGGGGGGATACCTTTCCTCAATTACCGTTTTGGAAGATTTTACTGAATGGGGTGGTGGACTATTTTATTGGCTCAACAAATGTCTTCATTTTATCACCTGTGTGTCCAAGTAATTCTTCCCCGTGTGTATTCCCGTTTTCTTCATGTAAAAAAAAAGTCTAAATTGGGAAAATATTTATACTAGCGGATATGTCTTTAAAACTTTTTCCTGGTTACAAGAAAACTTCTTACCTGCCTATTATTATGAAAAAAAAAAAGGTCTTTTTTATGTATGAATCGTCTGGTTCATTTTACAGCAGGGTGCATTTTACTAAATTCTCATGGTACACAACTAGCAACATTGTGGCTTACCAATGGCTCATTGTTACCTGTCAAATACAAGCCCCCAAAAAAAAAGTTGGGCGTGCTACTCTATCTTTTATATTTATTTTAAAATGCATATTTCTAAAATCCCAAGCGAGGTAATTGATAGGATAATCCATAATGTATCTCGTAAAACTGTGTACCAATGCATGCTAGTATGTAAAACGTGGCATAATCCAGCACTTGCCATCTTTTACAGCTCACTGAATTTAGAGAGAATAAAGGGATGTGTCATGGATAACCAAAACCAACAACTGTTTAAAAATCACTACACGCTAGTAAAAACCTTAGAATTTGGTAATTATGTACTTCCCATGAAATACGGAAAGGGAATGTCCCTCTTTCGTTTATTCTCCAATCTATCACAGCTTAAAGTCATTGATCTGCGTAGACGAAACGACGCTCCCACCATTCTATGCGCTTTGAAATCGGCCTTGGATGATTGTCCTAGATCCATGAGAGATCTACAACACGTCATGGTCAGCACAATCAATGATCCCTTAGCCGACGAGCAAATAAAGACAATCTATTATGGTGTGTGCTATAAAAGACGCCAATGCATCACTCATTTAAACGTATACCCCAAAGACGCTATTCACATTGGTTACTTGCGTGATTACCCTAGTCTGACCCATGTTTACATCTACAACTCGGATGCATGGAAGGTTCGCGATGAAGAAAGAGATCGACTACTTTTCGCCAAAGTGTTGCGTATGTGTCCCAACTTGATCGAGCTAGAGATATTGAATAGTCCTACTTTCAATTATTTGCGTGCTGATAAACCTGGTCCTCGTAGTACCGAATATCCTGTCCCCACGTTGTGTGAATCAAGTGGACCCTTAAAAATGTATAACCCAAAGCTTCGCCATTTACGTTTAACGTTGGAGTCCTTTGACGTGGGTCAAATGGAATACATGATAACGTATATTCCTGCACATAGACTAGATAGTATTACTCTACACTTGTCTCAACACAACACCTTGAAAGAATGGATTAAAGATAAACGCGCTAAATCCACACTCACCCGGTTTATACAACATGTATGTAAATCCAAAAGATTTCGATTGCAAATTGACACCAAGTATTCCGAAAAGGAAGAGGATCCGACAGGAGAGCAAGTACTGGATGTGAATACTTTACTGTGGTCGAATATAGCACGTACTATTGAAGAAAGTCGAAAAGTGGATGATTGTCATATCAAATTAACCCTGACACATAACCCTTCATCGTACGAGGTCCACCCTTATATGCAATCTGCCGCCTTCTTAAACAAGTGTAATTTATGTTTTGATGTAAGTGTTCGTCATCATGCCTTGGTCATTCGTCAATGCTTGGAATATTCCGACTTCTTTCATCAAACCGGCACGGATATGGCTATCGTTCATAATTTGATGGAACCCACGAGTCGTCTTCTCAGTTATTGGAACCCCAATCGTTTTATTGAAGATGCTACGCGCGTGTTGCATCTGTCTGTACCCGAGCCTTATCTTATCCAAGCCATCACATTTGCCTTTGTTAATTTCCCCAACGTGGTTAGCTTAGAGATTGACACCAATGCCAATGGAGACCAAGTTGAACACTGTCAAGGTATCTCATGCGCAAGAGTTCATGATGCGTACTTTGAGAATGAGGACGGACGGTTTGGATTGTACAAATTGCAATTGAACAATGCAGCGCTGACAGGTCCCCTGATTGATAGAATAGGGTTTTTGATGCGATATATTTATGAACTGGTCATTCATGATGGTATCGTGTATGATTGTAAGGTCACCTACAACAGGATCAGGTTGGATTTTACTCAGATGACGCATTTGAAAAAAGCAACGTTGAATTTTCAGTATGTGTTGCAGAGGTATTCAAATACACTTGTTCAGATCAAGAGGGGGGACGAGGTGACAACTTACAGGTCTTTCACCAGGAATCGAAAACATGGGTTTGTGGAGGTGTCGGACATCTTGGTGGATATAGAGCCCGAGTCTGGTATGGTCAAACCGAGAATTACAATTCTGATCACGTTTCCTAAAGATCTTGAGTTGCTTACCTTTGGTGAATTTAAAGATACCGTCTCAGATTAGAATACTATTTCTATTTGTCCATGTATAAATTAAATAAATAATAAAACATTTACTGATACTTGATAAAAAGTGTTTTTTTTTTTGCTGTGGAAGACATTTGGTTTTCCAAGTGGACGAGTTTGACCAAACCAAATCGTAAATTGTACATTGTTGTGTGGGCCTAAATGCCATATATTCCTGTCGTACCACATAGTATAAGCATATTACTTGTGTCCCTATTTATCGTCTATGCCATAAGCCGCTGATTGGCGGAATTTCAAAAAAAATATATATGCAAAAAGATCCCAAAAGCCTAGATATCGTTACTGAAAAAATTAGAGAATGGACATTCACAAGAGTATATGTAGCACGTAAGCTACAACTTCTCATCTTGTGCGCTTGTTTTTTAAAGTGATTACCACCCAATGTGCACCATTACTTATAATTTATTAAGTGAAAGTCAAGATTATTGACAGAAGTGAGCCTGATCCGCTTGAAGTAAGGTCGTGATTGATTCACTGATTGCATATCCACACAAATTCGTAGGGATGATATTTTTTTTTAAAAAATCTATATCATTGCTTCTAATTGTCAGGTAAGACTCGTATCTTGAACAAGTTTTTTTTTTTTTTTTTCGCCAATCACTGCATTTGTAACACTGAAAAGATGCATAATTAACAAAAAATAAATAAACAGAGAATCAAACTAAGATCCGAAAAAAAACTACCCAACTCGAGAAGGTGTGTTTAAAAACCATGCTTAATTAGCCAAGTGTAGTGAGCAAGAAAGAAAGAAAAAAAAAAGGCATACGGAGAACAAGTAGGAATGAACTCATTGTTACAAAAAATAAGAATCATGATTACTACATTCCAGTTCTTAGTTATCAAGGTTTTATTACACTCACCAACATAAAACCCTCTCAAGATCAATTTTGTAGGCTACGTATATGTAATTGAAACTTTTTAGTGATAGCTTGTGTAATTGATGTCACTTTCAGCTGGTGAAACTTTCCCCATTATTCTAGTTTGGCGAAAATAAAAATTTTACAGAGATAACTAACACGATCAGCATAGTTTTTGTAACTCCCAGAATTCCATACTTGCAGCATTTTTAGTGTAAGTTATGTTGTATACAGTGGCATGTGAAGTGTTCATTGTAAGATTTCTACTCTTTTTTTTTTTTTTTGCTTAAAAATCAAAGTAGTACAAATGTCTGAATTTGATCATGTAATCAAAGCTCTCACGGTTATTTTATCTTGTTGCGTGGGAGCCTGTCAGCACTACTGATTTTTTCTCACTCTTTCTCCTCTTTTTTTTTTTATTAACATGATGTTCAGTAATAGCATTGCCGCGATGAAAGCTCACTAAGGGGTACTCTTTTGCACAAATGCCGTGTGTTTACTGGGTTGTAATGTCGATCGGTGGTGATCCCTTACTGCTATTAAATGGTCCTATGGAAAGGGAGTAGGTAATGTATGGCGTGCACGTATACCTGTCGTCAACCCTCCTGGGCTTGTATCGACTGCATTGGGTGCTTTCCAAGACATGTTGTAGTCCTGTAAGTAATCTCATTTAAAAAGAAAAAAAAAACATTGAAACTCATATTTAATTTTTTATAGGTCCTCTGTCGCTCTTGTCTCTCTCTGTACCCCCACTTCCCGGTAAGTTTATAAACCCGAAACGGTGGGTCAAACAACGTCTTCCCTCTGAAAAAAAAAAGGGACTGGGATGACGCGTAAGCAGGCGGCTGACCCCCATACATGAACACGTTCTGTACAAAAAGAGGCGAACTGGTGGTTGCTTACTACATCTGTTTATGGCGAGGCCGACTGGGAGCGGCGACGAACGGGTTTTGTTCTGTGGTATCGTCTATTGGTGTTATATTCCCCTTTTTTTATCTTGTAGCTAATTCTCTTCTTTATCACCCAATCCATCTAATATTCTATAATGGTTGGAAAGAAGAGGGTTATCTACAGGATGAAAAAAGGGTATCTTAATGACAATAGAGGTTGCCACAGAATAAAATCCCTACTTTGGCTGGTTGCTCCTTTAGGCCTCGCCATAAACAGCTGTTGTAAGCCACCACCAGTTCGCCTCCTTTTGTACAGTCGTGTTCAGACATATACCCCGAAGCTGCTTGCACAAGTGTCATCTCGGTCCAAAATATAAAAAAAAGACAGGTCGACAAGACTCGCCAGGGTTATTCATTCTATCTTGCTGGGTCGTGAGGGTGAGCAAGGGTGATATGACGGGATCATCAACATGTTGAGGATTGCACTCTTTGTTAGGAGGTACAGGTCGAGGTGGGTTCCTGGCGGGCATCGTGGATGCTATGCATTATCTGCCAATCTCTTTTCATAGTAGTTGCCTACCGTAGTGGTTTGTGGTAGATACACTTTGTGATTACTCTTGGCTAGATACGCTTCCCATTCAGGAAGGAAGGGGCTTTGACAGTAGCGATTACTTGCCTGCGGTGTTCAATGCTGGATGTTGTGATCCTTTGGGCTATCCTCCTCTCTTTTATATATTGGAAAGTATTTTTATTGGCACAAGTTAATCTGATTCCATTTCGTTACTCACTCAATTTATTTATGTCTTTCTACTACTGCTACTACTACCAAAGAAGATAAGTAATAACATACATCTCAACATCTTGATTTTTATCCGGTGTTCTAACTTATTCAATTCTCTACAATTTTAGGAAGCTCCAGTCATACTGACATGGCTGCAGCTTATACTGTTATCGTAACTGTTTAACTTGATATGATACAGAACACTTTTATACTCCCATTTGGCTGTCTGAAGGAAATTAAGCAATGCACCATTAATAAACCTTGATATGTTCTTCTAAGTTTTACTTATAATTTATAAATTTCTTGGCTTGCTACCTTGCAGCATGGCTCTCGTTTAAACTATACAACCTCAACATCAATGAAAAAATAGGCCCCTTCCATATATATATATATATATATATATATTGTGGACGTATTGTGCCGTATGATTGAAAGATGTTTGCTCAGATTTTGAATAGTAACGCCTTCCTGGTACTCTCTTTAATCTTGATTCGCTTTACCAGCCAGGTCACCTCTAAAAAAAAAAGAATGGTTTCTGGGACAGTGTCTTATTAAATTTATTAACTTTGCACTTGCATTCTGGGATTTATCAATGAGTATGATGAAAGACTTAATGGTACCATAGTCTAAATTTATACGAATTAAGCATCCTTGTGCTATAAAAAATTAAGTCCCTTACCTGTGACAATACAATAAATTTATGCTAAAAATAACCATTGAGTTCCTCCATTTTCTCTCTAATATACACCACAAAAATGAAAGTAGTCAAAGTACAAATGTGTTTGTAGTTAGTTTTCAAAGTGCTCAAGACTTTCTTTAACCAAATCGCTTTATTCTCAACCGTTTCGTTACATAGTTGCTTGATGTAATTGAAGGAATTCATGTGTAGTCCATATCAGAAAATAAGCCAAATGCATGGGGTACAAGTGAGACTTTTTTGTCTTTTCATAAAAAGCTTTTTATCAAATGAGTCAGTCCCATCATAAAGACATTTACAGTTAGAAAACAAAAAAATAATTGTTTTTTTTTTTTTGGAGACAACTCATGCATGAGTATATATATATATATATATATATATATATATATAAAGAGAGGTCACAGTATTATTTGTTTTTCATTTTCATTAAATTTAAAAATTAAATAGGGCCAAAAGTCTAATCATTCAACACTTCCCGATGCTGTCACACTGGAGAAACCGCCCATTAGTTGAAAATTGCTGATCCACTCGTAATCGTAAATGCTGATGCGCTCGTTTCGTACTTGCTGATGCGCTCGTTTCGTACTTGCTGATGCACTCGTTTCATATTTGCTGATCCACTGGTATTCGTATTTGCTGATCCACTGGTATTCGTATTTGCTGATCCAATGGGAAGCCGCCCGCCTGTTTCAACACGCCCGAAAGCAGGAAGTGGATTAGAACTTTCAGCCCAGTTCCAAAAATTATACGATAACCCTACCGAAGGAGTTAGCGATTACCGCATCATATGCTAAGCATAAGAGAATTGGGGGAAAAAAAGAGAAAGAGGAGAAAAATGAAGTGACTTTCTGTGACTTGACAAGACGTGAAGATTGATACTTTTCCTTAAACGAAAAGTAAACAAAAGCACATGATAGAACGCCAAATCAAGTTTTTTTTTATTATCATTACTGAGTGATATAAGCTATAGGGATTTGGAAAATGGAATAAAATGATAAAAAGAAAAATCAGTGAGTTAAAATTAAGATCTATCTTATTCCAAAGAAAATTAAAAGAAAAACTAAGGTGCATTCGCCATGCCTGCTACGGTTATTTATCCTATTTTCTGTTTCGAAATTGAAAAGTTGCAGGAGCTGACGAGAGCTTGACGTGCTTGAAAATAAACTATGATCTAACGGAGGAGGAAGATAGATTTCTGAACATTCTACATAATATACTTTTGTCAATATATCAGAAGCCAAAGGACCTTTTTTGATTTCGAGTGAAGTATTGTTATTTCTGTCGATCACAAAAGTAGCCTTTTTAAATACCAGTATACATTTGTGGCTCTTGAATAAACATCGTATATCTTTGATCTCTCCAGTCTCTGACCTCTAGTTTTCGACAGATCTAATAAACGATGTCACTGTGTCTTGAATTGTACCAGACGCGTACTAATAAAGCCTCGTGCTTGAAAACCTTTACTTGTGAGATAGGCCTTGTAGCGGAAATGCTGCTTGGCTGTACTTGCGAATGATAAATCTTATACGTCAAAATAATAAATCGCATGCAGACGACATGAAATACAGAAATAGTTGCATCACGAATGCGATCCAAAAACTCCTGCTTGATATCAAGAGGCAAGTCTGATCTTAATAATGGAGATAATGGGCTACTACAAGTTCTCAAGGGCGGCTCTTTGTGATTATCAGTGACTTTCAAAGATGTGATAGATGACTAAACAACGATTTGCTCACTCATATACTTTCGTAACCAAATCTCTATTTTACAAAAAGATTCAACAATAATACAATGTAGTCTTATAAAGGTGTGGCAAGTTTTTTGAAGACAAAAAAAAAAAAAAGAAAGCTTTATTTTAGAAAAGATAAAAGTTTAGAGACCTGTTCGCCAATTTCCAGTAAAAAGAAAATTGCCCAAGTGCAACTGCGTGGAAGTCAGTCTCTGTCTGCACTCACCCGTTTTTTATGCTTTAGTTGACAATTATAAAACGAACACAATCGTTGGAAAGTGGTCAAAAAAAGTATGTCACACCTTTTCGTAGATAAGGTCGCCCAACTATGAGAGGATAAACTAGGATTCACAAGAAGGTCCGTACTAGCGGTTTCACGGTGTCCTTTCGATCTCTCACTCGCCATGTCAGCTCTGTAATGTCTAGTATTTACGCGAATGTTTGTTGAAAACACCGTCTGCATCTCTGTCGCGGTACAAGAGTATGCCAAATATTCGACTCCATAAACCTACACAAACTACCTCGTACAAGCTACATGAAAAAGAAAAAAAAATTAGCCTGTTGACATTAACACAACAACAGTTTTTAAAAGCAATACCGTGTAAAAAGCCAGAAGATAGCCACGCCTGCCTAGAGCCTAGACGGTAGATAGAGGTAGAGCAGGTACACCCACGAGCAAGACGTACATGCCAGAATCACCCAACAGCAGCTTTACTCGAAACTGTGCATAAGGAAAAAAAAAAAGAAAAAGGGCGTAGGTGGGAAAATAAACAACTTTATAAAAAACATTTCGACGACATCAAATGGCATAATAGATCCGGGGCAGTCATTGGATGATACTTCCGCCAAAAATTCCTACACCAGATGCTGCCAAAAAAGGGCTGACAATTTGAAATGCTCAAACAGTATGCTTATCATTATATTGCTCTTGAGTCAAAGTCCAGTTTGACTACGTATTTTGTGCTACTTGTTCAAAAGCCAGCCTGAAAATTTTCAAACCCAAAACATGGCAAAATGCCCAGAAATTAGTTTTAAATGTCAAAGGCAATCAGCAATGATTATTGACAAGGTTATTGTCAAAGACCTCTTTAAAAGCTAAACTTTGAAAAGACTGTCCCGTTGTCTCAAGTCTTCTACATGATACGGTTTTGCATTATAAAGTAAATGGTGAAACCCAGGATATTGAAACAACGCTTTAAAGAGCAATTAATGTCAGGAACAAAGCTCCACATCCAAACCGCCCGGCCATTGCAGCTGGCTTTAACATAAAATAAATTTAGGAATCCTGACAGTTTTATTTGGTGTAAAAGACAAATAAATGATACCTCTCTTTCATAATTCTTAATACAGTTTGATAAAATGATCCATTAGCAGCCGGAAATTAAGATTGTATGTGTGGTTACTCCGCAATCTGTGAGGGATGTACACTGTTGGGGATATCATAGATATAATAATAAAGTTAATTGTCACATCACATTAAGGATGGATAATAAATATAAAAGTTAATCATGAATCACACATTACCCCGCTTGTTCTCATCCTACCGTTGAAGTCTGTACACAGGGCACAACCCTGTGACGAGTAAATATTTATTCTGCAAAAGCAATACAATCGAATGGGCCTGGACTATAGAATATTATTAGATCCTGAGCACAAATATTACTCTTGTCATTTGATGTTATAACTGTTGATCCCTCTAAATAATACTTATATACTCAGTATGGAAGGGCTAAATTTAAAGACATGTTGATTATTTACTATCACCAGATTGTTACATCATGATCCAATAAGGCGCTTAATATTCTCCCTAGAACTATCCCAGTTCTTCTAAGACCATCAATAGATTTTTCTTATACGTTTTTAAATATATTTTTTCGTCCATAATAAAGTGGTATCCAAGTTCTAACAGTATCACTTTTGGTTTATTTGTAATTTTGTTCTCCATGCAAAACAAAAACTCGCTTAACAAAAAAGATAGATGGCGATTGATAGGATGAACTGTTTCAAGTGTGTAAGTATTTTCTGTGGGAATGTTTAAATCATGTTTTTAAATTGAGAACCAGACTTTAAAGTATACATCCACTGACGTGCCATATCATCCTTTTTTTTTTTTCTTTACCCAAGTATGCTGGTTTACACTGACTGGCGGAATTTCAAAAGAAAAAAAATATATGCATAAAAAAAAAAAAGATATTAAAAAAGAAGCCAAAAGTCTAGGCACTGTTACTGAAAGACGAAAGAATGGAAATTGACAAGAGTATATGTGGCACGTAATACATAACTTCTCAGCTTGTGTGCTTATTTTATTAAGTGGTTACTACCCAATGTACACCATTACTTAAATAATTCATTACGTGAAAGTCAAAATCTACAGTTTTTCTCATAGACCATCAGAACGTTTTTTAATGAATGTTTTTTTGTCGTATCCAATTTTTAACAGTTTCACTTTGGTTTCATTTTAATTTTGCCCTCCATGCAAAACAACTACACAATATGTTTACCAAATAGAGATCACAAGATTATTACATCATATTCACTCATTTAATGCATTACATATTCCCCCAAGTCTATCTGATCCCTAAAGTGTACACCTGTAATTCATTTAAAAGATTCAACTGTCTTGCGTTTATTAAACCATAAAGTTAAAATTTTCTTAGACCAAGAGCAGTATAGAACAGTAAGTCTTTATCGTTTTTCCTCTGTTTTTGTTTTTACTGATTGTTTGTCGTTCCTAATACAATTCCAGTTGATTCCACTCCGACATCCAATGTGATACATGCTCTCTGAGCCACGCTTTATTTTTCCTTTTTTCAATAAACAAATATGTCCCTTTCTTCCCTATATCTTTCTAAGCCGCGCATCGTGGAGTAACTATGGAGAATATCAATCATCAACAACATGGTGAATCATCGCAACAACAACAACAACAATTATACACGCGAGAAGACGTTGAACGATTATTTAAAGAATTCAGACGTGAAGAGCAGAGAAACGCAGAGGAAGCATCACAAGGAGCACCCCTTCCTTTGGTCATATCATCCGAATTGGAAAGCTATAATACGCAACAATTACGAGACAACTTTAAAAGATACAGAAGACATATACAAAAATATCAAGATGAATACTGGACAATTGGAGAATCAATCGATAAACCACTCATCCCAGAACTTAAGAAGGCTACAATGGACGTATTCCAAACAGTTAGTACCCTATATAAGGGCTCAGAAAATACAAGAATCCAAGCAAGAGCAGCTACAGAAATCTTTGAACAATTATCATACCTGCAGAACAGAGTTCAATTTGCCTCAGAAGAAGACAGAGATATGTTCAAAAATACTATTGAGCAAGTCCAAAAACTATCAGTCTATGGCTGGGGATCAGCTTCTTTGCAAGACCGAGAAACCAAGGCTTTGGCTACCAAATATATACAACTACCAAACACCCTTAAACATTTGGCGTCAGGAGAAGATGAGGGAAAATCAAGAAACGCCTTTGGATCCGAATTCATACAGGAGCTTAACAAAGCAAGATTTGAACAGCAGGTCGTCAGGGGAGCAGCGTACAATGGAACGAGAGGACGCGGTAGTTTTAGAGGACGAAGTTTTGGACGTGGAGGATTCAGAGGATTTGGAGGAACTTATGGACATAGTGGATCCCGTGGAAGAGGTCAACATTTTCAACCAGGAGGACGGGGAAGAGGTGCCCCCTTCTCTCATCAACAAGACAACACCTCACCTCCAGCAACCAGCAACGAAGCCAACCAATAATTCAACAACAAGCTCAAGCTCAACAAAATTTACAACAACAACTACAACAACTCAATCGACAGCATCAACAACTCGCGAAGATACAACAACATCAACAACATCAACAACATCAACTCAATCAGGAACATCAAAAACCGAATCAGCAACATCAACATCAACAATTCAGGCAACAAAATCAAGAGCAAGAACGCCGAAATCAACAAAAAGAACGCCAAAATCAACAAGAAAGCACAAACAACCATTACGTTATTCCGGAAGACGGAATTTACCCAGGAGGTCGACTCAGCAAGTTTCAAGACAGGTGGAAGGAAATCACTCCTCATCCATGGCCATTATCAGTTGTATCCCAAGGTTATCAGCTCCAATTTGCAAAGAAACCAATTCCATGGAAATCTCATCGAATGAGGATGTCGTTGGAGGATCAGCAAGCAGTGGATGTAGCAGTCAAGAAATTTCAAGCCGCAGGAATAATAGAGGTGTCACCAACCCAAAACAAACAATTTCTGTCCAATCTGTTTACGATTCAAGAACCGAACAAGAGAAGACCAATCCTGGACTGTCAGAAGTTGAATCAGTTCATACAATGCAACCACTTCAAGATGGAGGGTGTTCCTGCCTTGCGGGATATAATAGAGAAGAACGATTACATTTGCAAACTGGATCTCAAGGATGCTTATGTAGTGGTCCCAATCCACCCCCAATCCAGGCCATACTTGACATTCGAAAACAAGAATGTAGTGTACCAATACAGATCCCTAGCGTTTGGACTCAGTGTCGCACCGAGAGTATTCTCAAAGTTGATGAGATATGCAATCGAACCATTGAGGAAACAAGGCTTTCGGCTGGTTTATTATCTGGACGACATTTGCCTGTTATCAAAATCAAAGATGGAAGCAGAGAATCTATGCAAGGTAGTAATCAAACATTTGGAATCGTTAGGATTTATGATAAATCGAGAGAAGAGTATACTGACCCCATCGCAATCACAGGAGTTTCTGGGGTTCCAATTCGACACAAAAAGGATGACCCTTTCAGTACCGCAGCAGAAGATAAAGAAGTTGATACAACGGGTGAGACAAGCTCAGAATTCGAAAGTTCCTCGGTCGTGCAGGTGGATAGCAAGCTTGCTTGGCAAGATGACTTCAGTAATACCGGCAATTGGAGAGGCTTTGCTTCACATACGGTATCTCCAGCGAGACCTGTCGAAGAGTCTGAAGGGGAATCGCCAGAGATGGGACAGCATATGCAACTTGTCAAAATTAAGCCAAGAAGAACTGAAATGGTGGCAGGAGTTCATGGTGTTAAAGAATGGCCTACCAATCCACAAGATTCAGATGAAGGATGCAAAGGTGACAATCTATGTCGATGCCTCAGACACAGGGTTTGGAGTGAGTTCACCTATGGTAACAACAGCTGGATTTTGGACTCAGGAGGAAAAAGAAAAATCAATCAATGTCAGAGAGTTGAAGACAATATATTTTGCCTTAAAGCTCCATGCCGTAAGATGCCAAAACTCTACAATAAGGATATTTTCGGACAGCATGACTGCATTGAAGTATACAACAAAAGCAGGGGGGACTACTTCTGTTTTTCTCCAGGATCTAGCACTGAAGATTCAGGAACTTTGCAACAAGTACAAGTTGGAAGTTCAATATCAACATATCCCGGGGGTTCTAAATGTAGCAGCGGACAAGTTGAGTCGGCTGAAGATGCCGTTATACGAGTCGACAATTCCAAGGAAAATGTTTCAACAAATTCAGCAGCAATGGGGACCACTAAAGATCGATGCCTTTGCTTCACACCACAATCACCAAGTAAAGAGATATTGGAGCTTAATTCCGGATCCAACTGCAGAAGCAACCGATGCCTTTCATCAAAGGTGGATGAAGAAGGGAATGTATTTGAATCCGCCATGGAAGTTGATTCCAAAGGTGATCCAGAAAATGAAGAAAGAGAAGATAACAAGAGCAGTACTAGTAACTCCGTATTGGCCAACCCAATTTTGGTTTCCTATGATCCTGAACCTGAGACACCTAGCTCCTCCTATAATCATGCAGAAGAACAAGAAATGGAAATTAGCCGCTTGGCTACTATCAACAAAGTGAGACAGAAAATAGGAATGAAGAAGAGAACAGCAAGGTTTTTGGAGAAGGCGATTAGACCAGCAACTCACAAGGCATATGACAATGGTTGGAAACGGTGGAAGAATTGGTGCAAGACTGAAGACAAAGATCCTGAAGATTACAATGTCAATAGCGTATTGGAATTTTTGGTACAGAACAACCAACTTTCCTACACATACTTAAATGGGTTAAGATCGTCAATTGCTTCGGTGTTCAAGGAGCTTCATCCCGAAAAAGATCCTATTGCAAAACAGCCTATTATACAAGATTTTTTTGCAGCAAAACGAAGGTCAGAAATAAGAATACCATCGCAACAAGATCTGGAAACATGGGACATGACAGTTTTAACGGATTACATAAAGCTGACGTATTTCAATACTACTAGTTTGGGGCTACAAAATTTACAACAAAAATCAGTGCTTTTGCTTTGTCTGGCGACAATGTGGCGACCTCGATCTGATATTGGACGTCTTCAATATAGGGATGTTACCCTGAGGTTCAGAGGAGACGGCTCGATAAAGACGCTATCAACTCTGGAGAGTGCGATTATACATGTAAGAACTCCAAAAGAAAGTCAAGTCAAATCCATACAACTTGGAAGATTGGAGATGGAGGATGTGTGTCCAGTGGCAACACTTTTTTGGTTCTTGGAAAAAACAGCTCATTTGAGGTCAGGCCTGTCAAAGGCGCACACTCTGTATCTGGCTTACATTGACAAGGAAAAATCCAAGGTATCATCGATTTGTCCTTCAACACTGGCAAACTGGGTTAAGGTAGCTATGCAAGAAGCGGGGATCGACACCAAGGTATACAAGCCTCATTCTATTCGGGCCGCATCAAGTACGAAAGCAGTTCAAGTGGGTAACAGTATTCAGGATGTTAAGACACATGCAAACTGGAGCTTAAATAGCAATACATTCGAGAAATATTACTATAAGCCTACGGCTCAAGAATCATCAAGTACCAAGATTACCAATTCAATTTTTTCAACGGAGAACAGTATCACATTGGATGTCGGAGTGGAATCAACTGGAATTGTATTAGGAACGACAAACAATACTATAGTTGATGAAACGAAGACAGAAAATGTGATACATGCCCGCCCTTGGTATAGACGTTTGTTTGGAAAAGACCAATAATTTAGTATCCCACCCAGAAAAAAAAAAAAAAAAAAATTGAATAGGTTTAGCTTAGCTAGAAAGATATAGGGAAGAAAGGGACATATTTGTTTATTGAAAAAAGGAAAAATAAAGCGTGGCTCAGAGAGCATGTATCACATTTTCTGTCTTCGTTTCATCAACTATAGTATTAAGCCTGTTTAATAAATTCAGCCAGAAAAAGAACACGCCAAAGGGAGCTAATCTGCTGACTCTTATATAATTTTAAACTTTAACTTTGATATAAATAATAAATTGTTTACCTTGACAGTTTCTGAGTAACCGTAATAAATTTGATAAGCAAACAATATTCATGATTGAAAGAAGCTATGACGCAAAATTTATTTATTTGTATATATTTAAGTAAATTTTTTTTTCCTCCCTTTTTTTTTTTCTCTTTCTTCTAAACTTTTTATTTCTTTTGCCATTATCTTCTATTGTCCCCTTTATTATATTTTTTATTGATTATACTTTATCCTTTCACTCACACTTTTTAAAATAATGGCCCACATGAACACATTTGAAGGGCAGCAAGGTAAATATGACCATATAAAAGAAAAACACTATGCTCTGACCACGCCTTTTAGAACTGAAGAAATACATAGTGGAAAATTCAAAACCCACTCTTTTCAGATGATTTACTGTCATCTACTATATTACAAACATTACAAACATTTGCAAAACGAATATTGTACGATGTATCTGGACCTGGGCACGGCACGGCACTTTTTACTTTTTTCAAAGCAGCTATCACTGGGAGCGTACACGACACTTTACACTTTTTTTCAAATTCTACCGTTTTCCAAAGCAGTTATTACTGGGAACCTTTTGGGACACGACACTTTACACTTTTTCCAAAGCAGTTATCACTGGGAACTTTTTGGGACTTTCACAAACTTTATCAATGCATATAAATCCCAGATTGCCACCTGGTCTGTGGCATTTTCAAGTATCGATCCTTCTGCATTATATAGTATCTGGTCACGGCGGTTTAAACAAATTACTAATGAAATCCATCCTGAAAAGCGGTAATATATCTGTTAGAGATTTATTGTATTATTATTATTTATCATTATGTATATTAGATCACACGCCCGGTACAATCCCCTTCAATGGGTTGAAATTATCCGCTGTATCTGAGACCTTATCTTGTCCATGTAAAAAAAAACATGATTCGTGATTCAAGTACGGTGGTGATTCTTGCTCGTGGCTCAATGATCAGAGGTGGTGATTCCTGGTGATGAATCAATGCTCGGAGGTGGTGATTCCTGGTGATGAATCAATGCTCGGAGGTGGTGATCCTCGGTGGTGAATCAATGATCGTAGGTGGTGATTCATGGTGGTGAATCAATGCTTGGAGGTGGTGATTCTTGGTGGTGAATCAATGCTCGGGGATTGTGATTCGTGGAGGTGAATCAATGCTTGGGGGCGGTCTTGCTGTAAGGTGGTAATTATTGCCAATGTTACTAATGATCAGCAGTATGGCCACCAGACGTGTAAGTGTATTTATCATCTTGTATAGTGTGCAGCTAAAACTGATCAATTTTTTTTTTGAAAAATTATAGAAAAATACCAAGCAAGCATTGACAGAAGACGCAATTGAGCTTCTGGGACAAGCGTCAAGTTCTGCGCGTCAAATGATGCAAAATGTATTTAATGACCAAATCAGTTCACACTTAAACTTGTCATACTAATATGTTGTATACTCTTCCCGTTATTACAGTGGAGAAGTTATCTCTCAAGCAACAAAAGAGGCCATGGAAGCATCTGAATACCAAGAGACCGATGGTATGTTTGGTCGTAAGATTGACATGATCCTCATGGTCGAGTCAACATCGGTTGAACTATCAACAAACGAATGGAAATCAATGCAAACTAGTGACCTAAAGCTGACACAGCAGTCTAAGAATATCGGGTCCAATTGTGCCATTTTGAATAGGCTTCAGATTGATCTCGGTAATGATGAGCAACTTCTGGCATTGGATATGACAGGTAAGCAATGTTTGTTATCGAAATAAGTTATTGTATGGCTGACATGTTTCTGTAGGGGATGTGCGATATATCTACCGACTGCAGAAAATGGATGATGTTTACCTCGCTTCGCTTTTCACGTCAGTATTTTTACCATCTGACATCTGCCAAATGGAGCTTTTTGTGGAAACGATAGTCGCTTTGTTCAAGTGGAAACACTTTATGGTGCTGGCGGTGGTCAGGTAAGACTGTTTGATGATGCAAGTTTTGTTCTTTTTACTAAGTTTGATATAAGTTTGAGTATATGAAGATAGAGTGTAATTGTTGGCATGAAAGATGAATACACCACCTTCTTTCTTATCACAATTGCTTCTTTATCCTCTATATTTGAGACCTTATCTGGCCCATGTGAAAACGATTAAAGGTACAATTGGCAAAGAACAACATGGACAATATTGCCGGTCCTTCAGTTCGACCATTGAGCCCTGTCATGCCCAAGGTCTTTTTCGGACCCAGAAGAGCGTCCATGAAGCGATCACACGGAGGAGTGGATGAGTAGCTTGCCTCGTCGGGTTGGATGCCTTTTTCGTTTGTGAATTCCGTTTATTGTATACCCCCCCTCCCTATAGTAAATAAAAAGTCTCTGTTCAGTTTTTTATTCTGAGTTATCTAAGAATCATCCCATTTATATAATATTGAATGGCGACGATTCATGGTTATGAATACAAAAACAATAATGCTGTTATCGTACTTGAGGAGACAGCTGTTCACACATTGTTACAAAAAAAAAAGTTATTTTTACCGAGCTAACTTACAATGTAAACGTCAGCTTTTATAAAAAAAATTTAGCAGTCGGATCAAGTTGTTCAATCGAACACCAGCGTTGTTTACAATACAATGCTAGCTTTAAAATGTGAGCAAGAACGGTTGATATGGCAAAATCTTTAATAATAGAGGATTTGAAGGACAACCTCGTTGTTGTAGGATATGTGTCGTGGTCATGTGCTTAGTCACTTAAGTCCGAATAGAAATAGAGAAAAAAAGGGTAATAATGAGGACTTATAATAAAATACATATTTCTTTATTTTTCTGTTCTCGTCATTGTCAAATGCATAAGGCATGTCAACATTACTATTCCCACCGACTGTTTATTTCAAAGAAAGTAACAACATATCACTTTAGGATAGCATAATATGCAAATAATTAAATCAAGTTATCAGGTCACATTCTGGGGACTTGATCCGTAAATAAGTGCAGTTATTTACGGCCATTTTTTCAAATAAGTCAATTTATTACCGCTTTGAGTTCCAATTAGGTGGGGACTTTTGAGACTTTTCAGGACTTTGAACAAAGATAATGTAATATACAATGTTAGCTGGTATACCAAATCTCAACATGATGGTTTGATTAATGTGTCATTGTTTACCTGAACTACCAGGGTGGCAACTGTGAGGGGACCAAACGAAACAGAGAAAATTTTATAGGGTAGTCTATCGGTACCTGGCTACTGTGTCCTGGAGATTGCTGTGCGCTTGTAAGTATATCAACTAAAGTGATACGATTCTCAATCTGGGCATAACTATCAGGGGGGGGGGAGGGCATAGACTCGTGTGTAGATACTGGAGGTTTGGAAATTTAATGGGGTCGGTGGTGTAAAGCTTTTTATAAAAGGTGCTAAACTTTATTTCTTTTGTCATCTACATTTTATTTGGTTTTAACTATGCTTTATCCTTTCACCCGCACTCTCTACTCTTATCGCCTACATGGACTCAATTGAAGGGCATTAAGGTAAATATAACGATATAAAAGAAAAGCATTACGTTCTGACCACGCCTTCTGGAATCGACGCAATACTTCTTGGCAAATTTAAACCCCACTGTGGCAAAAGTAACGGTGTTACGATACCGTGAGACTATAAATTAGTGGCCGTCTTTAGCAGGTTCCTTTTTATGCCAGATAATTATTTAGATATCATTTATCAGTACGGTCGAGATATGAATTTATCATTTTTATAATATGTATTTGATTTAGCACACCCGCGTTCTCGAGCTCTGTCTATCCAAATAGATTCCAGGCCCTCACCTGGTCTGTGCAAGACGGCTTTGTAGTCATCCAACCCATAAAGGTCATTTTCACCTGCTTAAATTACAAACCACAAATTAAATCACGCATGGCACGCTTAAAACACACATGCCCGGTACAATCCCGCTTTATGGATAGGTATCAGCAACATGATTTCCAGGCGTGTGAGAGCACCCACCATGTTGTACAACTCTGCGCAGAAAGTATTCGACACTTTTCAAGAAAATTTAAGCTCTTGTAGTTATGCATTTATTTAAAAACGAATAAAAAGCTTCTCAAACTCTAAAAAACATAGCATATATATTACTACTTACTGCTTTCTTCGACGACAGCTTTTTTCTAAAATTAAGTTTGGGTCAACCCTCTCTTTGCAGCTTTCTTCAAACGGTTTGAATTTGCTTGGGAAGTCGATGGCAAAGAAGAAGAAGGAGACGATAAGGGGGGAGGGGACGGAGAAGGGGAAGGGGAAGGCGAACGAGAAAGAAGAGGCGAGACCGCAGCAGGTATAGAAAATTCTTCTACCTGAGCTGATATAAATTCGTTTTGTGATCTACGCAAGTCGTCCAGGATCACCGGTTGGAAAAAGCTATTTTCGACAACGGGTTGTTGACGAACAGCAAAAGTATTATTGTTTGTTCCAAGGAAACAGAAACAGCAGATTGTTCACGGGCAGTAGGAACAACCGGTTGCTCACTGGTAGCAGAAAAACTAGAATTTATACGAAGCAAAGTCATATGATCCGTCATAGACATGGTATTTGCTACGGATGTTGCTTACTGATAATAGATTACGATTAGCTACAAAATATCCACAATTAAAGGCTGGAAATTGCTTACATGTTTTCTAGCATTTCCCATTAGCGAACAAACCATCTCACGGACCATCCAATTATCTACAGCCAGGTACAAGGGTGCAACGAGAACTGGTACAGTGAGTTCAAAATGCCTACCACTCTGGGTAGGTATACCAGCTTCGCCATCCAAAACTGCTACCGCTTGTTTCCAACTTTTAATGTTGCTCTTGGCAGAGTTAAGGTTTGTTTCAAACCAGAAGTAGATGCTGGTTCCAATAGAAAACGATACGTTCCAACATATACTTAATATCATTTTGTTCGTTGACCTTTAATGCCTTCCAGGTCACCCCATTGGCACCAAATCTCTCCCCAAGGTAAATAAGGAACTTCTTGATGATGTGGAAAGTGTTATCGTATGCCAAGTTACCCCACATTTTGAACCATTTTTCTCTGGGTACATCTGGATCTTCAATCCCGTGCAATTCATTTAGGTCAAGACTCAAAAAGTAATCGGTTACTTTTGTTTTGACATATTCCACGTTATACTTTGGTGGCGGGTTGATTATTCTAATTTCTAAAGCGTTCCAATTGCTGGACACACCCTGTGCAGCAGAATCATTCGTCTTATAATACTGAATAGCCTTATAAATACAATCTTTGAATTTACGCTCTTGAAAATCCAATTCTATTATTTGTAAATGTTGGTGAAATAGAATTAGTTATTAGTTAATGTTCAAATCAGCTTTATCACAAAAAGTTTTACCAGCATTCTTCTGGGGACTTACACCAAGGTCCGAAACATACGCTACCCTTTTACCTTTCACCGTTTGGTCCCTGGGGAGGTTATTGTTCACAGCTGTAGTAAGAGAATTAACCACTGTAGCCATATGATCAACTGTTGTTACCAAAGAATTAATCGTTGCTTTCATGGAGTCTAGTTGTTATTGACATACAAATGAATTTCGCAAAAAACATCATCCATTAATCACCCAAAAAAAATCACAACATTTTTTAAATAGACCCAATATACTTATATTTTAATATATAGTTTGTAAAAAAAAAATTAATATTTGGTTGGAGCACCACGAGCATCAATAGCAGCCTGACATCGGTTTGCCATACTCGAGACTAATTTATCTGCAAGATCAATTGATAATTTCTCCCATTCCTCCTTAACAACTGCCATTAAACTTTTGATGTTATTTACCGATTGTCTTCTTTCACGTATTTCAAGCTCAAGAGCCCACCAAAGATGTTCGATGGGGTTCAAATCAGGGCTTTGAGCAGGCCAGTACTCAAAATCTCTTATTTGGTGGCTCTCTTTCCACCACCTAGCATAAGCCCCAGTATGACAGCTGGCCCCGTCTTCTTGTAGAATAAAGTTTCTATTATCATTGTTATTCAAGTTATTGAACCAAGGGTGGAAATCACCTGCTGAAATATCGATGCACTTGTCTTGATTAACAGTATCATCAATGATTGTTAGAGGTCCAAAACCACCGGCCCTAAAACAACCCCAAATCATTACCCCACCACCGCCCCACTTTACTGTTAGTACAATATGATTCTCCAAATATCTTTCTCCGGTTTTACGAATTACTCGCTTACCTCTATCATTGCCAGTAATAGAAAAACGTGACTCATCGGACCAAACGACGCTTTTCCACTGCTCGATGGTCCAATTGACGTGAAATTTGGCCCAATCAAGCCGTTTTTCTTGTGTTGCTCCGTAAGACGTGGCTTATGAGCTGCACGAAAGGATCCAAAGCCCATATCTTTCAATGAAGAGATAACCGTTCTTCTACACACGTTAATGCCAATCTTTAACAATTCCGATCTTAGATCATTACAGGTGACAAATGGGTCCTTTCTGATAACGCGTTCCAAATGCCTTTGGGCTCTCTCGTCAACTTTTTTTGGATACTCCAGGTAATGTTTTTGGCAAAGGACTTCCTGTTTCTTTTATTATTTTTATAACACTAGTTATTCCACCTCTTGGTTAATCCTAAAAAGTCGTCGATATTGAAAATTTGATATAAATCCGACGTGAGAGTTGACAACTAATTTTTATACACTTGTTTTGACCCGAATATTCCTGAGATGATGTGATATCAAATTGAGGAAGTATGGTTGTTATTCCGATGACATGTGTAGCCAGTAATTGATGTAATAGCGACTATTTAAACAAACAAACAAAAAATTGTTTTTATAAGAGCCAAGAAGTATTTCAACGTCGTAATCTTAATGACATGAAACGGGCTTAAATGACACAACGAGATCAAGAAGAGACACGTCGAATAATTGAAATAATCCCTGAATCCATCAAGGTTGATACATTACACTAAACTTTAGATAAGTCAAGTAACTTCAGAAATTTCTTTATTAGAACTGTTTCAACATCGTTAATGTACTCGATACCAGCTGTAAATGATCGCTGCAATAAACTCAAAAGTATTTGATTTCGTTGTGTGAGTGCTTATTTGAGGGACATTATATTATTTGGCATTAAAAAAAGCTTTCAATGCAAAATAGCATTGTATGTCACTATTTTTATTTTATTTTTGAGGTGCTTGGTACAAATGAGGATGTTGTTTATGTGTAAATTGTGGTGTTATGTACGGGGAGATCTATTTATGTAGGGTATGCAAATAAATAAATAAAAACAGCGGTATAAAAAAAAACATGTCTAGTTATTCATCAGAGATTTCAAGGTTTCATAAGTGGGGAAAAAGATGCCGCAGATACCAAACCACCAGACACTTCGGGGCACTGCTCCTACGAAGAAGGCGTTGCAGGTATTGATGGATTTCTTGAAGGAACTAGCGTTAGGTTCAGACCATGCTTTAGCGACCATATATTTTGACATATCCATCACACTCATGGCATTAGATGTAGCCTTTTGTGCAATCACTCGTGTACGAAGTACATCCATAGGGGTTGTAAAATAACCTGCAAGGGAACCACTAATACCACCATACAAAATACTACGCATGGTTGGAATATCCGCCTCAAGTTCTTCAAATGCTGCTCCTGCCACCACACCGTGCTGCTTCATACGGTATTCTCTCGTCTTTTCAAGGGCTTCTCGCACAGAGCGATGATGGAATGCTTTGAAATTTTCGTAAGACACAAGGAGGATCACCATGAAGGGTGAATCTCTTGCTGCAATAGCCCAAAATCCTCTAAATAAACCTTTGGGTCCTTCCTCGATTAAAGTTTGTCGAATTACATAGGCAGCGTTGGGTTGAATACCTTGTGCATTGGCTTTGTAGTGATCGATTTGAAGTCTATCATAATGTTGTATTAGTTATAATTCTCCAATGCTAAAGATGATTTTGGTCAATTCTTACTTTGCTGTAATCACTTCTCTAGGCACCTTAATTACACTAGATGCTAAATCCCCGAGTACTGCAGACAGAGCTGTGACTGGAATTGTCAAGGCATTCTTTTCTTTGGGCAACATTTTTGACTTGCAGAATTCGTAAGTACTAAATCGAGCACCGCCTTGTCCAGCAGCACCAAGAGCGGATACAAAGAATCCTTTGCCGAGGCTGTGAAGTGTTGATTTGGAAAATACCACTTGTCGCCAGTTACCGCTAGGATCTGCTTGGATACGTGTTTTAATTGTGTCGATCGGATGCATACAAGCATATGAAAGTGAGAGTCCGGTAGCTCCAGAAAGAAAATGAACTATATAAAAAAAAAGATAGAGGTTTAATTAGAAGGAATTGGAAATAGTTGATTTAAAAGGTATTACTTTTGAATTGTTCAACTGCAGAAGCCATCTTTTATGTTAAGATATAAGGGTAATGAAAAATAATGAATATGAAAAAGAAAAAAAAAATATTCGAATATTTGTTCCTATTTCTTTTTATGTCATTTTTTAGATTTCAGATCAATCAACTTTTTAAAGCATTATTAGCCCTTGATTTAAGTGACTCAAGAATCCCGACCAATGAAAATGCTTTACTAAAATGTAATAACAGTTTGTGGGCAGATCGTCAAGTTTGCTCATTGCTTTCAGCAACAATGATTGGCTTACACCTGAGGTTACATTGTATAATTTTTTTTTTTAAATTTTTTTTTTTTATTCATGCAATTTTTTAAAACTCTTAATGGTCTTAATGGTTACCAGCCAAGTAATGCGTCTTTTAACTTGGACATGATACCTCCACTAGTACTTTCTACTGTATTTTTACTGTCCACTGCACTATGACCGATTTTTCCAGTTCCTAAACCATGAATAGTCTTAAATACGCCTTCAGTTTCTTCTATAGGCACAATATCTTTGATCACGATGGGTTCTTCCTTCTCTAATGAAACACCAATCATATGACTGTTGGAAATAATGATACCGTTAGCCTTTAATGCTGCCAATGCATTTGTACTATTGTCATATGTGATGTTCATCCAATTTCCAGAGGATTCATAGTACTTTTCAATCTTTCCATAAGTCCCGAAATGTTGAATCACATTATGTATTAAATTGACGGGATATCCGAAAACTCTTATTGTCTTGGAGGGTTGCAATACACTCACATCTGGAACAGCGCTAAATAAATAATAGTCATATACACACGATGCAAATTTCAAAAACGTTTTCTTCTTTTTTTTTTTTTTACCTGTCTATTTTCACTTCATTCACGGGTGTTTCCTTTTGGATCGGTTTTGCTTAAGCATTTTGATTGAGTTCAATGTTACACATGACAAGTATTAAAAAATCAATTTTACCTCGACGTTTATCACCGAAAATACCACGGTTAGGGTCCACTTGATCAACATTTACTCTTCTAGTATTTATGAGTTAGTGGTTTTTAAAGCATCCTATTAATTTCTTATGTACATACTTGGCGGGCAATTGAATTGGCTCTTCCTTTTCTTCTTCCTCTTCTGTAGTCTAACAGTGCACGTAAGGAATACGTGTTACTTTTTTGTTTTGCTTTTAGGTTATAGAAATTTAGTTTTACCTGCGCAAGAATACCAGAGAGTCTTCTATCACCGTAACCAACTACGGATCCAGTGTCGCTACTAAATTGAGGCTCAAAAAGTACGGTTTTCTCCTTTTTTTGTGGACCCACAAAGAAAACGGGAGGAATGCTTTTCAAGTCGAGTTGTCTGGTAGGAATGACATCGACGGGTTGAGTTGTGGTACTAGTCTGAAGTGGATTAGCTGGAATCGATCCAAATAACGAATTCGCAGACATTATTTCTTGCTTTGCCAAACAGTTGATTGAAGATATTAAAAAGTTGTCTTTTTGTTTATGGAATTGGGAATGCGAATAAAAAAAAATAAAAAAAAAAGTCACGCTAAAGCGGGTTTTTCTGTAGTTGTTCATAATTTATGAATACGCTACCCCTTAACGTAAATCTTGGGAATATATTTGTGTACACTCGCTTGTATACTTGATTGATTCTTGTTCATACACCTCAGGATTGTGTGAAAATCTCATTTTTTCTTATAAACAGGGTTGTTGACGTTGATAATGCAAAGTCGATTTAACTCGTAAATATTCCATTCACTAAATGATGGGACAATAAGTGATACCAAATCAGCATAGAGCCTTACATTTGGTCATGTTTTCAGGAAGTTTTTCCCCCTAGTTAGTCACAAAGCTTCCACTGAGTAATTTTCTTTTTTAGTGATGACAAATTCTACTTTACGGACTTTTATTACAATGTTTTCACTTTCACTTGCATGTTAAAAGTGATGTCTTTAGTCTGCTTTTTTTTAGTTGGTGTGACACAATTCTTTAAATTCACATGATGGGCTATGATGGCATTGCCCTCTTATTGGTAACTGGAACAACTCCTGCGTGGCATATGATGCTTAAATGTCGTAAACGATTTTGACATGTGCATATAAAAACTGTAGGTGCAATGTTATGTATGATTACCTATTCTTCAAAGTCGACAGAGAGCAATAGTACTTTAATGCAATTTTTATAAAAAAAAAAAGAAAAAAGAAGAAGAAGCACACATACAATGGATTGTTAGTGGAAAACCTGCTAACAAGGACGGGTTTGTATGAGGATATACATAGATTAATATCATATTAATAGTTGATTCAAGCTTTTTTTTTTTTCTTGTAAATTAAGTTGACGCGTTAAATGAATTACATTGCCGCTGATATGTATTTCTTAACAGTTATTTATGATGTACAATAGAATATCTTTTTTTTTTCTCTTTAAAAAAAAAAAAGAACCCAAACCTAAAAGAAAGATGGCACGCAAAGGCTTTAGTTACATGCATGGTAGCTTACCATTATGCGAGACTACGTCTATTTAAATTTTCTACGCATTTTATAGAATGACATATTTTGAGATCATAATAGAAATTATGTAAATTGCAAAGATTAGCCTCAGCTGTAATATCGCAGAAATATATATATATGTATGTGTACATGTTTTATGATTATTATCAATAGAACGGTTATTTTAAATCGAGTACTAAAACTAGAAGAGCCTCTTCCAAATGATTTTGTATTAAAAACCCACCCACAATATATCAGAGAAGCTTATTTATTTTTTTACATAATGTAGCTGTGTACATTTTTTTTTAGAAATGCTGCAAGACGTAAAAGTGTGGCATTTATCACGTGTAATGACGCCCCACTTTTCTTTTTAGCTTCTTTCTTTTTGCTGAATATAATTTTGCTAATAATAAAACTGCAAACAAATTTTCAATGGACAATTGTAATGCTATTTTTTTGTTCTTCTGTAAAGACCAGGAGTTGGACTTACTCAATTAACTTTTTCTCTGCAAAATAACGATATAAAAAACTATAGTAACAAATCAAGAGATCCCGTTTGAAACTCCCGGATACATGTCAGAATGGACGGACGAGCAAAAAGCTGGTATGAGGCCAGAATGACAAAAGCATTCTTGGCACATGGGACTTACTTTATTTCTCTCTCTCTCGCTTTAGACCATATATTTCGCTTAATGAAGACATTACCAACCCAACAAGTTATCAAGATTATTGACCGCATTTCACCTTACCTTGAACAGGATATTATATCAGCAAGTATAATCCTTTTTGTTTTTTCAGTGGTATATCCATTTGTTAACGCTTTCCTTTCTGTCACAGCATTTGCCTTATGAGATTGGGCTTCAGATATTGGGTTATTTAGATCTTTCCTCCCTGTTACAAGCGACAAGAGTATGTAAAAACTGGAAACTGCTGTGTGAAGAACAATCTGTGTGGAGAAGCCTTTTTATAAACAGAGGCTGGGGTTATGATCAGGACGAGATGGATGCCTACCTTTCAAATACGATGACTACTACCTCATCACCACCAAAAACAAAAGTAGCTAGTGTTTCCCTGAACAGAACATTTCGACTTAAGTCTATCCGACTTTATAAACCCACTCCTCATAAACAAGCAAAAGAGTTGAGTCATCATTACAACTGGAAGTCAAGTAGTAATTGCATCAACTGGAAAAGACTCTATCAAAATAGACTTAAAATTGAACGACGCTGGGCAAATGGCATTCAAGAGATATCTGAATTTCCACCTCTTTCCACTTCATTATCTGAGCTTCATAAAACAGAGGGAATCTATTGCGTTCAGTTTGACAAGAACAAGTATGTGACTGGAAGCCGTGATAATACAATCAAAGTCTGGGATATGGAAGGTAAATGCATACAGACCATTGAGGGACATACAGCGAGTGTCCTATGCCTACAATACAATGATAAGGTCATTGTAAGCGGAAGTTCAGACTCTACTTTAATGGTATCTGATTTAGCTTCGGGTAACCATCTACGTTCCTTGACGGGACATTCAGACAGTGTGCTTTGCTTGAAATTGGTAGGGAATGACAGAGTGGTAAGTTGCTCGAAGGATAGGTCCATAAAATTATGGAATATGAATACAGGTGAGTGCATACGAACATATCAAGGCCATGAAGCTGCTGTAAATGCAGTACAATGGATGGATAATTACATTGTGTCTGCCTCGGGAGATCGCACTATACGTATCTGGAATTTAGAAACTGGGGAATGTATAAAAAAACTCGTTGGACATTCACGTGGTGTTGCATGTGTAGATTATGACGGGAGTAAAATATATAGTGGATCCAGTGATAATACGATCAAGATATGGGACGCAAAAACAGGAGAATGCGATTACACATTGGTGGGTCACACACACCTGGTCCGGACCATCCAACTAGACAAGACAGCCAATCGACTTGTGAGTGGCTGTTACAATGGCATGATTAAAATGTGGGATTTAAATGAACGAAAGTTAATATGTGATGTGAGTTCATTAGTACATGGAAGGTAAAGAAGTTATAAAATATATCCTGATTTTTTTTATCTCTCTCTCATTTATACGGGTTTTCCTTTTTAGGGTGCTTAATCTCAAGTTTGATTTTTCAAAAATTGTTTGTTGCACCAACTCACTTCGGGTTGTCGTTTTTAATTTTGCGTTTGACGTAAATACCAAATTTCTATTGTAATATTAAAAAAAAAAGAAGGAAATTTAATGCTTATAAAAATGGGTGAGTGGTGGGGGATAGTTCTTCTTTGAGGGGTTTAAGAGGGAATGAGGAGGGGGAATATTTAGGTTTTAAAGCTCTTCTTCGCCCAGCACATGTCGAATTCTATCTCTTAAAGCTTCGATAGCAGCTGTTTTCATCTCTAGCACTTCATCCAAATTATCCAAGTAACCAATAAACTCGCTAGACGTCTTCAACTCTTCTCTCAATGACACTCCTTGACGCTCATCATCATCACGTCGACTAGATAATCCCAGCGAGAAATTAGCTAACAACTTGGTCTCTTTCTTGGAAAACTCTGTCACTTCTCTGATTTGAGCACGATGAAATTTGATAAATGATTCAATGGTGTTAGGATCAAAAAATAGGCAGTCTTCTAATTGAGTCGTAAAATCGCTATTATTGTCTTCCTGCTGCTGTTGCTGCTGGTGCTGCTGAGGCTTGGCTTGTGGACTTTCATAGATATATTCGGGGGATGACGATATCAATGGCATTTCTTGTGGGATACGTGTATATTTGTTTTCTGTGGGAGGTATTCTAGATGGAGGGGAAGGCTCGAAACTTCTACGGTGATGTTGCTGCTGTAACTGTTGCTGTAACTGTTGCTGCTGTTGTAGCTGTTGCTGTTGTTGTTGTTGCTGTTGTTGTTGTTGCTGTTGTTGCATTTGCTGTTGTAACATTTGTTGCTGCTGCTGTTGTTGTTGCATTAACAGCTGTTGCTGTTGTTGCTCATAGCGAGCATGATGGTGGTTTTCTTGAGAAAAATCTTCGTTCAAGATATTCAAATCGCCATCACTAAGGAAATCCTCGTCATTTAAGAGTAGATCCTCATCTTCTCCGTCATTGTATAACTCTGGGTCGTCTGATTCGGGGTATTCATCAGGGTACTCGTCTTCGTTTGTGTATTCTTCTGAGGAGGATATTTGACGCTGATGCATGACATTACTTTCCTCAATTGTGCTAGTGTCGGGAGCAAGGGCTCTTCTATCCCGTTCTCCTTTTAGTTCTTTGACTCTAAAAATATATATTATATAAAATCAGATGATGGGAAATGAAATAATTGGGATTTGTAAAGGTACCTGTCTGCGTAACGTAACGTATTTAGGGTATGCTCACTGTTTGATTGATTCGGAGAAATGGTAGCAATCATGCAAGTACGAGAATTACCCACAAATGAATCTTTCAATACTTGGGTTAGTTTACTCTGCCTGAAAGGGGTGTGCCTCTTATCCTGGTCAAGAGCACGAATACACTCCTTGAGAGCTAATAAACTCTTATTGATTTCAGCGCCTTCCATTCTTGTCTTCATGTCAGTATCGCCGCGGTCAGCGCCACGCTCACTACCAGCTAAATCAATGAAACTAAGTTTGCCAATGATTTTTTTGCGGTTTTTGGTGGGTCTTAAAAGGATTTGAAGGACAGCATGCGATCGGGATGAATCCGAGTTTGCACCTGTACTACCTGTACTACGGGCCTGACTTCCGTATTCAAAGACTTGCATCAAATCATCCACATTTTTAATCACAAACTCCTTGAGGCCTACAATCACAACATTTTGTTTGCCATCTTCACGCGCAAACAGCTTCTTTCGGTTATTCAATAAATCATATAATTGTCCCTGATAAATCTCATAAAATCCAATCCAAGCAGACAAATGTTCATATTGAGAAGACCGAATAAGCGAAAATACATCCCGTGCTGCTAACACATACAGACCTAGTTTAGGATCTAACATGGTATAAGTTTTTCCTGAACCTGTCTGTCCACTAAATATAGAACATTAATCTTTTTTTAAAAGTGTGCTCAAATAAATAGTACGACGTTCTTACTATGCAAAACAAGTAGCCTTTCCTCCATCAAAAACATATTTCACTAAAGGTTGAGCTGTTCTCTGATAAATTTTTTCGTTGGTATCTTCACTGTCAAAGACGTCATCAAATGTGAAATTATGCTGCTCGATATATTTTGTCAAATCTACTTTCATTCTAATGAAATGAGGTGTGTCAGTAAAGCATAAACAATAACACTATTTAAGCATACTTTGGTTCATTGACATTGATACTTCTGACACCTGAAGTGGGAGCAATATCTTTCTCGGCTCTCTCTAGCTCCTTTTTATTTAAAGGCCTCTTTCTGACACAGACACGGATTTTCTGATTCAAATCACTTTGACCAATCAACTGTTGCGATTGCTGCAGAGGGGATGATACAACAGGTACTGAGAAGGGCGGAGGAGCAGGCTTATATCGTAACTTTTGGATAGGCACTCCATAAGGATCCAATAAAGGACCTGAACCTCGTCTAATTTCACACTTATCAGAGTCATCGGATTCATCTGATTCGTCATTATTATCCTCTGAAAGAAAATTGTTATTGCTGTTTGATTTGGAGAAATCAGGTCTTCCATAATGACTGTCTGAAGTGGGTAAAGTACGCGAGCGAGAGCGTGTTGGTATCTGGGGGAGTGGAAGAGGTTGTTGACTACTGCCTCTTCTACCTAAAGCAAGGTTAGATAAATCAGGCATGCTAGGTGTTGTGCTGGAGACGGGTGGTGACTTGTGTCGATAACTAGTGGGAATAGGCGTCTTGGTGGAAACCAGCCCATTTTCAAGGGTAGGAATTTCCTGTCTCAGAGTTTGAACAAGCTATTTGGATATAGTCTGTTTAAGTACTAGTCTATTTTCTCACCGTGTGGAATATTACCTGAAATAACTTTTTTCGATCAGGGATAGAAGTGATACCTAAGCTACTGTAGTCTTGCATAGACAACTGCGAATATTTATTTTACTGTAAGCGTTTTGGTGTGCTTACAGACATATGTAAGCTTACCTGTGCCAGTGTTTCTAATTGTGTTATTCCATTAGATGAGAAACTATTAAAAGTTAGTTAATCAACAAGATGAAACCGGAATTCAACCTGTATAATACCTTTGATAATACTAGAATAAGGAAATATTAGACAAAAGTTCATGTTTTTTCTATCGTCTTTTAAAAAAAAAACTTACCTGTTCTAGTTCAGCTTTTCGTAAGGTTTCTAACAGTAAGGCTGACATGTATTAAAGAAACACAACGGACAAAAATAAAAATAAAAAAAAAATAAAAAAAGAAAGGGAGGTTGAAAGGGGTTTAGGTAACCATCACCATCCTTTGCGGATATTGAATATTATTATTTACTTTTTTCACGAAAAGTGTTATGCAAAAAATGAACAAGTTTTCCCAAACACGTCATCTACTTGTCATAAGGGAAAGCTGGTGCAACTTGCTTATTTAATCTAAAAAGTCTGTTTCATACAAGTGACATACACATACTGTAAAGATGAATGTAGAATGATTCTATTTGTATGCATAAAAATAAAATAAAAAAAAAATCAGGCACAAAATGTATGAAACAAGCCAAAGAAAGAAAGAAGAAGAAGAAAAAAAAAAAAAAAAAAGAGACTAATCGAGACATTTACATCAGTGTGACAAAATGAAAAACATATATAAATAAACGCGTTTCGGCCTTTTTTTTTTTTTTTTTTTTTCTTTTACTTTATCCTTTTCTTTTATATAAAAAATGGCCAGTCATATTTTCCAAAAGGTAGCCAACGTCTTGGTCTATCTCTTCTTCCTTTCTGCTACTGTATATAGTCTTGTAGGTCCCTCTCCTGTGGATGATGTTATCCTCGAAGGTCAAACCTATATCACACCATGTAAGCTAAATACTTGTTTTAAATAAGAATATGCTTTCTAATGATATATTAAGCATACTGGATTGAGTACATCTGGACTCTTATCCATCTCCTTCTCGGTGGTTTCGTCATTTATCAATGGTTTGAACCCGCTCATGAGGCTGCTATTCATGGTGTTGGATGGCACTTTGTTATCTCTGTCCTTCTCAGTTCTGCTTGGTTAGCTCTTTTGGTAAGTTAACAGTTTATAACCTTATTTTATCGTGAGATTAATAATCTCGGCCTATTATAGAAAAGTGGACATTTTATCATTGGTTTCATCTTTGTTCTTCTCACTGCTGCATCTGTTACCTGCGTATTCTGTAAGTGATAACATGACTTTTATTTTTCTACATATATCTAATCTTATACAACAATAGACAAGCTCACAAAGGACTATCCTACCCAAAGCTGGGCTGATAAACTCTTTGTTCATGCTCCTTTCTCTTTATGGCACGGTTGGATCGTTTACTCTGCTGTTATCAACCTTTTCCAAGCATTCACTCATGTTAAGGATAACGGTCCTTCTGTCTGGATTCGTATCTTGGCCATCTTTGCTTTCATCTTCTTATCATCTACCGCTATTGGCTATGTTGAATACAAGAAGCAAAAGGGTGATGTTACAGGTGCTTTAGTAATTGGTCTCGGTCTTTTAGCTATCTTCACCAACCAACACGATCCTTGGATTCACTGGTCTGCTTTAGCTGCTGCTGTCATTACTCTCATCTATCCTGCACGTCCTTATGTCTTCAAGCTTGTAGGTCATGACTCCAGTGCTGAGAACGCTCCTCTTCTTGGTTAATATTTTCACACACACACACACACACACACACACACACACGTTATGCCTAAGAAAAGAAAAAAATACCCTTTTTTCTTCTCATCAAATAATTTGCTATTTCGAAATAAAATCCGTCGTGTAACAATATGTAGTCGTACCCTATATTTTTTCTTTTTTACTTTTTGCTAGTGTGGCTTATTTTGGTAATTGTAAGGTAACACTACTTGATATAAATGTCAAAATACACAACAAATAGGAATGACAAAATAGGTCACGTCTTTTTTATTTATATATTTTTTTTATTCTTCGTCGTCTTCGTCTCTGTTACGAGAAGGGTTCAATAACTTGAATGTAGCTACATAGAAAATAACAATAAATAACTTGTCCGCATCCTTTTTTCTCATAAGAAAGACTTACTTTGATGAATCTCAGTTTTGGTTCTGGGGTTACCATCTTTATCGGTATAATCATTGTAACGAACGGAACCCTCAACATACACTTGGTCACTAAAAAACACAAAAAATGCTGTTGGTTACACATCTACAAGAATCCTATCCATATCACATTTTACCCCTTCTTGACCTTGTTGAACCATTCACTGGGTTGCCAGTAGGCAACACGATGCCATTGTGTACGCTTAATCAAATTACCTATTCAAATAAATTTGTTAAATTATGCGATTCTATCACACACACAAAAAAACTAACATGCTAGTTGGTACCTTCTTTATCGGGACGGGTTTCGGAAGTGGCAAGTGTATAGTTTGCAACGCGACGATCTCCAACCTCATGAACAGAAGGATCGGCACCAATACGACCGATTAAACTGATCTTGTTTACTATAAACTACATTAATTCCATTGCTTTCCAGGCCCAAAAGAAAATTTTTACAAAACTTACAATCGGAACGTGCAGCAGAGACTGAGAAGGACTACAAAAAAGGTTATACGCGTATAAATATACAAATAGACTTGTTTAAAATCAGGAATATCTTACTCTGGCGAGTTTAACAGAATGAGTAGTGGAACGAATGAAGGCTGACATTTTTTTGGTTGAAAGGATTAATGACAGAAAAATGGTTTTTTTTTTTTTTATTAAAAATCTTTCGTAACCTGTGTAGCTTTCGCCCTCGCCGGTCATTATATGACGTCACGGGCCGGTGGTCGTATTGACGGATACGACCAATAGGGCACATTGTTCCCTATTCATTGTTGAAAAGAATATGCATGCCGTACAAGTGTCAGCGTTAGTTTATTATGCAGCTCCGAAACGTAACAGAAAAAGTCTCTAGCATTACTACTGTGCCTATACTAACATATCACCCTCGCTATAACGAAAATAAGGATATCATCCCGATCAGTGATGTTACTCGTCCTTCTTTAAAAAGTAGAAAGTACACCGTTTTTCGACTTGGTTTTTTTATTCAGTATCTGATATATTGCATATCACTTTTGGTGCATGAACCCTAATCGAAATTGATTGTTCTATTGTAGCTAGTTTCTATTTGGATATAAATAAATAAAACGATATGTAGCAAATATTTGCACTGACTTTGTGATCAAATGCCACGCATCAATTTTTGAAGCTTTTTTTTACAGCATCACGATACCTGCTTCTGTACTAGGCATTTTTATTTGTATTTCTGTATCGTTTAAACATTTAGGTTTCTAGTTATGAAAATTAGTGATCGCAAAACTCCAGCGACGCCAAAGCCCAATTTTGTTTAACCGAGTGGGCGATATAGTATCTCGAGATGGGTGGCATCCTCAAAAGAGCACACTTAAGCAGGCTCCAACTGAGAGAGACACAATCGAGGCTTACCCAGTAGTTTTGATCTTGACTTTGAAAACTCATTATGGTGATTGGTATGATAAAGTAAAATTTTCGTATAAAAATGTCATAAATTATATAAAAGCATTATCCAGCGGAGATTAAGATGTGGAGTCAAGACAAGTTGTAGTAGGCATTTGCGAGCAGAAACTAACAGGGCACGCTCGGTGGCAGCAATGAGATACTGAAAGGGATGAGGCATTTAAAATTCAACTTAAAAAACACTTTCGATGATAATTGACTGCTGAAGTTGGGGGAAAGAATGTCCTTCTTAATCACATTGATAAATTAAAATAGTCATCTTTATATGATACAAAACAAGAAATTTATCAAGAAAGAAGACAGTAAGACAGTGATATTATATCAAAAACAGAACAGCTGAAAATAAAAATGGAATCCGATCTCTTTCCTTTACAAATAAGTACGCTTGCCCTTTCAAAGTGCCAAATGTAGTACGGTTTATTGCATGTCCAACAATACATCAGATAGTACTTTTAAGTCTTGTGCTAACCTTTCAATCTAACATGAGTATTTAACTCTTCCGTGTATTCGAGTATTTAGGTATGTGTTTATTTCAATATAACCGTGAATTTAAGAAATATAACAGCGTTATATACGCAATGCTTTGATTTTTATTTATACTCTATATTTTGAGTAAAAGTCAACTGCTGAATTTCAAAAGAATTATCAAGGGCATTGTTGTTCGCTCCTTCGCCACCGTTCCCTTGTGGTCTATGTAATGGAGGGGCTTGATCCTGTTGGTTTTCATTACCTGGAGACTCTTGTCCTTGTCGGTTGTCATTAACTGGAGGCTCTTGTCCTTGTTGGGCATCATTAACTGGAGGCTCTTGTCCTTGTTGGGCGTCATTAGCAAGAGGTTCTTGTCCTTGTTGAGCACCATTAGCAAGAGGTATTTGCTCTTGTTGGGAATCAACAACCGCCTGTGGTTGATTGGTATTATCTGCAGGTCTATCAATGTCATTGGCCACAGGAGGACCATTGCGTACAGGAAGGATGTTGTCTGCATTGATCATTTCTGCATAATCTCCGGGGCGAATTATTTTAAGTAGGTCCTCTGCTCGTTTTAAATTTCTTTCCAAAATATCCATCCGTCTCGTTGTGTGATCTTGGAAATCGGTTACTACGGTCATGACTTCCCTTAAATCGGCACGAGGTGTTAGCAAGGCTACCTGGTCACTCGCTTCATTTACTCTAACATTTGCCTGGTCAACTTGGTCTTGTAAATTAAGCAGAAGACGATTTGCACGATCTATGTTACGTTCGGTATTATTTAGAAGATTCTCCATATTCTGGACGTTGGCTGTAGTTGTATTGAAACGATTGTTTAAAGTATCAAGCATTTTCTCTAAACGTGCAAGATGTGGTACGTTTGCTGCCGGCTCATTCTCTGCATTATCACCATTAGAATCATTTCCATCATCGTTCCCATTACTGTCATCCTCACCTGGATTATTGACCGGTTCTTCGACTGTTTCGCCGTTGTCATTAGTATTACCATCCTCAGCACCAAGGTCATCCTCAGCACCAAGGTCATCCTCAGCACCAAGGCCATCCTCAGCATCAAGGCCACCATTAGAGTCATTGTCAGCATCATTAGCGCTATCATGGTTATTACTGTTACCGTTTGTATCCTCCGCAGTTTCGGTGTCAATATCAGAATCGTTGTTGTGGTCCAGGGCCATTTTTTTAACTTGAGATGCTCCAATGGGGTCTTCAGAAACCACAATAGGTAACGGAGGACCTTCTTCATGCTTGTTACATAGGCTAGTTTTGTCATCGCTTGATAATAAAGACTCAGTGTCAGTATCCTGCGCCGTTCTTGCTATCTTGCTTTTTGTTTGAACTTGAGATTTGAAACTACCGTTATGGTCGGAAGATCGTTTTCTTTTGGTGGTGCTTTGTCTCGTTAATCGTGACATGTTGTTATAAATTTCTATAAAAAAAGAATGTATGGGTTTTTAAAAGAAATAAAAAAGATCGTTTTATATATGTTTTTACATGGATATCCTTGGGATAATAAAATGATTTATTATGCTTTCTTCAAAGTTTTGATTGTTCTTGTACGACAATCAATTATGCATATTAATTTATAAATAGCGAGTCCTTACGGCTATCATTTTACCTATTTATGGTATTTCGTTGTAGTTAAGCGAGGTGATGCATTTTGAGATACCCCGTTAATTGAATCGGCAATCAGTTACTTTAGTCTAAACATGCAGCTGTAGGGACAAGGAAAAAAGATAAGTAAAAAGATGTCCGCCGATGATAATAATCCAATATCTTTTCCTGTTTTTCTTCAAACCAATACCATAATTATTTAACATACAAAACATCTTCCATATGTTGTTCTAATTTTTACTTTGTATATTTTAAATCGGATGGTACCAACAGCAAGCTCATATTTTTATTTTGAATTTAATGACCTCCAGAGTGTTACCCTAAAAAGCACTCTCCAGACAAGGAAAGGTGATTTTTTATATACCAAAGTTCTTAAAAGACTAATCTCGTTTGTAATTGTTAGTAAACATTTATGACAATTATCTTGTAAATTTCTTTTAGAGATCAGAGTGCAAAGGTTAATAGATTATTTGTTAAAGTCTCATTACTGGCTCATATCAGACACTTCAAAAAAAAAAGAGCTTCCCACTTGTACATGTAATAATTACCGTTCAGTTGCACACTTTTAATTGTTTAGGGATGCATCGATCTAGTTTATAAGTATAGTAATTAGGGCCTTTATGAATAATTTTATTCAGATAAGCTATACTTACTAGTACAACAATAAAATAATTTACAACTGTCTGTCCATGCACTATACTATTTCTGCCTTTTGAAGTGATCCATGTAACTTCGTTAGAAAATATTACTGCTTTGAAAAGTAAATTAACTCAATGGCTTCGATGCTAAAAGATATCTGGACACGATAATTTCTTTTGGTTACTATAAAACAGTATTATTGATACTCATTCAGTTTATGAAACTATCATCGCCTTAGATCAAAGTTCATAAATAAATTCTTTCCTGCAATCAGATTTTTCAATTGAATACGATCTGAATGATATTGTGTTGTTAGTTCCGTTGAATTATAACAAAACAGGAGATGTACCATAAAAAGGTGATCGAAGATGAAGAACAAGGCGCGGTATTAGTAGTGCCAGATGATACTATCAAGACTAAACTTGACAATAATGCCTTTTCCACACCCAGCTTAAATAAGTATCCGTTTTTATTAGAATGATAAAAACATTGTAATTGTCCACTATTTTGTGCTTTCTTTGAAAAAAAAAGCAGTTATATTATTTTGGTAACAGAAATAAGCATGGCACTGTCGGCTGGTTGTGTATAAGCAAGTGTAAAATTGAGTTAGAAGCATTTAAATTCTTTGATGCATGCTTACATAACCTCCTGATGTGGATCGTGAATTTATGCCGGGAATTAAAGTGAGCAGTTAGCAACCCTCCCTTCATGTTGATAAGTTATTATTCAAAAGCTTTCACAGTATCTAGGCTTATCATGGGTTCGCGAAAGTCTCTTTTTCGTTGCTCACATTTTTAACTTTATTGCAAAGCGAGAGAGATATCTTCAATTAAGACATGCATGGATCAATCTAATCCAGTGTAAAATTACATCAATATCTGGTTTGTTTTGGAAGTAGACCCTATTCAGTTTGCCTCTGATATCAATATTTCAAACAAGACTGAAACACGCAAATTGGTATCAAACAGCCTTAATAGGAAGGCTTTGCATATTAATTTGGACCGACCTTGTAACTGCGCTTGTTACAGATTTTTTTTATATATATGTATACTCAATCTTGTAATGGGCTGTAACGTAAGAAAAAAAGGTTTCCTATGAATACCCGCTCAGAAAGAGTGGGCTAATCATGCAACATGGAAATAGGCTTGTATGTGCCCGAGGACCCCGCCTTTTAAGCGCTTAGCTGACGGAGTTGCGGAGGGCTTGGATAATCACGTGTGGGGTATTTTCCTCTCGATTTCCCCCCCTTTTTTTTCTCTCTCTATTTTATCTTTTCCTCTCTCTCTCTCTTTCTTATTGTTAATCTAGACGACATGACAGGATACCAAGCATTCCCTGTTTTAAACCAGCAATTTATTGTTGATAGAAAATACCAGTTCATTCGTGAAATGGGCCAAGGTGCCTACGGTGTTGTTTGGTAAATAAATAAACCAATGAAACAAACGTATTCCTTCCTTTTTATTGAAACTATTGTAATAGTGCAGCCAAAGATACTGATTCCGACGAGCAAGTGGCTATCAAGAAAGTATGATAGTACACTAACATGAAAAGCATAAGCACTGGGTTAACTAAAAAATCAAATAAACGCGCGTTTCATTTCTTTTTTGTAGGTGTGTCGTATCTTTGAAAAGACCATTTTGTCAAAGAGAGCTTTACGTGAAGTCAAATTACTAAAGTTTTTCAATGGTCATGAGAATGTAAGTTTTCTTTACTTTAATACATATATTTCTTTCTGACATTGTAATAGATCACTTCTGTATTGGATATGGATATTGTCAACTTGCAAGACTTTAACGAAATGTAGGTTATTTTCTTTTAGTGTGAACAAAAAAAAAAAAAAAAAAAAAAAAAAAAAAAAAAAAAAAAAAAAAAAAAAAAAACTGAATGTGTATTAACCACCTTCCTCCATGCAGTTACCTTGTACAAGAATTAATGGAAGCTGATCTCCATCAAATCATTCGATCGGGTCAACCATTGACAGATGCTCATTTCCAGTACTTTGTGTACCAAATTTGTAGAGGGCTCAAATACATTCATAGTGCCAATGTAACATAATTTTTTTTTATCATCACTTGGTTTGTGTACTCAATCTTTTCTTTCAAAAAGGTATTGCATAGAGATTTAAAGCCAGGTAAATTATCTCCCGCCCTCCCAGATGCATGAGTAAGTTATTTTAACCCCATCTGATTATTTGCAGGAAACTTATTGGTAAATGCCGATTGTGAATTAAAAGTAAGCAAAAGAGGGGAGTGAAAGAGAGAGTATGGGAAAGACTAAGATTTTCCTTATTGTATAGATTTGTGATTTCGGTTTAGCTCGTGGTTATTCTGAGAATGCAGAGCATAACGTTGGTTTCATGACTGAATACGTTGCAACAAGATGGTACAGAGCTCCCGAAATTATGCTTAGTTTTCAAAACTATACAAAAGCCAGTAAGTAATTCTATATGGATATACCATTGGATCTTTGACTTAAACTTCTTGCATGCAGTCGATATGTGGTCGGTTGGTTGTATTTTCGCTGAAATGCTTGGTGGAAGACCTCTTTTCAAAGGAAGAGATTGTATGTATTTCAACTCTGATGCATGACGTGATTATCTGATTATCTTCTTGTAGATGTGGATCAATTGAACCAAATCCTTGGTATTCTTGGTACTCCCGATGAAGAGACTTTAAGTCGTGTTGGAAGTGACAGAGTAATAATGTATATATGTGCATGCATGTTCATAAAACTAAATGGTATTCCTATTAGGCTCAAGTGTATATCCGCAGTTTACCTATAATGCCCAAGATTCCATTTGAAAACTTATACGCCAGAGGTATGTATCCATGTGCATTTATATATATATATATGTATGTAGAGATGTATATTAACGCTTCTATAATAGCTAATCCTATGGCGATTGATCTTTTGAACAAGTTGTTGGAATTCGATCCATCTAGACGTATTACTGTAGAAGAAGCACTTGGTCATCCCTACCTTAGTGCTTATCACGATGAAGATGACGAGGTAAATAAAACGCATCATGATGAGGGATGCTGACTATTATTGATTGACACAAACATACAATTTATTAGCCAACGCATTCAAGTACATTTGACTTCTCTTTCGAGGTGGTTGATTCTATTGAAGAAATGAAACGTATGATTGCTCAAGAGGTCATGTCTTTCAAGGCAACCAAACAATCTCAGCGTCCCGCTGCTAATACCGCCAATGTAAAGAGACGTGAAAGGTAAAAAAAAAAAGGGGGGGGGATACATGTGTATAATAAGAGTGCAAATTTGTCTAACATGTGATAAATCAAGTATGTCTGCTCAAGATCGTGAAACATTGGCAGCAGCAGCTCAAGCAAGAGCTAACCACGAATCCAATTCTGTTACTGCTGAAGGTAATGCCGCTTCGATTGCTGAAACAGCTGTTCATCCCCCAACAAACCATATGGAAGTGGATGATTTGGAGAGGGAGTTAAGTGGCGCTGTCTAATATATACCTTTTTTATATAAGTATGTGTGTGTGGGTGGATCAAATGTTTATGAAAATATACCACGTTTCACAATAATAGTACTCTTTCTTTTTTTTTATATATATATATTAATGGGTGATGTTAGTATCTAAAGTGTGGGGGGCATTCTATACGTTGCAGTGGAAAAGCACCTGTCACTGATTTTATACAAAGTGCATGAGAAAGAAATAGATTATCCCAATGCAGATGATTGGCGTAAAATACGAGATGCGATTGCATTTTACCTTGTATAGGCTTGAAACAGCCAGAAAGATGACGTTTTTCATGGTCAGTATTTATTTTTCTTTTCTCTCCTATTCAAAAAAAAAAAGCGTTTCTTGTATCACAAAATGTTTGTTTTATCAAAATGATGTCAGTATACAGTAAAAAAAATTGCTACTATCTTGGACGGATCTAAACTGTTTTCATACACTGATTAGAATCATATAAATAAATAAATAAAAAAGAAAAAGAGAAACCCTTTTTTTTTTTGTTTGTTCTTGAACTTCTTTACATATTCCCCCCATACAATGTTTCTATTACCTAAATTACTGTATATATGTCTTTATGGTGTGTTAGGATCCGCCATACCTTACCTATCCTTGTTTTATAGTGATAGTCTTCACTTGACAGGCCAGCAGATTGGTGCTATTTTAGCTATTGCACCTTTTATTCAAAGTCTGGCATGTCCATTCTGGACGATCCAAGTGGATAAAAAACCTCAATTTCATGGTCCTCTCATGGCCATTCTCATGCTCATTGGAGGCCTTAGTGTCATTGCACTCATGTTTATACCCGTCATCTTGCCTCAGGATACCACTTCTGCTACACTTATTATCACAGCCGTGTTGGCCATTTCATTTGCTTTTTTCGGTCAGCCTGTGTGTGTCTTGGTCGACAGTGCTGTATTAAAAATCCTAGGAGATTACAAAATTTATTATGGTAAGGTGTTTTTATTTTGATTAGGTAATGAAAATTTTAAATTAATTGGCTTACCATTTATCAGGTGACCAACGATTATGGGGATCCATTTCCAACGGCATCTGTATCTTGTTAGTGGGATACTTTATCGGGTTATACGGTATCGACTGTGCTTTTTACATATTTGGAATTAGTGTAATCGGGTTTATCACAATTGCCATGGGAACCAAAGTGCCGCACGCAGGCTTAGGAGGCAGTTTAGCATCAGGACAAGACGAATTGGACCCGCTGTATATTACACCAACTAAAGGGTATTATACATATTCTCCCAACAACGAGAATGAGAATATCAGACGTATGGATAGTAGCACAAGTAGCCATGCCAATACCTTGCTGATTGATAGCGAACAAAGTCTGCTAAACTTACAAAGAACAGTGACTTCTATGGCCGCTCGGGATGTACATGACGAAGCCAGTTTAATATTGGATCAGATGGATAGTTTACCACCTCTTGGTCTTGCCTTATCTCATATTCCAACCTTGGATACTTCTTTAGCAGCATTTGCATCTATTGGGTGCCACGATGATGATACAGATTCATCTCAGGAAAGCCTAAAGGAGACAATCTTTAGTTCTCCCAAAGTTTGGTCATTCTTACTCATGACCTTATTTTTTGGAATATTTTATTCGATGGTCGCACAATTCTTATTTCTATTTTTAAAGCAAGATTTGGATTTGGAAGCATCAGTCATTGGTTGGACAGGACCTATTGGAGGGCTCACTGAAGTATCTACCTTTTATGTCTCTAGGCTGGTAAGAAGAAGAAAAGAAAAAAACTATGAGGCAATTTTTTTTACCTTGTGCTAATTATTCTCTTGTATAGTTGCTGAAAAATTATAGCGTACAAAGCTTAGTAACGGTAGCTCATGTAGCTATTATTCTTAGAAATATGGCATACAAGACATTAGTGCCAGGCGCAACAACTACGATGGCATATGCCTTGATGCTTCAATTGGTAAACGGTAACGTCTTACAAAAATAAAAAAAGGCAGTATTCTCTTTATTAAACGTTTTCAAAAAGGATTTTCGTATGCCATGATCTGGTCTACTTGTGTATCCGAAGTTGATCGCATGTTCCCAGTGCACCAACGTGCCATTGCACAAGGTATTCTTGCATCCTTGTTTTCTGGCTTAGGTTTTGGTATCGGATGTATCGTTGGCGGTTATGCCTACGATCATTACGGTATTGACATGTTATTGAATGTCTCTATGGCTGTTGCAGGTTTTAGTTTGCTCATGTTTTGGATCGGCAGATGCTTCTAAAAAAAATACCCCGATCGCTTAGTTATAATAAACTTTTTTCTAGATTGTTTGTACAACCTTTTATATGGAAGTAGTAATTTCTTGATTGAGAATAAAATATTTCTTGAACAGGAAAACAAAACTTATGTGATTGCTGTATTTTAGATTTCAATCCTTCTAGTCAATTCTTAAGACCTTAAAAATGTTTCATAGAGCTTTTGTTAAAAAAAAAAAAAAAAAAAAAAAATACATATACAAATGTTCGTCTCTCTCCTAATGAGAAGAAGAAGAAGAGGAATAGGAGGAATTGCTACTGCTTCCTACTACTATCATCCAATAAAGATTCAACAGCATTGAAAATACTAGACCAAAACTGACCTTGTACAACAGCTCACCCCTCAAAAAATGACAAGACTGAGTACAATCTAGAAGGAAGTGTAAAATCTCAATTTCATTATTCTACTATCTGAGGTTACAGCTCATGTATAAATTTGGGAGGGCAAACGTGCTAGAAAATCATCGCCCGTCAGGCCAGATAGACTATTTTCAGCCCTTTCGTCGTTTCCCCTTTCGTCTGGGGTCCGTGTGTATTTATTCATCTCTAGAATTTACAACTCCTTGTGCTGTGTAGCATGAAGGTTAATTTCATTGTCTACTAATTGCGATAGTAATGGGCACTACCCGATAAAAGATGAACCTTATTTTTAGCCAAGTTACGTGGAACACAACCGTATTTACATTGCTTTTTTTTTATTTGTCGCGGGAGGTCAAAAATATATAAATATGCAAAAAAAGGAATCTGAAATTAGTTTATCTCTTTCTCTATTCGCAAACATGTACAAAGCTGAATATTATCCTTCCTCACCTACTGACACTTGCTCATTATCTGGGTCTCTTCCCGAAATGTATGCATCAAGTTATTGTTCCTCTTCATCAAGCGCCCCTAGCACACCTGAGCCTGAGCCTGAGCCTATCAAGGTCAAGAAAACCTCACCAAAGAAACAATATCAATGCACACACTGTCTCAAGAATTTCAGTCGCCCCAGTGCTTTACAAACTCACACTTATACACATACGGCAGAGAAACCATTCCAGTGCACAAAGTAAGTATACGCTACAAGCAATTCCTGTTTATCAACTACTAACTTTTCCCTCTTTATAGATCTGGCTGCGGTCGTAAATTTTCCGTAGTGAGCAACTTGCGTCGACACTTGAAGGTGCACCAAAAACCCTCTGTTGGTAACAAACTATCATCTGAAGACAGACTTCGATATGTTCAGCAGTTGATCAAGACAAGCGAGATCATTTTGGCCAAAAGACAGCAAGAAGAAGAGTTAGCGGCAGCAGCAGCAGCGGTAGCGGCAGCAGCAGCAACAAGAAATGAAATCCTATTGGATGGACGATCCAATATTGAAAATGGGGGTGGGTACAGACATCCCTCTTTGGAAACTCACAGATATCAGCATTACCTCCTTTTACCTAGTCTTGTCGACAACAACAATAACGGAACGCCCAGTAATCTTGCCGGTGCTGAACCATACAGTTGGAACAATGTCGTACAGGATACAAGAACACCAGATTTTGCAAGCTATCACTCTTCCTATTCAAATAACTCTTCATTATATCCTGCTTGGAATTATTATCAAAGCTAAAAGTAGCACACTCCTTACAGCTTCTCCCAAGAGAGGGACAAGATTCCTTTATTGTTTCCACTCTTTTTATTTTTTCGCAGCACGCATGTTTATATGTATATCTTATTTTTCGGGCTTATTTTTATATGTTTCCTTTCCCTTCCCACACACACTATCATTTATATCATTATAGCTATACCAATAAATTATACCAATTTTTGCTTTTCTTTTAATTTTACAAATAATGCTTTTTGATTAAGTATAAATACAGATACATAGTTGTTTGCTGTCAACAGCCTGTCATTATAAGCGGCTGATAAAACCGAGCGCAAGGAAGGACCCGCGAATTTCCTTTTTTTGCTGGAATAAGCACCATCTTAGAATGGAAATAGATCTTTTCTGTTATACCAATACGCAGAACCCGTCGTTTTGGTTTAAATTTTGCACCCCCCCCCTTGCCCCCGCCCCCTTCTTTATTTTCACGCTCTTTGACCTGAATAGGATTAAAATCGAGCAGTATTTTTCTGACGGTAGAGGTCAGCCTCCTCTTCCCCTGATTACCACTTTGACCCCCTTCATTTTGGAGATGTGGCTGTAACGGGAGGAAATAACAAGTCTCTCGTCTAGGAGGAGACCGGGCAAGTGAATATTGTTTATTTTTTATCTTTACTAAAAGGCCGAATAATAATATTTGGCAGAATGGAAAATGGGGCTAATTAATAGGAAAATTATTTAATGCCATACATATTAAATATCTTATTTTTTTTTATATTCAAATGGCCAAATCACAAAAATCTTTAGATCTTCACATTAAGCGTATTATCTAGAATCCGGATCAGACAAGAAAGCATAACTGTAACTTAGCATGCAGATGACGTTTAGTGTTTTGAGGGCCTCTCATTTACCTTTCGGATTATAAACTATTTCGTTAAAGGTGGGATGATCCCTTATGATTAAGGGTAACGCCTTACACAGGTTTATATATGATTTTAAACCGTCAAAATAATCTCTCATAACTAAAGTATCTACAAAGGTTTATGTCCCGAAATTTTGGCAGTGTGTAATACAGCAGTGCGTGAAACGTGAAACCATAAAACGAAATCGGGTTGTGCAGATTTGTTATTTATTTATAAATTAGGATGACTTTCTAGCATTTTCTGTTAGTCTAGAATTCTCATTATCGTCCATACTGATAGAAAAAATAAATTAGCATTTATTTTATCAAAGCAACGTGTAAAAAGTTATTTAAAAAACTTACTGGTTATCGTACTCATCATCATCGTCGTCCTGTTCAACATGTAATAAAGCACTTTGTTCTCCTTTTCTACCTCCTGAGCGATAAGCGGTATTTGTATGACCGGTTAAATCTGAAAGCTCAACGTTTTTATGAATAGGTTGGTGATCCTCTTCTTCATCTGTAAGTTCGCCACCGAGTTCAAAAATAGCTGATTCGGTATCAAGCTGATGATGATCTCGATTGCGATGGTCACCAGGTCCAGTAGTACTGGTACCATTTTCGGCATCTTCCACTCTACGCAAGCGCTCTTCCAAATCAAGTGCTTCCTCCTCGTCTTGACTGATTTGCATCAATCCATATCTGGAATTATTACTGGTGGGTCTCCATAAGATGATGATGATCAAAAAGACAATGAAATACAAAACGTTCAGTAAACCATCCAACATGATCCAGCGGTATTTCCAGTTATTTGCTGCCCAGTCAATTGCCATACGACCCGAAAAGGCAAACATGTTGAGAATGAAGATAGCAATCACAGCAATCACCGAGAACAACAAGAGCTTGTAGAGTCGCTTGTACATGACAACCTTCACATGTTGTTTACGAAGCTCGAGATCTCGGATCGTGTTTGTGATTGAATTCAAAGTCCATACATAAAAAATTGTCATTGTAATTGAAAGGGGAAAGATAACCAGCAAAATCAATAAACCGGCTGTCTCGGGTGATAAAAGCATTGTACCCAAGGTATAAATTACACCAAAGAAGAAATGGGTGCATGCAAGAATGACACACTTTTTCATCATTGAGCCTAGACTAGGCCTATACATAACAAAAACATCAGTCTTGCTCCAAATCAGGCAATTTTGTTTAAACTTACTTTACAACACTGTAACCCATACACACAATCAACAACATAAAGAATGACATACTGTTTTTTTTTGGAGGTTCGTTAATATGCATATCACCTTTTTTTTTTTCCTTTTTACTGTCATCTCCTAGACTTACCTAGTTCTACCTGCATTTAATAATGCAACAAGAGCCAATAAGCCGTATGCTAAAACGCAAATAATGCAAATGAATAAACCTTCTTTTAACCTTTCTTCTTCTTCTACTTACAGGTCTTTCCGGTTTGATTATAAGCTTCCCAATATCCGAAATTGAATGCCATTTCCACGATAAGATAAAAGATAGCCATCGACAAAAAGTGCTGATAATTCTTGTCAGCCGCTTTTCTATCTCATTCCTTCTTTTTTTTTGGCTTACCTGGACGGGTAAAATATCATCCCAATTACGATAACTTTGAATAGCCCAAAATATGCCAACTGCTAAATACACACAAGCAAAAGCTCCATACAACTAGAAATCCAAATAAAAACTCGTTATTAACAAAAAAAACTTGTATTCCTTTTACTCTTATACATACCAGTAATTTAGGATAATCGCCTGCGGGTAATTCACCATAAGGGAATCGCCACTCCACCCAAGCTTCAAACACAGAATTGTCTCCTGCAGGTACTAAAGCCACACAGTAATAGCCAGTCTTTTCGACTTTATAAAGCGCCATCTCGGTTCGTGTTCCATTCATAACAACACTTTCGGTTACAATGCTAGTGTCTTTTTGGCCGGCAGGTACAGAAGTAATGAATTGGCCAATTTCAGACTCTTTACATAATTTTTTTTTGGCTGCTGAAGAATCACAAATGTAAACACGCTAGGTTTGTTCTTTACAGTTTAGTAACCACTTTGGTTTTTTTTTACGGCCTATAGATTTGTAACTCACGTCGTTTGTTTCTGGATCTACAGCACCGAGATTTTGAAAGTCTTCCCATTCATATATTAACATTGCTATTTTACCCTTTGACTTTTTATCAATCGAAACTAAAAAAAATAGAGAAAGGCGTTACTCGAGCAAGTTCTTACCCATGCAACAATTTAGCTTGCTTACTTTGGATATAGGGCTGTGAGCCACCTGGAATAGCTTCTTTACTCCAAACACCGGAGCATGAAGTAGCAGAATAATCGTCGCTTGTCTTTTTTTTTTTTTGGTGTGTGTGTAAGCCAAGGATATAAAACAAAAATTAAAATGGTCATCTTACCAATCGAACTTCTTCGGCATTATAGCACTGAAATAGAGCTGTGATAAGTAAAAGCACAGAAAAAATTCTGCACGCTTTTAATAATGTCATTTGTGTGAAAAGTGATTAAGAAAGCCAAGAAAAAAAAAAAGAAACTTTTCATTTGTGACGTACCGCGCACAACTACTTTGGCTGAGTTTTTCTTAGTTTGGTAGTTGATATGCAGCCACGTTTTTTATTATTAGGGGACCGCTGGCTGGTGTAGTTTTTACTCTAAGACGCGTAAAGTAACATCATAAACTCAAGATATATTGAAGATGGAAATCCATATTGAATTCATGATATACAACGTTTTTTTTTTATTAATATATCAATTTAAACATTATCAACAAGTAGAAACCCATGTCACTAATTTGTCTTACTATTGATACTTTTACATAAAAATGAAACTAGAACAGGCTAGTCAATTTCAAACGAAGTTAAAGTTTATAGAATTGGATCGCCCAAAATTAAGGGCTTTATAAAGGCTTTTTGGGAATTTCTGCAATACTATAATTAATCATCAAAATCTTGCTGATTTAGCTCCAGCAACTTAAAAAAACATGATTTTAACTAATAGGAACTCGGTTTATTTGAGTTCATTGGGAGGCTGAGGCTTTATGTGTACAATGCTGTCAGGAACTACCCCTACTATGGTCATAACAGTCTCATGATGTAATTTTTTTTTTAGAAAAATACAGAGGTCTAAACATTTCTTGTAACTTACCTTTCATAACTTTAATTCTCTATGTCGTCAAAAAGATAATTTATACGTGATTTGTTTTGTCGCAGCAGTATCTTTATTCTTTGTTGCGAAAAACAGTAGACCCCCCTTTGATTATATTTGTCGTGTAAGATATCGCAATGTGTTACCTCCAGTACCATTTGCGCCCAAAATACTTACTGTTCCTTCGCTCACCCATACAGATCAACCAGCTTGGTCGAACAAAGACCCTATTCGTTGATTAAGGATCGAATTGCTTCTATCCCTTATTACAAGACTTTCGCTGAATTTTTGGATGTTATGGATACCAATCCTGAAGAAGGCGAGAACAAAGTTATCTTTTCCTAGTAGCGAAATATATTATGAGATTAACTATATAATGTATAGTATTTAATTTACTTGAAAAAGTAGCAGAAGAGGATAAACATATTGTTGACCGAACCCAGAGAAAGGCCTGATGCTGAAGGAATAAACACATTCAAGCTTTTGTCTACCAATTTACAACATCCCCAGACAAAATCAAGGGCAGAAAAGATTATTCCCTTGTTGCCATATATGGAATGTCGGGAAAATATTCATACCGCTGGTCAGTTCAATGCAGAGCTAGCCGACGAAGGCAGACTCTCAAAGAGAAAAACGATGGAATTGAATGCTTCGAAACGTCGTCGCATCTCCGATTTGGATGGTACAGAGCGTGATATCTTAAGACCCATGGTGTATCCTCATGATCCTGAAGACACATACCTTACCTGGTTCTACCGGATAATAAAAGCACTACGAGATTAAAAAAGGAAAAGGAAAAACGCATGGAAACATGATCAGACGAGGTACGCATTATTTTATGTGTATCAATTTTTTCATAGAAATGCCATTTTGATCTCTGTAGCCCTTAATATACAATGTCGGCTGTGATTACGACTGCTGCCTGAACATAGATACGCTGAGGCATACGCTGAACATACGTGCATATTATATCTATTTTTTTTTAAAAAAAAAAAAAAAAATACAGTGATATATCCAAAAGCATAAAGCCCATATCCATCGACGTTGTGAGATACTGACCACATTTAGGAAATTAAAAAATACGAATGATTTATTAAAAGTATGTAAATGAAAAGGTGTATTAATGTATTCTATAAATGTTATATGATAAAGGGAGATAAGAAAAAAAAATGCTACAATAAATATAAAGAAATGTCTAGATAATTGTTTTTCTTTAACGTCTTCCCTTTCTCTTCCAGAAGACAAGTCCGAGGAAAAGAACGATATTGAAAATAAAGAACGCAATAAGAATACCAAAGTTACGCCATTTATTTGCTGCACTCCAACCCAATTGAGATTCATAGAATTCAGCTCCTGTACTATACGTACAATAGCCACATTGTTCGGGTGCGACGGCATCTGGGTTATCAATATAGCCTGTAGCACCAGTACTGAAGAAACTACGTGTGTATTCTCCACAGGTTTGTCCGGAAGGAGGTGTGAACTTGAATAAATCATCTTGAGAACATACGACTCTGAGGTTTTCTAATTCATTCACGGTAAGACCTTCGACATAGTAATGGAAAGGGTCGAGCCAGTACATCCAAGCGCTCCAAAATCTAGGCATAGCCTTGGCAGATTGCATTAAACCACAGAAAAGAATGAGGAGAGAGATAAACAAGGGATTGATCAAGGCAGCCATGGTAGGTAATTCCGCAACAGCAGCAATAACGAAACCCAAAGTAACTGCCCAACAAACAAGTACAACAAATGTAATATAAAAGTAGCCACAAGCAGCAGAGGTGTTACTCATACCAGCAGTCCAGTAGAAACCAACCATGTAGGTAGCAGCAAAGAAAATAATATAAGGAATCTCGACCAGGATAGCAGAGATACCCCAAGGAAGCCATCCGTAATAGCTGGAAGCGTATTCACGTCTGAAATACATACGTTCCGTCATGAACTTGGGTTGAGCCAAAATAATCATGGTGAAGGACATAATAAAGGTACCAAACAAAGCGAAAATCTTGTTCATCATATCCGAAGAAGAATGTCCCAACTTCCAGAAAGTGAAACCAGTAATCAAAGAAGTAAACATCAAGTTGAGGAAACGACCAATGTTATATTCGGGTGAACGCCAGTAAGCAAGAGACATACGGCTATAGACAAGACGGAATTGTGTACCCATAGAAGTGGAGTAAGTATTAGCGATACGGGTAGGATTCTTGACGGCAGTTCTATTGATTTCTTCTAATTCAGCATCAAGAGACTTGGATTCATTAGATCCTTGCCAGACTTCGGCCCAGTCCTTACTAGCTTTACCAGCAGTACCAGCGCCTACGACTTCAAGAATATATTCAGCAGGGTTAGCGTCAGGAGAACATTTGGGTCCACCATTGGATTCAAAGTAATCAATCATGGTACGAGAATCTTGACCAATTTCACCATAGTAAGCGGTTCTACCACCACGAACAAGCAACAAGAGATGATCAAAGTATTCAAACAAGATAGCAGAAGGTTGATGAATAGTACAGAGTACTGGCCATCCAGCATCAGCAAGTTTACGAATAAAACGAATAATGTTGAAAGAACTTTGTGCGTCAAGACCAGAAGTGGGCTCATCCAAGAACAAGAGTTGAGGCTTACCAACAAGCTCCATACCAATAGTCAAACGCTTACGTTCTTCAATAGAAATACCGTAGCCTCTTTCGACTTCACCAATTTGAGCATCTCCGATATCATCCATCTCCAAAAGTTGAATGATTTGTTCAACATAATCGTTCTTTTCTTGGAGGGAAACTTCAGCAGGTTGACGTAATTGAGCAGAGAATCGAAGAGCTTCACGGACTGTAACAGCAGGTTGATGCACATCCATTTGTTCACAGTAACCAGTAATACGTTCAAAATCAGTCATCAAGGCTTCACCGTTCAAAAAGACATCACCTTCAACAGTACCGAGTGTCTTTCTACGGGCAAGAACATCCAAAAGTGTGGTTTTACCAGCACCAGAAGAACCCATCAAAGCAGTTAAATGACCGGGCTTTACAATACCGTTAATATCGTTCAAAAGTTGGAGACTGCCACCCTTGACAGGAACGGTGTAATTAACATGTTGCCAAGAGAAGGTAGTACCAGTAGACATGCTTTCCATATTGTCGGTAATTTTATCTTGCTTGCGACGACGTTCGTCTTCTTCTTCAATTGTACGGACTTTGGGGGCTTTACCAGGAAGATACAACTTGGTAAGAGTAGAATTCTTGCGTAATTTAATGAACTCCATAGACAGTGCAGTCAAGACAGTAAAGAAAATGAAGAAGGCAATCACAACAACGATATCAGGAGCCCATAACTCCTCAGGATTGTAGGAGAAGGCGGCACGAAGATAATCATCACCACGCACAAAGGGTTCACCAGGACTTCCACCCTTCATAGTACACACCTTGTAGTCCCAATTTTGATAGTCAGGACCGTAAGGAACAGCGTTACCAAGACCTTCGCAGGAGTAAACTTGACCAGACATTTCGTTGGAAATCAAGGCCTTATAAGCATAGGTGATAGGGTTAATGTAGTAAATCCAAGATAACCAAGGGTACATCTTTTGGAAAGGAATAGTATAACCTGTATATGTAGTGGTAGCAATCAACAAGACACCGGTAATTTGGGTAGCTAAGAAGAAACTGGATGTAATTGAACCAAAGAATCTGAAGAAACCAGTCATACACATTGTCAAAAAGAAGAGTGTGAGGAATGAAGTAAAGAACTTGCCGGCAGTTAAATTGAGACCCATCATAAAGTAGGAACAAATTTGGTATAACATGACTTGAGCGAAACAGTAAGGAACATCCATGATTACCTGAGCGATATAGTAAGCAGATGGACGGTAAAGAGCATATTGCTTATGTTTCTCAAGGATAGGACGGCCCATCAAGAAACGAACAAGTTCAGATTGAGCAATAAAGACGTTAAACATGGCAGAGAAGAAAAGAGCACCACCACGAGAGAAGGCACCTTGACCGTTTAAAGGAAGCAAAAGGAAACAAGAGGCAGTAATCAAACCTTGAATGAGCATAGTACCGTAACGAGAGATAAGAGCTTCTCTGTCTTTGATTAAAAGTTGATGTTCACGGATAGTAAGAGCCTTGATTTGTTGGAAGAAAGAGGCAATGTAAGGTGCGCTTTTACCAGCACGCTTTTGATGTTCTTCGCGAACAGCGTCTTCGAATTCGTCAGCCTTGTTTTCTTGTTGAATGGCATGTTCATAATCGGCGAGATCTTGGAGCATCATTTTACAAACTTCAGATTCCATGTATCTTTGTTGGAATTCAGAAGCATGCTTGGGAACACGATCTTCAAATCCGGGTTTATATTCACGCTCAATAGGGTTACAGAGACCAGTTAAGAAATCAGGGGTAGATTTACGGGCGGGGCAGTGGAAACCGAGGTTTTCAAAATAAGATTTAGCGCCACTAGCAGGACCAAAATAAATACAATGACCCTCATCTAAAAGAAGAATCTTGTCAAACAAGTTAAAAATACTATTGGAAGCTTGATAAAGTGTGGCAATAGTTGTGATCTCAAAAATATCGGTCATGATTCTTAATGAACGAACATAATCTAAAGCAGAAGCAGCATCAAGACCACGTGTAGAGCAATCCCAACAATTTACAGCACTGTTGGTTGTCATTTGTTCGGCGATAGAAAGACGTTTACGTTCGCCACCAGAGAGACCTCGGACAAAGGCGTTACCGACAAGGGTGTTCATTTGCTTAGTCAAACCCAACATGTTACCGAGCATGTACAAAATACGGTTGACAAATTCTTCTTTGGATTCATCAATGCGTTTACCGGGAGTCTTTGTTCGTAAAGCAAATTGAAGTGTTTGTTTTGTGGTGAGGGTAGGGTAATGTTGATCTTCTTCTTCGTTGTAACAAACTTGGCCTCTGTATCTTTCGGAAAAGGTTTTAGGGTCGATACCTCCGTAGCTGACATCGCCGCCAATATGGGTATAAGAATCTCGCATGTTGGAGATCACTTTGAGAAACGATGTACAACCGGCACCAGGACGACCGAGAACCAGAAGCATTTCACCGTCTTTACAGCAACCAGTAAGATTGTCGATAATGATTTTTGTACTAGTGTTTCTTTTTTGGAAAAATTTCCAGAATTTCAATAGTGATACTGCATTACTAATAACAGTTGGGATTGTATAAGCATCAGCACCTAAACCCTATAACAAAGAAGAAAGAAAATTATATTAATAACAGATAGAATATATCGTAGTTGATATTATACTGTACCTCAACACGCAAATTTTTCCAGGAAACACCAATGTGTTTACGCTTGTGTCCTCCTTCGTCTTGTTGTCTGGAGATACCATGTAAAAATTCGTCAAGGTTGAAGTCGTCAGAATCAGCTTGGCCTTCTTCAGCTTTTGAATGGGATGTACGTTGACTTCTACGACTCAATTCTCGACGGATTTCCTCGTATTCTGACTTCGCACCTAATTGGATTTGTAAATAAAAAGGAGTCTAAAAAGTTTTTTTTTGTGATCCGAATATACCTTCGACTGAAACTTGATTTGCTTCCGATTCACCATAGGTATCTTGGTAACCATAATTATTGTTGTGAGCGCTGGCGATCGTACTTTCTGAAGGTGGATAGTTGTTGATCTGATTTGGAAGTGACGTTTCTGTACTGTATGTATGTTGTACATACGTCTTTTCTTCCGTATATTCGGTATACGGTTTCTCTTCCATGTTAAAGAAAGTTAGGAAAAAAAAACTGAAAAAAAGATTGTAAAGAAGAAAGAGAAACAGATCAAAAGACGAAGCTCTTTTATAAAAAAAAATTTCACGATTTAGACAATAGGGAATCAATTAGATTTCCGCTAAAAAAACGTGTGAGCTATCAAAACACTCAATGTTAAGTATAAATAATCTAAATAGTCCGAGTTTACGTGTGTCTTTGTACAAAAGTGGAATGAATAGGTTATCGTATCGTCAAAATTTAATCCCAGAAGCTGTGTCTTACCATGAATACTTGGGGGAATCCAATAGCCGATTCGAAGAAACCAGATGTTGCTGCGGTTTTTAATGTATATGTTTGGCTTTATTTTAGTTTTTGAGAGACGCTCCAATAATTAATAATCATGACTTCTTTTTCCTAGAAGAAGCATTTTATTAATCCCGATCTGACCAGTCAAACAAGATCTTTTACTTTTCTCAGTGCCCTGTTCCCCCCCAAACAGTAGAAAATCATTTTGATATCCGCTGGTCATACCAAAATTTCGGCTCATGTTGCCGTGGAAATTTTTTGCTCCTTTTACCATGACGTTTTATGATCAGAAACTGATGTACGAGCCTTTTGAGCACTGGTTAAACCATGCCCCGATTACTGTTTGAATATAATATTAATGGAAGTATTGTTAGGGTAGAGTATTCCGTATATGGGGGCGCGGAAATTATCTTGATCATATTAGTCCCAGCGTAAGCTAATATTTATTGATACGAAGACTTAAAATCATTTACGGGAAGCTCTGCCAGAGTTCCCGATCTTTTTACGTAAGGGAATTTGTCATTTTCATCATCACTATACAGGAGTCTAGCCCTTCTACAAACGAAACCACTATGATAGCTCTTCTAAATCGAAATTATCCACTCCCCACAAAATCCATGTCCTGATCCGTGGCAATATGGGGAAACAACAAATAAAAAATATTTTAGTTATTTTAATTTGTTAATATTGAAACCGTTTTCCCATGGTACTACCGCGCAGTAAGTTGAAGACATAATCTCAAAGTAATTTACAATTTCACTTGATGAGGGTTCAACTATCCTGCTGGAAAACGTCATCGAATCTTTTACGAACTATATCAATATAAATGTCAAGTCTTGTGACATTGTTCATATCAGCTCAAACTAGGAAGTAAAGCGAGAAGCTTTCCATCTTCAACAAGCTTTATTAACGCAGAAGATATTTTAATCGTTTACTGAACCCTGTGCTAGAGACCTTGCTTAAGATGCGATGATGCTTTTTATATTTTATAATTCACTTAGTAGCTAATCCTTCCCTCCTCCACATCCCCCTTTTTAATTATTCATCACAATGTGCATCACAGGTCGATAAACTGGGCTACCTATTGAAAGTTGCTTCAAGGCATAATAAAGGCAAAAAATCAAATTTTATCTTTATCGTACGACATAAGTAAACAAGATTAATACAGGTAGACGCTGCGGACGAAAATCTAGTGATCTGGTGAATTGCAAAATTAGTAAATATTATGAGTATTTACCGGGTTATTGTAAACATGCTCTCGTTTTCACACGATACGAGGCATCTTGAAACAAATGTCACGTCTTTTTTTTTTGTTTCTGTTTTATTTTTATCAATAGACCTTTTTATAAAAAGTCTGCAATAACCATACCAAAAATACACTTATATCTTAGTTTCACAATCTAATATGAACTTAGCGTTACTACGCGTGTTCTGGTGATATCACCCAATCATGGGATATAAAGAAGATATAGGTATTTATTTATCGTTGTGCCAACTCTAAAAAAGTAAATTTTCGATTTTTTTCAAAAAATTAAAAAGCGTCAATGTAATATCTAGCTAGGGTTACATATTATCTCGGTGCACAAGAATGCGACATTTGATCATACTTTTAACAAGCAGCTGTCAAATTTTGAGCAAAACTAAAAAATATGCATTTTCAACTCAGACCGTCATAGTTTAGACACCATAGAGTGTGTTTCAGAAATATGTTACATTCGACATTTATGTGATTAAAAATTTGGGTACATGTTTTTCAACAAAGTCTGAAAAAGTAATTATTTAATACCTTAAGCCTTTCTCATTTATTGTTTGGTATATAGTAAACTTTTGAACAAAAATTGAATTGGACTTGTCTGTCTCTCCTTTTAAAATTTGCATGTTTTAACTCTTTAAATTCGGTGGCATTCTTGGGAATTAGACAGAATTTTTTATCGCAATTTTTGTTCTGTCTATTCTCTAACAGTTATTACAGAACTAATTGATGTAGAAAAAGGATATAAAATGGCTGGTTTCGATGTCTTTTGATAAGAAAGATCAGTGAAGAGTTAAAATCAAACTGGATGATGTAATTAATTTTTTGTTGTATAAAAAAGCCGGATTGCGATCACAACCTGCAATGATATTTCCGCTTTAATAACGAATACCAAACTGTTGGTGAAACTCTCTCACTTGTAAATGTAGATATTAGAGAGCACGGTATCTATAAAATAGCTTTAATACCCTCTTATGAGGACCTTGAGGCTTCATGTTGTTTTTCCATTTCTACAATCCCCTTTTTCTACCTTGTACATTATCGCGTGAAATTTTGCCCCTCTTAGTATCGTTTAATTACGAGAAAACATACATGCACATGCTTCTGGCGCAATATAATTGTGATGCCGTTTTATCAGAACTTGCATAAGTGACTATTTCATCAGAGTAGAAAGAAAATTGGTTTTGATGGCCAGCTATTAAACATTTTTAAAAGTAGGGCTTATAATATACCCAGTTTACACGAGCATTAATTAAAATAAGAGAAAGGGGAAAAAGAATAACATTTGGCCTCCTTATATGTTTTAAAAACAATAAATCATGAATTTAGACTATTTTTTACCATGTGTTGCTGTATTAGTGCATAAATGAAGAAAAACTTTTTTTTTTGAGTATTCCATCAGGCTCAAATTAGCTTTTTTTAGATTCAAGGAAGCAGATAATGTCAAGTTTGTTGTATGAAGTGACCAAACATCACTAAACAAACAGTAGTGTGGCCTGATTTTATCGGATGATGAAAGCCCAGCTGAAATACCCGAAGCTGCAAACAATGACGGGGGGAAGGTGGTAAGACTTATTCAGAGGAAAGTAACAAATTCTTAGTAGGTGCACTCTTTGTAAACAAATGATACTAAAAATAGACTAGATATTTCTGCATAAACCATGTATCTCGGTAGAGTGGGATGACGCCTGTTTGTTTAGGCTGACACCAGCAAAAACTGTACTAACTTCCCCTTCATATAATCTTTATATTACTGTTGAGTGGCAGATTGAGGGGTGGGTGGGTTGTTTATGCACACCCTTACTTTTCATGATCATTAAATGTATATGTGCAGGAAACGAAGCAACGTGTATTGATGTCATGCCACAAATATTTATCGGGAATCGAGAAATTAGAGCCAGTAAACCGAAGGAACCCCATTTATGCCTTTTTGTATATTAGGGGGTTTCAGGCGTAAAAAAATCAAAGTTTGCAATATGATTGGCTTATGTTTTTTACAACAAAATTGTTGCTTAGGAGGTTACACCATTATTTTTGCAACTATTATTTTCATGCCTGAAACCCCCTATTGTTTACTAATCCCGTATTTGTATAGTTTGGAGTGGCACAAAAAAAGGGTCAGATGGAGAGTGGGGGCTATGATAATTATTTATTTTAGGTATTTTTAAGCGAATAATGTAGTATGATGAAAAGTGTGTGTGTGTATGGTACAAGAAGGGCGAAAGAAATTAAGTTGATAAGAAGAAGGATGATCTAGAATGAATATGCTGGCATGGCCCGAATGGAATGAAGCATATGGTCACGGCATATTTGAAGTTCGCTTTCTATCTCTACATCGGCTTCATCAATTGCTGTGCTTAAATAAAACTGGACTAACGAAGAGAGTGCCATAGGATCAATCAGTTTTCCAACAAAAGGCTCTTCAAAAGCCGATATTGTGTCCTCTTCGGTTGAAATTTGATTGGTTTCTTCTTGAGGTGTCACAGACTTGCTTTCGACAGAGTCTATTTTTATAGGTTCAGGCTGTTTGACGTTAGGCAGGACCATGTCCAACATTACTGTATCTTCTTCATCTTGATACAGGTCATGATTAGACATTGTGTTGGTTGTTGTGGGAGTGATCAAGTCATCTTCATCAGAAGATATATTGGTGTTTGTAGATATGGCAGACAGACTGTAATTCGAGTTAGAAAGCGTTGTGTCAATGCTTGGAGGAAATATTGTGTCTGCTCTTTTAATAGATCTACCATCATCACTCTTTTTATTCCTCACAAGAAGAGAACCGAACCGTTTCACTTTGGAAATGGTAGTGCTTGAACGGTGCAAAGACGGGTAATCATCTTCTTGCTGTGTCTTGAAGGACAGAGTAGAGCGTTTGGATGATATAGTACTAGTTTCCTTTTTACTACTACTCCGATTGTGGAAAAATGAAGGTAAATGTATAGATGACATGTTTTTAAAAAGACTTTTAAAAAAAAAGGAAAAGGAAGGGAGAAATTACCTTTTTCTCTCCTTTATAAATAATGTGATTGATAAAAAAAAAAAAAAAATATACGCGGGGGATGATAACCTTATTGGTATTAACAAATCATAGTGGGGGGATCGATTTTCTGTCATTATTTTCGGTCTAGATTTCAAGGAGAGAGAACAAAAGCGAAACTCGGGATCCCAAAAGGAGTGAACCAAACAATTGCATGCATATAAATGAGGCGAATTAAAAGCTTAAAAAAACATTTTTTTTGTTTCTCTCTTACACTAAATAAAAGACCTGACAAATATGAGACCACCAATTGTATAAAAAAAAAAAATTCGATTATTCCTACTCAGCTTTTCTAGACAGTAATGTAGGCAAGATCTTTGACGGGGTTTATTAAATCATAGTATATAATAAACAGTATTAAGAGAAGATTACAAATGTCAGAGAAGCAGATGTAATTATTCAGTACAGTTTAATAATGGCAATTATTTTCAGGCTTTTAAAGTTATTCAATTAAAATAAGGAACAGAGCATCAGATACAATATACAATGATTAAACGAAGCTTGTTTGACAAAGCTTAACAGCCCAAAATATTTTATAACTGAAAGAACGATGATTTTATTTCTAGGAAACAGATTAAAACCTAAAACTCTTCATTTACACATGTCTAATATTCCTTTCTTCACTACTTACTTGTTTCTGATAACTATTGGTGGGTAGAGAGGTTTTCGCATCCCAATTTCCACTTTCACATTATACATAAAAGTCATCTGAGTCTGAATTTGCTCTCATTGTTGCACTAGAATTAAGTTTTCTATGTTGCTTACATGATGTCATTTTTATAATTATAGTCTTTATCTAACTTCGCGAATCTTTTTTTATTAACTTCTTTATCTTCATATATAACTTGCTGAATAAAAAAATGTCTCAACAATTCATCAATGCAAATACTTCTTCAACTGAAACCAAAACTAAGGCTTACGGACAATGGTCTTCCCAGAGACAGCTTGCAGCTATTGAAGGCATGATTGAGTTTCGCCCCTTCCAAACCAAAAGAGGTGGGGTAACTTCTGCTTGGAACAAGATATTTGGAAAAGTAAACAAGGTTGATGGACATTTGAAGCAGCTTAGTGACAACGCTATCAAGAACAAAATAAAAAACCTGATTGAAGAAGTAAAAGAGAAACTAAACAATGATCTCACCTATAGAAGCAGAAGTAATGATTTAAAAATAACTCTTGAAAACCGAGTGCTTGATTTGATCTCTTTGGTATTTAATTATGGCTCATATATTAATCTCTGTACTAACCTTTTTAAATCCCCTAAAGATGAAAAAAGGCGAGAAGTCAAAGACTAAAGACAATGAAGATGCAGCAAGAGCCTTGGCTGAGAAACGCAGACATCAATGTTATGTTGTCTTGCAATCCAAACAAGAAATCAACAAGGGTAAGAAGAGAAGCAAGATGGATGACGATCATCACAGGTCGGATGATGAAATGATGAGTACAGGTGAAGCCGAGGACTGTATGGGGAATGAGTTACCGTTAAAGAAAGTTGAAGCCAAGACGGATTTAAACATTCTGATAAAGACTGTTGAGAAAGAGATAACATTGCAGTCGGAGAAATCCAATGCTCTTGAACTGGCTGTTAGTAGTATTGAGAAGTATGCAGGTCGCTTGGAACAAAACCTCAATGAACAGAGGCTCATCAATAACAGCCAAAGAATTATGGTTGGCCAATTGAGTGAACTTCTGAAATCGCAGCAATTCAATCACGAACAGAACATGCAGATGATGATGCAGCTGTATCAGCAAATGGGCCAGCTAATGAAAGAGTTTAGACACACAATGGCACGTCAAAATAATCAGACATTGATTATGGTTCAGCCTTCTTCTGCCCCCGCTACTTCTCCTGTTGTTGCTCCCACGCCTGCTCCTGCTCGTAAGAGCACAAGAAGAAATAAGAAATAAAAAATGAAAAATTTACAATGTTACTCTAGTTGGAAATTTATTCTGGTCGAATTTCATCCATATACTCTTCAAGTGTTGGTGGACTTATACCAAAGTAGCTGCTGGATTGTCCCCCATTGACACAGATGTGTATGTTTTTCATAAGCGTTGTGATTTTATAGAAAAGAGCACAACTACTGAGTAACATTTTTTGCCCTGGCCTGTACTTAAGAGACGCAAACAAATTGGCGACGTGCCCAAATTCTCACTCTACAATTATTCTCAATTTAGACATCATATAATTCGCTTCCTTATCAAGTCTATGCATTTGTGCCCCTAATAATATATCATGCGTTTACTACATCACAGCTAAAGAGTATCGAGCTGTACAATATTGTCACATCCTTCCAAGTCTCTTCTGAATGCCAACGTCAGATTGTGCGCCTTATGAAGACTGTCATCAGAGATCATGAAAAACTCTCTGAAGGTACAGTGTCTCTTATACATCCATATACATACATACAAACAGTACTAGTTGCTTCCAGGATTGGCATGTGTTTTAGATCTGGAAAAAAACAACAACATATCCAACAGTATTTACAAGCCCAACAATCACTACCATTCGCATATTGGATATATTGTACAAGAAGCTGGATGCATGAGATCATATAATGCAAGATCCATGGAACGAACGATCGGCAGATATTCCGAGTTGATTAAAAGCAAAGTATACGCCGGGAAAAATGCTGGAAATATTTTTGAAAGACTTTCCATTCGTGGATATATCAATTTGGCATTAGACACAGTCAGTTTGTTGGATACAATCACGGCAACAAAAACATCATTGGATAATTACATAGAGCTGCCGCTTACCGCAATCCCCAACCAGAACCATCAATTGTGGAGTCCATTTACCACAGCTTTAAACGATCTCGTCGAATCAGTACCCATTGCAATATTTTTTAAAGAGTTAGCGATTTATTATGGCCGATCTACTTAAACTAAAGTATTGTCAATTACAATCAACAAGTCTTGTATTTAACTCGCTGCTCGTGCACTATTGTACAGCCATGTAATTACTTCTAAATGTACTGCAGAATCCGACCGGAACAACGCCGTGGAAATCACTTTGTGTTGTTCAATGCTAGACATAATACTTATTATTTCTTAAATATGTGTCGATTACTTACCAATTATATGTAGCAAAACTTGACGGTACGTTGAGGCAGTGCTTTCTTACGCACAACAACTCATTCGATCCCCAAAACTCGCAATTCTTGGTTTTTGTTGAAGTAATGAAAGAACATTACGCTGCCGATAGCGACAATACTATACCGATAATAAAAATGAACAACGAAGGTGCAACAACAAGACATGCTGTGATCGGCCTCAACGACGTCAAACATCAAGTAGGTTTGGTCCAGCCATCCACTGATTCACTTGAGTATAAAGTTGTTGCACCATACAAGATTTTCAACGGAAACGTAAAACAAAATGCTGGACATTTAAAACACATTTAATTATTCTTCTACAACAACCCATGCTTTTTTATTTCCCTTGTTTTCTCTTACTCACACAAACTTTTTTTTGACTTTCATAAACAAAAATTATTTCATTGATGAAGAGGGTCAAAAAAAAAAAAAAAAAAAAAAAAAAAAAGTGCAGTGCTACCTCCTAAAAATTGGTTGAAAAACGTTGGTGTGCATATCAATCACCAATTCCTGATAAGAAAAAAAAGAAAAAAAAATTCAAATGGCTGTAACTCTTCCAAAATTCAAAAAACTTTCGTTTTAAAAGTTCGTGTGCATTGTGGAAAGTATTCTGTAAGAGTTTGTAAGTAAAACTATGTCTTTTTTGCCATTCTTTTTTCGCACCCAAAATATAAAAGTGAATAGAGATCTAATACGAGATATCATTGGTTCACAAAAAAAAATTGTAGAATTTATGCAGATTTTGGTCATGACTGCCATGCCTTGGTTTATGGGGATCACTGATATATACATTGCTAGGAACTTATCCTTGCCCAAGGATTTTTAAGGATGCATCCTAAATTTCAAAGACAGTCAGCTTAAAGAAAAAATATGTTCTCCATATACTTTCGTAACCAAATCTCTATTTTACAAAAAGATTCAACAATAAAAAAAAAGAAAGCTTTATTTTAGAAAAGATAAAAGTTTAGAGACCTGTTCGCCAATTTCCAGTAAAATGAAAATTGCCCAAGTGCAACTGCGTGGAAGTCAGTCTCTGTCTGCACTCACCCGTTTTTTATGCTTTAGTTGACAATTATAAAACGAACACAATCGTTGGAAAGTGGTCAAAAAAAGTATGTCACACCTTTTCGTAGATAAGGTCGCCCAACTATGAGAGGATAAACTAGGATTCACAAGAAGGTCCGTACTAGCGGTTTCACGGTGTCCTTTCGATCTCTCACTCGCCATGTCAGCTCTGTAATGTCTAGTATTTACGCGAATGTTTGTTGAAAACACCGTCTGCATCTCTGTCGCGGTACAAGAGCATGCCAAATATTCGACTCCATAAACCTACACAAACTACCTCGTACAAGCTACATGAAAAAGAAAAAAAAATTAGCCTGTTGACATTAACACAACAACAGTTTTTAAAAGCATTACCGTGTAAAAAACCAGAAGATAGCCACGCCTGCCTAGAGCCTAGACGGTAGGTAGAGGTAGAGCAGGTACACCCACGAGCAAGACGTACATGCCAGAATCACCTAACAGCAGCTTTACTCGAAACTGTGCATAAGGAAAAGAAAAGAAAAAGGGCGTAGGTGGGAAAATAAACAACTTTATAAAAAACATTTCGACGTCATCAAATGGCGTAATAGATCCGGGGCAGTCATTGGATGATACTTCCGCCAAAAATCCCTACACCAGATGCTGCCAAAAAAGGGCTGACAATTTGAAATGCTCAAACAGTATGCTTATCATTATATTGCTCTTGAGTCAAAGTCCAGTTTGACTACGTATTTTGTGCTACTTGTTCAAAAGCCAGCCTGAAAATTTTTAAACCCAAAACATGGCAAAATGCCCAGAAATTAGTTTTAAATGTCAAAGGCAAGCAGCAATGATTATTAACAAGGTTATTTTCAAAGACCTCTTTAAAAGCTAAACTTTGAAAAGACTGTCCCGTTGTCTCAAGTCTTCTACATGATACGGTTTTGCATTATAAAGTAAATGGCGAAACCCAGGATATTGAAACAACGCTTTAAAGAGCAATTAATGTCAGGAACAAAGCTCCACATCCAAACCGCCCGGCAATTGCAGCTGGCTTTAACATAAAATAAATTTAGGGATCCTGACAGTTTTATTTGGTGCAAAAGACAAGTAAATGATACCTCTCTTTCATAATTCTTAATACAGTTTGATAAAATGATCCATTAGCAGCCGGAAATTAAGATTGTATGTGTTGCTACTCCGCAATCTGTGAGGGATGTACTGTTGAGGATATCATAGATATAATAATAAAGTTAATTGTCACATCGCATTAAGGATGGATAATAAATACAAAAGTTAATCATGAATCAAACATTACCCCGCTTGTTCTCATCCTACCGTTGAAGTCTGTACACAGGGCACAACCCTATGCCGAGTAAATATTTATTCTGCAAAAGCAATACAATCGAATAGGCCTGGACTATAGAATATTAAAATAGATTCTGAGCACAAATATTACTCTTGTCATTTGATGTTATAACTGTTGATCCCTCTAAATAATACTTATATACTCAGTATGGAAGGGCTAAATTTAAAGACATGTTGATTATTTACTATCACCAGATTATTACATCATGATCCAATAAGGCGCTTAATATTCTCCCTAGAACTATCCCAGTTCTTCATAGACCATCAATAGATTTTTCTTATACGTTTTTTAATAATATTTTTTCGTCCATAATAAAGTGGTATCCAAGTTCTAACAGTATCACTTTTGGTTTATTTGTAATTTTGTTCTCCATGCAAAACAAAAATTCGCTTAACAAAAAAGATAGATGGCGATTGATAGGATGAACTGTTTCAAGTGTGTAAGTATTTTCTGTGGGAATGTTTAAATCATGTTTTTAAATTGAGAACCAGACTTTAAAGTATACATCCACTGACGTGCTATATCATCCTTTTTTTTTTTTTTCTTTACCCAAGTATGCTGGTTTACACTGACTGGCGGAATTTCAAAAGAAAAAAAATATATGCATAAAAAAAAAAAGATATTAAAAAAGAAGCCAAAAGTCTAGGCACCGTTACTGTAAGGCGAAAGAATGGACAAGAGTATATGTAGCACGTAAGCTAAAACTTCTCATCTTGTGTGCTTGTTCTTTATGTGACTACCACTCAGTGTACACCATCACCTATAATTCATTACGTGAAAGTCAACATTATTGACAGAAGAGCCTGATCAGCTTGAAGTAAGGCCGTGATTGAGTCACTAATTGCATATCCACACAAATTCGTAGGGATGATATTTTTTTTTAAAAAATTTATATCATTGTTTCTATTTGTCAGGTAAGACTCGTATCTTGAACAAGTTTTTTTTTTTCGCCAATCACTGCATTTGTAACACTGAAAAGATGCATAATTAACAAAAAAATAAATAAACAGAGAATCAAACTAAGATCCGAAAAAAAAAACTACCCAACTCGAGAAGGTGTGTTTAAAAACCATGCTTAATTAGCCAAGTGTAGTGAGCAAGAAAGAAAGAAAAAGAAAAAGGCATACGGAGAACAAGTAGGAATGAACTCATTGTTACAAAAAATAAGAATCATGATTACTACATTCCAGTTCTTAGTTGTCAAGGTTTTATTACACTCACCAACATAAAACCCTCTCAAGATCAATTTTGTAGGCTACGTATATGTAATTGAGACTTTTTAGTGATAGCTTGTGTAATTGATGTCACTTTCAGCTGGTGAAACTTTCCCCATTATTCTAGTTTGGCGAAAATAAAAATTTTACAGAGATAACTAACACGATCAGCATAGTTTCTGTAACTCCCAGAATTCCAAACTTGCAGCATTTTTAGTGTAAGTTATGTTGTATACAGTGGCATGTGAAGTGTTCATTGTAAGGTTTCTACTCTTTTTTTTTTTTTTTTGCTTAAAAATCAAAGTAGTACAAATGTCTGAATTTGATCATGTAATCAAAGCTCTCACGGTTATTTTATCTTGTTGCGTGGGAGCCTGTCAGCACTACTGATTTTTTCTCACTCTTTCTCCTCTTTTTTTTTTTATTAACATGATGTTCAGTAATAGCATTGCCGCGATGAAAGCTCACTAAGGAGTACTCTTTTGCACAAATGCCGTGTGTTTACTGGGTTGTAATGTCGATCGGTGGTGATCCCTTACTGCTATTAAATGGTCCTATGGAAAGGGAGTAGGTAATGTATGGCGTGCACGTATACCTGTCGTCAACCCTCCTGGGCTTGTATCGACTGCATTGGGTGCTTTCCAAGACATGTTGTAGTCCTGTAAGTAATCTCATTTAAAAAGAAAAAAAAAACATTGAAACTCATATTTAATTTTTTATAGGTCCTCTGTCGCTCTTGTCTCTCTCTGTACCCCCACTTCCCGGTAAGTTTATAAACCCGAAACGGTGGGTCAAACAACGTCTTCCCTCTGAAAAAAAAAAGGACTGGGATGACGCGTAAGCAGGCGGCTGACCCCCATACATGAACACGTTCTGTACAAAAAGAGGCGAACTGGTGGTTGCTTACTACATCTGTTTATGGCGAGGCCGACTGGGAGCGGCGACGAACGGGTTTTGTTCTGTGGTATCGTCTATTGGTGTTATATTCCCCTTTTTTTATCTTGTAGCTAATTCTCTTCTTTATCACCCAATCCATCTAATATTCTATAATGGTTGGAAAGAAGAGGGTTATCTACAGGATGAAAAAAGGGTATCTTAATGACAATAGAGGTTGCCACAGAATAAAATCCTTACTTTGGCTGGTTGCTCCTTTAGGCCTCGCCATAAACAGCTGTTGTAAGCCACCACCAGTTAGCCTCCTTTTGTACAGTCGTGTTCAGACATATACCCCGAAGCTGCTTGCACAAGTGTCATCTCGGTCCAAAATATAAAAAAAAGACAGGTCGACAAGACTCGCCAGGGTTATTCATTCTATCTTGCTGGGTCGTGAGGGTGAGCAAGGGTGATATGACGGGATCATCAACATGTTGAGGATTGCACTCTTTGTTAGGAGGTACAGGTCGAGGTGGGTTCCTGGCGGGCATCGTGGATGCTATGCCTTATCTACCAATCTCTTTTCATAGTAGTTGCCTACCGTAGTGGTTTGTGGTAGATACACTTTGTGATTACTCTTGGCTAGATACGCTTCCCATTCAGGAAGGAAGGGGCTTTGACAGTAGCGACTACTTGCCTGCGGTGTTCAATGCTGGATGTTGTGATCCTTTGGGCTATCCTCCTCTCTTTTATATATTGGAAAGTATTTATATTGGCACAAGTTAATCTGATTCCATTTCGTTACTCACTCAATTCATTTAGGTCTTTCTACTACTGCTACTACTACCAAAGAAGATAAGTAATAACATACATCTCAACATCTTGATTTTTATCCGGTGTTCTAACTTATTCAATTCTCTACAATTTTAGGAAGCTCCAGTCATACTGACATGGCTGCAGCTTATACTGTTATCATAACTGTTTAACTTGATATGATACAGAACACTTTTATACTCCCATTTGGCTGTCTGAAGGAAATTAAGCAATGCACCATTAATAAACATTGATATGTTCTTCTAAGTTTTACTTATAATTTATAAATTTCTTGGCTTGCCACCTTGCAGCATGGCTCTCGTTTAAACTATACAACCTCAACATCAATGAAAAAATAGTCCCCTTTCATATCTTTTTTTTTGTGGATGTATTGTGCCGTATGATTGAAAGATGTTTGCTCAGATTTTGCATAGTAACGCCTTCCTGGTACTCTCTTTAATCTTGATTCGCTTTACCAGCCAGGTCACATCTAAAAAAAAGAATGGTTTCTGAGACAGTGTTTTATTAAATTTGTTAACTTTGCACTTGCATTCTGGGATTTATTAATGAGTATGATGATAGACTTAATGGTATCATAGTCTAAATTTATACGAATTAAGCATCCTTGTGCTATAAAAAATTAAGTCGCTTACCAGTGACAATTCAATAAATTTATGCTATAAGAAAGAAAAGTTACCGGTAACCATAAAAAAAAAGTTACTCGCCCTTTGGCATCGGAACAACTGTATATAAAAAAATGTTTACAATAGAAAAAAAAAGTTACCTGTAACTTTTTTCTGATGGTTACCGGTAACTTTTTCTCTCTCTTATATACACCACAAAAATGAAAGTGGTCAAAGTACAAATGTGTTTGTAGTTAGTTTTCAAAGTGCTCAAGACTTTCTTTAACCAAATCGCTTTATTCTCAACCGTTTCTTGTGAGGGTAGTTGATAGCGTTACATAGTTGCTTGATGTAATTGAAGGAATTCATGTGTAGTCCATGTCAGAAAATAAGCCAAATGCATGGGGTACAAGTGAGACTTTTTTGTCTTTTCATAAAAAGCTTTTTATTCATATATACATAATAATATAATTAATTGCCCTTTTTTTGTTTTTGGGGCGTGAGATAAACATTGGGAGAACCATTGTCACTATTCTCGTCGTCTGTGCTATTGCCGTTAAGTTGAGAAAAAACATCATTTCCTTCTTTAGTGATTACAGCTGGAATAACTATATCCTCGAGATGAATTTGGTGGTGGCTCCAGGAATACAATAGGTGCCAAACATTAAAAAAATCATTTCCCGGGAATTTCTTCCCAGGCAAATTCCCTAAACTTTGCAGGAACGATTTTTTGTGCCCGAGATTTTTTGTGCAAGAAAATCCATGCCCGAGATATCTCAGGCAAGAAAAGTGTACTTTTCGCCAGTCACCCACACATAAAAAAAATCCAGTAAACACCCCCTAATGTATCAAGTGTATCAATGAAATCAGGCAACTGAAACAAATATTCGGGCATCGAGAGAGGCTTTAAGTAAACTGCAACATAAATATCGGAAATCTTTTTGATAGCGAAGACGTAACCTTTAGGACCTATATAATATGACATAATATGTCATTTATTTAGTTATTCTATCATCATTAAAGCAGTTCACAATAAGCTACTTACCGACCCAATCCATGCTCATTACGTGCAATTGTTTTACATCTCTTTGTAAAAATGGCAAACCATAAAGCTTGGTTAATATTGCCTTATTCATTCGTATGTTTTTGGTTTTTTGGGTAAAACCAGTTTTCCTTGGTGATTCATAATAATTTAGCGGATCGTATGGCCTTGTGCTAACGACGGTCCACTCGATTTTCTGCCCTATCATGGTTGAGATTGTAAGGTGGTTGACCAATTGTTCAGGAGTAGCTTTTTTGCGTTTCCATTCGTTTGTCGACAACTCAATGTTCCTAGATGATACGATAAGATCAATACGGCGACCAAACCCACGGTTGAGCGGGATGGTATCTCCATAGATACTCTCGTGGTTCTTGGCTATTGATTTGCTGGCCTTGCATGTCGTCTCCCCACTATAAATGATTCATCAAAAAGCAGGCACAAATGATATGTAGTTTTTGTTACTTACTCTACCAGATCAATTCCAGAGTTTTTCAAAGTCAAGTCCAGGATCATCGCTACTTTTCTGTATGAAGTCATCTCTGACTCTGGTGTCCTTGCATCAACAGCTGCGTACCTGATCACTGTTTCTAAGATATCAAGTACGGCAGTTTGTTGTTGTTCATCTTCTTGTTCGATTGCTTCAAGCTTTTCAGTTGTTATGTTTAATCAAAGTTGCTTCAGAACAATCTGGCCTTTTTCGTTTTTGCTTTCCTGATAAATAATGTGTGAGTGAACATGTCGATGGTAGAAGCATCACAACATACCTTGATGATATTTTCAATTAAGGATTTAGACTTAAATGGTAAACCTGTAGGCTGTTCAACGCTACATTTATTGATTTCATCCCAAAATGCTTCATTTAAGATGTAATCCTTGAAAATATTTGAGATATTGGTATTGATTAGGTTTACAGTTCGGGAAAGAGATAGCCTAAAAAATAAAAAGGCAATTTAGTAAAATCACATGTCTATACAGTAGCGCCTGTTAAACGTTTTTCTAATTTACTTTAAAGCATTGACTTTGGTACTGTCATCAAGGTCAATATCTTTTATAAGTCTTGCGGAAAACATGTCAAGCTCTTCAGCTAAACTATTCGGTGTGAAGGCATTAATCAAGTAATTTAAATGATCCTTTTCAGAATCTGTGATGGAATTACTGAGCTGGAATGAAAAAGAAAAATAAAACATCTATCAGTTACATGGCTATCAGACTCCTTTAACAAGGAAACTACCTTTTTAACGCCAAGTAAATATACTTCTTGGCGAAAGCGCCGAGCAGAAACATTGAGCCGACTTGCGATTAAGTTATAGCTAAAGTCTACTAATTCATATAAGGAGAGACAATGAATAAAATTTTGTTAGCAAAAAGGACGCCATCTTTGATCAAAACTAAAAAAAAAATTACACATACTCTTGTTTGAAAGGCTGGGTGTGGGGTCCGGGATCTATGTCAAACAGAATTTAGTCAATTTATACGTGTTAGTGATTCTATCCAGCATATTTACGAATAATTCATCAACCTCATCACTATCAGTGACAGTAGGGGATCCCAGCCAAAAATTTAGAAACGGACAACAATTATCGGCCAAGATGATCCATGGACGATAATTATCGGCCAAGATGATCCACGGACGACAATTATCGACCAAGAAAATCCATGGACAACAATCATCGGCCAAGATGATCCACGGACGACAGTTATCGGCCAAGGAAATCCATGGACGATAATTATCGGCCAAGATGATCCACGGACGATAATTATCGGGCGGCAAAAAAAGTCGACCCACTCGATTTTCTTCCCCAATGCTTACAACTGGTAACGGGGATGTCTTGCTTATATTACAAAGACTAGCCGTAGCCGTGATAACAAAAAATGGGAGTTTATCTATTTTTTTTTTTTTAAAAAAAAGGTAATATTTTAGCGTTTTTATGAAAATAAAAGTTTTAATTAACTAACCTGTTCACAATATTTAATACTTCTTTTTTAAAAGATGGTGTTATACAGATAGGAATAAAAAAGGAAAAAAAAAAAACAAAGATGAAGAGAAGGGAAGGAAAAAAGGGTTGAATAGTTTTTATATGTAGACTGATAAAAAAGCCTTCGTATACATCAGGATGATGCAATTGCTTATTTAATCAAAATATCATGTGAACGAGTTTTATTTATAAACTGAAACAAGAGCTGGTTTATGTCAGGATTATTTAACTGTTTATATAATCATCCATGTGTTTGAGTCTTCACATACTAGAAAACAGGCGTAATCATTGCTGTAAAATAGGGTTTTGGGAAATGGATTAAAATGATAAAAAGAAAAAACAGCGAGTCAAAACTAAGATCTATTTTACCCCAAGAAAAAACTAAGAAGCATCCGTCATGCCTGCTACGATTATTTATCTTACGAATCTTATGATTATTATGTAATGTGATTATTTATGGGAAAGTTTATTCTGTTAATTGGAGGTGGATTCTAGAATCTCTTCCTGGTTCTATAGCTGCAATCACTACAATTATAGATGTAGAAAAACAGGCACATAAGAAAGTACGTAGAAAAAAAAAGATGTAGGTGTAAACATTCTTGTATTTGCCTTCTATTCTCGGTATATTTCTTTTCCCAAAATTAAACATGGTTTGAAAGAACTTCAAATGCTTAATTAGTTATGCTTTTCAAAAGATTTTAACAAGAGTATACACAGAGTTCAGTGACCTGAAGTATCTTTTATAAGTTGTATTTTTATTTTTTTGTATGATTTTAAAGCTTTTTGTAGCAAGCAAAGACAATGTTTTTATAAATTTTAAGGATGTCTCTGCCTTTTTGCTTATCTGCAGTGAAGAAACAGATTTGTTATCATCAATATTTGTGGAAGTAATAAGCTTAGGGAAATTGCAGACTCGACTACTCTTGAGGTACGAGGTAATGAAATACCTCGAGATGGACCGGCAGGAGCATCCAAAAAGGCATAAACCTCTTCCAACTATTGGGATAAATGTTGTAAGTAAATTGGCATTGGCTTTGATGATTTAATTTATTAACTTGCCTTGGTAGGTCTCCAATAGGGACTGAGCTTCACCAACGACGTGGCCAATCCGTGCGCATTAACGGCGTCGTTTTCCTCCTCTGACATATATTCCGGATGCACCACAGCGTGACAATCGCCAGACGAGATATGGAGGCGGTCCTCAATCATATGTTGAAAACGTTCAAAGTTTCTTAAACGTCTTCTCATTTTCTAAATCGAAGGTACAGTTTAATATTTTGTGTGTTTTTGATTCTTATACTATACTTACAGTGGCCATTCTTGACCCCATGTTAGAAACAACAGCAGCTCGTTGTACTTCTGCTGCTGTTTGAGTCTGATTGCGACGGACTCGTCTTCTCACATTCTCCTGGTGCGTTCTGATACGCGTGATCGGAACGGAGGCTTGATTCTCTCCAAGCTGGTGAGTATCCGGAAGGCCATACATGCGGATATCTTCCAGACGAAATTGGTTCACCTTCAGCACCAAACCAGTCATCATCAACAAAACCTTTGAGAGTGCGCTAAATGTATAAAGAGTTCATTGAGCACACACAACTGCTATCATCATTTCTCTTAACATTTTCCTCGCTTAATGGTGCAGAGTAATAATCAGATGAATATCCAAGTATTTCATCAGCAGCGTCACGAACTACGAAACCTCGAAAAATGTTGCTGCGGGAACGGTATTTGCTTTTTCTGATATTAATTTCTCTAAAGAAAGATCTAGTTGCTTTATTATAAAACAGGCAACTGCTTTTGGGACATTCAGTAACTTCCAAGCATGATTGAACAATACGGCGAACGTGTTGGTGGTTGTTGTCTGTCATCAACTTAAGAAATCTTCCTATGTTGGCTTTACACGGATTTTCGGTTGCTAACGACCAACCAGTGTTCAAGTCGAGGTCTTCAAATAATTCTGCAGATTCAATGAAGTGAGTGTTTAAAATATTCCTTTATAATTTTTGAGGAAATTGTTTGTTGATCGTAATAGTTTCTGACAAAATTATCATAAACTAAAGAATGGTAAAATTAAAACATCAGTGGCTTATTACACAATACGGAATATATTTTAACCGAGAATGCCAAACAAATTATACGTAATCGCTGATTTATCACGACTTGAGTACATTTTTTTTTATAAAGCAACTCTCAAACCTCTCAAATGGTCCATCCGTTGAAAGGTTTATAATTTGACAGTATTAATGATTGATTCATCTCTCTTTGCGAACACGGTTGATTCTTCAATTTACTAAAGATTGTTTTTCTATGCGGGGATTAAAAGAAAGTTCTTGTGGGTCTCGTCCGGATTACATTTGACTACTGATGGTTGAATAGTATACGTTCTTTATTATAAAGACATAGTATATCCCAATCAGTATATGAATCAACCTGAATTTAGTAAGGAAGGGTCATCCACTAGGACAAGTAGTATTTTAATGGATAAGAAGATCAACTGGTGCACCTTTGTTTGCTACTTTATTCAGTGTTACAATTAGCATGCTGCCAGTTGGTACCCGCGTTAATTTGGACTTTTTTTTACGGATTAATTGACTATCACGGTCACTACTTGAACTATAGATGTGTGAATAAAAATAGAACATCAGTACAACATCTCGCTTCTGGATATTGACCATATTTGATGTTCAATTCACTTTGTAACTTGTGCAAGTCGGGATGGAGGGGAATTTGCCATGTGTGCCTATTGTTGTTTTTGAGGATAACTGATAAACGATTACACATCTATAAAAAACATCTTGCTAGTTTAGAATAGAAATAAAAGACAAGACAAGTACAATACTTTTAGGCCATTCATGGTTTTTTTTAAGAAGAATAAACCGTGATAGTCTCAAAAATTCCTGTTTTAAAGTGTATACAAATATCTTAAGCATTAATTATCATATTTTTAGTATGTGCATTCATCTGATAGACAGGCTGAATGATTGACTCAATTTTAAAGGTGTTGTAAAATTGGAAATATGAGAAATATTTGTTAGGGTTTTTAAAGCTTTGACACACCACAATGAGTGCCTAAGGGCGTGAGAATAATCAATGAGACAAGAGATCGACCTGTACTGATTTTATTATTATTAGTTATGTCTAAGATCTATTTCTATGGTAAAACAACATATTTTTGCAAGTGCTCAGGAATTGCAGAAGACAAGTTTTTGGATTCTAACCATTTACGACCTACAAGTGATAATATTAGTTTTTTTTTTTTTTGGAAATGAAAATATCATAAGTGACAAACAAGACTTACTGAAGAGACGGGATTGATATCTGTAGGCTCCGTCGCACAAAATTGTAACAATCTTTTTACCTATTAAAGACGTGTGAGAAACTCGAATTACGAAGAAAAAAAAAAGGCTGTACAAATTTACCTTTTCCAAGTTGCTTAGCCATTTCAACAGCGGCTACAACATTAAGAGCAGAAGAAGCACCGAGATAAATACCCTCTTCATCCAATAAACGGTAAAGCATCTTGATAGTGTCCTCATCTTGAATGGTTAGTGATCCATCAATAATATCAACATCAGGAGCCAAATTATCAGTGATACGACCTTGACCGATACCCTCGGTAATGGAAGATCCACTACGCTCAAATAATTTGTGGCCACTTGTGAAATAACTGTGAAGAACAGATCCAGGAGGATCAGCCAAAAAGATCTTGACATTATCTCCCTTCATATCCTTAAGGTAACGAGCGGTACCAGCAAGGGTTCCACCGGTTCCAGTGGCACAGACAAATCCATCTACCTCACCATTAGTTTGAGCATAAATCTCGGGTCCAGTGGTCTCAATATGAGCACGACGATTGGCGGTATTATCGAATTGATTAGTCCAAACAGCATTATCGAGGGAATCAGCATGACGCTTAGCTTGATGATTATAGTTTTCTGGGTTATCAAAAGCAACAGCGGGAACAGGGTGAACTTCAGCACCGAGCATACGTAATAAATCAATCTTTTCTTGAGACTAAAAAGTAGTATGTATGAAAACTCTATTAACAACTCTCCAATTTGAATTCTCGTAAAAAAATAAAATCGTTGTGTACCTGAGTGTTAGGCATGTAAATGACACACTTGTAACCCTTGGCACGACAGACATGAGCCAAACCAATACCAGTGTTACCTGCAGTACCCTCAACAACAGTTCCTCCGGGCTTAATTAATCCTTTTTCTTCGGCATCCTTTACAACAAATAAAGCAGCACGATCCTTTACTGAACCACCGGGATTCATAAATTCAGCTTTAGCTAAGATTTCAGAGCCAGTTTCGTCACTGAGTCTGTTTAAACGAATCTACTTGAAACAATTAGCAGTCGTCCATACCAAAGAAATTATACAGACTGTAACTTACAAGAGGAGTGTTACCAATGGCACCAATGAAGCCATTTGTAATCTATAGAGTTGACAGTTTAGTCGGTCATGCTTTTTTTTTTCTCGGTTCATTTGAAACTTACTCCAGGACGACCGGTAGTATGAATGGTTGAATATGCACGACGGGCAAGAATACGTAAAGGGTTCATTTCCAACTGCAACAAAGAAAAGTTTAGGAAGTAAAGAAAAAAAAAAGAGTAAATGGGTTGTGAGAAAACCGGGGTAAACTTATAAGAGAATTCATCAAATCAACGGAGCTTTTTAAATGACGCGATAGATTTTTGGCATTGATCAAACCCACACATCTAAATTAAAATGTATGTCCGCCAGCTTTTTATGCACTATTGGCCTTGTACTTTAATCCCATTGTTGGGGAAATTTTCTTTATCAAACGGTTAAATTAACTTGATTATAAAGCTATGTTCTTGTGGCTTGAAATATATATGCTATGCTTAGACGAAATACGGATCACCAGGGATCAATACGTACAATTTTTCGAATGGTCGCATTGGCAGGCTAATTATATTTCCGGGCACATATGAAGAGTTTAAGTTTTGAACATGAAGGTTTTAAGACTTCTAATATATCTCTAAATCGCTGAGTGCTCCTTAATTTATAATCTGGTTGCGTCTAAGCGATAAATGGAGTTCAATTGGTGCATATAGCCGCTGAGAAATGTTTCCTTAAAAGCCCACCGGCGTTTTTTTTTTTTTTTTTTTAACTGTAACTGTTTTTTTTGAAAGGCTGAAAGCCCTTTTACTGATTTCTGCTCAGTTCAAAATAGCAGCTCACTTTTATATAACCAGGGCTAATACACGCACGTAATTAATACAAGTTTGGGACTATTCCATTGACCGGCTCCGAAGCTTTTTTTTATCTACCTATTTAGCCCAAAATTGAACGGAAAATGATAAATTATGGATATGACAGAAAACGCTCCAATACAATACCAAACCGTGTTTGTTTATAATAAACAAATGGATATTAACTTTTCGTCTTTATATTCCAGAATTGATTACAGTCACTGTCTAGCGTTTTCTTAAACTAGTTGCTTTGACTATCTTTACATCAGGGTATTCATCGTATTAACGTCTCTAAAAGCATGTTATTGATTTCAGAAACTATAAAGATATTGGGAATATTTAAGTAACTTACAATTTCTGCTGAATGCCTTATTATTGTCTGCTATCAACATTATTTATTTCATGCATAACGTTTAAAATATTCAATATTATATAGGAAGCAAGCAGCGTTTTCTAATGAATAGAGTGTTGATATATGTCTGAGTGTAGACAAAGCGAAAAGAGAAAAATGGGTTGGGCCTTTGGAGCAAGGTGGAGAGACCAGACGGCCATGGTCAGCGTCTTCAACGCAAAGAAGGCTCGAAAAAAAAGCAGCCAGAATAATCATGACTATCTCGTTCTTGTATCCGTGTATAAAAAAAGCATTATTCAGTCTTTTTATGTTGATGGTGATCCCTTTTGATCGGCAGCTAAAAAAAAAAAAATCTGCATGAATAATTACAAATGATGATAACGAAGTATCTCTCAATTTTGATTGTGTGTAACCTACATCGACACGCTCTCATAACTATTACGGCAAAATTATTGTGTTACCCATATGAATCAAATCAGACTTTTACAAAGAATTGAATGATAATGCTTTAAACGCTTAAAATATTGTCGTAAAGTGTGTGCTTACATACACATATGCTAGTCAACATTTGTTTAATTGACGCTGTTTTGATTTCGAGGATCATATAAATAGCAGGCATATAGATTCTTTACTTTTCACACAGCTTTTTTTTTTCTTTACTAATCTCAATACATGAATCTGGCTATACTTTGAAAGTTGAAGCTGCCGTTGGTGAAGGATACTCCTGGGTAACCTTTTGTACATTGTTTGGAGACTATTGTCAGCTTCCGCTATAATCTAGCTTCTTGTGCTGTGTTAAGACGCGCTTCATAGTCCACTTTTTTTCTTTAAAAACTTGGTCTCTTATCGTTATTAAATGCACATATTTGGATTGTTTGAAATGCAGTACTGTAATCATACTGGGATGTCAGTCTGGTTTGAGTCAATCATATTTCTTTTACAAACAGGAACTAGTAGCTGACCTGGATATACGAGCCACGCATCAATCTACCTGAAATTCTATATGATTCTCATATACATCTAGTTACATTCGCAGTGAAGCTACATGTAAATATTTTCAATCACTGTAAAAGTATTATAGACTTGAATGGATTTACAAAGTTCTGTGTCATTTTTAAACAGTTTTATTTTCTTGTTATTATCATCAGAAAAGATCACGGCGAGACAATCTTAAATACCCACATTAATTTTTCCAAATCCAACACATTGTCAGGGACATCCACAATGAGTCGACCATTGCTAAATACTTTCCAATTTAGAAGTTGTTCTCCGTACCTTTCTTTTGTAATTAAAGAAATTTTGGCATCCTCATGTAAAGGTAGAGACGACTTGATGACCAATCGTTGTGCCGAAGGCCGGTTAAAGCTAAATATATAAAACGTCTTGTGGTCCTTGGAGTGCATGAAATACAGTGGTTGTCCTGGTTCATTAAAATCAGTGGGAGTTACCCAATAAGGCACCGAATTAAAAATGGCGTCACTGGTCTTATCAATCCACCGTCCCATCTCGAGCAAGGTGTTGACCATAGCAGGAGGAATCAATCCAGACGCCTCGGGTCCGATATTAAGCAAAAAGTTACCACCCTTGGAAATTGTAGAGACAAGTTCTTGAAGTAATGACACTGTGGTGGCATATTGATGTGGTTTTGTCTCCCGATTAAATCTACAGTCAAATAAGTCATCTTTAATGTTTCTCCTCGTCCCCTATTTTTATTCTTACCCAAACGAGTGTGGATCGACGCCACGTGTGGATTCCCAAAATCGCTCAGGTACATAATCAATAGCTCGGTATTCAATCGTGGCGAAATCAGACACGGAGTTTCCACAACGATCATTCATCACCACTTCTCTACCCTGTTTTCTGCCCTTGTTTAAAAAATCAGCCTGCCATGCTGTTGAATTGTTGATACCACCAATATCACACCACATAATGTCTGGGTCATAATTGTCAATGATTTCGTGAATTTGTGGTACTTGAACTTGGTTTACAAAATCTGAAACAGCCGGTGCGCCTGCATAAGGAGCGATCTTTTCGTTGTAAGGGTTGATGGGAGGTCCATTCCAGTTGATAGAACTATCATGATAACTAGGATGATACCATTCTGGCAAGGAAACTAATTGTAGATGAAGTCAATCATATAAATATATATTATAACAAATGTGTGTGTATATATCTTAACTTACAGTAAATGCCTCTTTTTAAATGTGGGAAGGAGGATTTGGCAGTATCCAAAAGTTCTTTTACAAAATCTTTATGTGGATTCATCTGAACACTGGACCTATTATTCACCTTTGTGTCAAATAGAGCAATGCCATCATGATGTTTGGATGTAAATACAAAATATTTGGCCCCACTTGCATCAATTAAATCTAACCAAGCGTGCGGGTCAAAGTGATCTGGTTTCCACATTTCAATGAACTGATCGTATTCGAATTCAGCTCCATAAACGGAACGGTGGTAATTGTAGGTAGGACTAAACCTGCGATTATAGTTCCACCAATACCATTCTGCATAATCTTGGCCTACGGGAGCCCAAGCGGGGACAGAATAGACACCCCAATGAATGAAGATTCCAAATCTAGCTGATTGAAACCATGCCGGCACAGTGTGCTTACCCAAAGACCTAATTAATATTTGTTTTAACATTCAAAAAGAAACCGAGAAGAGCGAAAAACAATCAGACTTACTCGGGCGTAGGTGCATAGTCTTCCAAACCAATCTCAACATGGTCGATCGTAGCAGGCACTGCCATGGGTTTTCCATTTGTATTAATGACCTCTACCAAAATCTGTGTAGGCTCCATTTTCTTGCGCAAGGTCAAGATGGCTACATCGACCGTCATGATATGTCCCGGGGCTAAACGTCGCACAACACCATGATATTTAGTTTTTAGTAGCGAACCTTCAATAAAGATGCTCAAGTCTCTAACCCAGTATGGACTTGTGTTCTGAACTTTGACCGCAACAATTTGGTACGGCTTATTTTCCCACCATCGTCTTGTTCCCTTTGCAGAAATAATGTTTACACCACTGGGAGTCACATGCGTAGCTGTAATGGCAAAGAGATGGAGTGCAGGTCGAAATGAACCGATGGGGTTGGTGTATGGTAAAATCAGATGCGAAGCTACTTTGGTTGGGTCTATCACGAGCGGGATTGACATGAGTGTACCTTCGAACCCGTTACTGATACGACACGGTAAAGTATCCAAGCGAGTAATTTGTGAGGCGTGTCTTACTTGCCAATCAGGTAAACTCAATGATGTACTTGTCTGTGAACCGTCGTTATAGATAATCACCATGTTTGTTGTGATTGGACCGTGATTGACGGAGACGAGTAAGGAAAGAGCACCGAGGTGACGATTTGGTAAGGGGATAACTTGTCCAAGACAAACTGTGTTATCCTGTGTTTCATGCTGTGGTAACTCATATTTTACCGTGCCCACTGTCACCGAGCTCTTTAAGGGACATGTAAAATACACGCCCGTACCGTCTAAATTTGATCCTGTTCCCGATGCACCTCTATTGTTTAAATGCTTGTTCAAACTTATAAAAGTGTGGTCCGTTGTACGGAAAGGACATTGTGTTAATGCTGATACTGTAAACTGCACTATAAGGCACCATACGAAATAACGCAGCATTGTTTTTTTTCTCCCAAGAAACAAAAAGAAAAAGTGTTAAGGAGGGAAAAAAGGGGGTAAGTTTTATTGTTTGATATAATAAATTGGTATAAATAAATGCAAAAAAATCACGCGGCATCACGTGAGGAGCTAAACAGTTTCTTGGTCAACTTGACTAAATGGTGTGCTTACAGGCAATTTGATATGAGAGGATGAACGGCTTGGTTTTAATGTGGATGAGGAAGAAGAAAAGGAAGACGTGTATGTACCATGTCTTGCAGCTGTAGCTTTTTGGAAGTTATTGTGACGCATACAATCCTGGCGCACCATTTGGAAGGCAGTCAAGTAAGTAACTACCATATGATCTTCAAGACATGTCTTTGATATCAAAACTTCTTCCGAAAGCATGGGAGAAGAACGGTGTAAAGTAAATGTGACTTCTTCTGCCGTTGGTAAAGCAGGTTCAGATGGACTGGGCACAAATGGTGGCTTTTGTGATTTTGTGCGTGATGAGGTAGAAGCGCTTCTTCGTAACTTGGGCTCGGGTTCTTGACTATTGATTGGATTTGTACCGGGCAATTTAATATCTTGTGTGGGTAGTTTTGAGGCTGTTTTAGATCCACCTCGTCTGAATTGGTAGACTGTACCAGGTACATACAATAAAGGATATCTGGGTTCTTTACCATGATAAATTTCCTTACGACGCGTTTGAATAATTTCGAAGCACTCTTCACGTAACTTGGAGTTGGCCATCACTTTTGTGGTGCCACCAAATCCATCTACAGCAATCAATGAGTCCATAATGAGTTCTTTGGCACATGAGGCAGTACCGTAAGAAAGTCTTCCGACCAGATCATCCTGACACACAAAACTATCAATGTGATCCTTGTATTTCTCAGATAAATCTTGTGAAACACTTGCAACCGGAGCGTAACTATAGCAATGAACCTTGAAATCGGGATTGTTGGATAATTCTCTTAATTGCTCGATATGATCCACTACCATCATAGTCAATACAGCAGCAGTGCCTGCACCCAAAGAATGACCAGTTATGATGAAAGAAGAGATGGGTCGATTATTTAACTCTCTTTGTTCGCTGACATAAAGAAAAATCTGGGGAATAATACGGGTGAAGAACCATTGTGCTGAAGCGAGAATACCTGAGTGGACAAGTCCACCTTTCCAAGGTCTATATTCGCAAACAAGATCGGTGATACAATCATACAAACTCTATTTTTACCATTGAGGGGTCAGTCACTTATAAAATAAAAAATAAAACTCGATGCTTCTTACCCAAGTTCCTCGAATTCCCATAACAATAGCTTCACGACCACGATCATACGAGACAAAGTAGCTCGGTTGAAATACCGCACCTTTACGTAATCCATATTCATAACCTAAAAGATCTTCTTGTGGGATCTTTAAGTATCGGACAATCGCTTCCTTATTAGATTTTGTCTTTACAACGTCCTTTAGGTATTTGGCATAATCTCCTAAATAAGAAATACCGCGCCATCCCTGTGATTAAAAAAAAAGGGGAGGATGAGTTGATTTGATAGGGAATCTTTGGTGTATAGAACTTACATAAGCAATGATGGCATGTCCCAAGAAGTAATACGAATCATCCACAAATTTCAAATCAGTGATTTTTTCAGCCAGTGGTGATCTAAGAATAAAGATGTTAAAAGATGGGAATGATGGAATGATGGAATGATGGGAACTGATATTTACCTTGGTACTTCTGAGTAGAATGTTTGCAAGAGCGAGAGAGAGGCCAACAGTTGAAGGATGGTAATTTTGAAACCTTGACCAAAGGCATTAAACATTTTAACAACGGCACGCAACAAGATACGTGTTTGAGGACTGACGACCATGCCGATCATACGATCCAGACTAGGATGAGAGATAGCAACCTCTTCAAATGACTCGTTAATCCATCTGAAGGCGAAATTCTTATCCCCAAAGTTATGACTTTTAATACTGGCGGTATCGGAAACATCTAGATCCCGCTTCTTGTTTTCTCCATCCATTTTAGGGAAGTCTACTTTGTACTGTTCCAGATTAATGTGTCGGCGTCCTTTATCGAGCTTTTGATGAAACATTAAATCTACGGTGGATTCCGATTTAAACAAGACTTTGGGTTTGGGGGTGGTAGGAGAATTGATAATTTGTTGTAAATCATCCACCACCACTAATTTGGGCTCCACTGCATCATGGAACTCATTCTGTTGCTGATGGATGTGTGATGATGCATTGCTAGAACTACTGTAAACACTGCTTTTTCGGGATGTTGTCAATATACTGAAATTATCATTTGATTTGGAGTGATTAAAATATAAAGGAGATAATGTGTCTGATTCAGGATCCTCGGGTGGGTGTTGAAATGAATAACGCACTCTGACTTGAATGGAACCAATAAAGGGTGTCATTGAATGTTTACTATGGCTTGAATGTTGTCTATAAACAGGTGGTACATCTAAATACAGTTCATCTTCCGAATCATTGTCATGACATGATTTGGCGGTCTTTTTTCCGCCAAAATGATTGTATCCATACTGTGTGAATTTGGACATGTTTGGCATATGTGACTTGAGGAACGTGTGTGGTAGTTGAATGTGTGCTGGTAAATAACGTTTTACATGATACTCGTACATTGGTAGAAACGTGATAAATACATCGTCTCTGTCTTTTAATTTGGCAATCTTTAATTTAGCCTTGCCGATGTGCTTTGTTGTTGATCTCCACTTTTTCTTCTTATCGTACAGATCCAACTAATAAAGAAAGAATGTTATTAATGGCTTTCCTTGTATATGTGAAGAATGACTGTTTACCTCAATAGTATCAAACAATTGATTGTGATAGGAAATCGTAAACAAAAAGCCCTCGTTCCAGTTGCCGTTGCCATGCTTCGATCGAGAAGAAAAGTAGTGCTGTGAGCCCATCCTGAGTCTCATGAGAGGTCTTGTCACAACGACATCGCTTCGCACATTAAGTAAATCAATCTATTTTTTTTTTTTTCGAATATACATAATTTAGCCACCCGTTAACAGAGATCGTTTTTTTTTCTTTTGTTACATTCTGTTTACCTGTAGTCTTCCAGGCGAAAGTTGAGCTGTTGCTTGGATAGCTTCTCTACGATCCCACTCGTCTTTGAGTTTGGTGAGGTCAGGCAGTGATAATCTTCTAGCATTATTGGCTTCTTCTCTTTCAGACGTCATTACACAGATGGAGAAATAAGTGAAAGAAATGAATAATAAGGAGAAAAAGAAAGAGAAATCGTTTTAGAAAAATAATAATAATAATGGGATTTTTTTAATTGATTTGCACGTGTAAGAATTCAAGCACAGATCAGATTGGCAACATTATTTTTGTGTGAGAGAAAGAGAGAGACAATGCATGAATTTGTACAATAAAAATAGAGATTTTATTTATGTTTACAGATATGCGTTATTATGAAAAGGAAGAAAAAATTGATATGTGGGAGTTATTTACAAAGTGTTCTTGGCGTTTAATTCATCAAGAGCCTTTTCAACACGTTCGACCATGGTGAGTTCAGCAGCACGGATGAATACACGTGGGTCATAGTACTTCTTGTTGGGCTTATTCTCACCTTCGGGGTTACCGACTTGAGATTGGAGATAAGGCTTGTTCTTCTCGTAGAAGTCACGGAGACCATGCCAGTAAGCCCATTGAGTATCGGTATCGACGTTCATCTTGATAACACCGAAACTGAGAGCAGTCTTAATCTCTTCGTGAGTAGAACCGGATCCACCGTGGAAGACAAAGTAGACAGGCTTGTCAGTCTCAGCATTGAGCTTCTCCTTGACATAAGCTTGATGCTTACCGAGAAGTTCAGGGTGCAACTTGACGTTACCAGGAGCATAAACACCATGGACGTTACCGAAAGCAGCGGCAATAGAGAAGAGATCAGTAACCTCAGAGAAACGACGGTAGATTTCCCAGATATCTTCAGGTTGAGTATAAAGAGAAGCGTTATCGACAGCAGAGTTATCAACACCATCTTCCTCACCACCAGTGATACCAATTTCCATCTCAAGGAGACACTTCATGGGAGCCATACGCTTAAGATACTTGAGACAGATCTCAATGTTCTCTTCCATGGGCTCTTCAGAGAGATCCAACATGTGAGAAGAGAAAAGAGGTTCACCGTGAGCCTTGAAGTATTCTTCATCAGCGGCAAGCATACCATCGAACCAAGGCAAGAGCTTCTTGGCACAATGATCAGAGTGAACAAGGACGGGGACACCGTAGGCCTTGGCAATAGAACGAACATATTGAGCACCGGCAACAGCACCAAGAATAGAGGCTTCTTGGTTCTTGTTATCAATACCCTTACCAGCAACGTAGGCAGCACCACCGTTGGAGAATTGGATAATGATGGGAGATTGAGACTTCTTGGCAGCTTCAAGAGCAGCATTAACAGTACTATCATAAGTTATCAGTAAACATATAATGTAAACAAGTGCATTTTCGCCCCTTGTACTCCCCCAACAAATTCCAACAATATTTTGGACTTTTCCCAACTTTTCCCAAGGGTGTACGACGTGACAAAAATTCATGTAAAAAAATAAAAAAATAATGATAATTACCTGGTAGAAGTACAGTTGATGGCAGGAATGGCGAAGCTATGCTTGTGAGCTAGACAAGATAAATGAGAATCACAAGAAATATACTTTTTAATCGCGAATAAACTTACCGTAATCGAAAATCTTCTTTACATTGTCACCAGTGACAACACCAGCGGGAACGATATCTAAGAGACCCATATTATATAGTTTTAAAAAATAATAAAAATTATTATAAGGAAAAAAAAAAAGTGGAACAAGAGGGAGAAAAAAGCGCGACTTTATATAGGCTTTTAAAATTAAAAAAAAAAAAAAGTGACGATTACATCATTAAAATCAGTTGTTGTAGAACCTAGCGATCAGTTTTAGATCAACTCGTATGATTAAAAAAAAAAAAAAATTACACGAGTATTATAAACTGAATCCCCTGCTATCTGTTAGAAACGCAGTCATATCAGTTTCGTGTTTTTCTATTCTACCTTTCATGCAAAAGAGTAAAATATACGTTGTCTATTTGTAAACGTGTTACAACTGTATAAGAACTGTGGTAAAATAAAAGTCACGTTTTGTCAGTGTATCCAAACACACAAATGATGTAGCTGATAAACTAACGCGCTGTTTCAGGCTATGACGATGACTATCTTTACTTTATTTTTTCAAGTGCCGTTCTATTGATGCGTCAAAAGATTAAATGATGGTTGCTGATAATTGATATGCTTTTTAACATTCCGCTTTGTCACAATCTATTTTATCTAAATTGTTACAAAAGACTTCTTTTTTACATTGTGGACTGATTGAGGGGAGATCTAATATTTCAATATAAAGTTTTTATTGTGTGATGTTGTGTTATGTAATTTGCTATGGGGGGTGACTTTTGCTCTCTCTTTTTTTTTTAACAGGCATATCTGTGAATTAAAAAATTAGGTTGATTAGATCTACAATGTAACAGTAGAGATTGCTCGCGATAAGAACATTTTTTTTTAGGATTTTTACCTTTTAGTCCATTCACGTGCTATGCTATCATGTTCTTCTCTGTTTGTCAAATATTCCTGGGCAATGGATCCCACTAATGGATCATCTGTAAAGCCATACAAGTTAGTTTTTTAATCTCATGATGGCATAACGAGTTAAACTTACGAGGATTAGCATCAGTCAATAAGGAACAAATAGACAACAAGACTTTAGAGATGGTTAATGCAGGTGACCAATTATCTTTGAGTATATCAAGACAAATAGCTCCCTGACTATTGATGTTACAATGATAAATTCTAGTTCTAAATACAATCTAGACAATTGCCCTATTTAGTCTTTTTCTCTTTCTTTCTCTAATCAAGTATATGTACACATACCTTGGGAGGCTTGAAGGGGTATTCTTCAGGGAAATGAACATCTAAAAAGAAAATACCGCCAGCATAGGGTGAGTCGCTTGGTCCAGAGATTGTAGAAACCCAGTCAAATAAATCATCGCCTTTAGGTCCAGCACTAATTGGATAATAATTTAATATACACACCTAAGAGAGCCCTTTTTATTTTATTTTACCTGCAGTTGGAAGGAGGATCAAGAGAGATCTCTGCTAATTCCTTGGAGATTCTATATAAACTCTTGTTTCAGCTTCCTTTTCTTTACAAGAAGCCTTTACTTTATTGTTACCTTTTGGCACTGCTGGAAAGTCCCTTTCCGAAAGTGGTCTTCTTCACTACCTTCTTTTTGGCAGGAAGAGGGGCAGGTGTGGGTTCAACAGGCATAGGAGTTACAGTAGTAGACGTGGTAGAAGTAGAGGCTTCAGGGGCCTTTTTACTACGAGTAGAACGTGTAGAACTCATGTTGTGATTGCAATGATCTTCTTTTTGAATGAGAAAAAAAAAAAAACGTAAATTAGATTTATTTTCCCATTCGCAAATTTTTTTTTTTGGCTGCGTCAAAAAAAAACAGGGAAGACAGTGACGCGTAATGTGATTGGTCACCCCTTTCCTTGTTCAAATAGTGACAAAAGCTCATAGAACAAGGCGATGAAAAAACTATTGGATAGTACACAGGATAAAACGATTACTTTTATTGGAGTTATACATCTTTACAGCGTAAAGCAGAAATAATTGTAATAAAGAAAAAAAAGGTTGAAAAAGTGAATCGAGATGATACATTAGAGTTTCTTTTTCAATGTTTATAATCTCGAATTGGTATGACTGACAACATGTTTATAATAAACAAGCCAAACACAACTTGCTGTAGTCATCCATCCATTATCTAAAACCCTCTTTTTGTGATTTTTCTGTATATTGAAGGAAAGCGAGAGAAAAGGACAACAAAAAAGAATTGAGAATGATGACGTGAGCGTAGTTATTTTTTTTCTTTTTTTTAAAAAAGTAGCTACAACTTCTTTTTCGTTCTTTTCCCGAAGCAAAAAGAAAAAAAAAAGTTATTTAGTGAAGAAGGGATCGACATTTGCTTCTTTTTTTTATATATCTTTTTTTTAACTTAACTAAAAAAACACTTATACATACCAACATGCAACGAGACGTGTTTAAAAAAACTTTTACATTATAAGTATTACCTTCCCTACAAAAAAATTATTCGCGTAGACTGACATTTTTGCGAACTTTATACAAGTCATGAACGGTTTGTACTTGAAGTCGATCCAAGTCAACGCTTCATAAAGGTAACCAATGCTTTCCAACTTTATTTAACTTTGCTAACGCGCACCTCGCGTTTCCTCAATTTGTATTCTTGCAGGGTTTGGCAGAACTGACCATTCAACCTTTAAACAATAAGTTAACAAACATACGAATCAATTGTCGACAATGCAGTAAGCAAAACTCTCTTCCTACCTCCTCCTTCACACTACACAGCTCCTTATTTAATCTAATTCAAACTTTTTTTTTTCTTAATGTATAACCAGAAATCGAAAAAGCCTTTGTCAATGACATTGCTGTGGAATTTGATCATGTCGATGCCGTAGCCGATCTTACATTAGGTGCAAATACTACCATTGCCCATCATCAAGTTTACAAAAGCAGATATTTAAACGCTCTGAGAGATGCCGATGAAGGCGAATTAAATATCAAACTACCTCCCGATTGTATTAAAAAGGTACACACACGCACACAGTTTATATCTTTCTTTTCCTATTTAACACTTCTACAAGATATCCGAAGGCGAGGCATCCCAATTAATCAATAATACATCAACATTCACACAACCAAAAGGTATAGATATTTTTCCGAATAATAAATCTTCAAAGGAGCTACTCAATATTAACACTAGAGTAGAATCACAGGATGACCCTGATAAACGAGCATCATCGACCACAGCAACAACGCCAGCAGCAACAACAGCAGCAGCAGCGACAACAACAACTGACCCAGCAGAACCCGTTGAACCAATTTATTCTTCCTTGGTAATTCGCATTGAATATACACTGGAAGAACCACGCAACGGTGTTGTATTTGTACAAAAAGACGAAGAGATTGCTCCCTACGTAAGCATGGAACCAAAAATAAATAAGAGTGAGTGACTTGGGGTTAAACTAATATTTTTTGTAGCGATCCAATCATGTATATACTGTCAACCAACCATTACCAGGAGCAACACGATCATGGTTACCATGCATTGACAACATAGCAGATCGATGTACATGGGATATGGAATTTATTGTGCCACGTAAAGACGAGGGTGCTATTGTACCCGAATACGACGGAGAAGGATCCTTTGACGAAGTGGATGGTATGGTGGTTGTATGTAGTGGTGAAGTGTTAGAGCAAGTGATCCATCCCACAGATGCTGGTAAAAAAATTGTTCATTATCGCTTATCAGAACCTACACCTGCTCCATTTATTGGATTCGCTATTGGTCCTTTTAAAATGATCAAGTTATCACCTTCACAATTACAAGAAGAAGTTATGACAGCGGCAGATTTAGACGAGAATCAACAACAGAGTTTAATGGCAGAAATCAACATGATGTCCAATATTTATGCATTTGCTCTACCTGGATCAGAAGAGGAATTAAGCGTCAGCTGTAGTTTTCTGATGCACGCCATGCATTTCTATACACAGGAGTATGGTTCTTACCCATTTTCGGATTACAAACTCGTTTTTGTCGAGGATGCTTGGTCCGATACGGCTTCCAGCGCTTCTTTAACCATCTGTAGTTCACGTCTGCTACATCCAGAGGATATCATTGATCAAGTATACAGCACACGAAGAGAACTAAGTCAAGCGTTGGCTAGACAATGGTTCGGTATCTATATCGTCCAAAAGTCTTGGCCTGATACATGGCTTGTACGTGGATTGGCCAATTTAATGGGTTCATTGTTTATCAAGAGACATTTGGGTAACAACGAATATCGTCTACGACTGAAAAAGGACATGGAATTGTGTTGTATGTTGGATATCAATCGACCCCCGGTGTACAATCAAACATTACCGTATCCATTGGATCCCGAAGATCTTGATTTTATTGAACTCAAGGCACCACTTGTGATTTATATGCTGGATAAGAGAATGTGTAAAGGAGGAGGCACGTTAGGACTCTCCCGGGTCTTGCCTAAAATTTTGGTGTCAGCCATGAGTGGAGAACTAGCACAAAATGCCATCAGCACACATTATTTCTTAAGGCTTTGTCGAAAAGTGAGCGGATTTGACACCAAATTATTTGCGGAACAATGGATCTATAAATCAGGCTGTCCCAAGTTCTCGTTCAAGTTTCATTTCAACCGTAAAAAGATGGTGGTCGAGATTCATATGAGTCAAGAAAATACAAATACGTCGCTGTATACAGGTCATGAACATATGGGAATGATGGATGGTGGAGGAGCGGTCAATTACCAAGAACTCATGTCACCTATATTTACGGGTAATTTAACTGTACGTATTCACGAGGCGGACGGTACGCCTTATGAACATATTCTCGATATTCAGTCCCCACAACATAAATTCGAAGTCCAATTCAACACCAAATACAAACGTATTCGTCGAAACACCAAGCGTTTCTTGGCTAAACAAGCAGCTGCAGCTGCAGCTGTGGCAGAGGAGGAACAGGAAAACGAGGAAGGTACAGAAGGAAATATGGTGTTGGGTATCATTCCTAGTTTAGGTCTGGGTATGCCCATCTTTGAGGACCCTACACAAAAAAAGGAATGGAGAATTGTCGAATGGGGACAGGATGAAGAGGATACGAGTGGTGCGGCTAGTGCCATGTTTGATTGGATCCGATTAGACGCCGAATTTGAATGGCTCTGTATTTGTGATTTTAAGCAACCTGATTACATGTGGGCAGCTCAGTTAACAAAAGATCGAGATGTGGTAGCACAACACGAGGCTATTGATGCTTTGAAACATATGCCTTCATTACCTACTTCCACTAGTTTTTTGCGTGCAGTACTAGATCCTAAATGTTTCTACAAGATCCGTATGGAAGCAGCTTATGGCCTTGCATCATGCGCTGTTCCCAGTTTAAATTGGGTGGGTTTACATCAACTCAACAAAATGTTTCATAAACGCTATTGTTTCCCCGTTAGTAGTTTTGCTCAATCAGCCATGGAGGATGAAGAACTCCCAATGACAAATTCGATCCCCAAACCCAACAATTTCTCAAGTTTACCCGATTATTTTATTCAAAAGGCGTCTGTCGTGGCTTTCTCTCAAGTGCGCGATGACCGTGGTTTAACACCTGTTCGCATTCGACAGTTCTTACTGGATTTGTTGAAATACAATGATAATATCGGCAACGAATTTTCGGATTGTTACTATGTGGCTACCTTGGTTTCGTCGTTAGGCGATTCTTTGATTCCAGCCCGAGAAGATGCGGTGGATGATTTTGAGGGAGATCATGTGAATGCTGCAGCCAAAGCAGAAATCGAACGTTTCCGTACATTGGATTATGTGATTCCAACTTACCATAACATCATCACTGTCACTTGCTTAAGAACCATGACAAAATTGATGCTCAAGAAACTGTTACCGGTGAATATTTCCATGTTTATGCAATACACCCGGTACGGTAACTATCTCGAGATCAGGTTGACGGCTTTTGATAGTCTGTTTATTTTGTGTGGGTTGTCGGATCATACGTTAAACGCGTATTTGCTCAAGGTGATCAAAGAAGATCCGTGTGTCTTTGTGTCGCATTATGTTGCTCGCGCCATGCTGGCATGGTTAGGTTTAGCGATGAAGGAAAATTCAGATACACCTGCTCATACAACACGGTACATTGAAGAGTTTGCCGAAGAAGAAGGACGTGTAGTGATTGACGACGATCGAATGCCCATGAAAAAGACAGCCCAGCAAGAATTTCAATCAAGTATTGAGAATTTAAGGAAGCGGTTTGAAAATGATACAGAACTCCAACAGGATTTATGGAATCTCTTGAATTCGGCTGAAAACCAAAAGTTGGATCATTGTATTCGCAAGTATCTACTTCAGTTCTGCGAGTATACCTTTAAACCAATTGATGTGGGACTCAAAGTTACAATTCGTGTTCCTACTGTCGCTGTAAGTTGTTTTATACGTAACTTTGTTTTCGATATACATCTAATTTATATTTTTTGTAGCCTCCTACTCCCACAAGTGAAGAGACGTCAGAGCCTACTACACCTACAAGTGCTCCCATAATTCGTTTCAACAAACCTAAACATCGTCCTGAAGAGAAACCTGTGAAACATCATAAAAAGACTAACAGCATCACAATCAAGACAGAATCTTTACCTCAAGCTATACCTTCTTCTACAACATCAGCAGATGCTGCATCGGCATCACCTTCTCCAATCACCACAACACCGATTGAAAATAGGACGATTTCTGAAGATGTTCGAAATCATACTGTGGTAGAAACTCCCAAACGACCTCCATCTGCAGCGCCATCAGCCCCAGAGCCTGTCTTGCCACCACCAAAGGCACCCACGGCGGTTGTTACAGCACCAACTGCACCGGTTGTAAGACAGACTTCTGTGGAAAGCACTTCGTCTTTACACAAACCTAAACACAAGAAAGTGGATAGCCATACAGCAGAGGAGTTGAAGAAATGTCGTAGAGTGATTAATAAATTAAACAAGCAACACTGTGCATTACCATTTACACAACCTGTGGATGAAGTCTTGGATGGTGCGATTGGATATTACAACCTTATTAAGAAACCTATGGATCTCAGTATGATTAAGCGAAGAGTCGAAAACAAGGAATACACTTCGTTCAGTCAATTTGAATCGGATATTCGTCTAATGCTTAAAAATTGTTACCTGTTCAACGGACCTGGTACATTTGTGTACAATGAAGGACAAGAATTAGAAGCTGTTTTTGAAAAGGAGTTGGAGAACATGCGTGGTAAGGAACATGCGGAAGAAACACAAAATATGACGATTGTTGAAAGTCCTGCTACCACACCACGAGCAGTTCATGCCACACTTCCTGCCGCTACCTCTGTTGTGATTAAACCGCCTAAACCAGTGAAAACCAAGTCATTCAGTATGACCCATTCCTCTACACCACCGGCTTCGCCATCTATTCATACTTCGCCTCGCAACGATATGCCTGCAGAACGAAAAAAATCAATGACACCTGCTGATAAGCAAAGACCTCAAAAGAGCTTGTCTGAAAAAGAAAAGATGCGCCATATCCTGGCTGCTACTTTAGCTAATCCTCATGCCTTTGAATTCTTACGTCCTGTCGATCCTGTGAAGCAAGGTATTCCTCAATACACCAAAATCATCAAGTTCCCCATGGATCTGGGAAAGATCAAGAGTCGATTTGATCGTGATCAATACCCTAATGCAGAGGCTATGGACAGTGATATGAAATTAATGTTCAACAACTGTTATACCTTTAATCCTCCTAATACCTACGTTCACAACGAGTCTAAAATGTTGGAAGAAGCGTACGAAAAAGAATGGAGAACTTATTTCGGAAAGCGCGTGTCACCAGAAAATCACAAGAGACCTATTCCTACTGTAGACGGTTCGGTGCAACCACCTACCATCAAAATCAGAGCAGTGGAAAGACCCGTTGACAGGCCCGTTGAAAGACCCGTTGAAAGACCCGTGGAGAGATCTGCTGAAAGGTCTGCTGAAAGAGCTGCTGAAAGAGCTGCTGAAAGGGCTGCTGAAAAAGCTGCTGAAAGGGCTGCTGAAAGAGCTGCCGACAGAGCTGCTGAAAGAGCTGCCGAAAGATCCGCCGAAAGATCTGCCGAGAGAGCCGCTGAAAGGGCTGCGGAAAGAGCCGCTGAAAGAGCCATGGAAAGAGCTGCAGAAAGGGCTGCTGATAGAGCTATCGAACGTTCGATGGATAGATCTGCTGACCGATATGTTGAACGATCGGTGGATAGACCTACTGAACGACCTGTAGATAGACATATGGAACGACCTGTAGATAGATCGATAGATCGACCTGTAGATAAATACGTGGATAGATCGAGTATGTCCTCTTCGCCTAGCTCATCTAAACCTCCCAAAGCCCCCAAGATTCATTCGCATGTGTCTACCAACGGTGGGTCTCATAAGCATGGCAGTCCCGTGGCTGCTTCGCCTTCACCTGCTGCACCCTCTCCTGTACCTGAAAAGAGCAAGTCTAAGCCTACACCACCTCCCATGAATCCTACCATGAACGATGTGAACAAGCTTAAGTGTAACCGAGTATTGAAAAAGCTTTGGGGATTACAAGAATCTGAACCCTTCCGTACACCCGTAGATGCGGTTTCGTTAGGCATCCCACAATACTACCAAGTCATTAAGCGCCCGATGGATTTATCAGCGATTCAAAAGAAATACGACAATAACCAATACAACACCGTGTGGGATTTGGAACGCGATATTCGACAGATCTTTTGGAATTGTTATGGATTCAACGATCATGAATCGTGGGTAGCAAAGCAATGTCAGGCCATGGAAAAGTTCTTTAACCAAGTTTGGTCTGCTGAATTTGCGATCCCTAATGCTCTCAAGGGTGAAGATAAACGTATTGCAAGTAAAGTAGTGAACAAACTGACTTTACATGACGCTGCTGCTTTATTCAATGAACCTGTGGATACCGAATCATTACCCGATTATACCAAAGTCGTAAGACACCCCATGGATCTCCGTACAATTTGGGAAAAATTGGAGAGTGGTAAATACTCAAGCTTGAAAGCTGTGGACCATGATATTCGTACTGTTTTCAAGAATTGCTTTGCCTACAACTTGAATAATTCGTATGCTACAGATGAAGGTAAAAAATTGGAAAAGTATTATAATAATATCGGTAAGGAGTTACGTGCTCGCATCAATAGCTCACCTGCACCTGCCCCTATGGTGTCAAAGAAGCGACGTCTCTCGGGTTCTCCAGGTCCTGCTAAATTAAGTAGTTCTGTGAGTATGGAAGATCCATTACCACCAGCCAAGATTGCCAAGGTGACGAATCATGGTATCAAATCGCCCAATCCTGTACCAAGATCTCCTTCAGTGGGTCAGCCATCCAGTGCTATACCTAAACAACCGTCAAGTTCGCCTGCTCCTAAAGTTTCTCCTGTCACATTAAAACCACCCATGCCCTCCCCTACAAAGTCAATGGGTAGCCCAGCTCCCAAAGCATCCGTTCATGTGTCTAGCAAACCTTTAGCCAATTCACCGACCAAACCTTTAGTGAACCAAAGCCCCAAACCCGATACATCGATCAAGCTTTCGTCACCACATACCAAAGTGTCTACACCTACATCCTCCTCATCAGCGGGACCTTCCGTCAATAAATCCCCCGTGCATGATACACCTCAAAAATTACACCCTGCCATGTATGCTAAACTTGAATCTTTCCTCACAAAGATGAAATCGCATCGATGTGCATTTGGTTTCACCGAACCTGTAAGTTTTCTTTATATATATATATCATTTGTGATTCTCAGTCAGTGAAGCAAGACATACTTAATAATGATTTATTAGGTGGATCCTATTGCTTTAAATATTCCTCATTATCCAATGATGATTAAGAAGCCAATGGATTTCGGTACAATGTAAGTGTGACGATTTTTTATTTGTTAAGTTTGTTTAGAAAATGCTTAAATAATATGTTTAGGGAAAAGAAGCTGAAGGCTGGAGAATATAAATCTGTGCGAGACTTTGAAAGTGATATGCGACTGATTTTCACGAATTGTTACATGTTTAACGGATTTGATCATGTTATATCTCAAAATGCCAAGGTACTTGAAGGTATTCTCAATAAAGAAGGACCTATTTTGAGTAAGAAGGAAGAGTTCTTAAAGTCGGGAGGCAGCTCATCCTCGTCTTCATCGTCAAAGCACTTACCAGGCGGTAAATCAAGTTCATCCAGCACGAAACTATCCAAAGAGATCTCGCCCGCTAAAGCCGAATTACGCAAATATAAATCTGTACTTGACAAGTTGACAAATCACCCAAGCTATTATGCGTTTGGTGTGCCTGTGGATCCAGTCTTATTACAGATTCCTACATACTTTGATATTGTCAAGAAGCCTATGGATTTCGGAACGATTCGTAAGAAGTTGGAAAGTAACAAGTATGCAAACGCGGACCAACTATTAAAAGATGCCAAACAAGTCTTCATCAATTGTTACTTGTTTAATATACCAGATGACATTGTATCGAAAATGGGCCGTGATTTACAGACAGAATTCAATCGATTATGTACAGCTCGTGGACTTCGTACCATTAATGTAGATACAGATGGAGTGGATGCAGACGTTGATGCAATGTAAATTATTCCAAAAAAAATAAAATTTTAAACACCCCATTGGTGACATCACTTTTTTTTTATTTTATTATTATCACAACCCAAGGGGGAGGGGTTTCTATTTTTTCAGGCAGATCTCACTCTTTTTTTTTTTTTTTTTTTATTAACTTATACTAAATTTTTTTTTAAAAATGCTTCGTCATTCAGTTCAACGATTAAGCGCCTCTACACTCAGAAAGACCTCTTTCAAGAGCGTGGCTGCTTACACCACCTCCATGCAACCCTCTGCTAAGCCTATTGCACCTGAGATTCAACAAGCTGAGAACCGTACCACCACCTGGTCCAAGTCTCAAATGCCCAAGGCTGATGCCATGGTTGGACCTCGTTTCGAACAAACCGATATCAGCACTCAGGTAACCATGTGAAAAATAAAATAGCGCGGATGAAAAATGTGGAGAAAACAGAATGTTGATTTTTATTTTTATTTAATTCAATGATGAATAGCCCAACCCTATGGCTGCTATTGACCTCATTGCCGAAGTTCCCATTAGATATGTTCATGAGCGTAAGGCCCATTGTGATGGTGGTAAGTGGTCAAAAAAAAAAAAAAAAAAAAAAAAAAAAACAAAAAAATTAAAATTTATGCAATTATTCGAAACTAATAATTTATGACAGGTGGTGGACCTTTAGGTCATCCCAAGATCTACATCAACTTGGATAAGCCTGGACCTCATCCTTGTTCTTACTGTACGTATTTTCTCTCGTGTTTAAAAATGAATTATGGATTTACAACTAACCTTTTTTTTTTTTTTTTTAGGTGGTATTCGTTTCGAAAAGCCCGATGATCATCATCACTAGAAGTCATTTAACCTGCCCCCCACTTTAATTAAAGAGAACAAAAAAATTAAAAAAAGAAAAAAAAAAGCATACCATTATTACACGATTTGGACAGGAAACAAAAGATCCCCGAAGAAAAGATGGAATTTATATTTGGTAGACAATGCAAACTACGAGAGATTATAAACAAAGGTTCATCCGTGTCTCTGTTTTGATAGTGTACTTAAAAAAGTGATGTATCCCCACAGTGTAGCGCTGTGGGTTCTACATGTATATGTATATATAAAGGGGAGGATGGTTGTCCTCTGCGAACGATACACTTTAGAGTTTTATAATAGTAATCCGCTTTTTATAAGTAAGACATCATTATGAGTTCATTGCCATACTATATATTACAATGTAGCAGTGAGCATTCTTGTATAATAATCAATAAACGACCATACGCTTGTAACCATGGGCAACATTCGTTCCAAAAAAAAAATCAGTAAAGACCCATAGTGCGGTGAGACGAATTAGCGGGAGGATCTACCACTCACTCTTTCATTACCCCCTCAACGATATAATGCTCCACTGTCTATATTGCTTTGTTTTCGTAAATTAGAGTATATATTCTATTAAATAAAGTTTATTGTACAATGCGAGTAAAGTAGGTGGGTGGGGGGATCTAGATATGTGTGTGTGTGTTTGATGATATTTTTTACTTTCTCTTGAAAGGAATCTTTTTATACATTTTCTTTCCAGAGAACAAATCGACATAATCAGGTACTTCACCATTTTTATCAAGCACATTGACCTTCTTTTCGACTACCTCTTTAGGTTGATTATCCATATCCACATCCTCTTCTACGTTCTTTTTAGCAGCAGGAGACTTTTTACTGTACTTGTCTTGAAACATGGCAGCAGGTACATTGACAGCCTTTTTAGAGGCACTGCCTTTTTTACTAATGGGAGAAGGTTCCACTGTCTTTTTAATAGCACTTCCTTCCTTTTCCTTCTTGGAAGGTCTCTTATAGAACTTGGCACTTTTTCCCATTGGATCGAGTTCGTAATAAAATGATTTATTTCCTGGCTTTTTTTTTTTAAGGAAAAAAAAAGATAGCTTTCTGGCTTTCTAAGCCACTGGGGGACACTGGGTGCAACCCCTCTTTTTTTTTCAGAAAGTGGGCACAGCCAAATGATGTGGAATGATGTGATAAGAGTCTTCAGACTATAGCGAATTGCATATCTCATCCGACGTGTTCTTATTTGTTTCATAGCACACTGTCATAACACGGAGGATGCTTTGATAACACTTTTAATGATCGTCTGTCATGGTAGTGGTGTCATTTGATTTCAGCTGATGTGGCATATTTAATGTAACACGGATCAAAAAAAGATGCATAAGATGGGTGGCTAAGTAACGCCCATCATGCAAGGCAAGCCATGTATTTGGATAAAGAGGAAGCATATTTTAATAGCAATAGCAATAAAAGAAAAGAACAAAAAGAGTTTAAAAGAGCAATGTGGATATTTTTTTTTTATTGATGTAGAAAAAAAAAGCGTTGATATTATTATTTTTTGATTGATTGTGAAATTGAACAAACCACTTTTAAGGTTTTTTTTTTTTTGAATACGAGGTATGAAGGTTTGTTTACATGAAGAACATGACCTTGCTCAACTCGGGCTTAACAGTAGCGAAAGAAGCCATTTGAGCATCAGAATCCATGGATTCGGAGGTAGCATCGGTATCAGACCAGTTCTCACCACGACGATGGAATCTGGCACGAGCAGCGATCAAATCAGCGTAGTAAGCAGCGGGTACGATGGAAACAGCACGAGTAGCACGACCATAGATGTAACAAAGTCTGTAAGTCAACTCTTGAAGAGCATCGGAAGTAAACTTGTTCTCATCATGAAGAACGTGGTAATGAGTGGGACGAGAAGTACCTTGAAGACCGGCATGAGATTGGAGATAGAAATCGAACTCGAAAGGATGAACAATATCGGTATCGACAACAGTACCGGGCATACAGTTACCAGTACGATCAGCATCACGCATCTCCATGGGGAAGAAACGAGCATGATGTCTCTTTTGGACAACAACAAAGGTAACAGTGGGGTTATAAGTCTTATCAAGAGAAAGACAAGCAGCCTTAATAGCAGCCACTTCGGAATCCATCACTTGCTTGAATTGACCCTCAGAAACACCATCACGATAGAACAAGATTCTTTCGGGCTTTTGACCACAAGATTGGTAAAAGTTCTTGAGCACTTCCTTAATCATGTTGGCAAGATCAGCAATGATTTCAGTACGGTTAGCTTGCACACGAATGGCAGAAGAGTATCTGGAAGCACGAGCATCCATAGAAGCAGATAAAGCAGCAATAGAAGGTCTGTTCATATCTCCAGGAGCAGGATGGGTAACATCAGCACCGAGAATAATAGTAGGACGTTGAGCAATGAAGGGAATTTGAGGAGGAGACAAGAACAAGTTCATACCACCCAACTTCATGTTAACCTTAAGACAGACGTTAGCACAGTATTGCTTCTTGGGTTCACCAATATGCTTGGATTGGAGACATTGAGTAGGGACACCAATAACAGTATCAGAGATTCTCTTAATTTCAGCATAGAGAGGGACACCAGTGTTGGGCAAGATACAGATGATCAATTGAGGGTTGGCCTTGGCAGCGTTACCGGCCTTTAACCAAGCTTCCTTTAAGGTCTTATCAATGTTACCTTGAGGATCAGCAGACATAACGGGAGGAGAACGGTTAACAACGTTCATACCGGTATCAGCAAAGGTTTGACATAATTCACGAATGAATCTTTGGATAGCAGGCATGGGGACGGCACCGGCAAAGTTAACAACGGACCAAGAACCAAGAGTGGCACCTTGAGCGACCTTCTTACCTCTCAAGTTCCAAGCACCAGCTTGAGGAGCGAATTCAGCTTCTTGAGAAGAGGAATGGTAAGAAATCTTGGGGGTAGGGAGGACACGAGCGTTGATGACGGACATCTCAGGCTTGACGGCCATACCGAATTGTTGCATGTATGGGTTATCACGATAACGCAAGAGAGAGAGACCTTGGTTAATCTTGTTAGCACGAACATTAGGCTTTTGACAGGTGAACTTGATCATTTCAGCAGTTTGCTTTTCGTTCAACTTCTTCATGTGACGTTGACCAGGGATGACCTCACAGACTTCCATAGGCAAGAAGATGTCCTTCTTGACAACGATACAAGGTAAGAAGGGGTAGTTCAAACGCTTGTTGTATTGCTTCATGAAGTAATCAGCAACAGTCATTTCGTTACCGGCTTCATCCTTGAAAGAGGTACGATCGGCAGCGGAAGGAGTGAGCTTAGTGACCTTGTACTTGAGCTTCTTATCACCACGATGGACAACTTGAATTCTCAAGGCCTTGAGGACCTTCTCAAGCTTGGACAATTCACGGTCAGGAATACCACGTCTGAGTTCATCGATGGAACGACGACCCAAGATCTTGGCAACGATCTCAGGGAGAGGACCGGATGAGTAGAAAGCGGTAGCACTGACATCAATGTTGATCATCATCTTACCTACATAACATAATTTTTTTTTAGTGTGGGAAGATTTTCGTTAGATAACCAATCAAAAAAAAATAGATGTTTTCTTTATACTTTACCAATGGTAGGACGTGCAGATTGGTAGTAACCTTGCCAGACTTCAGCACCGTTGGGGAGAGGACGAGCATCAGCAGGAGTGAAGAAAGAACGACCAACAGTGTTGTAAAGGGTAGAAGGAACGTGACGAATAAGAACATCAAGAACCATGATGGCTGATTAAATAACAATGATTAATTTGTTTGTTTACATAATAACACACATAAAAAAAAAATTTTTTTTTACCAGTTAAACAGTTGGAGGTACAGGCAGATTGACCAGCCAAGAAACGACGAAGTTCTTCCATGTTAACTTCACCAGCCTTCTTGATACGAATCTTGAAGAGACCACCACTACGCTTGGCAGCACCAGGAGCACTAGCTTCTTGAAGTTCAACCTATATTAGGATATATTAATATAAGAGGTATCGGATATATATATATATATATGTATTTTAATAAGTCTTACCTCGTATTGCATAGCTTGTTCTTCACCCAAAGAGAGAGGCTTAGGAGAGAAGACGTTCTTACGACCATCAAAGATAGTTCTGATACCAGTCAAGAGACCTTGACCGTTAGTGTCTTCAAAGGATTGCCAAACCTTACGGTAAAGCACGGGGGGTGCACTTGGGGGATCGATGGTAACATCATAATGATGAATGTTTTGGGTGGGGAAAGAGGTAACTTCAAAGAAATTAGCTCTGACACGCACTGGCTTACCAATTTTACCAGCACCAGGGCGCTTAACAAGTTCTGTCAATTCAAGAGACATTGAGATTTTATATACGTAGTATGTATAAAGAGAAAAGAAAAAAAATCGAAAGGAAGAAAAAAAAATTATTTTTTATAAACAGACCAACTTTTTTTTATTTCCGATGACGCAAGAGCTTTTTTTTTTTTTTTAGGCTACACTCAAAATGTTGACATCTTTTCCACAAGTTAAAATCTATTCCATACAACAACAACTTTGACGGATATTATTAACCTGTTCCTTGTGCTTGAAATGCTGGAAATCGCCTGATATTTTAAAAATATATCGCTGATTTTTTTTTTTTTATGGGGTGTTTTGTTATCACAATGAAATCATGTAAAAATAAAATATATAAAAAAAAAAAAATAAAAAATTAATTAACGTGTTTTGTTTAAATAACCCTTTCTCCTTGATCTTTATCCTCCCCTTTTATGAGTCATCCAATCGTAAAAGGACATTGTTATTCTTAAAGATGAATAAAGAAGTTAAAAAAGACTATCAACTTCACGTCGCACTGATGAGAAGGAACTCGGTACCTTATTTTTTTTTATTTATGATTGTTATTTTAAATACAAAAGATCTAAGTAATCTTAATAGGCCAATGAATAGCTGTATCTTCTGCTTCTATTTGTAATACCATCTTCTCATTGTTATTTTCATACATTTCCACATCCTCTTCACTACCTCTCTTCTTACTTCTACTCTTCTTTTTCTGGAGTGACACCAATTCGTCTGGTATCATACGGATAATGACTCCGATAGGAATTGAAACGAGACCAATGAGAACACTTGTCATCCATAGGTGTTGATCCAACGGTACAGTTTGGAATGCCGCTCCTCCATGCTCCACAATCACAATTTGTCCACACACACTAATCGAAAATATCATGATAAAGAACTTGTTTTGTTTAATACCCTTAAATACGTTAAGGTGATTGTCAATTCTACGGCAACTATTGAGAGAAAATGTAAGTTTTTTTTTTCTTTCTTTCTTTTAAAAGTACTTCGTATATAGACACTTTACTTGACTTCGTTAAAGATTTGACAGAATACAAAAGTGGTAAATATCACCGTTTGTAATGTAGCCATATCATTACCCAAACCCAATAGATCTGTATACAATAATGTCAATATCACACCCAACTGATACACCGTTTGACCTATAATCATTTTCCACATGCACGTATCAATCAATGGATCTGTTCTTCCTTCAGGTAACCTATTCAATAAATCAGGGGAAGGAGGATCCGTCGCCAACGCTAAAGCTGCAAACGTATCCATAATCAAGTTAACCCATAGTAACTGCACTGCTGATAAAATGGATGTTTGATCTGGACTCACAATGGCAGAGAAAATAGTCAACATGACGGCCGTAATATTAATCGTGAGTTGAAACTGTAAAAACTTTTTGACAGAATCATTGACACATCGACCCCAAGAGATAGCACGTACAATACTAGAGAAATTATCATCCATCAAGATAATACTGGAAGCTTCTTTAGCTACTTCTGTACCGGCAATACCCATAGAGAAACCAACATCCGCAGCTTTTAAAGCGGGAGCATCGTTTGTACCATCCCCCGTGACAGCCACAATTTCACCTGTCTCACGTAACGCATGGACCAACATACGTTTATCTTCCGGACTACTTCTTGCTAATACCCTTAACCTTGGTAAGACAGCTAATCGCTCCTCATGACCCAGTTTTCGGAAAGTAGGCCCATCCATCGCTAAAGCCCCATGCATATAAATACCACATTGACGTGCAATGGATTTAGCCGTCAACATGTTATCACCTGTCACCATGCGAACACAAACACCAGCACGTTGACAAGCTGCCACAGCTTCCGTCACACCATGACGTAATGGATCTTCAATCCCCACTATCCCCAACAAGTTTAGTTCACCTCGTTGAGTCACTTCTTCTAATGTACGCGTACTGGGCCAACTATCGAAATCTTGATAACATACAGCCAAAGTACGAAGGCAACGGGTAGCGTAGCTTTGGATGATTTTAGACATACGGTTACGGTTCGCATCGGTCATGGCACGTGTATAGATCTTGTAATTAGCAGGATCCTCAGTGATATAATTAGGATCATGCATGGATACAATACGACTACATTGACTTAGGAGTAATTCAGAGGCACCTTTAATATGAAGACGATAGATAGGATGACCTGAAAATGTAGGTATACGTATCACTGTAGCCATGGCCTTTCTGGATGAGCTAAAAGGAAATACATGTTCTACTTGCCAATACGAACGTAGTGTTTGAAATGGTTCTGATCCCATATATTCTTTGGCGAAGGATAACATGGCGGTCTCTGTTTTATTACCCACCAAGGAAGTATCACCCAAGGCATCGGTGTTCTCAAAGGCAGTGGAATTGATGGCCATAGCTTGGTTGAGGAAATTACGTACGGCTAATGGCACATGGGTCTTTACAAGATGGATATCAAATAAATCACTGCGTGAGGCAGGTGGGTCTTTCAGAAATCGAAAGGAGGAACCAAATGTGCCTGCTACCACTGACATTTTGTTTTGGGTCAAGGTGCCGGTTTTATCAGAGCAGATGGTGGTTGCATTACCCATGGTTTCACAAGCGGCCAAAACACGAACAAGGTTGTTATCTTTAAGCATCCTTTGTGTAGCATAAGCCAAAGCTATGAAAGAAAGAAAAAAAAAGTTACTATTTAAATGTGTACCATGTGTGCAAGTCAAAATACAATACCAAGGGTAACGGCGAGTGGGAGACCTTCTGGTACAGCCACGACAATGACGGTGACTGTGGTAATCAAGATTTGCATGATATGTGTTACAACATCTGCTGGCACGGTAGATAAAATGCCAGTAGCGTAACCCACGATACAACGAATGATCAACATGGATAATAAGAAGGCAGCAGCGGATAATCCACATTTAGCAATACTTGTAGCCAAAATATCCAATTTATCTTGCAACGGTGTATTTTCATCCTTTGTACGTAAAGCCATCAAGGTACGACCATGGAATGAGTTGGGTCCAATGGCTGTGACTAGATAGGTACAAATACCTTCCAAGACTTTCGATCCAGAGACTAAAAATGGGTCAATCTCTCGTTTCTGAAAGGGTAATTCGTCATCTTCTTCATCTTCTTCATCAAATTGAGGTTTGGTCATGTACTCATTTTCGGAAATGGAGACAAATGAGGTGCGTTTAATATCAGGTACCATGGTAGAAGAAGAACGTCGTCTACGTGAGCGTCGCTTTTGACAATCTTCCCATGACAGTTTACGTACAGCATCGGATTCACCGGTAGCAGCGGATTCGTCACATTTTAGGTTATGGCCTTCGATAAAGATACCGTCGGCACATATAATATCTCCAGGCTCTAGTTTTAATACATCGCCTACTTGTACATCGTATACTGATAATAGGATTTGTTTCCCTGAACGAATGGCCTATGGAATATATTTGATTTAAGAATCACAATTTTATATATATGGTGTGTGTGTATGCACTTACAGAGACAAGTCGGTCTTCCTTTTTAGCGTTTAGACTACGGAATTGACGCTCCTTTTGGAAATCATTGACACTACCGACGATGACCACGAGAGAAACTGCTACAATAATGGCTACACCTTCCACCCATTTGACACCGGGTATCTTGTTGCCAAAAGCGTCGTATTCAATTGTGTTTACATCCTCGTAGATTCCCACTGTGAGTGAAATCATGGCAGAGATGGTCAAGAGGATCTGATTAGGAGAAGGAGGAAGGGGTGGTAGTGGTTAGTTTATAAGACACTAATGTAAATAGGTGTTGTTTACCAAGGTTTTATCTTGAAAGGACTGCCACATGAGCTCGAGTAAGGAGACTTCTTCAATCAATGGCAAGACATTGGAGCCAAAAATCTGTCTTCTTTGAATAAAGGTATCACACTCCATGGAGATGGGAAATTGATGATCGTAGACTTGCTCCTGTGGTGTATGTAATAGATCATACATGCGAATATACGACAGATTTTCTTCGTTCCAGACGATACCGTGTTGTGTACTTGAATGTAGACCTCGTGCGATAGATTCTGTGCCACCCACCTTTTCCAAAAAGGTCAGCTGTTTTCCATCTACCAGATGACACATTTGTTCTAAACTGAAAGCGAATGGATTGCTGGGATCGATATGAGGCATGATTTGACCCGAGTCTGTGCTGCTTTTGCCCATTTCTGGTAAATCAACCGAAGACACGCATGATTCACTACTATTCTTCATTTTACAAAAAGAAGAAAAAAGATAATATATGTAAAAAAGAGAAAAGAAAGAAATAAAAGAGATGTGTGTTTGTTGTTTATGTTAATATATAATACATGTGAAATAAGGAGCCCTTTTCTCTTTCATTTTTTTTCCCAGTAAAATATCATCCGTTATGGATATATTATACGAGGAGGAGAGAGAGAGATGTAAGGGGAATTAAGGAGAGTCTGTTAGTGGTGGCCCCTTTAAAATTAAAGTTGCGACCAACAGAAAACTATTAAACAACAACAACAACAAAAAAGGCTCATATGGCGTAGTAGAGTGATTTATATTTCAACTCGTATTCCGGCATTGATGTCATTTGATTCCATTGCCCTTTATTTAATAAGAAAAAAAAAGTTTATTATATACAAACAGAAGGAAAAAAAAAAAAGAAAGACTAGAAGGAGAGAAATAAAATATGGGACAAGTATACAGGTATAGATAATTTTTAAGTTAAAGTAGAAAGAGGTTTCTTTCCTTTGCGTTTCCATTCCACTACATTAGAATTGGAGAATGACAAGGTATCATGCTGCTGTTGGTGCTGCTGCTGTTGGTTCTGTTGGTTCTGTTGGTTCTGCTGGTGATGGTGATGATGGTGATGATGATGATGGCTTACAGAAGGCACATCGATCACAGAAGGGGGCGGCGTATCGAGAAGTGCTAGTTGGATCTCAAAACGACCCTTCTTGATGACACATGAAGTATTATCCTTTTCACTTTTATGAGTGCCCATGCGACGCAATTCATGCAAAATGGGTGGCTCAATAAGGTTTTTAGCACTGCTGGCAACAGACGCCTTTCGGTCTAGATGAACAGTGGGTCGGCTCTCTTTTACCTCGGGAAGAAACCAAAAGGCATTGTCCCAGATTTGAAAGGACAGTGATTCTTCCATGCAAGAGCTTGAACTCTCCATCGTGTCATCTTCTTCCACCGTTAATTTCCGCGATGCAGCTGTTGCAGCTTCAAATGAGGCTACTGCTGATACTGCTGATACTGCTGATGCTGATACTGCTTTATCTTCTGCTTCTTCTGCTTCTTCTTCGGGCAGGATACGGATACCGGCAATATCCGCAAATTCCTTTGCGGTCAGATCCTCTGAATTTATCGTCATATTGGAAATGGTGGCATTGGAACAAGTGCGTTTACGCATAGGTGTATGTTGATGTATGTGTTGGATGCAAGAAGGGGTGGTACCACTGCGCTTAATCAAGATACTAGTTAATTTAGGTGCAACATGCGTGGGTAGAGTATGCATATTTCGCTCTTCCTTGAGATGATGATATCGATTGTACTCGTAGTGACGATCCCCAGCATAATCTTTCGCTTGTCCTCCCATTTCATGGTTACGGAAATATTGAAACAAGGAAGTACGACGTGGTGTGTTGTCAGTCACCTCATGTTTCTTTCGATTACTGCCAAAGAGTGAAAACCCTGATTTAAGCTTGGAGAATTTCTTGCTGACAGACTCCTTACTATTTGATCTGTTCCGTTTAAGTGACAACACTGAGAAAGCGATCGCCATCGGAGTTTCTGCTGCAGTAATAAAAATAAAATAAATTGAAAAAGAAAAGGAAACTTTTGAAAAAAAAAAAAAGAGGAATTTTATTATCAACAAAAAAAAAAAGAAAAAAATTACGGTAGACAAAACGGGCTTTAACACCATTCTTGAACACAATAAAAACTTGTATGAATTTCAACTGCAAAAAAAAGCAAAAAAAAAAAAAAAAAAAGTACGTCACGTTTCACTCACTCGGGCTGAATATGCAGCTCTTTTTATTACCTTTTTTTTTTTTTATATATCATTTCTTCTTTTTTTGTCAGCTGTAAACAACAATGTCACAATCAAACGTATTGGATCCTTCAGTTATACTTCATTCGACTAGTCAAATAGCTAGCAACCTCCAAAATACCCACGATGCGTTAGCCGCTGCCTCCCATGCCATTATGCTTGGCGTCGGTTTTCGTTTTGCAGGACTTGGCGACGATGCACGCCAAGGTAAAACATTACGTTTTTTTTTTTTTATTTGTTTTCCTAGAAAACTAAAAATACATATCCTACATAGAGGGTGACGGAACCACCACACATTTGCCTGACACTTGGAACGCCAACGGGCCTCATTGCTATCAATTTAGATATAGTCATCCTCAGTCTAGCCTCACCTTTGTCATTAAAATTGTCAAGCTGGGTGATAAATGCATCATCCTTGGTCTCGGTATTGGGGTAATAAAAAAGAGTATTTCTAAAAAGGTACATATACAATCATTGATACTTACCTGTCTCATCTCATTAGGACAATAAGACGGCCATGCTAGATATTACCACACAAGATTACACTTCCGAATCCTTCTTTCCTTACACGGATACCAGTAAACCTTTAGCACATGGATTTATCTCTTCAGATCGCTTCCATGATTTTATCAAGGCATTCAAGCTAAACATCTTGCAGCGTTTGATACCCGGTTTAAATAAACCTGGTTATGAGGACAATACCACGTAAGTGGATGGGGTTGATAAACCTTTTTTATTTTACAAGTAAATGTCCACTAAATTTTTGTTTTTTTATTCTTAGCACAACGAGTTCAACAAGACCTTCTACTGATACAGAAAGACGCCAACCGAGATACAATGATCCACACTCATTGGAAGATCCTGCCTTTGTCGATGTCGGTGGATCTGATGTGAACCCTTTAGGTCGTGGAGGATTAAGAATGCCTGGGTACGTAATCTAAATATTCATGTGTAACTTACGTATTAACCAAAGCCTTTGTAATACCTCTCCTCATCCCAAAAATTAAAAAGTGGTGGTAGTGGCAGTGGTGGTATGTTTGTTGGACCTGATCATCCTATATTTGGAAACAGAGGTGGGAGTAGCTTGGATGATCCCTCTGGATTATTCGGTGGACCGCAACCGTTGCCAAGGTAACCCCTTAATAGAATGTATGGATGTATGTGTGTGTGTGTACTAATAAGATAAGCAGAGGGTCTGTGCCTCCTGGCGCACGATTTGATCCTATTGGACCGTTTGGAAGATTGCCCGTAAGACCACCTGGTCGAGGTGGACCTCCTCGTGGACCTCATGGTGGTGATCCTGATAATGACGATCTCGCTCCTCCAGTATGTTGAAATTCTAAAAATGACTACAAACTACAAAAAAAAAACTGACATTTTTTTTTAGGGTTTTGACAATATGTTTATGTAAACAATAAAAAAAAAAAGCTTATTCTAATAATAAACAACATCAAAAAAAAAAAAAAAAATTCTCAATCAAAAAATGTTGTCTCTTTCATTCCGCCCCCTCCCCCGTAATAACATATTTTAATATATTTCACTTGTAATTTTTTCTAATACGGGTTGAAGTGAAGTGGCATTGTATCTAGGCTCGTCTGAGCTTTGATCGGGTTCCACAACAATGCATTTAATTCCTAATGATTCAATCGCAGCTACATCCACTTCAATGCCTATTTCATATATAACATTTTTTAGTACCTCATTTACCACTTAAAATATGTAAAAAAAAAAAAGTAACACTTACAAGAGTTGGAGAGATAGATCAGATGCGTAATATAAGTCGATGGAGGTCGATTAGGCACTAACTCAGGTGGGAAGGGAGTTGTGGTGCTATAACCAAAGTGACCATTGGCACCCACATACCCCTCCTGTTGTGCATTGGGTGTGGTACATCTTGGGATAGCCAATCGACCCACATTGGGTGGTGGCCATTGTCGGAATCCATGATCCACTGGTCTCGCATAGAAATCAGCTTGTGGGTGACCGTGTTGACGTAAACTACCTGCCATCGGGTCCTCTTCTGAATGTGTATCGTAATATTTACGACGTGCATCAATTAACTGGCTCTCATTTAAGGCGTTGGTAATGGTACCAATGAAATCTAACGCTGTATAACCGTCGGTCTCTCTATCTGTTGTGCCGTTCAAAATCAAAATCTTGTGTCGTAAGGAAGGTGAATGGGCAATAGCATGACCGACCTTTCTAAGGATCAAACAAGGTAAGATAGATGTGTAGAGAGAACCAATGGAATAAACTAGATCTGTGCGGCTAGTTAAATGATCGAGGATCTTGGGGTTGGGTAAGGGATAGATCTCTTGGCCGTATTCATTCATGTAAAAGATACGTGCAATAGCAGCAGATAGCTTGTCTTCAGTGCTTTTGCTAAACACCAAATTACCGTTCAATTGGTCAGGGTCATTATCCAGTTGAGGAGAATTAGGTAAAGCCAGTCTTGAGAAGGCATCAATGGGGTTCATGGATTTATTAGAGAGATGTTGACCAGGATGACTGATTTCACATTGTCCACGTAAGGTATGACCATCTTCCAAGAGTGCAGCAATAGCAGCTGTATGATTTGTATTAATCACGGGTAAAACATAGGTCGGTTCTCGAATAGCCGTGATCGACGAGAACAAAAAGATGGCTGCTTCTAACGATCCAAAAAATAATCGAGCGCCTGTCAAAAAGAAGTTACCAATCGATCCATTCCGGAAATTAAAATGCTTGTGTGCTCGCTTCAAAATCTCAAAATTGAACAAAACCAGGAAACCTCGAATTGTCTCCTTCTTTTCAATTGATATTCTCTCCCACAACCTAAAAGTTTATGTGTAAGTGTATCTCTATATAAAGGCTAGAGAAAATTTAGAGTCTTACCGATGACGTCCTTCCACAATCATGGCCCAATCATCACGAATCGAATTCTCATCACCAACTGAAGCTAAACGATAACTCAGGAGCTCTTTAATCGCTACTCTTTCTTCAGAGTCATGTCCATCGGCATTAATTAATCGTGTAAGACGAGACCGAAGATCCCCAATGCTAGGTCCACCCAATACTCGCAATAATTCGCTCTATATGTAACTTAGTCCCTTGCTTTCTCTTTTTTTACATAAATAAAGTGAAATACATACAGTCGATCCACCGTTATCACTCACGCCTAATACATAACAAACACTGGGTGTAATACTTTGAAATGAACTAGCTATGTAGAATAATTAGGTTGGTCACTGAAATAGACATTGTCTTTTTTCTTCTTCTTCTCTTACCAATAAAGTTGCAAGCAGAACCTCCAGAAAACACAACAAACGAAGGAAGATCTTGCATGTTTTTTTTAAAGAATGTATAATGAAAAAGAATCTATTTTATAAACAAGCTGATAAACAAATAGGGTTTAATGCAAAAGCGGGGATTGAGCAGTCACCATTTGTCATAAAAAAAACCCGAATTCCAGGATAAACACTTGTAGATCGATGAATGGGCAAATAAGACGCCCAATAAACTTTTTTTTTTTTACAAAATAATATTTATTAATAGTTTTGAAAGACTACGCAAAATTTAGTCAAGAAAAGACTCTAAGCCTTCTTTTGCTCAGCTTCAGTCTTCTTTTGTTGAAGTTCTTCCTTACGAGACTTGCTCTTGGGATCATAGTAAGGTCTCTCAGCCTACATAAATAAAAGGGAAGGGCGTAAATAAAAAAAGAATTCAACTAATTGAAAAAGTAAAGATAAATCTCTTTCTTACCTGAGTAGTGACTCTCCAACCGTGACGCTTACCGTCATCAAGGTAATCAAAGATAGCAGCATGACTTGTTACACGGTTATCCCAGACAGCGACGGCATTCTCAGTCCATCTGAATCTGACTTGGAAATCATAGCCACCAGTAATATGATCATACAAGAATTGAAGGAGTGTATTGGATTCATGTTTACTAAGACCCACAATGCTACGAGTAAAACCTGGTTGAACATACAATGATTTCCAGCCAGTGACAGGATGAGTACGAACAATAGGATGGGTATGTGTGTTTTCTTGACGACGAGATGTTCTTCCATTGGCGACAGCACTATCAGCTTGTTCTTTACCAGAATGAACAGCTTCAAGTCCTTCCAAAGTCTTCTTGATTTCAGGTGAGAGACGATCGTAAGCAGCATAGCCAGATGACCACAATGTATCGCCACCGGCCTCTCCAGGAAGTGTGTCAATCTTTAAAAATGTGAAGCCAGGAGGTTGGAGCTCGTAGCTAACATCGCTGTGCCAGCCGTCAGAAGCCCGCAAGTTGGTGGTAAAACTACGCTCATACTGTGTGGAAGGGACATCTTTGCCATAGTAAACGGGAAGAATTTCAGGTAAATTGGGAGGGTGACCAGCAACATTATGAACATGAAGAGGACCATAATGGGATCCAAGCTCAAGACCTTGATGAGGATTGATATCTTGATCTCTGAAAAATACAACACCGCGTTCAGCAATGAGTAAAGCAAGGTCGTCCTTTTGTTGATTGGTCAATTTGGATAATTGAAGGCCCTCAATTTCAGTACCAATGTTGGGAGTTAAGTTAAAGACCTTGGTAGCATTTTCGTAGAGCGAGGACTTTTTGGGATCAGCGCGGTGACCGATATCTTCATGCTTGAATGCAGTAAGCTCGGGATACTGTTTTTTTTATATAAAAGTTAGATAGATTCATGATTTAATTGTTTGTGTATTTTCACTTACGGTTGTTTTGGGAAATTCAAGATAGTAACCAGCTTCGGCCAATTGCTTGATATCAACTTGCTCTTGGACAGGAATGACTTGTTCGTTTTGGTTAGGAGGAGACATTTTTATTGTAATGATTTGAATGTTTTTTCTAAAAAAATTTCGATGAGATTTATTGCCAGTATTTATATTATTTCGAAATAATAGGTAATATAGGTGAAATAGGTGATATGGCGTGCTTTCTTGAATGATGTTAGGGTAATAGAATATTTGCAATTTGCTGTTTTATTACTACTGAGATAGCATCTTTATAAAATTGCGCAATTCAGTTTTTTTGTTCCCATCACTGAACTCAATTCTTTTTAGCAGAAAATCCAAGACGAGGAGGGAGACATATGATCATAAGCAATCTGTAAAAAAAAAAAATGGTACCAATATTTGTGTAATCACGACATTTGCATAGTAAAATTCGTTATGTTTATTTGAAAATGTTCTTCCATCCGGAAAAAAGAAAAGACCACGAGCGCAATACTAAGAGATGGAGAAAGGATTTATACGTGAACTTTCTCTCCTCATATTATGCTCATCCTTTGAATGTATTACTTATCACTGACAGCGTATGATATGCAGAATTCGGTTATAGAAAAAAGAAAATGGACGAATAGAGTCACATGTCACAGCACTGACTTCCATTTACCGGCTATCAAGGCCAATGTGTAACCAGGGCGATCAAACAAGTTCCAGGATTTTAGTCTTAGTTGATATGGTTGGGTTAAATATTTTTTTGGGGGGGGGGGAAATGAAATAGACTTTTAGGACAAAATAATTTTTCATCTTGGATAAACTGCATATAGTAAAATTGATTTATGTAGGGATAGCATTTGCCTTAATCTTAATTTTTTGTCAATGCACCTACCCCCAGACTGTCTTGAAAATCCTGGAAAGTAACTGATTGACAAGCCGCAGGAAGGTGAGATGCCAGAGTATCTGCTTATTATTAAGTGAATTCCTCTCGATGTTGCTCTTTATTTTTGATCAGAGCTCTTTAATAAGATTTAGAAAAAGTAGTAAAGGGACATACTTAAACAGAAGTTTATACCTTTTCTTATTGATAACGCCAACATCAAATACAGAAATTAAAAGATTAAATAAAGCAAGCATAGAAATGAGTCTTGCCTGGGAGGTTTTTGCAAGTGTTTCTATTTTAATTAAAGGCCCAAATATTATGGATGATGAAAAATTTAAATCATTCTGACATAAGCTCTTGTTTATCAGCCTCCAAATGAAGCTGGTTCACACACTTTACTCTTCTCCTTTTCTTTTCCCTTAACCTATTTTTTCTATCATATGAAAGTAACTGATAACGTAAAAAGGTTAGCTAGTAATGACTACCAAATATTGATGCAATCAGAGTAGGGCCCACGTAAACAAGCCAGGCAATCCAATCAACAGATCGATACATCGACCGAGCATTCTCAGAGACAATACCCTGGAGAGCTCATCACACATGAAGGAATCAGTCGACAGAAAGGTGATTAATCGCCCAAATGATGTAGGGCTTTTAATTGCGTAATTGTTGGATTCCGCAGGCTATAGAGGTCTCATTTGGTCAACCATAGTTTGAAGATGACCATACGTGACACAAGTCTTCCGAAGTCAGAAAAGCCATTGCAAGATTTGGAAGATGTCTCTACAAATAACATATCACCACGCGAAAGTATCCATCATATTCCACCTAAGGAATTAACCACGAAGGAATCTCATAAACATAATAAGTGTCGTATTTGAGAAGATATAAACACTTGATATGTATAATCTTCTCTCTTAAACAGACATTCATATGAGATTAAATATCAGTACAATCATAATTGTACTGATGACGTCCATCTCGAGATCGTACAGTCACTATATTAAGAATCCGCAATAATTACAAAGAAGCTATCCCGGTCTATTAAGATCCTTCTTCGCTTTTTATCAAATTAATAAATATCCTTTGTTTGTGTCTCATCGACTTTATAAGACTTTATTAAAAAATGACTAGTGAATACCGCTTTTGCCACAATAAGAAACGTAGACTGCTATCCCATTCACAGATCATCCTTGTTTCAAGTGATTCAATTACAGCTGATACTCAAGAAAAAACTGATAAGCTCATGCAAAACTTGGTAGATGAGCACCTATTATTTATGAATCTGAAGGCGAACAACATGGTCTCTAGTGATGATCTGCGGATGTCGCTGATGGTGGCCAGGCAAGAGTGTTTGGTGCTGCAAGTTTTGTTCTTTTTACACTTAACTTCTGTCCGCTCAGCAACCACGTTGTTGCATAGTGGTCCATGGAAGAAACCAGCTACCGACATTGATCCAACTACTGGCGTTCCTTGTTATGAAGATTATTGTGACAGTGATTATCTTCTAGAGCATATCAAATCAAAAAGGTATGATGTTTGATTCCACTTAAAAGATGCGTCCTTTAACACATTTTTTTTAGTCAAGCGGCAAAGAAGCTTTCAGCAACTCGTCATGAAGAACTTACTCTTGAACAGTCTAATACTCTAAATCAAAATTGGCTCGAGCATCCTCATTTACGATACTGCGGATCTAAAATGTTAGCAGGGGCCATTTTAGTTGAGGGCCCAAATTCAATTTTATTGAACACTGTTGAACCGTATTCTCGCGACCCTTTGCTTGACGCCCATTATGAAAGATTGACTGTTGGCCAGTCAATATTTCCAACGTCACTTGGTATTTACGGATTCTTATCATTTTGTTTGGTTGATACACAGGACGGGAGAAAGTTAATAGTAGGAACTCGAACTTGCAATTTCCTCATTACATCAAGTATGCGCCTGGACGTTCACTCTATTAATCTTGGACCATCAACCACTCACTTCACCCCAACAAAGAAAACAAGGCTATTTCTTGACAAGGCTTCACTTGATATCGTCAAAACAATGCTTCAAGACGAAACCGTCAACCAGTGCCAACAAATGCCTATTTTATACCAATTGTGATAATTGAGAATAAAAAGGGAAATGTAAATGGGAAAATAAAGCAAGTAAAGAAATGAGACTCTATAATCCTTTATTATAAGTTGGAGAGTTTGTCATGATAAAAATAGAGGTACTTTTTATATTCAATTATTACTTCAAGATTTTTCCTGCGCAGATCGAATTGACTATTTATTAACCGCAGACTGGGAAATGGTAGAATTAGATTTAGAAATCAGTTACATATGAAACATAGCTTATTGTTATATACAAGGAGCTAGTTGACCCATATCCGGCACTTCTGAGCATTATAGTTTATCCATTCAATGACAGGGTCCTTGATTGGATTACTAAAATAAATTTATCAGAAACTAGAAGATTCGGCAGCTACTCGACCAATCCAGGAACGATTATGAAATCTGATCTCAGTTTGACATATGAGGGAGCTGGTACTGTGTCGTACTGATAGGAATGTATTCGCAATATGGTACTTCTAATACATAGGTTATATGTATTATAATTGAGTGACAAGATAAGAGTAATTGTATTCGTGGAATTAGGCGTCAAATACGACACCAATTACGACAGTTACGAAGCAAATTTGATTGCTTATCCACTTACACAAAATGCCGAGCATCATCATCATTTACAAGCCATCCATTTTTCCAACCAACAACAATCTGGACCTTGTCTTCACAAAATGGCTCGAACTCAAATTTGATCAATTTGTCACAAGAAAAAACCGGAGCTTTAATTTTCAGAACACTTGCTGTTCGAGTTTCCAGATATGGCGCTCATGCCTCCCTCGATCGCGTTGCAGTTGACGAAGTTGCGGCACTTACAAAGAATAAATCCACTTCAGCAATCTTAAAAAATATACAAAGAGTATTTGACGATAAAGAAGAAATTAATATCATTGGAAATTCTGCTTTTAACAGCCAATTAACTGACCTCGCCAACACTATCAAAGTATCATTGATGAACTGTATGATTAATTTTTTGTTGTTGACAGTAATCATTTTTTAAATAAAAGTTTTATATCGTTTTGGGAAACATAACGACTATCTAAATGTATAGAAGTCAATTGTATAGAAATACCAATATTATTAAATCAATGCCTGTACATGGACCTCTTGAAAGAAAATCATTCTTAAGAGCTACAATTATGAGATATATAAATATCTAAAATTCGGTCAAACCAATATATGATGATATTAATTTATTATTTTCGCAAACTTTGTCAAATTAGCTTCAAACATCCGGCCAAATAAGTTTCCTTTTTATGAGCAATTTAATTTTGCACAAGTGGGCAGAGTTACCAAAAAAAAAAAAAAAAAAAAAAAAAAAAATTGGTAAATTGACTGTGGATGCATTGTAGATCGATGATGAAAAAAAAAAAGCTATTTGTTAACATCATTCACTCCGACTTTCAATCCCCAATAGACCACAAGTCCTTTAATAACGTCATTGCCAATCTATCAATAGCAGCGACTCTTATATTTCGGCATGGTCTATTTTTATTGACAAACTTATTATATATTAATATAGCTTCACTTTACGCTTGATACCAGCATTCAAAACTTAAAATGCATGTATACTACATGTAACACACTCGTTAACCGGATTATCGATGTGTCTCGTGTGGCATTTGACATTCTAGAACAGGTCACTGGATATGACTTTGGCTAAATTAACCATTATTAATGATGTTTGCATTTAAGTTAACGGCTGAAGAAGTGATATACAATTTTGACGTAATCAGACCTTTTTTTTTCAGCGACCCCGCATAAAGTTACAAATCCATGGCTTTTTCATGCCAGACGAAGAATAATTTAGAAATACATATGCCAAATAATCTTCCCTTCCAAACAGATGGGTTTTTTTGCAGTGATATTGTTTGTAGCCGTAGCTGATTAGAATTCAGGCGAAAAGTAACTTATGGATTAATTATTGGACACTTTTTCCTTTTGATAGTGTTATTATTTGTGAAATTTTTTTTCTACGGACTGCTACAATTTATCACCAATAATGATATACTTCTTATACTACGAATCAACCATGCATATCCCTATTTAAAAATTACTGTATCATTATTCATTTTGAGATGAATGATGACACATACCCACTCTTATCTCTAACTTAATGTAACAAGAAACGTCCATTGACATACGATGATCATTGTAATTTTTAAAATGGTAACCATTTGAAAGAATAGTCAAAAGTATTAATACTTGTGAAATTGTGTCTGTTTTGGATGTCAACAATATGGAGAATCATTGTAAAGGAGATAAGCAATAATATTTTTATTTTCAATTAGTTTTCAACCACACACATACACTTCCATTAATACTATTTAGATGCTTTACGGATTTCGATTTGTCGGTTTATTTTTTGGTTATTACCACTTGCCTAACGATTGTGAGTACAAATCGGTGATACTGTTTTAAAACAAAAAGATATTAATATATATACATTCAAAAACACAAGTTGTCGACAGTGCACCTGGTATTACCAAACAAAACTCGGCAATTCCATTGGTTTTCAGATTCATCTAGCATGTTAATACGATGAAATGATGTTTTGTGGGGAATAATAAAAAGGCATTATAAAATAGGAAAAAAGAATTATTTTTTATTATGACTACAACTGATCACTAACTACTGGTTTTCAGAGGCTCTCCTTACATCATTTTTTAACCATACGTTTCACATACCACTGGGAGATTTACTTGTCTTCATTATTATATTAGCAAACCCTTCATCCTTTGCATCGAGCTTTTTTATGACTACGCCTAAAGAGTGGTTATGTTTAAGTTGACTAGATTACGTTTTACATGATTGTCTAGCTGCTCCATATCTTTACCAACGTAAACAACCGTTCTTCCGGTAGTTATGCTACGTTGTCGGAAACTGTTCCTGAATTATATATTTGTAGTGTCACCTTTTCATCATATAAATTGAATTTACCTTTTCCCTGTTGGAAGTATGATATCCTTTAACATGTCTTTTTTAAGACTCATCGTTTTTAACAGCCTAATAGGGATATTGTTAGTCTTGCAATTAAAACCGTATTTCTAGTGTAAAGTTCACCTTGTAAATAAACGTCTTTTCGAAGAGAAATTCCGCGTTAAAGGTAGTCCTTAGCTTGACTACTCTGTTATTAAAAGGCTTTACCTAAACAAGAAAAAAGTAATATGTCCTATCGCTTCGTCACAGGTTCATCAGAACAATCTTAGTCGTGAAAATATGTTATCTAATTCTTCGTTGATGCTGGTTCGCTGCTCAAAGACTTCCTCTGCAGAATCGAGGGTTAATCCAAGCCTGTTCATAAATAGCTGTTTTTCAATTAAAAAAGCCGACTGTGAGAAAAAGTTGAAAGAAACTGTGGTGCACGAATTAAGCCGGCTCGGAATTGATTATTTGCCAAAAGACAGGAAAAACGGTTCTCACTATATTTAATCTTCTCCCTTTCCATTCCAAAGAACCAACTTATAGCATTGCATTTGCCATCACTGACTCATTCTTTGTATTGCAAAAGTCGTGTTATAAACTGTAATAATAATATTCTATTCAACCTTGACACAATTAATTTTTACAATTTTCCTTTGCGCTTTAGGATTTGCACGACCAACACGGATTACCGTCATATAACAAAACATTACAGCTTTTAAGTTCTTCAAGGATCACTTTTGACACTCTTATGGCTAGGTTATGAATGCATGATTAGGAATGAAAGCCATTTATACTCTGCCTGCGAATTATGAATAACATTACCTAAACACAACGAGTTGGCAAAGAGGATGAAAGCTTTTGCGGGATCAAGTTTATGTAGTTTAACTAAAAAGCTATACTCATTCTTCCACATCAGTATGCCATTTCCTTAGTCTGAGTTTAGGTGGATTAAAACACAAATACCTGTCTACACGCGAGCAACAAAATACCCATTAGTTTGCCCATGAAGGCTTGTATTGGGCGAACAAAAGTTAAACAAATCTGCAGACGATGATATGACAATTACCAGCAAAAAAGGGAGATTGAAGGATAGGCGTTTGAAAGAGTTGGACGCAAGAAATCAACAAATCTGAATATGTAGACATAATCGTGATCAAAATAATGTAGCGGAGACAACTGGAATCGGGGATATGGAATCGAACGTCTTACTAAAAGTGCTTTTAAAGTTTGTTAAAGATCAATACGATGAAGATCAAGTCAAGAAAGGACAGGATATACACCTATCAGAATAATATTTAAAGGGCATATAGATAATTGCGACATAATTGAGGATCAATTTTAGAAACGCTTCGGCTGACTATTTGGATTTATCATCTGACGACGAGGGGATCCACTGTTATTACTTAATCAATCTTTTACTCGGAATGACCGTATTACACGCCCATCTATTCTGAGCCAGGAATAATCATATGTGCAAGCAGTGTGTTATCGATAGTAGCAATATAGGATTACAACAGATAGCGAGATTTGGTATACACGTACGTCTGAGGGTTAGGGCAGTGTTGAAATTGGATATACAGCAAGGATGCCAGGGTAGCAGTCATAGTTAAACTTGGAAGATCCTCGAGTGTAGGGGTACAAGTATCATGAACCTCTATGAAATGAATCGAGATTCTAGTACTTTTGTGGGGGAATAGCAGAATAAACGAAAACAGCAATGCTTATCACGTCCTATGCATGACATGAAAAAAAAAAAAAAAATAAGAGAAAGAAATGACGAGGATTTGGATGATAAAATGAAAACTATGAAATATCAACGATTTGGAATCCCTGCTTTTGCAAGATGTATTCTAGTTCGTTGTACACAGTCTGACAATTATGCTATACATATTTTGATTAAAAATTGATAGTGAAGTTAAAGCAGATATAAATAACTGGGGCACAATGGGTTTCTATAAGATGTTTTTTTTTCTGCCTTGGAAGTCTTTCATTATTTTACATACAGTTTACTCTTAAAATCTAGTTATTTTTCAGAGTTATCATTTTAAATGTTTAGTTTCCCTAATTCATGTGACATTGTCTTTAAACATATACGATTTCTTATTGTTAAAGCCTGTTTTTTTTTTGTTGAGCCATCTAGTTAAAAATCGCAGCATTCAACTTTACAGCTACCGCGATATCAATTAACATTTTTTTGGGACCTTCACACAGGACATTATAATAGTTGCGGCTACCTTTTTTTTTATCCTCGTCTTACCTGATATATAAGACTTATCTAAAAAATTTGTAGTGGGAAACCTTCCCGGGAAACCGGCCTGTAGGTATCCCAGCTAAAATAAATTTAAGTTCAGATTTCCCCAAATAACGCTCAATGATTGGACGTGTTTTAAAAAGTGCTTATGTGTGTACCTGCATTAACGTCAAACATGTGTGAATAATTTGGGTTCTGGAAGCTCTTAATCTACTACTTGCAATTAGGATACATCTTAAGGTTACTATAAATCATGTACATAAGCTAACTTTTTCATAAGTCTTTTACTGTTGTGATTTATGAAAGACTTAATCGAATTTTCTATAAAGAAAGTGCTAGAAGTTCACGGATGTATAATTACAAATTGCGTTTAAAATCATAATTTGTATAAAAACGAATGAATTAAAATGTTTCATTCATCTTTATTAATTTAAAACATCTCAAAAATGGATAATAACACTCAATCAACATCTCGCACTGTCCACTCTGCTCGTGTCCAAACTGAATTAGAAATGAGACAATCATTGGAAAAAACAAATCAATCACAACTTAATTCACGTCCTGAGAATACAAAGAGAGCATATGAACCCAAGATTGAAGAATATCGTAGATGGTGTGATTCAAAGTTTGCTCATGAATCATTGGAATTACGTTACATTGTCAATGGAGAAAAGGCGCACTTCTTTTTAGATGATGCTGTAAGTATTCTATTTTTATAAAAAAAATTCCATTTGCTAATAATTTGACCGCATACTTAGGTGGCT